TTTTTGGGTTTTTCGAAAAGACATGTCCCATCCCCGTTTCCAGTCCCCAAATGAATTGCAAAATATACACAAGCTTGAAGCGAAAGACTCTTCCACCACCTTTCTTCCTCACACAGCAGAGTATACTGCAGTACACCCCCGTCCACACTCGACCTTCTGCTCAAACTCCACCATCCTGCCATTGACACGCACCTTCTGCCTGGGCGTGATTTGAAAGCGATGCATCTCCTTCTCCCTCAGCGCCTTGATCCCACCCACACCCGCCGCCCGCTCCAACTCTGCGCTCTGATCTAGGGGCTGGATATACGTCGGCGTAGCCATATTACTCCTCTTCCCACTTCCAATCTGGTAGAACTCATTATTGCCCCAGAACAGTATATCCCGGCCCCAATTCGTGTCGTTGTCGGTGAGTTTCGAACGCGTGCGGTCCGACACAAGCACCGACGCGACATTATCCATGACAGCAGCGGCGTGTGTAGCGCCTACAGAAATGGTGTTGAGACGGATGGGAATGGGTTTATGAGCCTTTTCGTCCCATTCAAAGAGGCCGGAGAAGGCGGGGACTTTGACGGGGTCGGCGCATGTGTGGATCCAGCGGCCGACACCCAGTTGGCCTGTGAGGCCGAAGCCAAAAGCCCAGGTGTCGGCGGTAGTGCGGCTTTGGTCGGCTTTGGTGGCGTCGATGGTGAGGAAGGAGGTGTTGCCGCCGGCGAAGACGTTGGAAACTTTGGCTTGAGAGGCGCTACCGGCGTAGAGCTTTTGTGTGGGGAGGAGGGAAGGGGCGTCGACGTAAGTGGCTTCGGCGTTGAAGGGGAAGCCCAATTGGCCGGCGGTGTTGTCGCCGAATGTGAAGGCGCGGCCTTCGGAGTCGCAGACGAGACTGTGGTAGTCGCCGGCTGCGATCTTCTTGATGGGGAAGCCTTTCAGTGTGGTGATTTCGTGGGGCATGTCGAAGGGGCCGGGTGGTCGACTCTCGAAAGAGATTCCAGGTATGCCGAGCTGGCCTTTGGTGGGGAAAGTCTTGTGTACCAGAGGCAAAGGAGAGGACGCGACCAGAGGGATGTAAGCATGAGAGCATGCTCGAGACCTGAGGCGATGTCGTCACTCGCTCAGATCATCCCAGGGTTCTCAGGTGTGGCGTGGTGCGGTACGAATCGTCGTTGGAGGTGCTCCAGAACCGGTATCCATGATTTGGACGTTGGCTTTGAGCCCTCTTTTTGCTCGGCTTGTGAGACGGGTATCGAGTAGACGGTGCCGCCCGAGGAAAGTGCAATGATGCGATCGCGCGAGAACTGGAGTGACTTCAGGTTGTGACCTCTCAGTGTCTTTGTTGGCTCTGTGACGTCCTTGGAGAATGCGACCCCCCATTGCAGCAAGTCGCCCTTCTCATCGATGGCCGCGCCGAAGTTGCGGTCCAGCTTGATATCGCGCAGCAGCTTGCCATCGAAGTACGATATCCGCCGCGGCGTCTTTATGTACTTTTCATCCGAATCTGGCGCCACCACTTTCCCAGCGTTCGATCCCCATGTGTAGACGCCCGGGTTCTCCCAGCTCTTCAGCACCTGCAAGTGTTGCGAACTTATGATGTTGCGGTTGTCATCTGCTGATTTCGCTTGCCGCCGTGGTTCCTCAAACTTCAGCTCAACCTCGTCTTCCTTTGGAGGCTCTTCGGCGTGCACTTCACGCAGGATGGAGTTGCCGTTGGCCCATTGGTAGGCAGTGGCGGTCGCCCCCAGGACAGTGACTGTGGCCAGAGACCGGATGAAATGCTGCTGCCGCCGTTGCGCATAGGGATGTGTCGCCGTCCGAACTTGAGCAGGCCGTGCTCTTGTTGTGATGTTCCTACATGACTGCGGGGTTTGCGGAGCTCGTAGTGTGGCGCGTGGGAGACATTTGCTGCTGAGCCATGTTGGTGTGGTCGCAGAGTCGCAGAATGTGCAGAACAGGTCGATGATGAAAGGCAGATGCAATGGCGCTATCACAACATTGACGTTAGGTTGACAACATGTCAAAGAAGGCCTGACTGCAGACTAGGACAAATGGATAATCGCAAAGTCTAGAAAGTCGCAAGGTCGTCCGCGTCATGACATGACCGACTCGGAGCTACGTCTGATTGGACGAGCGCGTTGCAAGGTTGTCCTAATGTGGGGTACATGTCGGAGACGTGAGCGGTGCAAGGGACCGACCACAAACGTAGCTTGCTTCGACACAGGACCCGACCACCACAAAACATGGACGCCGAGTCGTGGTTCAGCTTCGTGCCACGCAGCACGAGCACGAAGGCGCCCGACAATGGAAAACACAAACGCCGCGTGTCGATGCTCAAGCAGCCCAACGTAAGCTATATCACGAGGTCCCATGGGTACGTCGCGTTATTGATATTGGACATGTAGGAGGCCCAGGCTGACGTCGAGCGCGCAGAAGCCATCCCCGAGGCCGTAGATGAAGTCCCTGGAAAGCTCAATGGCCCGCCGCAAGCGACCGTGGCCCGCCGCGCCAAGTCCTACAGCGACTTCTACGCCGCAGTGCGGGCGCATGTGAAGAGGGAAAAGGCATTGGAGAAGAAGAAGTCGCGCGAGAATCTGAGTACCGAGCTCGAGTTTGCAGAGTGGTATGGCGGCGTCCATGAATGGAGCTTCTGGAAGCGAGCCACGAGGAGTACAGGCAGGTGCTGAGAATAGGACACATGGCATATACATGCTAACCAGAACTTCAGACTGTACCAAAGCCAGCTCCACATGGCACGCAGCCACCTGGGCAACATCATCTCCGACACCACATCGACCCTCGATATCCTGTCCTCGCTCTCCTCGTCCTTCAAAGCCGTCGAGGCACAGACGACCGCGTTCCGAACACAATGCGAGGGCTTGATCAGCGACCAGACGCGCATCACCAAGCTGGCAGAGGACATGGGGCAGAATCTACGCTACTACATGTACCTCGAGCCCACCACAAAGCGACTCAATGCGCCCGGGGCCGGCAAGATTGTGCGCAGCAACGAGTTCACCGAGATGCTCGCAAACCTGGATAGCTGCTTAGAGTACATGCAGGCCCACTCGAAGCACAAGGAGGCAGAAACCTACCGCTCACGATACCGACTGCTTCTTACCCGCGCCCTCACGCTTACACGCGTCCACTTCACCGAAGCTCTGCGTGAAACCGCCGCAGATGTGTCCAAGCGAATCGCCGATCGTCAATTGAACGACACCACAATGTCCGCACTCTTGTATGCCAAGTTCCGTGTCGGTGCGCCGGAACTGAAGAGTATTGGATTGGAGATCCAGAAGCGTGCTGTGCTGCCCAAGGGAGCTGCACCAGGCACAGAAGCAGAATATCAGAGTCTCATGAAGCGAACTCTACCAGAGCTATTCCACCACACGTGGCCGTTTGATCCTTCCCATCATCTCCAATTAAGATCAATGAGATTGCGCAAGCACCGAGCACCTCAAAGGATCTAGTCTCTTTTGCTCGTAGTAGCATAAGCTACCTGCGCGACATATGCATGGACGAGTGTGAACTCTGGCGCGAATGGTTTGAGGGAGACGGCGGACTGTACGACTTCCTTGAGGCTATGTGTGAGCCCTTGTACGACCACCTGCGACCACGAACTATCCACGAGACACAGATCCTGAAGTTGTGTGAACTCTGCACCATGATACAGACACGGTACATGGAAAAAGACGAAGATGAGGAAGAAGAGGTCGATACAAAGAAGCTGGACTTCTCCATCCTGGTGCATCCTGCACTGGAAGATGCGCAGAACCGTCTCGTCTTTCTCTCCCTAGCTGTCCTGCGCGACGACATTGAACGATACAAGCCTAAGCCAGAAGACCTCGACTATCCAGCAAAGCACAAGAAGCTTGCAGCATCCGGCGGCAAGTCGAATCAGCCTGCACTGTCTGGTAAGAGGCAGCCAAAGTCAGAAGCACCACCTACACCATTGATGCCGAAAACGCCCACCGTCGTTGAAGAAGACGATCCTGACTCTCGATGGAACTTCAACACCGAAGCTGCATTCAAGGACTGGTATCCTACATTGAGGAAAGCAATTTGGCTACTTAGCAAGATCTACCGGCTTGTACATGTAGGTCTACATCATCCATTCTATACAGGAACCATGACTAACACTACTTAGTCCTCCGTATTCGATGATCTAGCCCATCACATTGTTCATAGCACCACCATGTCTCTTACACAAGCCAGCGCACTCCTGACCAAGTCCACATCTCCCACAGACGCAGCCCTCTTCCTGGTATCCCATCTCCTCCTTCTCAAGCAGCAAATTGTCGCCTTCGACATCGAGTTCGTTACCCCTGAGACTGAAGTGCAATACAACATGACCAGCATCACCAACACCTTCTGGGAACTCCGATCCCGCGGTGGCCTCTTCAACCCACGCAACCTCGTCGGCCTTCTAATCCCCAAAGTCGTGGAAAACATGCTCGACGCCAAAGCCGAAGTTGACGCTCGATTACGCCAAGCCATCAACGATTTCACAGGCCAATTCGTCGCACGCATGACCGCTCCAATCGACACCAAGAACGGCAAAAAGGTTCCCGTCGCGGAAGCCCCAGCACGCACCGCAAAGATCAGACAGAACATCGAGCATGAAGTCCCCTTTCTCAGGACAAAATTAGAGGAGTACATCACCGACCATCGCACTCGCGAAATGCTCGTCGCGGCTGTAATGGAATCCGTCACGCAGACGTATGAAGAGTGGTTCGATACATCCTACACGCCTTCCATCGCAGGTTCCAACGGCGCGGGACGCAGCACCAAGGGCAAAGGCAGGGAAGATGGCGTCTGGGATCCCGATGTGTTTAATGAGTGGTGTAACAGCACCTTCAAAGTTGGAACTCTCGGACTGGGAATGGAGGATGGGAGCAATGATGAGGATGACGAAGACGACGGGAGTAGTGCGGGCAGTATGAGGACAGGAACGGATCGCGTTGGCTTGGGGTTGAGTATTAAAATGTAGAAACGGCGGGAATGAACATCGATGAGTAATGCCATGATTCACTATGTTGAAAGTCGACGAGAAGAACTGCTTTTTGACTTGCCTGTTATTCAATACATCCACACCCTGAACGGACATGCTTTCAATATCGAATCCCCGTTTTTTTCTTGTTTTTTTTTTATTCACTGGTAGGCTACCACCGCCCATGCCAACTCATCATAATCTGGTCCGCACTATCCCCGCCAAGACACATATCTCGGGCCCCAACGCCGCAGGTGTTACCACGTCCACGCAGCCAATAAGCTAGCAGCATCTTTTGTCCGTGTGACCATGTCGGTAGGTTTAGTGCGCTAACGGGGGGCTGGTTTTGGAAGGTCATGGACGCTTAGATAGTGTGGTGTCCAGTCTTTGGGATGTGTGGTCAGTGTTGATGCGGTGGGTCGTTCCGTAGGGAATTATGGATAGCGTAGGCGGTTGGGAGGGGGATGGGGTGGTAGTGCATGGGGTTTAGGGTTTGGAGAGTTGGGACTGGGTGGGGGGTGGGGTGGTGGTGTAGTAGATGGAATGAAGACGCTGGGATCATGAAGACTTGTGAGTGCGTGGTTACGCTTGTGAGTGGGTTATGAGGTATTTATTTATTTATTTTGGTGCGGGCGTATTTCCAACATGTACATGTACTGCATAGCGGTGAAAATTAGTGTTGGGATGTATCGGTGATTGGCTGACAACGCTTCTAGATTTCATGTATGGTATCTTCATTTACGGTCGTCCATGTCGTGTTACTAGAGCTTTGTAATATGTGGTCAATCAACCGTTTGGCGATCCCCGCTTCTTGTCGTCTATTGACTCGCCGCCTTCGCGCTCTTTCCTGCGTTGTGCGACGTCCCAGTTGTATACGCGGGCGAAAGCGACTTCCAGTGTCTGTGATGTGTCAGTGACCAGTGTCGATATCACAAGTGAACTCAAGGACGTACGGTGATCTGCTCCCTCAAGAAATCCAAGTCTTCCTCGCATGTTGACAAGCTCTGCTTTGCTGTTGCGAGTTTGCCTGACAAGAGTTCCTCCGCCTCTGGGATCGGGTACGCAAGCATAACGTTTGCGCCTAGCCACAGGTAGACCTCATCCGTAAGCGGGACTTCCGCCTTTGCGAACAGCGTATCGTTGAGTTCAAAAGTCGTCTCGAGTGGCTCGGCATCGTCTTTCCTGGACTTCAAGAAGCGCACCGTCTCCAGCGTCTTCTGAATGTCAGGGATCTTATCCTTGAGTCCCGCCGCTCGTCGTTGCGTGTTCTGTTGCATAAACTGGTATTTCCTGGGTCCAGTTATGAGTTTCCAGTCTCTTCATGCTCGAATCAGGGGCGGAGCATACGATATCATCTCCTTGAAGCTGTTGATTGTGCTCTCAACTTCTGAACGGTCGGTGATGTAATCTTCAACGCGGTCGATGAAGATGGCACGCGGGATGCCGCGCGGATTGGTGGGCGCATCTTCGCTGTATTGGACGTCAGCTATGGCATTCCATATGGTGTGGCCGGAGTAACCTCAAGGCCCTTGCTACGCTCGTCATTGCGGCTCAGGTGTTGCGCGAAACTTGAGGCTTTCGTGCACTTTGATATTCGAGTTTAGTTTGACGCGTTTGCTAACTCGGGCTTGGCAAATATTGCCCCGCGCTTCCGCGATTCCGCTCCGCCCCTCGCCCCTCGTAACCAACATATTGCTGTCTCAGGGGTGGACATAAGGCCGTGGCCATTGCCTCATTATCATGACTTCATGACTCGTTTTGGTACCTCAGCTTTCCTATGCCCGGCATGCGCCTCTATCGGTACGTCTCAACAAATCTCGAGGTGGACTTCTCCGAGCAATTGTAATCCAATCCGATGATTTACGATTACGAGTGTACTTATGATCAGCTACGTTCGGGCTAGCATGCGGATGGGAAGCTTGTCACGATGACCCGATGATACTACTCGAGTGAGATTGGACGGGCTCGTGGCCGGGGTGAGCTCTGCCGCCCACTACATCGTGTGGCTGACACCACCTAGATAAGCGGTATTCCTAATGTCGGCCCTGAAGCTTCTTCCACGTTAAAGGGCGCCGCCGCCTACATCTCCGCAGGTAAATACCACACCAGAGATGTAGTAGATTAACTTCAGCGAACTATCGAAGATCAGCCCTTTGGCGAAGCCTAAGGTGCATGATCGCATCTGCTAGAGATCTCACTAAGACGATCTCGCAAAGGCTGAGCCGAACCAATGAAGGTTTGCAGTGCAGGGCACGATGCCGTGCTGTATTGAAACGCACGCAGGTCTTAATCATCCGAAAGATAAAAAAGAGCTTGTAAACTTGACCCGCGCCACAGAGCCGCTGAGGGCATCGATCGGCGATTGCGGGCTATACCCTGCTGTCTCTAGCATCTTCACGATTTCGCTATGCCTTGGGGCGCCTCGAGCCTCCCGTCTGCACGTTCGGAGCTCCCCTCACTATTCTCCGAGCATATCAGAGTCGCCAGCCTGCTCGCCGACCAAGCCGGATTGCCAACGCACAGCGAAAGTCTGTCCTGTCATCAATGGCCTAGATCGTACGACAGGATGGACTGCCTTCTACCGATGATTATAGAGGTGCTGTGCATTCGGAGGATTCTACCTGCTTGTACTTGACATAATCTGACTCCGCAAAGTAAGACCTAGTAAATGCTACTGCTGCAGCAGTCTTACTCGCCTTGTGCCAAGACTTTGGATTACGCTGCCTCAAAATGTGTTATTAGGCATGTCATTATCGTCTCGTAACTCGAAACCTCGGACATGGATGTCAACTGCCCTTCAGGCATGTACTTGCAGGGTCTCCCCAACAGACGCGGGTATTGTGGTAAGCACACAGTTACACAATGTTCCAAGAGCAGACTTGCCTTCATGCAGCCAGTCGCCAAAATTACAATTTGGACTTCCAACCTGAACGCGGCTTGTAACCTGGCCAGTCGGCAAGGCCGTGTCTTGGTACCACAACATGAGCTGTAGAGAAGATCTACGCCCGTTTACTTACTTTGTCACGCAAGCATGCTCCCATAATCTCCACTATCACGATAGGCAGCCTCCTCAACAGCTGAAATTCGGCAGCAGTCTTGGAAATAAATTACGATGTCGACCACTCGCTTGACTGAGTCGCTGCAGTCGCGCGACATGCAATCAGGTCATGGCGTTTCTCCCTACCTTATGGGATTACCAATACCTATTGTGGCTTGCATATCGTATCGAGGCGCCGGGTTCATTGTCCTGTTCAATCAGCGTCTGGTGGTAGGTGTTGTAACCCAAAGTACAGCTGTGGAACAGTCTCTTGATCTCATATCGATCCCGACTGTTTGTATAATGCGCATAATCGTGTGTATTAATAACTCAGTAGTAGCCTTGCGCTCTGTAGTAGCCTTGCGCTCTGTAGTAGCTACAGCACCTGCGATAGCCGGGGACTGGGGAAAGGGCAGGAATACTGTAGCAAACGAACCTCAGCCGGTCAACCATTGCGGCGGACACTTGATCGTCGCTCCATACTCAAACCTATGACTCGCACTCACGTGTGAATACGTTCGGATATTAACGATGTTTCTATCGTTCTCAGCCTTCCTCCGTCCGGATAGCATTCGCGGGCCAATCGCACATACACGTAACCTCATTCGATCGGTTCGAGACTCAATCATGCCTCACGGTCTTTAAAACCGAGGAAAGGCAGAAAGTAATCCCGAACACGGTGTGGCAGAATGGGGCATGTTTTGCGAGTCTTGATTACACCTACTCCTAGGCTGAACGACTGCTTGTTAGACCACAATCGCATCAGCAGATAAGCAGGCTCACCGATCTAGCCAAAGTATTTGGAACAGGTCCTCCCATATCGCTCAAAAACTTTACAACTCCTATACCTGGAACATATATACCCTCCTCGGACCCGGCATTCGCGGCCCGACCACTGCATTCCCAACCTCACGGTCACTGCAAACATCTCTCATCTATACCTGCGTGTGAAAACGGGCCAATGGAAATTATATCGTGTTTGCAACCACCCAGCATATGCACGGGTTTACCCGTTAAGCGCTGTCGCTTACGCCGGGTAAGGTGGGGGCTTGGGGTATACATGCCCAGGTGTATGTGCCTTGCAGCACGAAAGCCTGCAATACTGGGTAAACAGAATCGCATGTTCTAGAATCCCTACGGTCGGAGATGGACTGGTGCCGGTCAGGCGGGAGATTGGCACGGGAAGTGGACGGCCTGCATGGAAGGCTGCGTGGTGGACTTTCTATAGCACAGATAATGCATGCGAACATGGATATTTCACAGATTCTGCAAGACAACTTTCCGGGACAAAAGGATGCTTGTGAAATGTCTCCGGGATTAATCAAGGCGTGGGGGTATTGTACAACTTCGAAGTTCGGTCGCGTACGGAGCCGATCATGATTACGATGTTGCTGCTCTACGTAGCGAGAATGGTACAGCAAGAAGCACTGGAATAAAAGTGATTTAGACCTTTTCTTGTCATTCACTATAGAACTATTACTCTATGTAGCTTCACACAAGCCAAGAGGCAAAGCAAGAGTGCCGCAAGGCATGCCAACACAACAGTCTCGCAGCGCTCTGCTCATACCAACAGTGGCCGGCGTGATACAGCAGGCGACGAAGAACGAGAAGGTCGCGAAACAAGCCAACACAACATGCTCGTAACGCTCCTCGCTCATATCAACCAAAAAGAACGGTAAAGGAGAGTCGTAAACCCACATACACGCTTGAACGCCCATCAACAAAAGTGTGTATCATGCCTAGAACGCCAGAATTCCTCTTTCCACGCTTGAACAAAGGAAATGCATGCAAAAGTTTTACAGTCCAGTGAAGTCCAAAAGTCCCTACTTTATAGCTTAAGGCCCTTCTTTATAAGCTTGCCAAGCGTGGCACCCTTGAGAACTTATTAGTAACGACTCATGACAGGATGGTGTGGAAGCAGAACTTACATGTTCACCCTTCATCATTGTGAAATGATTTCCGCCCATGACGCCGTATTCAAAGTTTTCCTTTGGTAACAATTGCGCCCAACCGTTGTCATCGAAAATTGTGCGATTATTGAGGAGCCACTTCATGGGCGCTGGGTCCTCGCCCTCACCAGGCGGTGGCCTCGGGTCGTCTGGGTTTGGGCAGACACCGTCGGTACACCAAATCGCAAGAACGGGTGGCGCGATCTTGGGGTCCATAGGTGTCGGGTCGTAGTCCTTGAGGTTCTGGATGGCAGAGGCGAAGTGAGGTAATAGCCATGATGGAGTGCCACCGGGCTTACCGGTACCAAGCAGGCCGATTTGGTCAAAGAAAATGTGTAGCCGAGCTGGCAGGGGATCGAGAGCGACAGGACAAGGTGCGTCGATGAGGACAAGACTCTCAACTTTCTCGCCGTTGTTGACAAGCTGTTTGGCGACTTCGTAGGCCATTACACCTCCTGCCGACCAGCCACCGACGAGGTAGGGTCCCTCAGGCTGGCGGCGCTTGATCTCGTTGAGGTAGATTTGAGCCACGCCCTCGACACCGCATGTCCACTTCTCCGGGCACTTCATGAACGGGCAGTTGAGTCCGTATACAGCCATATCGGGGTCGATATTTGGGATAGAAATGTACGATGTAGCGCTTCCCGAGCCATCGGGGACAAGGAAAAATTTCTTAGTCGCAACCTTGGGGTTACCCTGCAACAAGACTGAGTTGGAAGCAGGCAGTCCCGAAATATCGACTGTCTTTTCGAGCTTCTTGTTCACCTCAGCGAGCTGAGGGGATTTGCTGGAGGTCTTGACAGAAACTTTGGTAACAACCTTCGTCTGCTGCTTCGGCTTGGAGCGCATACCAAGAGCAGTTTCGATGTCCTTGATAGTGACGTTGACCGTGAGAAAATCAGCAGGTAGATCGCGACCAGTCTGCTCGCGCATAGAGCCCAGGATGGTCAGACTCATAAGAGAGTCCATGCCAATGTCGGTGAGGTCGAGATCATCCGTGATTTCGGAAACATCGACACCCATCTCATCAGCTACAAGCTTGCGCGCAACACTGGCCTCTCCTTCAACAACTTCTCCTGCAGGTTTGATGTCATCGTCAGCCACACTGGGAGCGGAGCTAGCAGGAGTGCTGGTAGTGCCAATCTCGTAAGGTGTCGAAGAGTCATCAGAAGGCTCGTCAGTGGTGTCAGAGGAATCGTCATCCTCAACGGCAACAGCTCCGCCATCGTATTGCGCAAAGTGCTTCTTCAGCTCGCCAACGGTAGGGCAGTCGGTGAAAAGAGATGAGGAAATGTCCATGTCAAGGTCCTCACGGAACCTCGCAGAAATAGTCAAAGACAGCAGCGAGTCGACCCCAAGGTTCTCGAAAGCAGCATCATTGACTAGCTCGGACATGTCTACATCAATTTCCTCAGCAACGATCTTCATGACTTTGGACGTTACGCCAGCGCTGGTAGCCTTGGCGACCTTGGCTGGCTTAACGGCCTTCCCTGGCGCCTTTGCAACGGCCTTCGTAGCCTTGACTGGGGCGACCTGGACCTTCTTCACGGGTGCAGCCGGAAGTGCCTTGGGAATCAGCTTAGCGACTGGCGTAGTGGCAGCACCGCCGCTGGATTTACCCGCAGGTGGCATCATGATGTTCAATGCGCGGCGGGGAATGTTCTGGAACTTCAAGCCCGTGACCACACCAATGATCTCCTTGTCCTCGAAGATGTAAACATCGCCGACAGAGATGTTGCCTGGAGCAGGCTGCATGCGCACATATGAGCGGTACTTCTTCTCAGGCGAGAGCTTCTTCGAGATCTTGACAGACCCCCAACCATGAGAGATGTAGACCGAGTTCTCCGAGTCGAGGTGATCAGAAGCGTTGACGATGAAGCCAGAGAGATGACACAAACTATCGATCCAGTACGGTGAGCACAAGAAGTTTCCATCCGCGGCAGTAGTTTGGAACTGTACTTGGGCAGTGGCTTCAGTCTGCTTGCCATCGAGAATGACCTCCTCCATACCGCGGTAGTTGTCGGCATAGGTCACAAGTGCCTTGAAGAGCTTGTATGCCATGCCGCGGAGGACCTTGTGAGCGGCGCCGGTCTCGAGCTTCATTTGGAGCATATCAATTTGGCTCTGCACCATGTACTGGATGCGGCTCCACTCCTCCTTCCAGGCAACGATGTCCTCGTACATGACGACACCAACTGCATGCTCAGCATAAACCTTGGATCCGTCGGCGGTGACAGTGCGGAACTTGATGTCGACCTGGTTAAGCTCGAGATCTGCAGTTGCCTCTACCTGCAAGTGCTGGCCACCTGCAGGAGGAGGATACTGCGGAATCAGAGTCTTGGTAACCTCCATGGCGCGGACATTGAGACCGGGAGTGGTCATTCCGGGACGCAGCTGTTGGTATAGGTAGTCGGCCACAGTCATGCACTGGTCGGCATAAAGTGAAGACGGCGTCAGGGGTGTTCCATTAACCTGATGGCCAGTGATCGTTGCCTTCAACTGGGGATCTGAGAGATCCGATTGAACAACAATAGTACCAGAGTTGGCGTGCAGCTCTTCGCGAATGATCTTGTGACATGATGTCGTCTTGAGCTTGGACTCAATCTCGATTGGAGCTTGCTCAATGGCCTTGACAGGGGAACCCTCAAGAACTTCGCCCTTGGTGAGAGTCCAATTGTTGTGGTAGTCCAGCCAGTACTTCTTGCTGTCGAAGGCGTAAGTCGGCAGAGTATACATCTCATGCGCATCATTGAAAAGTCTGTGGAATTCGTTGAAATCGATGTAGACACCAGCCAGGAACAGCGTGGCAACGGCGTTGCTAAGTGTCTTCCAAGAATCCTCGTTTCGGCGAAGAGAGGTAGCTGTAACTGGAGCCCCGCTAAGGGTAGACTTGACCATGCCACTGCAGACTGGGTGAGCGCCGACCTCAAGCCAAGCGGTCTTCGCATCGAAAAGCTTCTCATCCTGGCCAGCAGAAAGAGCAGTCCAGAAGTTGACAGTCTCACGAGCGTGACGGGCAAGGTAGTCGGGACCAATGATGCCGGCCTCATGGATGACTTCACCAGTCAAGGGCGACATGACTGGAATGCTAGGCTTGCTGAAGATGACTGAAGATGCAACAGCCTTGAACTTCTCAACAATAGGCTCAACTTGAGCAGAGTGAAAAGCGAATGGTACATTCAACTTGGTAGCCTTGAAGCCCTTGCTTGAGAGGAGCTCACTAGTAGAGTGAACGATCTCGACTGTACCGCAAAGTACAGTATCCTCAGGACCGTTAATGCAAGCAATCTCAGTCATCTTGTCGACTAAGGCAGCCTTGATAGAATCGGCACTGCCCTTGACTGCAAGCATGCCATGAGTATTAGCTGTACATTCCTGTACTAGAAGTTCTGCGCGTCTGCCGACAAGGAGGACCATATCGCTAGCAGAGATTACGCCCGCAACGTGCAGCGCAGCGTACTCGCCGAGGCTGTGGCCAACGACTGAAGTGGGGACAATACCCCAGGATGCCCACATGCGTGCCAATGCGACCTGGATGCACGACATACCGAGCTGAACAACGACTGGGGACAAAGTAGTGACATCTTCACCGGTGAGTAGTGGCAAGAAAGACGGCATGGCATGCAGGCGTGCGAGGTTGTCGAGCTCGTCAATATCGGCCTTGAATGTGTCCAATTCTTCGTATAATTTCTGGCCAAGCCCGGTGTACTGAGAGCCCTGCCCTGTGAAGGTGAAGGCGGTCTTAGTCGGCACCATTGGCAGTGGGCTGTAGCTGTCTTTCAATTGTGCCTGCAATGCGTCTTTGACCTGTGAGATCTCAGAGACGCAAATAGCAACACGGTAGTTGTGCTGGATGCGACGGGCAGTGGTAGTGTACGCCAAGCTAGGAAGAGTGGTGTCTGGATTCTGATCGAGGAACTCCATGAGGTTGTTGATGTTCTTCTTCAAAGAGGCTATCGATCTAGCAGTGACGGTGACGGTGTGCATGGTGCGCGGGTCAGCTGCCTTTGGTGCTGTTGGCAGTGGTGCGTCCTCAATGATTAAAGAAGTGTTGCCACCAGCAGCCGAGAAGTTGTTCAAGAAAATCTTTCGCTTCTCAGCGCCGTTACGCGGCCAGGCCACCTGCTTGGTCGAGATGTGAACGTTGCGCTGTAGTAGATCCTTTGGGAATGTCTTGTTCATGACACCCTTGATGCCGACATTAGCAGGAATGGCGTCCTTCTTCATCATCATCAACACTTTGACGAGGGAGTTGATACCAGAAGCTGCTTCTCCGTGGCCAATGTTTGCCTTGATTGCACCTAGATGCAGTGTCTCCTCTGGACGACGCTGGCGGTGACGAGGCGCAAAAGCATTAGTCACAGAAGTCATCTCGATACCGTCGCCAGCTTGAGTACCAGTACCGTGCATCTCGACGTAGCTGATTTCATGTGCATCAACACCGGCTTTGGCGAGAACTCTGTTATACAAGAACTCTTGAGCACCAGCGTGGGGATGGGTGATGGAGACGGCCTCAGCACTGTGGTTCGTAGCTGCGCCCAGAATACAACCGAGGATGTTGTCTTTGTCCGCGACAGCATCTTCGTAACGCTTTAGCACGACTGAACCGCATCCATCACCACGGCAGTAACCATCCGCATCATTATCGTAAGTCTTGCAGCCACCAGTCTTGGATAAGAACTGGCCCTTGCTGAGACCTGAGAAAATGTCCGGATTTGTGAGGACGTTCAATCCTCCTGCGCAAGCGGTGTCACAATCACCTGCCCAGAGCGAAGTGCAGGCCAGTTGGATGGCAGCGAGAGAAGATGAGCACGCAGTGTCAATGCTGTATGATGGTCCAGAGAATTTGAAGTAGTAGTTGATACGACCTGGGGCAAATGCGCGCACACCACCGGTGATAAAATATGTATCGATGTTCTCAGCAGCGTTGATCTCACGCCAATCGTCTGAGGTCTGACCGTAGAAAGGTACCGATGCGGTGGAGCTTAGTGGACGGGGTGCGATTGGGGACATAGCCGGACATCTCGAGCGCTTCGTAGGCGGTGGTCAGTGCCAGGCGACCCATGGGATCAGTTTGAGCGGCTTCACGAGGTGACATGTTGAAGAAACGTGGGTCGAATAGGCCAGGCTCGTCAATAAAGCATCCGTAGGGCGTGTGACTTTTGTTCTTTCCCTTTCCAGAAGGATCGCAGTGGGCTTTAGCATCGAAGCGGTCGGCAGGGACCTCGCGGTGGACATCCAAGCCTTTTTCGAGCAGTTCCCAAAGCTTCTCCGGACTAGCTGCACCTGGGAAGCGACCAGACATGCCAACAATGGCAATTTTGTCATTCTGGGTGCGACCACGACTCTCATCAGTGGTGGCGCTCCAGAGCGATTGGTCGCGGACGGAAACGTTAGTCTGTCCACCAGCCTTCAGCGCAGAGACGAGGCTGTTGGCGATATTTGTAACGCCAATTGCCGAGATGGTACATTCTGCGCTGCTGGCTGCGGTCACCTCATTTACGACTTGCTCGAGAAGGCTGTCCCATCGTACAGGCTCGAGTAGAATTTCGCCCAGAGCGATCTGAACCAACTCGAGAGTGTTTGTGGCAGTGTGGCATTTTCCGTGTGTTGCAGAGTGCACCAAAGCCAAGGGGCGGAATTGCTGCAGGTGTCGAGCCGCGTCCTTGTCCAGAATGCGGTCGATGTCGGCCTGACTGTAGATGTGCGGAGCGTGGGTATGGCGCGAAGATAGGGATAGCCACACGAGTGTTGGACTTGAATGACTCGGCTTCCTGGAACAGGCGTTTCGTTGTTGCTGGTGGGCCACTGATGGTTAGAGCCATGACGCTAACTGCGCTAACATAGGCGCGCGCCGAAGCTGGGATTTGTCGATCATTGTGAAACGCAGCAAGAGCAGTCTTCGCATCCTGTTCAGAAATACCAGTCACTATGGTGGACCAGCTTTCTTTTGGGTTTGTGGCGTTTTCAAGCGCATTCTTTGCAGAACCGACGCAGGTACCAGCGCGGAACGCAAGTCGGACGGCTTCGGTAGCTAGCGGTAGAAGCTCACTTAGCGACCGCGCAGATGCAACGACGGACGCCGCGAGCAACCCAGTGCAGAGACCGACAATTCTTGTGTTGGCAAGAATCGGTAGTTCCGAGGGGTTTTCCGCGTAATATCTGGAAGGGTTAGTCAAGCCGTGGAACGATTCAAGGCCCTGAACATACCCAATGTAATGTGCTAATTGAGCGATGGTGACCATGCAGCTTTCCAGTTGAGGTAGCTTTAGACCCTTGCTGTAATATGCTTCGACGAGGTCCCATGTCGTCAGGAAGTCGGGAATATGGTCTCTCTGGGTTCGTGGTAACTTTTGCACCTCATCCCGGATGACGACACTGATCCTATCGAGAAATGTTGTGAGGGCAGCATTGTTCTTCCATGTGCATGCCTTTCGCAGCAAAGCGTACTGGTCCGCCGTCTGGTCTCCGAAGATGAGGAGATTCATGGCTACGGTGGTAATATATATGTAGGAGGCAGAGAAAGCTCTAAATTGATGCCGTTGATGGCTAAGATTGGGTCACCTAAGGCAGGCTGACGAAGAACACAGCGATTGATGATGGACTATGCAGATCTAGGCTAAGGACAAAGGTGTTGGGCTTTGTCTTAGTGGCGGGGGCTCCTGTGGAAGGGTGGTTGGTGATAAGCTGCAGGAAGTGACCCAAGGTACTGGAGGAGAAAAGTTTGGGAATGAATGCCCTTGGGGATTGGCGTCGCTCTGTATTTGTAGGGAACCAGAAAGCAATGATAGACATGCGAGGTGGTCAAGGCTTGCATCGCACGATGACAAGCTCAAAGCGCGTGCCGGATCTGTGACAGCCCATGTTCTGCGGAACGATGTACTGCAGCGACATATTGACGTGAGAGTAAAAGTGGCGCGCACTATGTCTGATCCCGGGCTGGTGTAGTCATGGATCCGAGGAGTATGGTGTGCAGAGGCCGAGCGTGTTTCCGAGTAAGCTTCCATGCTATTGATAGATGGCGCATGCTAGGCACGTTGACCGGATACTAAGGTGTCGAGCCAATACGTTACGGATGATAACGAAGATGAGACGTGGAGACCTCAGATGCAATGGCGCTGTCTCAAAGTCGGCTTAACTCGATCGGATCCCCTCTTAGAGGCCGGGTGGATCCCTTGGGTCCGTGTGTTTGCAGTCAATTACAGTTTTTACTAAATTGACGCTTGACATTGACGCCTTGAGTCTGATGTATGATGTTCAGGCTCTCAACGATAGCCAGCTTCTTGGTAGCGATCGCGTTCATGTTGTTACACGAGAAACGCTATCGCGCACCCGAGAGAACGCAACATCAATTCCAGGGTTCACACAAAGTTCCATGTGTTTGATCCTGGAATTTTCGTTTCAGCGTGGTCCTCTGTTGCAGCATTGTTGGGCCACCGATCAGCATAGCCGACGCATGTCAATGAGCCAGAATACCAGAAGTTCCGAACAATATGTCCCCGACGCAGTGATCTCAGTCAGCACTTTTTCCCCAGCACTACTAGCACTGACGGGTCTCTGGGTACCCCACACCGACAGTATATCCGTGATAGTATGTTGAGTGGTGGAGGCTAGTTCAAGGTATGGCTTGGAATTCCCGGAGAATCGACACTCGCCCTGAGATACCATCCAGAGCATATCCATGATCAGCAAAGCACCAGCATGTCGGGTCGACCGATTCCGCCAATGCATGGGCGTGGGTAAGCAAGAACCTCGTTAGTTACGATGTACAGTTGGATACTGCTTCGATTGTCACGAGAACCAACCATCGCCGACGGTGCTGTGGAGGTGGGACGCCGTTGACGGAATATGTCTCTAGACTGACGGATGTTGTACCAGTACAAGCCGATGCTCGATCATACTGTCACCTAGTCGTGTGAAAAGGCTGTTAGATCTTCGCTCTGGATGACATGGCCAGCCTTGCTCATGTTTCCGGCATCCCCCCATTGTCCGAAAGTGTCAACGCCGCTTCGGACGTATAAGAGCCTCTCTCCTGTTCAAGTTCGCTAAGCCTGCGTAATACAGATTACGCTGCTTCTTTAGTCGCTCGGTTGCTGCTCAACTTGTGGTTGAGGCTCAAGTAGGAAACCTCTTCGCTGACTACAGTGGCTGAGTTGAGCGCTGCTGGGACGCTCAGGCAACAACGTATTGATCTATTGCTCCTGAATTATGTCGCGCGAATATACATTGAGCTCCGCAAACATGGTGTCGTTTTTAGGCCGGCTGATGTCGTCTTCGAGGTGGTGGTGAGACGTCGTTCGGCACCCCACCCGAAACCACCGTTGTCAAACACGTGACGGAGCTAAGAGCCCGAAGTTTTGCCCCTTGAATCGCCAAACATCTTCACACGTTTGCCAGCTTACATCCACGACAATAACGCGCCTGATATGGCGCAAGTGAAATTCCAGAGTACATATTCATGAGGCAGCTCTGAGTTGGCCGTCGTTTCTGATCGAGTGTCTGGGCAACGTTCCGGGGTCTGTAATCGTCAAGTGGGGGGCGAGTCAGGTAAGTACACAGGAGTTGAAACATGTTTTAGCGCGAGATGTCCACACGATAGTTCTCGAGATCATTGTTTGAGGGTTGTAATTAGACCATAGCGAACCATATTTGGCAACTAGTAGCGGGATCGATCATCGCTTAGGAGTATTGCGACTGAGGCCTCTTGAAACAGCGTGTTTATTGTTTTGCATTTCTTTCCTTTTGACCTTGGCTAATGTCCAATGGGATTCATTTTGTTTCTGCCGAGCACTCTCAATGCATCGCTTTGCGCCCTCATCTTATGTTCTACGTCGGACGGGCCTGGGAGGACGGCTATTGCATATGCATGATTCGGCCAACACCAGAACTTTGCGGGAATATTATGCACCTACTAGCACGTACGGCTGCATTGGTGAACGCAGAACCGTAACTTCTACAAGGCCAGGGTCATTGAGCAGGCTATTAGATCTCCACCCCTTCCGATCTCGGCTCCTCCATTCTATATCATGCACCGCCTACGAATATGCATACCATGTGATGGATAAGGAAATCACTTGTTGCTGAGATGGATTGTTCCGATACGCTACGGCTGTCAAGATCTCGCACCCCAGGGTGATAGTAAGTTCTGTCTCGCTACCAGAGCACGCTCCTGTATACAACCTCGGTGGGTGTGTAGCGCATGCATGCCACCACTGCATTCCTTGATCAGGGCTCGGTATATGGCGCATTGTTCTACAGGCTATTTAGCATTTTGCAACGAGTGCTTTCTGATTACCTGGACTCCAGCTCCGCAGATGGAGATCGCCGACCCGATGATCGCAAGATCTAGCTCAAGAACCAGTCGGAGGGGATGCATGGGCGGAAATGCCGCTGTCCTGCCGCAAGACGTGTTCAACCACGGTGCCATTACCCGTCCGGTCGAAGCAGGTATCGGAAAGCCACATCGACGCCACCACTCATCGAGCATTGCTACCGTGCAACCGATGTACTACTAGCCACCTGTCATTGGTCATTTGGTAAGTTCCATACGCGACTTTGCAGAACGCTGCCGGTTCAAAAAGAATTATCTGAGTTCAGCGCATCTCTTACATTATATGCCCAAGCCGCCCTATGTTCGCCAAACCGCGAACTGATGTATATTCGAGGGCTGCTATACGTTCGGATCGGCGTAATGCCACGGCACCCAGTTGTCCATACAGTGAGTACATAGGGTATGTGTGTTGCCGAACTTCATTTCGTCATTGACAGTATACTAGAATTCCGCAAGGGCCGCTCATTTTCTCTTAGGGCCGCTCATAGGCTTCCAGTAAGCCACAGTGGCGAGCGGCCCGTGAGCTCTATCTTTGACATGGGGTACAATGGTCCAAATGTATAGCGCGGCAGGGCATGGAGCCATGTTGCTATCCGTTTGCGCCCAGGACTGTTCTATTTGGCGACGCCACCCGAAAAGCTACATGGTCAATATCAGTATTACGTGTAACGATAGCTTCACGCAGTCTATCGAAGGCTTCGAGTCCATATGGGGCGTTACATACCTAGGTAGCTCCTGGATTCCTGATTCACTTGCATATAAGCAGTGGGTGGGCAGTTAATGTACGTGCGCTACAGACGATGGCCCAGGCTAAACATGCAAGATTGCTCTAAATCACTTGGCTACATGTTTACAATCGGAGCTATGGTCGAGTAACGACTTTCGCCCTGCTTCGACAAGCTGCAGGCTCATCTCCACAACTAGTGTCCACGTTTAGACTTGGCTGTGTGAGTACCAAGATTCGATAAGCAATCAGTTTCCGACCGTAACTGTGAGTCTGGAGTCGCTTTTGAATCGCTGTAGGTCTAGATTCCAATTCCTCTCGCATCAATCATTGTGGCTTGCCAACAGATTTACAACACTGTGGCGCCATTTCCCCTCGCCAGGAGAAGCACAGGCCTTGAACTGATCTCGGATCCCGTGGACGGGATCTAACAACACATATCCTTGGCGTCCGTGCCGAACCGTTCCTTACGCGATCTCGCGGCACTGGATCGTGCCCTGAGCGTTAGGTCTATGTTTATTGCAGCGGAGGTACCCACAATTGTTTCTCTGCTTCGTTTCATGCCTATTTCAGGTCATCGATCCGACACTCAGGCGCGGATCCATGTATGATGATATTTCCGTGGCCTCTATGCGTACCATTCTAAGGTTGCAAGTTCGAGACGTGGCTCAATGCGTAATCGTCGCATCAATTGTACCTCCACAAGAGTTGGCAAGTCGAGGCAAGGGGCAAAAAGATGCAACTAGCGTTCTTCTGGTGTGATGGTCTCAGCGCCATTTTCTCGATCCATGACGTCTACGATAAAAATCGCGCATGATTGGACGGGATAATGTAGGGCCGAAGAACTGTTTCGCAATAACTGATGCACAACCGAACACAAACTAACGTTCTGGAGATTCGCGAGCACTCGGCTTGGGTACGCTCAATGAGGAAGTGCAGATTTGCATGCATGCAAGGACGATGAATTTTCGATATCATCAACGATGCAGGATTTTGTCACAAGATGATGATCTAATCACACTCTTTGCCGGGAATCACTGGAGCACAACATCAATCCAAAGGTATTGATTCCAGCAGCGCGTCTTCGGGGTTTATGGGAGCACCTAAGATCCCCACGATCTGTCACTGCTGTTATCATCCCAAACGTGCCGCATGGCAATTGTGTGGGACATTCACTGCGTCTCTGGCCAAGACAATCGAGATATCGTGGCTGACTAACTGCATCATTCGGAAAGTTTTCGAGCAATGCTTCAAGGATATACGGGGTGCACAAAGACATAACGGAAGCGCCCGGCCACACCGCTGCTTTGGGATCGTAGTCCCCATTCGCATGGCCATGCAGACTCGGTATTCCTGAGCAGTCGGTGAGTCTCTCCGCAACCAAGTACTCGGAACCTGCACCATTTCTGTCTCTTAAAGAGCACAACATTATCGTGAAGCTGACCATGATGACGACTCCGGAAAAGACGGACACCACTAAATCGGTTCCAACGTCAGATGCACGTGTGCATAGTCGGCTTTTCGTACCACCCTACTTTCCTTCTACAGTCGGTGCACATGTCTGAATGCCTTGGGGCATTATCGTACTGTAGCGACCTGACATATAGCGGCTCCCACCTGATCCAGATGATCTTGTACGACATGCCGGTTACACTTTCAGCAGGCAATTGACACGACCATGGTGTTGATTGGGGAAACAGGGTTCCGAGGAATCAAGACACGTGAAAACTGTGTACTACTCACAGCCACGCACAGTCACACAAGCCACGTTTAGTCAACGCATCAGATCTCGTAGTGCATATTTAGGCAACCTAGTCCATTACACGACTTCAACGCGGTAGTTGCAGGAGCGTGACATCGGGATTCTGACAGCGGCTGGCCGCTATCTCCGTCGTGCTGGGCTACCGTGTCCCTTTCACATCCTCGGAGATTGATGCAGGGTCTTCCGCCTCGTAAATGCAGCCCAGGTACTGCTGTTCCACGGCTAAACTCTTGGTGGGCAACTTTCGGAGATCGCGTCTAAAGGTGTGAAGTGTGAGATCCTGGTGTCGAGAAGTCCGTCCGGAAGCCTCACCCGGTCTGACACGGGAGCGATAACGACGCGAAGTGGAAGAACGGGCATGCCTATCTATGAATGCGCGAGGTCAGAATACCAAAGTATAGAGTACCTGCTCGAGCCTAATATCACGTTACTTTTCTTAGCACCTTGCTCGTGTTTTGTCATGATAATGGCCTTTTGATATGACATGATTGAACAAGGATGAATGCGCTTCGTCAAAAGCGAAGGTTGGCACTTGGGTTTGCCGCCTTGCAGACAGTGGCACGGCATATTCAACTTGTAGGCCTGACATTAAAAGTAGTGCATGTAAGCGCTGCACCGGTCTTTTATCCTCGTGTGCGGGAAGCCATATGGCATCTTCCGGGAACTGTGGTACAGGTAATATAAGTGTCGGTTACAAATGTAAGCTCAGCAGGGTACACAAAGAGTTAGATTACAACATGTATTGGGTGCTCAGAGAAGCCAGGGTCGAGCCCTCCACCGTACATCTGAAAACAACGCATATAGAGACACTGACTGTGGGATGCTTGCTTGACTTCTGTCCCTACCTGTTGGCCCCGGTTGGCAGAAAAATACACAACCTTAGCGGTTCCCAGGGCTCTGGCTGACAGTGTATTCAATGCAATAGTTCCAGGACGCTCCACTTGGTACCATCTTTATCTTGCACAGCCTATTTGACAACGTGGAGTGCACTTCTATATAGCCCTACAACGTGGCAACAGCGTGTCAACAGCGTGGAGTAAGCGAGGGCTGTTGTGACCCTCACGGCACAAGTCCGCCTGTCGCTGAGAATGAGGTTGTGTACTTTATTACGAAGCTGTCATAGATCAAACGTTAGCGAAACATGTCAATTAGAAGAAGCTCTGGACCTTCTTCACAGTCTGTTTGCACAGCTGTGTTTTCACCCATTAGATGCACTGAAAAGTATCTCGAAGATGGCCATCAACACCACCCATTAGCCAAGCACCCGTTGTTAACAAACGGGAGCTCCACTATTGGCTGCTACTTGATTTGGGCAAAACAACGCTGGGCTGTGTAGCTGGCTATTGTTTGGGCGTGAGCTATTCATGGGTGAGGTTCCACTGTCCGTTTTCGACCAAAGGACTTTGTACATTTGCAAATGTAGTTTTGTAGTGTTATTACCAACAAAGCTTATGATGAGCTTATCATGCAATCTGCACTTGTGTATACATTCTGACGGATTCGCCGAAGCCAGCGGCCTGGTACGTAGGTAACTGAGCACAAAAAAAGTCAGGCAGGATTTGAACACAAAACAACTCTCCATAGACTTCATTGCACGCGCCGAGAGTCCTGTGCTTACGCGCTGTGTCAGCGCCTTGGGCAGATTAGCGCCCTCGCAGCCGGCATGCCGGGCGGCTTCAGAGCTGCACGTCAGCATTCTGTGGGGCTGCTTTACGAGTTGAATCTACAACTCTGCATTTATGATATCTCTATTAATGGAATTGTTCAGCTAATTCATACATTAATATGTTGGCCCATATTGTATGATGCTGTGCCTAGGATTCGTGGGTGGACTGCGCATACATGTCTTATTTGCGACCGCAACTTGTGGCTCACGACAACAGGTGTGGCGAGAATGATGAGGATCTTTCCAAAGGCTTTGAGGATGTACTTCATCTGCTGCTAGATCATGATGTAGATCAAGCAAGGTGTGACGAGTTGAAGAGCATGCTAGCCCCGCTTTGGTTCGAAGCGCAATCGTTCTGCACATAATTCGTTCTCTTTACGCCATCAACGCCACCAATACTTAAGTACAGCTACCCTGCATGATCAGCAGAAGAAGTATCTATAATGGACATTTTTGACGTAGTTAAGATTTTAGGTAGGACTTTGTTGAATGGCTCTCTTTTCCATCTCTTATCGCGACACTGTAAAGCATCGGTGGCAGAGCTAACATGTAACACAACACAAAACTAGGCGAGGAAGTTGAATCGGAGCTGGGTAATAAACGAAATGTAATTGCCATGCTGTCTCTGTGCAAGTCTCAGTGACTGCAGTGCTCCTGCGGCGGGATCGCTCGGCAGTGAGCAATAACTCTCCACCCTTGCTGTGAGTAACCCTGCATGGCGGAAGATTCGGCCTGGACGATTACACAGCTCGGAGTATATAATAATGTTTAGCGAGGATACGAAGGAAGATCAGACACCTTGACCGCATTTGTGGATCGATGCCTAAGACTGCCATGCTGATCACCGGCGACCGCCGGGATTGGCCTTCCAATTGGGTTATCAGCTATGTAAGGGCCTGCGGCTCGTGTCGGAACATGACTGTTTACCACATTAGGCGACTTTGACCGCAACGGTCACATTCAGTCCTCTGAAGTTGGATATTACATGCTCAGATGAGTTTTGATAAGACGCCCGGGTCCACGAAGTCAATCCGTGAATATCTTCGAAAACGGCTCTGTCTTTAAAAACGTATGTCCTTACGGGCAAATGCTACCCATCATAGACAGTTCAGTCTAACAATGGTTCACGTTGGTGCTTGTAGCGATAATTAAGCTTCCCTGTAGCGTTAGTCCGGCTCACAATGGACAACCACCAAGGCTATAGCATTTTTAGTTCCACGCCATCACAGACGCAAGAGTTGATCATGGAGGTGGCTTTCGCTTCTGACAAGCGCGCAGGACTCCAAGAACTCCGTTCGCGAGACTCGAAAGATGCAGAGTACATCCATTCGTAACAATGCAGGTCGTAGGTTGATATGTGCATCTCCAGAACATCGAAACTGCAGACTCCGCTCGCCTTGCGCTGTCGACACTAATGTACTCAGGGGAGGCTTTCGTATCCTTGATTGGCTTTCATCTGGTTGTTCGCTTCCCGGCCCGCGCGTAAGAATATCGCAATGAGCCTGAATGTTGCACCATATAATGAGTATTGAGGATTCAAAGCGGTCTTTCAAGACTCCTGTGGTCATGACTCTCCTGTTTCTATTCCTACGCGATTGTGAAGCAGCGGATCCAGTCTTTTTGCGTTTCAGGAACATGAAACGATAGTCCAATAAAAGACCACCGTGTTTCCAGCTTTGCGGGGTTAAATGCGGTTCGCGAGTTCAACCGGCTGGCGGAAATGTGGGGGCGGATGAAACTAGGCCACACTGCATGTCAAGGCAACGGCGTGTTCCCAAAGCCGAAATTTTGCTTGCAACGATACTTACCGCAACTCGAGCCTCTATTGCCCACCTATGGGTACCACTCGGCGACGAACTTTCCACATGGGATTCTGTTCTAGCGTTGAAAAAGCCGGCGTTGTGCGGCGCACAGGCGATGAACCCTGTTGAGCGAGTCAGTACCCAGGCTCCGTAGTGATCGGCGCTCCGCGAACGTGGGGTTCCCAGATTCGATCCTTCGTCCACAGCTCACAACACTTAGGCTTCCAAATCCAAGAAATGGCGCTCTGCTGTGGAGCGACGACGATCCTTCGTCTGCCACAGGTCTCAGGCAGCCTCAAAGTTACCCCCGACGTATCAGCTGCAGCTGAGCTGCTAAAGCAGTTGTGGACCCCATTTTCGTTTACATCATGAGAGCTTTCGGAAAACGGAAGTGCAGATTACACGTAGACTGAATAGCGCATTTCCCAAGGCCTTAGCCCCCAGTGGTGCCCGCGACGGTAAAGTCTTGAATACCATCTCATCATAGGAGGCATTTCCTTCTGTTCAGCTAGCATGGTAGCTACCGAGGTGGTTTAGAAGTTCGATGATAAGCATGTGGCGGCTGGGACAGGGCGTCGCCGACTGCTCTTTGGTGGTCGATGAATGGTATCGAAGTCGATACCGTTGACTTAATCTCGCATTGCAGCCGACCACCTAATCATGAGTGTCACCATGTGTGCAACAGCGAATGCAAACTATAGCACTGGTGGCATGTGCATATGCTACTGGCAGTACAACCATGGTTGCTGATGAAGCGGTAATGGACGATAAGCAGGTCGGCATCTCTATCACGTGGTGTATGACAGAATCACGTGCTCACAGACAGGGGGCATGGCGCTAAAAGGCTTAATATTGACCTGCGCTGATCTTAGCCTGCGATAATTATAGATGGCGCAACATCGCGCGAATGACGCAGTCCGCACACCGTTCGAAACACAACTGAGAAGATGGCTCACTATGGTATGGGACATGATAACGATGGAAATCGTAGACATAATCGCGCTGGAGGTACTTAAGTGCCTAAGTTTTCTTGAGGTTACCTCATGAGACGATTACTGCGTTGGCGCGAACCTTGCGAGAGACCCATACACCATTAGCAATAACGACGGTTCAAGACAGCGGTACGGAAGAGAAGCTTCGTCTACGAGAGCCGTCCGATCCGATGGTACATCAAGGAGTAGCAGAGACAATTACGCTCTGAAACATGCAGAGATGCCTCGCCAGTATCACTTCTTGGCAGCTGTATCCACGACTCAGCCGCGAGATGCTGAGATTCGCCCGGGCCCATACATGTTCATCACTGCCTACAAGAGCGCTAGGCGTGAGATCCGAGTCGTTTCCACCGCAATAACGTTGGAATGGTAACGGCGTGGGAGTGGCGAATGAGCGAGGAGATGGAAGAGCTTGCGTAGTCTACGTAAGTACCTAAGCGGTCCAAAAAGACAAGCGCCAAAAGTATAGCAGTAAAGTTATCGTATTGTTAAATACATTACGGGTGTACGGCTTCGCTGTCTTTTACCAGGGGCGCGCCGACGCGCATGAGGGTTCGGTTCGCGGTCTTGGTGGCTGATGCGGGCTGCGCGGGCTGCGCTTGTAACCCCGGTTCAGCACGAACCCTCCTCCACCACCTACCAGCCTGCGGTGCAGATCTCAAGATGCATCCCTGTCCTTCCTGAGTCTTATCATCAACGCTGTGCAGCGTCCCCTTGTCGCCCAAAGAAGCTGTGAGGCTAACTGGCTTGAGCCCGACCCGCCCGGACGCCTGGTGCGCTGCATGTAACTGCGATGCACTAGCTCGTGGCTCTGATGCAGCTGGGTTCCTCGCAATTGATGAATACATCGCTGCTAAGATGCATAATCAACGCTCCCAGTTGGGAAACGCACGTCCGTCGAATCCACCTGGATACTCCAGATACCCACTGGTTCTCGTGGTCGTGTTGAGAAATCTTCACCAACGCTGAACCATACATGCTCCTCGTCTTCCTTTCCCTCTTCTGTCGCCTTCTTGTTGCTACACTCAGGTGTACTGACTGGCCTGTCGGCATCGCTGTGCTACTGTGCCAACTCCTGTTTTGTTCACTTCCCAGCAGCACCTCGATCTGACGCCACCACAGACAACTTCAGTCGTGTTTCTGACATTCCCGGCAGACTACGTCTTAGACTCGACCTGACGTTGACTGTTTTCTCCGTTAGCCCCATACCGGTATTGCTGGCCGCCTTAGCTCGACCGCTCGTGAGATCAACAGAAAGCAGAACGTTATTTCGAACCACTTAAGAACTGATATTGTCTCCGCCCACTCCAATCGAGTAATCCAGCTGTGTCGCTGCGCCATTTCAACGCTTTCTCAATCGTTGTTCCTTCCTCCTCCAGCGACCCTTTCCCATCTTTATGAACGGAAAGCTCGGTACGCGCTAAAGGGTTATTGCCAGCTCATTGAAGCTGACCGATTTGATTGCGGTCGTCATCTTCCTCTCGTAACCCCCCACAATCGGGTTTGCTTCTCATCTTTTCTTCCATCTTTAATCCACAATGGTGTTCTGCACATATTGCGGGTCCTCCTTCACGAGAGACGAGCATCTAGAGAGGCACATCTTGACTCGTAAGTGATCCCCACGTCCTCACCACTCTTGGTTTACAGCGACTTCATCAAGTCGTGTCTGGCGTACGCGTTCGTTTGCTAATATTTTGGTCCGAAAAGATACCAACATTAAGCCTTTCAAATGTTATACCTGCCACATGAGCTTCGCTCGACGGTAAGCAAGGCCATTTCATCTCCCCTCTCTTCGGTCTCTTTCGTAATCGTGCAAGCTGACATGCTTGTAGCGACCTCTTGCAACGCCACTACACCGTACACGGCCGCAACCAGAACAACGAAGAGGGCGTGCAAATCCAAGGCATGATACCGAAGTCGGCTGGCCGAACACCCATCGCATGCAGCAACTGCGCAAAGACAAAGACAAAGTGTGACAAGAAGTTCCCATGCACTCGATGCGCGCAAAGGAATCTGACATGCACACTGCGTCCCACTCGCCGCGCGTCCAAGGGCATGCAAAGAGCTGCCAGTCCAACCGCAGGTGGTCCTGGAAGCGAGCATTCGAGTCAATCGGGTCCTTCGGCTGCAAATTCACCAGCCCATGACGCTCAACCTCATCAAGCGACGCAACTTCCTCCGCATGTCCCAGGTGGTCCAGACAGATCTCAGTCGTCTTCCGTTACACACTCGAGAAATCAATCCGTATCGCAGCCAGTGCAGCCAATCTCGAACCCGAACCCCGAAGAGAGACCTCTTCAGATACCGCTCCCGAACACTCCGACATTCTTCGAGCAACCTGTGCCTCACCACTCAGCACAAGTATCGGCCAATGGTATGAACGGATTCGTTGCTTCGACACCTATGTCTGGCTACGACGATTTTGTTCAAACTGTACAAGATCACCCCGAGAACGAACCCAATCCACAATTCATGATGGATCCTTGGACCACGATGGCGATGGGCAACGAGTTTGACCCGATGCGAATCGACCCTCAGCTGATGATGTCCATGAACATGGATATGAGCATAGGACCACCATCAGACGCAATTCTTGGCATGATGCCTGAAATGTCCCCAACGCAACCTTTTGGGCCTGTGCAGACACCACTTCAGACCCCACAGATGGACGAGTCTTTCTCCGACCTGCAGATAGGAAGCTCCGCAGCCATGTTCTACCCATCCAACAGGCATTCATCGATTGCTGATGCCGGCATCCCTGACCTTGGTGCTATTGTTGCAGCCCAAGATGGCTGGACAGTCTTCCGCTGTACGCCATCAATACCCTCCAGCTCTTGTCCGCGCACTGCAAAGCTCAACTTGGAGCGCCTAGAGTTGAGCCTCCGGAATCATGAGGGCTGGAGCAACTGGACTCCATCATGGGACGAGTCAGACTTCCAGCAGGGCGGCCAAGTAGCAGTATCGAAGCTTGGCGAAGCTGCACGAGATAAGCTTCTTGCGATCACCCAGAGCTTCCTGCACAAGGCACTGGACATCCACAAAGATGGCAGTAGCTCTGCTAGTAGTGGAGAATCGCCAGGATCAATCGCTTCCGGCACGAATTTTATCCTTCTGCCGCCCGGTCGTGTTCTGGAGTTCTTCCTGCAGTCATATGCAAACTCTTTCGAACGCTACTACCCAACTTCAGCACGTGGTGTGCTGGATGCAAACGAGCTCATGAAAAACTATAACGACAAAGCATCGAGTTTGTTGATTCTGATGATGATAGCTCAGGGTGCCATGAACATTCCATCTGTCGAAGCGCGCTGGTTGACTGGTGGCCTCACCGAAGCTTGTCGCATCTCGCTTTTCGACCTCATCGAGAAGAACATCATCATGGCTAGTGATCCCATCGTACTGCGGGCAGCTCTCCTGTTTACTGTGCAGGCGGGATGGAGCGGCGACAAGTGGCAAATGGACATAGCCATGGGCCAGCGGGGAATGTATTTTGCAATGCTTCGACATTCCGGTATCTTGGAAACACGGCCAGTGGTTCCGGTGCCGCATATGAACGGCAATACGACGACAGACATGTTGTGGCAAGACTGGATACAGCGAGAAAGCCGTAGTCGGTAAGTGGTGAAAACTTTGCCCGACGTCACGTGGCCGTCACTAACACAGTGTAGCCTCATCTACTCTTGGGTCATGGTCGACCAAGACTTGTCTTTGTTCCACGATACTAATCCCCTTTTCTCGGTAACGGAGTTTGGTGCTCCTATGCCAGATGCGGATATACTCTGGCAGGCGCGGACAGCGGCCGAGTGGTCAGAAACGTTCAACCAGGTCCATGCGTTCTCGAACGGTCACTCCTCGGTAGGATCAGGTGCAAGACCTCTTAGCCTAAGGGAAATTTTCAGGTATTTCCTGGATGATGAAATCGTCATCCAGGACTTGCAGGAGATTCATCTCACTCCCATGCACCTACGTCTCTTATTGCATCCGTTGCAGACCTTGGTGTGCCAGTACTGCCAGCTGCTCAGCTGTTTCTCTGACAGTGTGGCTTCAAGGTCGCGTAACAGGGCGCTGACTGCGGCATCGACTCGGGTGCGACTCGAAGAGGTGCAGGCGCTGCTCGGACGGTGGTTCGACTTAGCGAGGCGGTACATGAAGTGCAACCCGATATGCCCCATGATGCAGGCGAATCTTGTTATGTTCCACCTCATCAGCATGAACGCTGTGACAAACTTCCCGGAGATTGAACGACTTGCGCGACGAGAAGGCTTCGACAGCAACTTCCAGCAGATAATGTGGATGCACAACAAGTGCCTCTCCGACGTTCAGGAGGCCATCGTGCACGCTGGACAAATCCTCCGCTTGGTCCGAGAAATGCCTCGAGGCATTCGTCCGCCATGGTGGGCTGGCGCTGTATATCGCGCTGCACTCGTTATGTGGACCGACTCGCTGGTGCGTAATGAGTCTACAAGTCCACGTCAACAAGGACATTTTCAACCACCCAACGCTACCCTTGCGATAGACCAGCTGACCTCGGACCACCCGATGATCCTCCGATACGTGTCCCGCAAAGAGGGTATCCCAACCCTGACCAAGCGCGATGGAACGATAGTGACGATAGACAACAGCTTTGCAGTACTGTCTCACTGCGTCGATGTCCTTGACGAGGGTGTCGCGACCCGATTCTCGGATGGTATCCGTAATAAGCTCGAGAGGTTAGCACGCGGCTGAGCACTTCCCTCATTACTTTCTTTTTTGTCTTCATTTTGTGAAGTGGATTACAGTGTCTTTCGATGTAAGGACTTTGGTTGTCCACTGCCTGGGTTTCATGTCCATATCTTTCATAGAATATCGTCGTCATGAACATCGACGCTGCATGAGCGAGGGAACGGAAGGGTCTTCGGTGTTGGTATTTCACACGGCGTCGGGTGGCGAAACTTGTCCTGATGGTGTGCTTGGCACTTGCGGATGTCGACTGCACTGCAGTCGCGTAATGTATAGTACATAGACATGATGACCAAAAAGCTTTAGCAGAATGAATGAGCTTTCAGTACGTACCTCAATGAGACGATGATAGTGTTGATGATAAGTGATGAACGGACTTGGTCACAAGCGGGGTGGGTGATGTCCTTCCACTCCGTGTTCCAATGAAACTTGATGGCCGACCGACCTTCAACCAAGGTGGCATAATTTCTCATACTTCTCCCATAGTCAAGTCTTCCATGCGGAGTTCAGCCGGCTGTCAGCAACACTGAGGTTATGGCTTGCTTGGTTTTCTTAGGTGATGAGCACATATGCTATCTCTCCACTCTTCAAGCGTGCCTCTGTCATGCCTGTTCAGTAATTACGTCCGAAGACACATCTTTCTTCCACGCTTGTGTTTCGGATGAGATGGGCATGTGTCGTAGTGATGTTGCTGATTGGTTTCTTCTACGCCTGGAGGCTGATTGCGGGGTCATCAGAGTAGCCTATGTGGTTGCGGTATCGGGCCCTGTGCAAGGGCGGCAACATATAGCGGGGGCGGTCCAATGGTGTAGGTTATTAGACAGGCTACCCATCATAAAGCTGTGTATGTAGAAAGAACTCGTAAGCATGAACACATGAAGAAAAGAGCTTGGAAGTCGAAGGGAAGGTGTATGTGAAGATGTTGATTATCCTTAGCACTTGCAGTGCAGTAGCTACATCGATCAAAAGTCTTCGCTGGAGAATTAAGAGATCCTTCTTCAGAAGAAGACCATGATTTCAATGCACGTACCTCATAGTCTTATCATACATTCGCATCTCCTCCTTCCCGACCGGCACGCATAGCCTTGGTCACACCATACGAGCTCTGCACTACACTTTAGGTTTCGAAACGTACCGTTGATCCCCGACAGACTATGCGGCAGCCGAAGATCGTCATTGTGAGTCAGCCGAATGGTACGTTTAAATACACCACTTGGACTAACTGGAAGTGATTGTGTCTCGAAGCTTCCATCAGAAAAAGTCGTTTCCAAGGCTATTCGCACTTTCTTCTCAGTCGTCGTTGTGGGAACTGCAGTGATACGATGCACCTCCGTTTCGTATCACATGAGAATTGAAGTGCCGAGATAGGCGGCTAGAGTTCAGCCTTCTGATTGTAAAGCTTACGCGTTCCATAGGCCAAGTCTTCAGTGATCCAGACAAACAGCTGTGAGGGAAGGGGAAGCGAATGGGCTATCTTCATGGCAATACTAACATCGTTTGATATAAGATCAAGCCTCAACGCCATGGTATCAGTGGCACTCGAACGCTCTGGATCTCGATGCATGGAGGCTACTGCTCAATCTGATACGAACACGAGGAGAGCTAAGCCTACGGGTGCCCGCACTATATATGGCTTGAGAAAATATGGGCCATCAGAAGAACGATGCGAGCGTTTCTCTAAGGACCGCATCTACTTCCGCAGTCGCCTCAGGACGTAGACACCGACAACGGTGAGTCGGTGACTGTTTTCCACCGTCTACAGCTTATCTTTTGTCTCAAACTAGTAATAGCATCGCTGGAAAGGGCATTCGCACTCTATTCTTATTTTCTGGACGCCTGCAAATTGTAGATCATGCGTGCCAGAAAGCGTTCGTTGAAATTGAGCTTGACTTTCGTCGGACAGTCAACGGGTATGACTAGCCGAAGCGAAGCCCGGATAGACCAGTGGCTGATCCTGACTATGTCACAAAGCTTGAGCAATGTCCGGTTTGGCCAGCCGGGTAGCTCCAATATGCTTCAAGTGAAGACTGACATGGATCATGGCCGGCTTGACTCCCGAAGGCACTAAATCAGTGCAAGGCTCTTCAAAAGAGAATGATCAGCTGTCAGGATGTTCACAACCGAAAAAATCACCCGGTAATCACGACCTTTGCAGCTTCCATATGCAAGGCTCAATGGATCAATGTTCGGTGATTAATGTGCTGGCAAGGCGCTGATGAGTCCTGCTCATTGTGTCCTTGCGTCCTCGAACACATTTCTCACTTGTCTTCTACGGAGACGGAGAATGCACTGAGGGGAAAGCGATGCGCTTCAGGGGTAACTCAATTCCCCACATAGGAGCCTGAGCCTTTCTGATGGATTCCTGGGCTTGATTCCGACTGGGGCTATCAGTTGATGTGCATGCTTATTGCGGTTATGGCGGAGTCCCATTCGATCGTAATCATCCTTCAGTGGTCACTACTTACTCGCCCTGCAGGAAGGGCCGTTTCGTCATCACGCTGATCATTGCCGTTTGACACATGATGCGATCACCTTAAGGCTGGCTGAATCTACTCAATCATGTGCATAGAGCCAAGAGTGATGTGCTTTTGTATTCATGCCGCATCTCGTCCATCGCAGTCCTCACTGGTAAACGACACCCTTCACCGACCGTAAGAAGCCTGTTAGAACTGATTTGATTGGATATTGGTACTATGCAGATCAACGATTCGCAGGTTTCAAGGAATTGCGCATGTCTAGACTTGCGGCAAATTTCACCACAGCACCGGCACACCTCCACCAAGCCATGCAGTTCCCGCGGCTTGCCAACCCATCATACCATGTCATCGTCGCGGCTGCGACACTATAACTACTCGAAAAGGCTAATGAGATAACCTTGTGGCAGCCGCCAACTCACGACACGGCAGTCCGGGTCACAGTCGTAATACTGATGAATTGCAGTGTAGTCGGAGAAAGAGCATCGAGCTGACGGGCAGGACGCGGGCTCTCGACCGCGCTTAAATATATACAGAGTTTGCTCAACGATACAAGCTGACTACATACCAAACGCATCGCGATGCATGGTAGCTAGAATGTTGGCTTCAACTCGAAATCGCAACAGCTTCATCATGAAAATATGGAGCACATGAGACTAAGTGTTGCTTGCTTAGTAGAATCCTTATTGCTCGAAAAGAATATCCATTTAGTCACTTATGATCTGACTCATCAATCCAACTCTCTGCTTCATGAAGGAGTATGAGGATGAGGTGAGGTTGGGATAACGCACAGGCCTTGGAGCGCGGGGAGCCGAAGGAAACAATCATCGATTGCGACAACAACTTCGCCCGAACTCAAAACAAACCATTACCCGGCCGCTGCCGAGCCCCACAAAATTCAGTGCAGAGACATTAGACGGGACACCAAGGCTAGGGATGGGGAGCCATAGTGATGCGACACGTTGACGTATCGTGTAACACGCGAGGGGGAGTAAGGGAAACACAGTCCGGATGACACCTCGACACGCCGCATTATTATACTAGTCACATGACGGTCATCGCAGACGTTGCAGTCGGAAGAGCGGTCGTTCTCACCGCGACACGATGGGATTCTTCAGGCACAGATTCGACATTGCGGGATGCATGATGCTTTCCCGACATAACATTGGACTGCAGCATTGGCTTTCACCACCTGCAGCGATAGTACCAGACACTCACGGTTTACAGCCGAACCCGCGCCTGCACTCATGTTCTCCACAAATCGCAAAGTTTCGACACCTAGAAACGATTAGTTTGTTTGCAGTCGATAAAAAAAGACGAATACTCTCGTGAAACAAATGTATGCCTCACGAGCGAAACTTTGGTGTTGTTCGCCTGAGCCTATTTTGGCCGCAAACCATCCAATCAGAAACAGCCCCTGAGTGTATCGGGCATCGGCCCCTCCCCCCGGACATCTCCTCTGTCGCGACAGAGCACTCGGTGGGTCCTCTACGGGGCTCAGACTACCGAAAGTATGCGGCTCAGGTGTGATGTTTCAGCTCTAAGACCTCACGACTGTCGGAGGAGATGGTATGGACCCGAACCGGAGGCAATTAGTTGGGGGAAATCTATGGATGTTGAGCACTGGCGGCAGTTTGAGAGTAAGGGTACTCCTTCATGAGCTTTGAGTCCGCTGGAGTGCCGGATGGTGAAGGGCTATATATGTGGGAGCCTGCACCTCTGCATTAGTATCATCATCAACACTTTCATCTCATCAACAATAAGACCTTAGAGGCTTCTGCAGAATAATCACCAATACCTTCACACATTTCACTCAAAACACACACACACAATGGCTGCTATCGAGCAAACATGGAGCTTGGAGGGCAAGGTTGCTGTTGTCACTGGCTCAGGTATGCATCTCCAGAAAAGTAAACACCCAGGGGCTCGACTCTAACCACCTACAGGGCGTGGTATTGGAAAGGCGATGGCCATTGAGCTCGCCAAGCGAGGCGCTAAGGTCGCCGTCAACTATGCCAATGCCGTCGAGGGTGCCGAGGCCGTCGTGAAGGAGATCAAGGCATTGGGCAATGGCTCCGATGCCGCCGCATTCAAGGCCAACGTTGGCAACGTCGAGGAGACCGCCAAGTTGATGGACGACGTCGTCGCACACTTCGGCAAGCTCGACATCTGCTGTTCCAACTCCGGTGTCGTTTCCTTCGGTCACTTTGCCGATGTCGAGCCTGAGGAGTTCGACCGCGTCTTCAACATCAACACTCGTGGCCAGTTCTTCGTTGCCAAGGAGGCATACAAGAGGATGGAAGTTGGTGGCAGGATCATCCTCATGGGATCCATCACTGGTCAGGCAAAGGGTGTGCCAAAGCACGCTATCTACTCCGGATCAAAGGGTGCAATTGAGACTTTCACCAGGTGCATGGCTATCGGTATGTTGCATCAAACAGTTGTTATTCCCAATGACATACTAATATGACCTCAGATGCTGGAGAGAAGAAGGTCACCGTCAACTGTGTGGCACCCGGTGGCATCAAGACTGACATGTACCATGCCGTATGCCGCGAGTACATTCCCGGAGGCGACAAGCTCAGCGACGACCAGGTCGACGAGTTCGCCTGCACATGGTCACCTCACAACCGTGTTGGCCAGCCAGTGGACATTGCCCGCGTTGTCTGCTTCCTTGCTTCCAAGGATGGTGACTGGGTCAACGGCAAGGTCATTGGCATTGACGGTGCTGCCTGCATGTAAAGGGTTGCTTGTTAAGATAATTTGCACGATCATGGTGAATTGAGCTATGGGTTGAATATCAAAGCATTATAGGCGTTTTGCTGAGTCGATAAGATGGAATGATAAGTTTTGAAAGAAACACTTTCTTGACATGCTTTGGTCGTGAAGTGCATATTCCAGTATTGAGCTACCCAGAATAAGAATTGTGAACAGACTGGACGAATTATCGGTCAGATGCTGAAGTATTTGCTGAAAGTCCAAGGCAGCTGTCCACAAGCTTGTCCCATTACAATGCATCCCAGCTCCACGGCTCCGGTACTAGCACTGCCCAACAACAAATATACATCACCACTAAGACGTCATATAAAGATTTACATGATGAAAGTGGACCAAAAGCAGTACCTGCTTGAACCACAGTTTCTTAAACAAATGCTTTGAAGGCCCGTCCAACTGTTTCAAGGTCTGTATAACAATCGAAAACAATGTGAAGCACCGCCAGGTTGCTAGTTACGGGAGCTCAAGACATGGCATAAGAACAAATCGATCGCTCGTATGTTAATGAACAGACAGTTAGGAGTCGATGAGGTAGATAAGGGAAAGGACCAGTTTGAGAAAGAAGACCATGGCAGTGTGTTGACCGGGTATGCCAATGTATATGTAAAGTGTACATATCGGACCATGAGCTGGTTATGCGAACACTCCCGTGACATTGATTCCCAATTCCTGCTCAACAGGCGCTCTCCAGACTGCATCCCGTCTCCAAGGCTGAGATCACTGAAGAGAGGCAGATAGGATACTCCTTCCACGCCTCCTCGCCAATATATATCGTGTCACTCTCGATCTCCTCATCCATTCGAGACCGCATGGTAGAGAGTTCAATTGTGCGCGTCTCGGTGTGGAGTGCCTCGTTCGATTCTGGCTAGTTTTAGTTTCGAGCAAAAGACCCGTACTCGAAGACCTCTGGGAGTGACCATTGATTGAGAGCACACTTTTTCTATTTGTTTCGCTTGGTCACCACGTTCGCTCTTTTTGCTTACATGATCAGTTGACACAGGTAACAACTCTTATGGAAACGGAAGATTGCGGAGCTGAGATGAACGACGAAGAAAGGATGGCTCAATCCTGATGGTATTCGTAGACTGTTTCACCTTGACACTATTCAAGATTAGACTCTAGCGGCCTAGACCGCATATCATGGTTCTGAAAGCGCCATTAAGAACGTAGAGGGAATTGAGAAGAAGCCATCTAGTTGATGCACCTGAAGAATCTATAAATGAATATGAACTTGACGTCTCAAAAAGTATGGAAGTGTGGCCAAGGTGCTGTAACGCTGGGCCATCAGCACGTACCCCAGCATGTCAGCTTTAACAAATGAGTATGATCGCTGCGACGAGTGATTCATCAAGTTGCAGCTCCTCCAGTAACTTCTTTTGCCGCTGCCTCTGTAGCTTCTCCTGCAGCTTCCTCTGTAACCTTTTCTGGGTCTACGTTGAGGTCCCAATCGATGCCGCCACCCTTGCCGTAGCGCTGCTCGAGCCACTGGTTGCACTTGGTGAAGTGATGACAGTCAAACTACGTTCAGTCAGTACTTGAGTCCCCCTAGCAAATCCATTCGGACGACTTACGAAACCCCTCGACGCGCTTAGCGGGCTAGGATGCACACTCTTCAAAATGAGATGCTTGTCCACCGGAATGCCCTTGGTCCTGTTCTGCGCAGGCGTGCCCCAGGCCAAGAAAGCAACGCCATTCGTGCGCACTTTGACCACGGTATCAATAACCTTTTGTGTCAGCAGCTCCCAGCCTTTGCCGGAATGTGAGTTTGCTTCGTTCCGACGAACTGTCAGACAGGTGTTCAGGAGCAAGACACCGCGTTCTGCCCATGGGGTAAGCAGGCCGCTCTTGTTTGGCGGTGGCTTGTAGTCTGGGTAGTCGATTTTGAGCGCTTTGTAGATATTCTGGAGAGACGGTGGGGCGGGTGTAGGTGGGCGGATGGAGAAGCATAGGCCATGGGCTTGATTCGGGTTGTGGTAAGGGTCTTGGCCCGTGATGACGACTTTGACAGTGTCGAGAGGCGTATGTCGTGACCTGTTCGACCATGAGTTCTTGTCCATTATATTGGTAAAGTCACGGAGACATACCAAGAGTATACGTCCTTCATAGGCGGATATATGGTCTTTCCACTCTTCAGCTCCTGCTTCAAGAACCTCTTCAGATTGAGGAATTGGGGTGTAAGTAGCACATCTTTGAGATGTGGTAACCAGCTCTCATGGAGTGTCTCGAGCTCCAATTTCAGGAGATCCTTCTGCTCTTCAGTGAGCTTTGCGACCCACGCCTCGCGGTCAAACTTGGCTGCTGCCGCTGCCTTTGAATTTGCAGCTGGTTTGGGTGCACCAAAGAAGGCTGTGATGCTGCCATTCGCTTTTGGCTTCTTGGACGCGTCAGTTGCCGCCTCGCCAGCCTTTCGCTTGAGACTCATTTCTTCTTGAAGCTGGAATTGAAATTTTGGATGGATGTCAGATGAAATGAGAAGGAAAGACCCCAATGGCAATAGAGTACGTCGATGATGTCGTGCAAAAGCGATTAGGGTTGCGGGAGGACGATATATTACATTTCCAGCCCCAGGCGTTCAGTCGCGTCTTAGGTCGCGACGACGGGCCGACTGGTCGAATCTCTCCGGCGTTCCTCGATTGGCTGCGCAGACGTGTCGCACCACGTGACAGCGTGGGCGCGTGGGCGCGTGGACGCTCGGACCCATTACGTCAGTGCAAGCTGGATCCTACATCTCCTCCTTTGCAAGGATGCGAACAGGTTGACATGAAATGAGAACCGCTGGTGCCATGTACGAGAGCAAATCAGACGCGATGCTGCGATCGATTGGCACGGGACTGCCGTTAGGGTCGCTTGCCCGCAGCTTGCCCCCGTTTTCTGACGTGGTGTTGCCTAGCAGAGCAAACACAAGGTAAAGGTGGAAGGGCTGTATATATAAGAAGATCAGCTTTCGAAATGATTGCCTGTCTTCTTCTTTCTACTGCAATTCACTTCTTCTTGCTGCTCTCACTCCCGCTAACTTGCTTACTCACATAATCCTTCTTCAACAAAATGGCTTCTTCCAACCCTTCCAACTTCGCCAACCTGCCCAAGGATGAGCTCCGCGAGATCGCTGCCAAGGGTGGCCATGCTTCTCACGGTGGCGCTCACACCAGTGACTCGGCCAGCAATGACCATGCCGGTCGCAATGCAGATGGCACCTTCACCAAGGGCTCGAGTGTAGCGAGTGAACTTGGTGCTCAAGGCGGACATGCTTCTCACGGCGGAGGTGTACGTAGCAACTCCAAACTCGTTCAAGTGCGATTCGCTAACAGACCATCAGTCTAACGGCGGTGACAGCCATGCCGGTCGCAACGCAGACGGTACCTTCACGAAGGGCTCTAGCGTTGCAAGCGAACTCGGTGCGCAAGGTGGACATGCTTCTCACGGCGGAGTCTCCCATGGCAGCGATACCCAGGCTGGCCGCAATCCCGACGGTACCTTCACCAAGGGCTCTGATCTGGCCAAGGAGCTTGGGGCTCAGGGGGGACATGCAGCTCATGAGCATCAGACCACGGCTGACGATGGTGTAAGTACGAGCGTGGAGGAGGTGAAAGCCACTGGCTAACAATTCGATAGCGCAACCCTGACGGCACGTTCAAATCGGGTAGCAAGCTCGCCCACGATCTCGGTGTTCAGGGAGGCCATGCTGCTCACCAGCAGTAGAGGCCACTAAACGACCGATGCGGATGACCATCTGCGTACAAAATATGGCAAGATCAATGCCTGAAAGATATAATGTAATGAGATAATGACCCAATGGAAACCATGATCCAAATGCATCACGCCATGTGCAGCTTTCAAGCTGACATTTCACTCTTACAGACACTAGTATTCTCATCTTGCCGCCGCTCGCCAGATTCTCATCCTTTTATTCACCAGCTGATTACTTATGAAGTTGTTTTAAATGCTGAGGCAAACTTTGACGTTGCGCTTTCCGTGGCTGTGTTCAGAGGCCAAAAAGTATCTACTGCGATGACCGCCAATCAAATCTTAGGAGCCTCGTGAGGCTGAACTACCCAAGGCACCGCAAGCGAGTCCGGCCTTCAGCAGCACATGATCAAGTACGGACGAACTTCCTTCCCTTTTCTCCTCATCCCACTGACCGAAAGACATGTACTCACAACTAGACTCCTCGCGCAAGGTAATCCGCGTCCTCAAACTCTTACCTGGCAACTGGAGAGACGATATCGAATGCCACCTATCGGATGTATCACTCTTGGACCAGCCTTGCTACAAAGCACTATCATACGTGTGGGGCGAAGTCCAGCACGCAAAACCCGTCAACGTCAACAACCAGCCTGTGACAGTGACGCAAAACCTGTATGAAGCTCTTCAGCGTATTCGTGAGGAAGAATCAATGGTAACTATCTGGATCGACGCTCTAAGCATCAACCAAGCGGACCTCGACGAACGATGTGAGCAGGTACAGCTCATGAAAGACATTTACACTTCTGCTGAAGAGGTTCTGATATGGCTCGGATACGGTGGCTATCGCCGAGCTCCGGAGACCAAACCAAGAATGTACCATTTTGCAGGCGATGAGATGGACATGACAATTGTGGATGAATACTTCCAGAACAACGACACCAGAGAGGAGAGCGACGACGAAAGAAGCAGCATCGGGGCATTTGTGTATCTCTACCTAAGCGCTGTCAATTTGCACATGCACGAGATGCCATTCTTCACAGTAGATGGCGGCGAGGTGCAGGTCCAACAAAATTGGGTCCAGGCCATGCAAGCTCTCGACATGATCAGCGGTGTGCCTTGGTGGACGAGAATCTGGGTCCTGCAGGAAGTGGTGCTCGCAAACGAAGCAACCATGATCTACGGGTCCATCGCAGCTCCTTGGAAGGTGTCTGCACGCGCTGTAACGAACCGTCTCATCCACGATCAATTTTGCTGCCATGTATTCGTCGACTCCTACCTTAGAGAGACGTTGCCCAGCTTGTCTAGGTTCAGTGGCGTCCAGAGTGAGATTGGATATCTACGGGCTCTTCGGGCAGAGAGAGTACCGCTATCATTGTTGCAGATAATGTCCATGGCTCAAGGAAGAAAGGCAAAAGATCCTCGCGACCAGCTGTACGGGATGATAGGGCTTGTGACAGACTGGTACGGCGAAAAGCCACTGCTCCCTAACTACCGCCTAAGTTTTCGAGATATCATCATGGAGACAACCGTTGCACGGCTTCAAGGCACTAGAAACCTAAATGGGTTGATGGGCTACTCGAGTGATACTCCTGGCCTACCGTCGTGGATCAAACAGGCCAGTAATTCTAACGACTGGAAGATCAAACAATTCGACAGAATCAGTCAAAAGCATCTTTGCCGCGCGGCGGGTCCGACGATGGCAAAGGTCGAGCAAACTGGCGACACTTTAATAGTGGACGCATTCGAAGAAATCGACACAGTTGCATCCGTGGGAGCAGCCATGTCTCAAGAACCCGTCTCTTGGCCCCATATTGTGGAAGTGATCAAAGAATGGCGCTCTATGATCAATGTACACGAGGACGATCGATACATGGGGGCAGGCCAACAATCCTACCAAGAGGCATTCTGGAGAACCCTACTCAACGACTGCATAATGGGTCCAGAAAAAACGGAGAATCAGGGCCAAAATGCCAGTGTAGTTCGAACTAATTTCCGGCGGCTAGAATATTCCGATATCGCAGGTGTATCAGAGGACTGGTGGTATTGGGCCCAGTACATTTCGCCAGGGAGCAAGAACATGCATGACGAGACTGGGATTTCGGAGCGTGCCTTGGACCGCACAAAGATCAGGATGATCAACGAATCTTTCATGATGGCGACCGCTCTACAAACCTTCTTCGTGACGAAAGCTGGCCATATGGGCATAGGTCCAGCATATATATGCCCTGGAGATGCGATTATTCTCATGCTGGGTGGCAGTACGCCGTTCTGTATAAGAAGCAACAGCGCTGATTCTGGCCAGAATGCAACACTAGTTGGAGATGTGTATGTGCATGGCTTGATGGACGGAGAAGGAGTTACGGAGAACTGGCAAGAGAAGATCATACAAATCTCTCTGACATAGGCAAGCTTGGCCGCAACCAGCTAGTGCGGTCTCCATTCGCAATTCCAAAGACCACAGACACGATGCGTCCAAGCTAGATACCTCCTTCACCCGACGATAAATCGCTCTCGAGTCCTTCGTGTTCTCTAGCTTCCACTGCTATTTGTCCTTACTACGAACTACCTCACATACACCAAGGCAAGCTTCCTTCAACATCCGAGCAGCGGCAATCCCCATGTCTGGAAGCACCGAAAACTGCGAGGAATGCTGTTAGTGCGAAGCCGCATGCTAGCGCATCTGTCATCTACCACTATCGGAGTCTACGGAGATCGAAGTGCGTCGATTTAAGCGGATACTTCCGACGCATTTGAGCCGCGTTAGCAGCGTTCCGTACACTTCTCAACCATGCAGAAGGAAAAACCCGGTCGAGGCGCATCACGCGTTCGCTTCCTCAGCACATCCCTAGCACAATGGCGCACGCCACACTGCCCTTTCACCTCGACGCCAACAACCACACGAGCGCAAAGACCCCCACATCGTTCCTCCAAAACGTTATCCTCGAAGTCACAGAGCTGACCACTCTTTCACATCTGGAGTATAGTGCCAGCGCCCAGAACGCTTAGATAGGACAAGGCGTGATAAGCATGCCGCTAGCTTAGCGACGTACCCAATAACGCTCTCCCAGCACGCCTAGGGCCCCGGCGCAAACGAGGAAGCACGGAGGGTCCAGACGTACGGGGAGCCCGAAAATGGGTGAGCACGCCATTTCGTGAGGATATGCGCTTAGCGGGCTGAGGATGAGGATGCGGGAGGTGAATGACTTAAAAAGGTCCTTGCTCGCTGCTGCTGCAAACGGATACTAGGATGTTTTGTGCGACGTTGCGACATACGACTTGATCTTCGCACTGCGCTTTCTTTTCCTGAGGCTTGAACTACAAAATGACGACTAATTTTCATGATGAGAAGCTCGATAGAGAGGCGGAGGTCGATGTCGAGGCTCTGGATTCCGATCAGGATAGCACGACACAGGCGATCAAGGCCCTCGTCCAGGAAGACCATGGCCACGATATCAAGCTGCGCACTATGTCCTGGCAACGCGCCGCATGGCTGCTCGCGGGAGACCAAGTATGTCTTGCCATCATGGCGCAGTCATGGTCATTATCGTACGTCCAAACACCCATCTCTTCTTTCCCACTGCTAACACCTTCACAGCGTCCTCGGCTGGGTCCCTGGCATAATCACCATGCTCGTCGCCGGCGCACTCTTTTACATCACCTCCCTAACGATGCACAAATTCATCATGAAGCATCCCGAGATCCGCGACATCTGCGACTTCGGCTACCACGTCTTCGGCAAATCGAAGATCGCGTACGAATTCACCGCCGTCATGTTGCTCCTCAACAACATCATGCTCATTGGTTTCCACGTCCTGACGGGCGCCAAGGTGCTCAACACGCTGTCGGACCACTCCATGTGCACGGTGGCGTTTAGCGTTATCGTTACTGTCATGGGCGTGGTGATGAGTTTGCCTAGGACGCTGAATCATGTGAGCTTCATGAGTATGTTCAGTGCTGCGTGTATGGGTATTGCGATTCTGCTGTTCCTTGTCTTCGCTGGGATCGAGGACAATCCGCTGTACGGCTACAATGGCGTTTTCCCCAAGGAGCGGGACCGGTCAAGACGTATGCGTTTCCGCTCGATGGGAACGACGTTTGTGGCTGTCATGAATGCGGTTCTCAACATTACGTTCCTTTGGGTTCCGCAAATTTTGTTCCCGACCTTCATTTCGGAGATGGAGAGGCCTCAGGATTTTCCCAAAGCGTTGGCAGTACTCGGTGGTATCTCAGCAGTCTTGTTCATCATCCCGCCAGCGATTGGATTCCGGTATCTCGGACAGTATGCGACTGCTCCAGCATTCGGCAGCTTGGGTCCAGTCGTTTACAAGAAGGCTTCGTTTGCATTCGTCATTGTTCCTACGCTGGTCATCGGAGTCATCTACGCCAACGTCAGTGCCAAGTTCGTGTACAACCGCATCATGGGCAAGAGCAGGCACGCGCACAGCAACACAGTTGTCGGATGGGGAGTGTGGATCGCCGTCATGGCTATCATCTGGACTATCGGCTTCATCTTCGCCGAGGTTATTCCTTCGATGGGTGACTTTCTGTCGCTACTTGGGGCGGCTTTTGACTCGTTCTTCGGCTTCATCTACTTTGCCATTGCCTACTGGCAACTGTACAAGGGCAACTTGTTCCGCGGGGCTAGCAGAAGCGTGATGACTGTCATTCACATCTTTGTAATGTTTTGCGGCTTGTTCCTGCTTGGGCCCGGGTTGTATGCTGCTGTTGAGGCGATTATCGATGACTATGCTGGTGCAGTCAAGCCAGCGTTTAGTTGCGCAAACGTTGCGATATAGACGGTCACTGATGTGACCAATATGTTCGAATGAATTTCATTACTACCCTTGCACAATGCCGTGTTCATATAATGCTCAGATGGCCGTGAGACTCTTTGAGCGAATATGAAAATACTTGCTCAGTTGGCTTCGCCGAAATCGGTGTGCCCAGTTTCCTCGGCATGCTTTACAGCGCCCCGCTCACCGGCGCCTTGCCAGCCGCATGTGTTGCACTTGATATCGAACTTTTGTGTGTCGGTGAAGTAGTGTTGCTTCTTAAGCTCGCCACACAATTGCCGAGCTGCTTCCAACATCACGTCATCCTCGGTATCGAACAGCTTGATGTCATTCTCTGGATCATAGGTTGACGATCCACCCGGAACAAAAGCGATCGTATCGTAGTGGATACCCGAGTAGACAAGGATGCAGCGCTTCTTCTTGCCTTCATTGAAGCGGTCCACTCGCAAGTCCTGCACGTTGATGCTGGCAATCTCAATGTCGAACTCCTGTGACAGAATGCTCAGCTCGATGCCACCACCCCAAGAGTCTGAGTATGATATCCACTTGCAGTAATCGTCTGGCGAGCGCTGCAGGACCGCTTCGTTGTACATGTCCGGATCCCGTTGAATGGCTTGCGCTACAAGAGACCTCAGCTCTGTCATGGAGTCGAGTGTGTCGGTAAGCACAGCGCTGCCAAGAGCTCGAAACATGCAGGAGTTGTCATCAGGCATGACCCGCAACACCATGGTACCGCCGCGATCTGGCACAGGGACCTCGGGGGTGTCTTTGAGCGCAGAGGCTTGTTTCCGCTTCAGTGATAGGGGCGCGGACTGTGATTGTTGTTGCGCCTGAGCCTTCTTCTTCGGCCTTCTTCTCGCTAGGGTCTCCTGTTGCTATCGCAATGACGATGATTTGCGCACCATTAAGCTTCAGATCGGTGTCTTTGAGTAGTGTTGACAAGCCATAGAGCGCGGGGTCGAGCGGCTGGGGTGGAAAGTTCCACTTGAGTTCGAAGAGCGGTAGGCCCGTGGCATCGGAGATGGATGAAAGCAGGTCAGACACGGCGGCGTTGTCGTCGAGGGAGAGGGTGTGCTGGCCGTTGGGCGCGCGTAGTCGTATGCGGATGGGCATTATCGTGGTGTTGGCTGCGATGGCTGCGATGCAGTTGATGAGAACGAGGGCGCCTGCCGACGAAGTTGTTGATCGCGGGGAGTGAGAATGGTGGGGTTATGGCGTAAGGACGAGGACGGGGCGGTGGAGAAAGCGAGGAAGCTGCGGCTAGACGAAGTGAGTTGTTAGATGAGGGGCTTCACGTGAGAAGGCAAGTACAGAAGGTGGGTAGAGTATGGTGCAAAGTTGTAGATTGGTTAGTCTATCGAAAGCATACAGGGGCGACTTATGGCGTGGACAATTATTGGAGTGACTATCGTAGGTGAATGTTCCCGAAGCATTGAGAGCGAATGCGGACTCCCGAGAGTTGCGGCAGGGATCGGCAGCACTTTTCGCCGTCCGCCGGCGCAGGGGCCAGTCGCGACTTCCAATTCACGACGCGACAGCTCCAGCATCGCGCCGCGCGCACTATCCGCATCACCATCCAGAAAACACCAACGGCCTACCAGCACGATGGCATCTGGACGTGCGACAAGCCAAACGCCGGTCCCGACCACCGAGACCGCTGAGTCGGCCGGCGCATCGTCCACCGTCTCTGCGGCAGAATGGGAGGGCATGTCTAGCTTGCTGAAGAATGTGTACGACTACAGAGATGCAGAGTCAGTCCCAATAGTATCTTGTTGCATTGTTACGCATACTGACGTCCATGCAGTGGCTACGACCCCACCAAACTGTTCCAGCGCAAGGTCAACAAACGCGCGGTGCCCGACTACTACGATATCATCAAGGAGCCCATGGCCTTGAGCACAATCAAGGCAAAAGTTGCTCAGAAGGAGTACAAAACCACCGCCGAGTTTGTGCGCGATCTTGCACTCATTCCGCATAATGCGCAGGTCTACAACAGGCAGGATTCACAGGCATACGTCGATGCGCTCGACGTCAAGAAAGTCATCTTGCAAGAGCTGCAGCGACTAGTGGACGAAAAGATCATTCCGCAGTCTGTCGCAACGTTGCCATACCTTGGCGAGATTCCAGAGCAAGACCCATTGTTACCAGAGGAGGAGGAAGAGGACGACGAGGAGGAAGATGAGGAGGAACTTGAAGTTGATGAAGAAGAGGACGACGAAGAGGAAGACGAAGGCAAGCGCAAGCGAAGGCGAGGCGCACGGTCTACAGCAGCGATCAGCAAACGCGAGGGCAGGGAGAGAGCGAAGGCCGACGAGAAGGCCGATGACCCAGAGTCAAGGAAGAAGCGCGGACGACCCCCGCGTGTCGACACGCCGATGGAAGCCCGCATCAAGACGATCATGAAGGGCATTCGCAAGCCTAGGAATAAAGCGAATAAACTCATGGTCAGCGCGTTCGAGCGTGTGCCGGACAAGGCCGTCATGCCTGAGTACCATGCGGAGATCAAGAACCCGATGGCCATGGACATCTTGAAGCGGAAGTTGAAAAGGAAGAAGTACAACTCTGTGGACCACTTCATGGTCGATGTCGAGCTTATGTTTGAAAACGCAAAGCAATACAACGAGGAGGAGAGCCAGATCTACCAAGATGCAGTCCATCTGCAGAAGGAGGCCCGGAAGATTGCCAAAGCCGAGAAAGAGAAGCCCGACACCGACTTCGTCATGGAGGAAGGCCGCATACCCATGCCCAACGGTATCCTGCACAACGGCGAACTTTGGAAGGTTGGCGACTGGGTCCACATTCAAAACGCAAACGACCTCACGAAGCCCATTGTTGCTCAGATATATCGTACGTGGCAAGATGCGGACGGTGGAAAGTGGGTGAACGCATGTTGGTACTACCGACCTGAGCAAACAGTGCATCGCTTCGATCGGCATTTTCTGGAGAACGAGGTAGTCAAGACAGGCCAGTATCGGGACCATCGTATTGACGAGGTTGTGGATCGATGTTTCGTCATGTTCGTGACGAGGTACAACAAGGGCCGGCCACGCGACTTCCCTCAAGACAAAGAGATCTACGTGTGCGAAGCGCGCTACAACGAGGAAAACCACAAGCTCAACAAGATCAAGACGTGGGCTAGTTGCTTGCCCGATGAGGTGCGAGACAAGGACTACGTTATGGATCTATTCGATGCGCCACGGAAGCTGAAGAAGAACCCAAGCCCGATCGCGTACATGCTCAAAGATGACCAAAAGGAGGACGACGACCTTCCCAAGCCCGAGTGGGGTGCTGAGAATGCGCCTCCCAAGATTGGCGCTGTTCATCGAAGGCCTCGCGATCCCAAGGTAAGGCTTTTCCTCTGTCATAAAATGTCCAAAGCTAATCTACTCTTAGGACTCTCCACCACCAGAGCCCACGCCTCCTCCGCCACCAACACCTCCACCGGCGCCCGCACTTCCCACGCCTACTCTGCCCACTGCTTCCTCGCACGAGTTTCGAATCATCTCGGAATTATCCCATTGCGCAGGCACCAGCAATCTCACCCAATGCCTGCTCCTACACCTCAGCAACATCATGCGTCGGTAGCCTATACACCCTCACATCAATCCCAGTATCTCTCTCACTCCCAATCACCTGCCCCGCACGCGCATCAGCAATCAGCCCCAGGCGCCTGCGTACCAGGCCATCACGCCACATGTGCCCTTCACCCCACAACCTGCCGCATCTATGCAGTCATATCAGACCCCACGTCCAGTGCCGGGGTACCAGCAGCCATACACCCAGCAACCACCCAGCGGCTACAAGGTCCCTCAAGCAGTTGAAGTGTTTGTACTCAGTGACCACGCCAACCTCAGCATACCGCAAGAGGTTCGCGAGCAGTTCCAGCGCGATGAGAAAGGTCGAGTACTTTTCTTCACCGCACCGCCACTCAATGTCGAACCACCTCTTACGAAGGAGGGCCGAGCGCTAGGCCATTCTGTCCGGTATCTCGCTGCCAAAGCTAAGAAAGACGCAATGAGGGCTGCCAAGCGGAAGGCGGGAGAGGCCGGTGCTATTGAGCGCGAACAGGCTGCGAAGAAGGCGAAGACAGACGAGGAAGAGAACTTCAAGCGTGCTGTATCTGAGCTTGGATTGAAGGCGCTGAAGGCACTCGAAGATCAACTCGCAGCTGCTACAAAGGCGGAGCTCGAGGCTTCCTTCAACGGCAAGACGAAAGAGGGATTGGCCCACGTTCTGGATCAGCTTACCGAAGCTCAGAAGCATGCCGTCCAGCGGAAAATGGAGCGTGAGCTACATGTCCTCGAGCGTGAGGCAGCGAAGAGGACGACTGTAACGGGTATGACTGCCAGGCTGGAGGAGAAGATTTGAGTAACATTCATGTCCGTTCGGTATCTGGCGTTAGCAGTTTTGGGGGGGAACATGCTTGTTTTCGATTGGACCTAGCATCCCAGGCATGCTATCTTAAGTTTTTTTGTTGTGGACTAGCCGTGATGCTGCTACATGATCAGGTTGTCCCCGCTTCAGCTGACTCACTAGGCGTGGCATTCTAGCACTTCCAAATCCAGGAGATCGAGTCTTTGATTTGAGGCTGTGGCTAGTAGTAAATCTATTTTCACTGTGCCTAAACTCTCTCCACGCACATGTCCTGCTCGTGTATCAATGAAATCTTACTTCCTTTCCTATAACTTCCATCTATTCCATCGCGGTTTGTATGGCTGATGATAAGGGCTGTACCACTACAACAGTTGATGTTCTCAACAGTCACCTTTGCCCTAGGCGGATCGCACGGAACCCTGGAGGAGCTGGAACTTTTGCAAACTCGGTATGAAATCGTCAGGGATGTCGCAGATTGAAATGAAAAACTACCGCCGCTAATACTACATGTCGTGGCTTACGATGGGACGCGAACAGAGTGTCTGAAGTTATACACGGTGCCTTTCCGTCGCAATCGAATCCTAGTGAATCTGTGTACAGCTCTTGGCTGTTGGATTTGTTCACTGTCCACCATAGTTGAGAAACTACAGGAACAACTTGTAACCTTTTGGTCCAGACGAGAGAACGCCCTTGGATCCTACGCATTCACATTCATCTCTCCCCCATTACATACTGCCAGCTTGAACGATACTCACCGATCTCGCTCTGCGCGCCGACCCATAGCGCGCAGCCCATGTCATCGCCCTCAAAGAACCCTACCGTTTCTCGCACTATTCCGTTGATTTGAAACTTGCAGGTGTAACGCATAGCTCGGCAGAAGACATAGATACATCCAAAGAGGTAGAGACTCCAGTTAGTTCCAGCATCCATTCTCTTTGAACACTTGTACATGCCAAATTCTCGGATGTGCTCATCGGCGATCATAGAGTCAGGCACCCAATTCCGGCGATCTGGGGACAGTAACGTTCATGAAATGATGTTAACTAGATGTACCTGTGCATAGCGGCCGATAAAGGCTGCTTAGTCCTTGGAAGTGCATGTAACGCTTCCGGCGTCGATGAGAAAGTGGATGGGATATGAGAGCCCGAAGCTATACACAGGACCTTAGCGTCGCAATCAAAAGCTAGCGATTCTGTGTATAACTTCAGGCTATCGGATCAGCAAGACTTTGTCTGCATGTCCTTCTTCGATGCTAGTCCCTAATTCGGTTAGTCTCAAAAGAATTAGCGTTGCATCACTACATCATGCGGCCTGTCTCAGTCCTTCCAAGCTTCACACTCTGCCTCCATGGCTGATGCTCACACCGTGGAGCCTGAAATTCCGTTTCGTTTCCTTGACCTTTCTGCAGGTAAGGCGGCTTGCCAGCAGCATGAATTATACTTGCTGACTGACAGCAAAGAATTGCGAAATCATGTGTACGCGTTCTGCCGGCCAAGCCGCATCCACTGCAATGCACCCAAATCGAATACCGATTGCGTAGCATCAAGTCTTGAGTCGAATGGTCTGACAGTGAATTTCGACGCGTTAAGCCTGGGCAACGACAACGAGCCAAGATGGTGTACCAAAAGCCATCAAATCGGGTGGAGCAGCACTGGCAGCAACGATGCTGGCTTAGATTGCAAAACTGCTGCCTTGAGTTTTTTTCACTTCGCGCATGTATGCCGGAGAATACGTGCCGAGTTTCGTCCAATATACCTGGCCGACACTGCTGTGCCGATGAATAGTGGACGGCTCACCTCTTATCTCGACACCTTTTACCAGGGATGGCATGACAGTAACATCGACAAAAGTGACTGGGCTGGTAATATCAACATCGCGTCTTTGACCCCATGGATCGACAATGGTGAGGACTTCTTACCATATATTCGCTTGTTATCGGAAGCTCCAGGAATGCATATTAGTATACCTAGAACCAACAACGAAATAGGAGAGCAGATCAGACGCCTTTTCAAATTCAGAAGTTCCTGGTCTGGGTGGACAGACGGCAAGATAGAGGAAGTGTCTCTTGTCGTCAAAGACGGCCATGTATATCACCCTGACATCCCGGAGTTCCAGGTGCTCTTCGGCAGGAAATGTGTGCCGCCATGGGCATACGATCAGCAGATTGGTCCCGGAACTATTGAAGTTAACAAGGAGGCTGCGACTGCGTTCTTGGAAAGTCTTGGTTTCCACGTAGAAGAAGAGGGAATTTACTGGATTTGGGCGGGATTTCAGAAAGAGACCGATCCAGTAGAAACAATCTGGTGGGCCATGATGGGCTCCTGATACCTACCTTTTTCACGATTGAAGTATCAATGAGGTAGTGGTGCGGATGAGGTCTATCATGAGCAACGAGGGTGGCACAGAAAAGTAAGGAGATAACAGAGGTGCAGCCAGAATAGGCTGGCGCAGAACTTAGAGAATATGCCGTGTCTACGGTGTATATATATAAACTTGGGACAAGGCATACTCGGTAGTAGTAGCTTCTACCCTGCAATCTGGGTTCGTTAAACTCACTACGCTTATACTGTTTAGGTGTTGTGGCTGAGCAAACTTGAGAGAAAAGATTGTATTGATCACTGCTCTTCTAATATATCAGAAGAGCTGGCTTAAATATACAAACAGATTACGGAGAAACGTTAGTCCACTTCCTGAGCTTAGTTAGCTCAGTCACGTGGATCAGCACTTCACTGTTCTCAGGTATCAATACTGCGACATTAGGTTAATCAGCTAAAGTAGTACCGTAGAGGCAATCTACGCTCGCTTCTCTTGCGCTCCCCAACTCTACAACGGCTACTTTACGTATTACTAACCCTTTTCTACTCCAGCGAGTTATGCCTCAGGCTACGCTAGATCGCTACGTCTTAACAAGTCAATTGCGTTGCCCATCCCCGTGTCTATTTCTCGCCCTACCCCGTGTAGTGCGCGAAAGGATCTATGCGCTGGCCAATCTCAGTCCTAATCGCTTCATAGACCTGAATTGCTGGACACAACACCGGTGCCCTAGCATCAACAGCTTCGTGGTACTTAGAGACTCATTAGCTCTGCCTTAAGCCTGCGACAGTCAACGTCAATACGCAAAGACCTAGACCAGTTTGCAGACTCTGCTGCGCCGTCTCCGCATCTTCAAGCACAGCTCAATGCATCCCTCACCACGTTTGCGCGCACCATCGACGGCTACCCTTTTCTTTCTACCAATTAAGTGTTTTCCTTTATCCAAAACCGAATTCGGGTCATGTGATGTCTACTCTTATGATAGCTAATAGTACTTATTAGATAAGTGCGCTCGCGATCCAAAATCTGCACACCCTGTTCATTCGCCTTACCCCGTGCACCTGTCTGGCCCCGCACTGTATCAAAACACCACGGCAATCGCCACACGTCGCCACTTCCTTTAGCACACTTGCCTTTTCAAGCTGCTTTGCCAGCCCCATAAAGCAATCGCACGACCGCAAGCTGTCCACAAAGTCGCGGTCCGATCGACTTAGGTTAGCCCAATGGGAACGTGTCTGCCGTCGACTTGCAGAGCATATAGTGCCAGGTCAACTGTCGCTCTACCTTGTCAACCATGTAGAGGGTATGCCAGCTGCGAAGCGCATCCTCCAGCCGCTGCTCCAGCTGCCAACGCTTCGCAATTGTGGCATTTGTCTTGGAGCCCCAAGTCATACTTATTACGAAGAGCTGAGAGGCCTCGCTGCTGCCGTTATACCACGGCTAACCGCTATGGTAGCGCTGGCACCGCAGAAGTCTTTCCCATTTCACCGCCTGCCTCGACAGCTGCAGCTGCAGATCTTAGCAGACAGTTCCCTCGTACAAGAGGCCTCCATATCTATAGTAAACGGCAAGCTTTGTCGCTATTGCTTAATGCACAGTTGCGATCGCGCCCGCCTCACGTTAGACGACAGCCAAGTCGAATTAACACTAGCCAGCTTTTGCACTAAACGATGTGCAGCATTCCGCACAGGTTGTAGCAACGCTAGCTGGGGGCTCCATACTTTGCCCAAGTCTCTCTCTTAAACAAATCTCTAGCAGACCTAGCTACCGATATCTTTTTCTCATATAACGCCTTTAGCATCCATACCTGGAACGCCAACTTCGTCTCGCAGGACAATATCAATCTAGCAGGGATGCATACCTTTCTGGACAGACTTTCATCGCACGCCCTTGGCCGGATGCGCCGACTCACTCTTCTGCTTCCTCCTATTATCGATCTATCTCTTGTCGACGGATTACTTGATTGGCGGTTATGGCAGGCGAGTATCCAGGTCCTCGCTAGCAAGGCGACGCTACCTATACACAGCCTGACTGTGGAGATTGGCAGCTACTGGAGCGAGAATGAAGGCTTTGATACAAGGGCGCACTCTACGCCGCGCATACTGCAAGCCTACGAAGAAGAGGTGGTTCGTCCTCTTCTTCAGCTACGGGGACTGAAGAGGCTATTTCTCTATGTCCCCTGCCCGTTTGGCAGGGACAATGAAGAGGCACGCCTGCAAGTAGAACCTAGGTTAGAGCAAATGGTCATGGGTGTCGACTATGACGCCTATCGCGTGGGGAAGCCGTATCCGGACGGGTATACCCGGCCCTTTCTTCGCGACGAGGACGCATAAGCAGCAGAGTGAGGGTGCCTACGCCGCAAATAGGAGCTGCTAGTGGCTTAGCAGCGTGAGGCGTGGAACGCATAGCGCGGTACTGTGCCACACGCTGCTCTCCTGTAGAGCCTCTGCTCGTTGCTCTTCTCTCATATGATGGAGACGTTACCAGTCGTCCATGAAGGATGAAGAGCGCTGGTCCGATTGAGATCTCTACTCTACTCTCCACCGAGCTGTAAGGCTTAGTCGTAGTTCTTAGCGAGTACGCCTTGTATAGAATTGAGCTGCAAAATTTAAGTTACACTAGACCTCTACTCTGCTCTAGCTACTATGGTTGGGCCGCGGGACGTCAGGGCAGACCCATCGATCTCAAGGAACATGACCCAGATACCTTCGCCGGCTATGTACAATGGCTTTACAGTCATAATGCCGATACGACGTTCGACACGATCAAGTGGGCGAGGATGTATGTCCTCGATGAGAAGTTCATGGATGCTGAATTCCAAGACACGGTACTTCAAACCTTGATGACCGGATGTAATGCCTCGAAGATGTTTCCTACAAAGGGACAGATAAGCATCATATACAACGGTACAGTGGAGGACTCGCTAGCCCGAGAATTGCTTGTGGACCTCTACTGCAGGTTCAGCAGCATCGATTGAATCGAGGCAAGAGATTTTGCGAACACGATGCCAGCGGACTACGTCAACGACCTACTCCTAGAGCTTATGTGTAGCAGGAAAAACCTGGGAGGCGACAGGCCCTGGTCAGTGCAACAATCGGCATACTTTATGGGCTCCAAGAGGAAGACAGGACAGGAAGATAAGACCCATGCAGGCTGATAGTTAGAAGACGCTCAAGATAGAGTGAAGGCGCATGAAGAAACTACATTACGTCTATTTCCTGTCAATAAGACCAACCAGCTGCGAGTGAAGAGGCATACTGAGCGTGAAGGACAAGAACTTGAGCCGGATAGACATGCCGACGACACTGGAGTGGAAATACATTAGGATGGGGAACGGGGATATGATGACATATAGAGAATATCAGGGTATATAAGCAACCAAAAATTGAACGGATTAGCGAAGCGATCGCTCACTTCCTAGATTTGTCAACTACGACGGAAAGCGACCAGGATACCTAGAGCTATACACAGTGCCTCACTGTCGAAATCAGAATCTATCGATACCGTATAGAATTTACGGCTGTTAGATCTGAAAGACCTGTTTACTTCCCTTCGCAGTTGATAACCTGCGGTACCTACCTTCCGCGCACGCGACATTGAAGCAATATTCATATTCGAAATCCAATCATACCCCACAGCTCATCTCATCCCTACCGCCTCACACAATTCTCCGAATTTCTAACCCTCCCCAACCTCCTTCGTCGCCGTGAACGTCGCCAATTCCGCCTCAGAGCCGACTTTGATCGTGCCCCTCCACTGCCCCTCCAAACCACCCCGCCTCAGCCCCTCTATGCCCCTCGATGCCCCTTTGCCCCTCCTGTAGCTCTACAATCCACACTTTTGCGCCAACTTGCCGGTTTGAGTAATGTGGTCGTGCGCAGCGTGGAGGGGCAGCGCTGAGGGAGGTGAAGGATCGGCCAACGGACTTCGCGACCACGGAAAAGTCGTTCGGATCGACAAAGTTCGATCGACGTAGGAAAGTTTGGCGTTGCCGCTGCAGATTTCTAAGATGGTTTCTCCAGTGAGGCCGATATGACAGTGCGTGAACTGCGTGAAATAATTTTGAAGGGAGCTTTTGGTGAGTGCGTACCTGAACTGAGCGAAAAAATACGATGGGTTCAGGAGAGTGCATACTTGCAGCAGGTCAGTGATGCGAAAGTCACTTCCGTAGCGAACCTTTCAAGATCATCTTTCCCATGGTGATAATATACGTAAAAAATAGAAGAGTTACCATTGCGCGCACCTCAAGTCGAGCCAGTCCCAACAGCAAGAACATGAACAGATCGCACCACTTTGTAACAAAAAAAAAAATGCACGCAAAGTTAAATGCATTCTAAATCTCACCACACATAGTCCATGCAAAAATTCCACTTTCCCAATGATCTTCAAATACAAATCCCTGACATCCATCACACACGCAAAAACATAACCATCATGACCAAGGCCACACACAGCACCAGCAAAAAGAGAATTCATGATGTCCCGTGCCAGACTCGAACTGGCGGCCTTGGGATTTCCTGCTCTTGGAGCAGATCACAGTAATGTAGCTATGAGACCCACGTGATAACCAACTACACCAACGAGACGTTGCGAACTGATTGTTCGCGTTGGGATGAATCGATGACGTCTGGCCAATTTGACTGCAATATAAAGAAATTATTTTCCTATCCCGGACAAGAGTTTGGTGGAGTTGGGTAGGCTAAGTGGGGTGGTTCGAAGACTTTGCATGAGGGGTACGACAGGGGCTAGGACAGATGCGTGCCTGGGGCCGGGAGAGTGTTGATTGGATAAGAAACGAAAAGAAAGCTAAGATGTTGGTTGGGTAGTGTTTATATTGGGATGGTTGTATCTATACATTATATTCGTGGACGTTACTGGGAAAAATCAATGCTCCTTCTTACCGTGACGCCAAACGCCACCTACATCGTGCTGCCGGTGTGCGTGGTATACATTATTTGAAACACTGTCTCTTGTAAAAAGGTGGATGACTGCATGATTGACTACGGGCCGAGTCTTTGCCCGGGCTCTGGACTCCGTGGCATGTTGCCGAGCGGTACTGGGACGTTTGAAGTCGGCAGGACGCCGTAGCGACCGTATGTCTTTTGGTCTACGCTGACGTAGTGTGGTAGTCTGCCGAGCAGATTGAGCTTTGTCTCTACCCATCGGAGGATCTTCTCGTGGGGGACGAGGAATTTGATGTAGCCTGAGGCCCAGAGGTAGCCGATGCCTGCGCCACAGAGATGCCCTATGAGGCTGACGTTTGGGACGATAAAGCTCGTCACGAGCGCAAGAATAAGTGGTGTGGTCCAGGTGGGGATCTTATATGGTCCGACACTGGAGACTGTTAGTTGAATGACACAGAACTTGCGAGTGAGTATGCATACTTGAAGCTTGGGTTCGTCTTATGTGTCTTCATGATTTCCGCTGAAAGAAGCAAAAACACCCATATACTGTATCATGGTTAGCTGCATGCAACCATGTGCTGCAGATATAGATATATGCATACCTGGCGCCCATAACAATGGTATTGCTCCGCAGTACAAACTTCTCGAGTAACGTGTAGATGCCACCTGGTATTGTGCCGAATGCTGTCTGTCGTCAATCTCGTGCTTCCATGCATAGCCTGGTACTCCCTTACGCCCAGTGAACAATGCCAAAGTGACCAATGTACCGAATTCGGATTCGAAGCGCTCGAGGAGTGGTGTAAGGGCGATGAGGTTGAAGATCATGTGGAAGAAGTTGAGATGCGTGACGGGGAACAAGTTCAGTCGGTGCACTATACAATGATCGCATTAGCTTTTGATCCTTCTTTGGCATATCGCCTCATCTGCATCCTCAGATTCGTGCTCTGTCATAGTTCCAGGGTGCATAGCGCTGTCCAGTCGGCTTCATAAGCTTACACTTCCTTCAACACCGGGCCTTCTATGATGCAACGGGACATACACTAGCTCCCTCAAGTCTTCTCCTAAGTACACTAAATCAAAGGACAACGTACTCTGCGTGAAATCCATCTTAGCCGGCTCCAGCTGCCCAAACTCCCTTAACCAGGGAAAGGGAATCGCCGCGATGTACAGGCCGACTATGGCCAGGATGAGACCGCGGGTGCATAGCGGCAGGCGTAGCACGTAGGACCGTAAGCGCGTCGGATTGAACTGGGGAAACGACGGCATGGCGGAACGCGTCGGGAGTGTCGATGTGTCTTGGGCGCGTGTCGAAAGATCGCAAAAGATCGGATGGCCGTTACCAATGACAGGGATCCCGGCTTCTAGCGGCAGATCCTCACACTTCGTACCTTCCGCACTGGGTGGGCTGGCGGAGCTTGGTAAGTCTTGGAGGAAGTTGCACGCCGCATTTCTGTCCTGATCCTTCTTCTCCTTTCTTCGACTGGTGCAATTCAGGAGGAGACGACATGGCGCTCATATGTAAGGCTTCAGGTGGTGAATTGAAGAGATTGGAGTGCTGACATGTGAAGCTTCACTCCTCGCATTGAGGAATAGCGACCGCATACAAAAGCTGCCGCCTTATCTTTCGGCTCTCTGTATTGTGATTGGAATCGCATGGCTACTTGTACTGCCTCTGGACGAATACTCGCGACGGACATATGTCTCGGAGAACGCATTGCTCCCGGGACAAGTGCACACATACTTTGAGGGTTCCGAGCACGATGTGTTCAGAGCATACCGACATGAAGTCCATGGACTGATTGATAAGAGTGTTGACGAGTAAGACCATGGCAGATCAGACGACTATCGCCCGCACTAACAACACGACAGGCGATCAAAAGCGCTCGAAGGCATCTTCCTCGAACAGAACCTCAAGGTCGCGACGCAAAAGTACAACTACACCGTATCGAACCACACACTCTCCGGCGAAAATGTCTATGCTATCCTCCAAGGTCCCCGCGCCGACGCGACAGAGGCCATGGTGCTCATTGGCGCATGGAAGAACATGGACGACGTGATCAACAACTCGGGTGTAGCCCTCGTGCTCACCCTGGCACGCTACATGAAGCGCTGGAGTCTCTGGAGCAAGGACGTCATCTTCCTGATTTCTGGAGACAGCACCATTGGGCCGCAAGCTTGGGTTGATGCGTACCACAACGAGCACGACGAGCGGTACGTGGAGAGCCTGAAGATCAAGAGCGGGGCACTACAGGGCGCTGTTGCCGTCGACTATCCTGCTGGGCCTTGGGGACATCGCTACGACAAGCTGCACGTTGTGTATGATGGAGTGAATGGTCAGCTGCCTAACTTGGATCTGTTCAATACTGCTGTTCAGGTCGCGGGTGGACAAATGGGCATCGACTGTTCCATCCAGCGCATGTTCGGCCAGGACGACACCTACAAGCAGCGCCTCACAACCATGGCTCGCGGCATGCTTTCCCAGGGTCTCGGTCACGCGACTGGCCCTCATTCATCATTCATCCCATACCACGTCGATGCCATTACGCTCGTCACCGTCGGCGATGGCTGGCACGACGAAATCTCTCTCGGACGAACCGTCGAATCGCTCTTCCGCAGCCTCAACAACCTCCTCGAGCACCTGCACCAGAGCTTCTTCTTCTACCTCCTCATGCACTCGAAGCGCTTCGTCAGCATCGGCACATACCTCCCCTCCGCCATGCTGATCGCCTTCAACTTCAGCATCACCGCGCTCGCACTCTGGGTCAAGAGCGGGCAGCCCACTGAATCCGCGAAACCCGCACCTACCGGACGCCTACCGCCCAAGGACTCGAAGCCCGTTGCAGTAGAAGATAAGAAACCGTCTTCCGAGGCTTCTGAGACCGACGTAGTCACAGATGGCAAGGACGTGAGCATAGTCCCCAAGACCACGACTGCCGTAATCGAGCGCCCCCTCCTCCTCCCTGTCCTCGTCGTCCTCGCCACCCACGCCGCCGGCCTGGTGCCCATGTACTACTTCAACTCGTGGGATCTCGACATGCTGATGGGCATTTTCCTAACGAGCGCAAACCTCGCCGTCCTCTTACCCGTCGGCCTGGCATTTATAAACTACTACGCCCTCGAACCATCCCTGACGGCACAGCAAATCACGCTCATTCAGTCTTTCTCGTTGCTGTTGCTGGGTATGTTCTTGGCTGCGCTGGCGACGCTGAATTTCTCTCTGTCGTTTATCATTGGCGTACTCACTACGCCGCTGAGTTTCGTGCGCAAGGTCAAACACTCTGGTTTGACGTTCTTGCAGCTCGGGGTGCTGGTCGTGTTGAACCCGATTATGGTGGCGCAGTGGAGTGCGTATTTGCTAGGCGCGGATCTGGCAGAGGTGTTGAGAATAAGTGCGATTGGGTGGCATGTTTGGGGTATGTGGACGCAGGTGGTTGTGTGGATTGTTTGGGCGCCTGCGTGGGTGGTGGGTGCGACGATTGTGGCCGGGGGGTTGTTTGAGTGAAAATGGATTGAGAAGAGAGGGTGTAATATATAATATAGGCAACTATAAGATCATGAAGAACAATGAGAGATTTGTGGACAGATACTGAGGCGAGTTCGTGGCAGTGTGATGGCTTTTCATTTCATCGTCTTCTCATGCGTGGTGGCATGATGAGCATAATCTATGATTACATGGCGCGCATACGCGCCCTCTGGAACTGCTGCGAGGAAGCCCTACTGCTGGACCAAAGCATCTGATCGTTGTGTCTATGCAGCCCAAACGTCCTTGCCCACACCCTCGATCCAGTTCCCAAGCTGGTTGACGCTGGCATCCCACTCCTTCAATCGAGCCCGCATGCTCTCAATCTGCTTCATATCCAGCACCTTCGGCTGCACCCAGTTGATGCGCGCAATCTCAGCAACCTGGTCGATCTGACCCCGCAGTAGCCCCAAGCTCAGCGCCTTCATGATCAGGTGCTCAATCTCGTTTGGCTGCACCTTCGTCTCTTGTGAGATCTCGGTGAAGGTCATGGCACGGTCGTGGGGTGGGCGACGGAAGACGGTCTCTGTGAGGGCGGAGAGGGAGATCTTCTGGTAGAGGAAGGTCTGATGCTCCTTGAGTAGGGGTACTTTGGAAATGTTGCCGGCGAGGACATCGTATGCGATCAGGTCGCCGCGGTTGAAAGCGAAGAGGAGGTCGCGCAGCCATGCGTGCGGGGTGTTGACGAGCGAGTCGAGGATGGGGTGGAGAAGCAGCTCTCCGAAGTTGTAGATGGAATCTGACACGAGAGCGGCGATGCTGAGGTCGTATGCGCGAGACTGGCGTTCGCGGAGCTCCATATCTTGAAGATCGACGCAGGCAAGGAAGAGGAGGGCGTTCTTGTAGTAAGCTGCAAACTCATGCTTCGACTTGTAGTACTCCGCGCTCGCCTTGTAGAACGAGGCGTGCACCACTGTCTCCACCGAGTCAAAGCCCTCCAGTATCTGCTCGCACTCATCGAGCTTCTTCTTCGCACCCTCCTCGTCCTTTAATCTTAGTTGTATGCTGGCAGCAGCGACTGTGGCGTAGACGTAGGCATCTTGTGAGGCGGGCTTGTTGACGCTCTTTGCAAGGTCGTTGACGAAGTTGAGGCGCTCCTTGTCATCTATGGTGGTTAGTATTCTAGTAATATACACACGTGTGAAGACATACCCTTGTACTGTGTTGCTGCGCTGAGGCCGAGTGTGACAAGCTTGAGCTGGTTGATCTTGTTTGCGAAGCTCTTGATGAACGTCTCGAAGAAGGGTATCCGCTGCTTTGCGCTGTCTGGGTTCTCAAAGAACTCGATGAGCTTGTCGGTAAGCTCGTGCCACAGTTTCCGCTCCCAGTAGTCCTCGAAGGTGATAAAGTACTCTTGGAGCTCCTCCGGTGCCTGGTCCCGCGCATCGCCCAGCAGGTTCGGGATCGTGTCCGTATCCATGGCCATGATTGCGGCTGTGATGTGTCGATCCGGGAGTGCAAGTGGTATTATTCAGTCGGCCGAAATCGTGTGTGGGGCAGATGAAGGCGGAGTGAGTGCATGCAAGTGTGGCATGTGTTGCTGTGGATGGCGTTGCGGCGGCAGCTACCAAACTAGCGTTCGCCAAGATTCGTCACTTCCCGACGTCCATCCCTCACAGAGCTTCAACCAGAGCTTCAAACGCCACGAATACGAGCCATTGACCGCCGCAACATGGCTCTGCCTCTCCGATGTGCTCGCGCTGGGGCGGCATCGCGGACCCCAATTCCTTCGATGCGCATAGCCAGACTATCGACCTCTGCAGCCTCCCAGTCACGGATCAACTCGGACGTCAAGATCACCAGGTGGGATATGTCTGATGGGATCGCGAGCAGCATGCTAATTTGCTGCAAGGACTGGAAAGCCGATTCTCACGGTAGCCGGTGGTAGATCGTCGCTCGGAGGTGCGCTGCAGCCAACATCGACACTGGGGCAACTGCTCACACATGTACAGGATACACTGCGACCGTCTTCGGAGCCACTGGATTCTTGGGACGCTATATCGTGAACAGGCTGGGTGCGTGTAGTCATCAGGTCAAAACATGGTAGTCAACTAACGGTGTATACAGCACGCTCAGGATGTACCGTTATAATCCCATTCCGCGAGGAAATGGCCAAGCGCCACCTGAAGGTTGCTGGTGATCTCGGTCGCGTCATCTTCCTAGAAATGGACCTGCGGAACACAGCCTCCATCGAAGAGAGCGTTCGTCACTCTGACATTGTCTACAACCTCATTGGTCGCGACTACCCCACCAAGAACTTCGATCTCGAGGATGTCCATGTTCACGGAACGGAGCGCATCGTGGAGGCTGTTGCCAAGTACGACATTGACCGATTCGTGCAAGTCTCATCCCACAGCGCATCGCTGGACTCGCCATCTGATTTCTACCGAACAAAGGCCCAGGGTGAACAGCTGGCGCGCTCCATCTACCCAGAAACAACCATCGTTCGACCAGCGCCTATGTTCGGATTTGAGGATCGTCTTCTCCACCGCCTCGCTTACCCTTCAAATATCGTGACTTCCAACAACCTGCAAGAGCGCCTTCGGCCTGTCCACGTCATTGATGTCGCCATGGCCCTCGAGCACATGCTGCAGGATGACACCACGGCTGCTGAGACCTACGAACTCTACGGCCCGACCGAGTACTCCATGGCCGAGATCAACGACCTTGTTGAGAAGGAAGCCATGAAGAAGCGCGGTCACGTCAATGTTCCCAAGGGTCTTATGAAGCCCATTGCCACATACGCCAACAAGTTTATTTGGTGGCCAATCCACTCCGGCGATGAAGTCGAGCGCGAATTTATTGATCAGACAGTTGACCCCAAGGCCAAGACGTTCAAGGATCTGGACATTGAGCCTGTGGAACTGAAGAGCTTGACGTTCGAGTACCTCAAGGGATACAGAAGTTCAAACTACTATGACTTGCCACCAATGAGCGAAAAGGAGAAGAGGGAGGAGAAGAAGTACCTGCATGTTTTGGATGATCAATAGATGCAATAGCGCGGTGGGAGTCTGTAAATATCAACGCTCGTAGATTTGCATGAGCTGGATTGTTCGAAATCAAGTCTATTTTCCTTTTGTGTTTAACATGCGAAGTCTATATCTGAGTGGGGTATCACGTAAAATCGAAAGCCAACCATCAACTACTCTCCGCCTCTTTGCTCGTCATCTTCTCCTTCTCCATCAACATTAGCACATACCTCCGCACTAGACTCTCCATACTCCCCTCATCCTCCCTCTCCCGCCTCTCCATCCAATGCCGATAAACCTCCAGCACGACCTCGACCGCAATGAGCGCGATAATCGCCCACTCGAGCCTGAGCCCATGTTTCTCACTCAACTGCTCCCTTAGCACACTCGCAATCTCCTGCGCAAAGCCAATTTTCTCGTTCAGGACTTTGATGCGCACGCCCACGTCGAGCGCGCGGCCGACTTGGTCGTAGTACTCGCCGAGCCCGAGCTCGTGGCGGCTGTCCCAGAAGATATCGGGCATGGAGTCGGTCAGCTCGGAGTAGAGGTTGAGCTGTGCACGGATGGAGAGTAGTTCGCCGGTTTTGCGCAGGATGAAGGAGCGGGTGAAGAGGGTGGAGGGGGCGAGGGAGCTTAGCGCTGAGGGGATAGAGCGGGTGGAATGCTGGTAGTCAGACAAGAGTGTCTCGAGAATGGAGAGTTTGGTCGAGCGCGCGAGGCCGGAGGAGAACGCGATTTTGGCGAGAATGGTGTCGACTTCGTGGCGCTGGGGGTTTTCGGGGGAGTCGGTGGGAGATGGGGAGGTGGAGTCGTGCTCTGGCTCGGCTTTTGTGCCGAGCACGATGGTGTCGCCGACGACTTCGCTGGTTTCTTTGCTGGGGTCTTCCAGGTAATCCAGGTCTTCGGTTTCGAGCATGTCGAGGTGGGAGCCTTCGGCGGCGGCGGGAAGGATTTGGTTGACGAGCTTGAGGGCTTCACGCTCGCGGACGTTCCAGGTTACGACGGTTCCGGAGGGGAAAATGAAGATGTCTCCTTGCTGGTAGTCTTTGACTTCGGAGGGCTTGTCGGATGTTTGGACATGTATGACTTGAGGGTAGAGTCCGGTTGAGAAGGGATCGAGTTCGTAGCCCTGTTGCTTGACAAGTTTGGCAGCGGCTGTGATGTCGTACGTCTCGGCAGCGCAGTATGCTGTGACCGTCTTTGTCTCTGCATCTGGGTCTACAAAGCGTTGCCTTCCCCGCGACTTGACGAACGTCCGCGACCTCTGGGCTTCAACTGCTATACTGCGCAGAGAAGTCTTGCCCGCATTCTTTCTTGAAGCCTTGGGCGTCCCATGTTGTTTCTTCTTCAATACGTCCTCCTTGCTATCCTCCTTGACTGGTATTTGTTCAGGCGATTGGGTGAAATCGAACTTCTTCGACCGGCTTAAGGTGGTGGAGAAGCATCGTGCTGACGAGCTTGCGCATGGAGATATTCGACATATTGTAGTGCACGGTGCACGGAGAAGACATCTATTCACGCCAATAGATGAGAATACTCGGCAAGGAAGCATCACGAGTGCTGTGATATCTGACCATATTGTCCGTGAAGAGTGATGCCGATAATGACATGCGGGACGAGCGTGATAAACTTTTGTGGAGCCGAAGCTACCTAGCGCGGATCGTCATAGTGCCAGGGCCAGATGCCGCGGTCGACGCACTGCTTCCACGCGCTCACACGTCGCCTTCACCACCCTTCACAGCTGCAGCGCCTTACATACTCACCGCAGCTCATGCCACCAGCATGGCTGCGGAAGCAACCGAAGAAGAGCCGCGCACGCCGTCGCGCGACCAGTCACAGCTCGCAAAGGTCGACAGCAATGGCAAAGAGAGCGTAGAGGAGGACTCAGATGATGATGAGGACGCCGAGGATGAAGAACCGAAGCTGAAGTACAATCGCCTGACCAGCAATCTGCTGCCGCTATACCGAAATGGCGACGCGACGAGTACCTTTGTGGTTGCGGGGGATAAGATGGTACGGCCATAGCTCCCACAGCTGTCACCCCTCAGAGACACATGCTAAGCTGTAGATAGATCGTCGGCACACATAATGGAAACATTGTGAGTACCTCAAATAGCTCCAGATAGTTGCACATATACTTACAAATACAGCACGCCATCAACATCCCTGCATTCCAGACACTTCGCACCTACAACGCACATCCGTCCGCCTCTGTGACTGCGCTCTCAGTGTCACCGCTACTACCTTCACAGCCCTTCGTACCGGCAGCCGATCCCGTCGACTCTTCCTCAAGACGAACCGCATCCCCTGCTGCCCAAACTCCATCCCCACGCACGCCGCGCCAGGCTCAAGTGCCTGCGATACCATCTAACCAGATATACATCGCATCCGCTTCCATAGACGGAACCGTCTGCGTACAATCCTTGACAGATTCCAAAGATGTTACACTGCGGAATTTCGGGCGCCCAGTACAAGCCGTCGCGTTGTCACCGAACTACAAGTCCGATCGGTCGTATTTGTCTGGTGGCCTGGCTGGAGAACTTATTCACACTATCGGAGGCCAGATAGGAGTCAAGTCGAACGCGAATACTAGCTCCGCGTCACAAGCTGCTGCAGGATGGTTGGGCGCCATTGGACTGGGTGGTCATGGGGGCAAGGACACCATACTGCACTCTGGGGAAGGCACTATTAGTGGCATTAAATGGTCTCTATCTGGCAAATTTGTGGCTTGGTCGAACGAATATGGCATCCGCATCATACGAACGGATCTTCATCTTGACAGTGCCGACTCCGACCTAGCATGGAAGCGGGTGGGTTTTGTCGAAAGACCCAACCGTCGCATTTGGGAGGATATGGCCGGCGTGTGGAAGGCGCGGATGGAGTGGGTTGATGACCAGTCTCTCGAGTCGGATGAAGACGATAGCATGAGTGTGAATGGGGGCAAGTCGGATTCTACACTCCCTCACCAGAGACTTGCGCAGACCCCACACAGTGCGAAGAGAAGGAAGGTTGAGAAATTAGTCATTGGCTGGGGAGACACAGCTTGGATCGTCCGTGTGTATCCTGGTGGCACCGGCACTGGTAAGAACGTTGGCGAGAAGTCTGTCGGCAGTGCCGAAATTGTTTATCGGTATGCTCTCTCAGTTCCTGTTGCCGATCCCTGCTGACCAGCTTGAAGACTTCATTTCGACGATTGTGTAGTTTCTGGCATAGCGCTTTATACCCCTTCTTTACTTCTTGTTCTTGCTTACCGGACCCGCGATGACGACGACAATCCCATCACTCAGGACGAGAAAACGCCACGGCGTGGCATGCATCGGAGAGCGAATGGATTACAGCCTGAGCTCAAGCTCATCAATCCCGCGACACAAGACGAAGTCGAAGTTGATTCGTTGACAGTGAGCCGCTTTGAAACCCTCTCCGCAGCTGATTACCACTTGGGCACTTTATACGTACCCCACCCACAGACCATGACTCCTGCACAGAGAAGTGCACTAGAAGCTATCGGCGGTGGTATCTGGGATGTAGGAGCGGGAGCAGCGCGGATTCTTAGTACTGGAGCCAGCGTCATGAACATCCCGTTCAGCTCTGACTCCAAAACACCTCCGCGTGCCCCATCCATGTCGTCTGCGAGCGCCGGAAACGTGTCCTCGTCTGCGCCCGGAAAGCGACCAGCTCAGATTCATCCAAACGCCGCGACAGCTGGTCTTAAGATCTTTATACACAGTCCTTATGATTGTGTTTTGGCCATCAAGCGTGATCTTTCCGATCACTTCCAGTGGGAATTGGAGCACGAGAATTACAAAGATGCATGGGAGCTATTGGAAGACCATCCAGAAATAGCAGCATCCGCTGCTCAATTACCTGCGTCCGAAGGGTCTCCAGCAAGCACACCTTTGAAAAAGCAAGGCAGTCTACATGAGTTTTTCGCTGATGAAAGCGAATCACAAACAACTGTATCTGCCACAAGAGCGAATCAGAATTCGGCAATTGAAAAAGAAAAGAGACGCATTGGTGACCTGTGGGTGCAACAGCTTGTAAGCTCCGACAACTGGAAAGAGGCAGGTAAAGTCGCTGGACGTGTACTTGGCACATCGGCAAGATGGGAACACTGGGTCTGGAAGTTTGCGCAAACAAACCACTTCAACGAGATATCGCCATACATACCCAAAAAGCCGATGCAGCCACCACTACCTTCGATGGTTTATGAGGTGGTACTTGGACACTACATCATACATGATCGGATACGTTTCAAACACGTACTTGAGGCTTGGGATACGGACCTTTACGATGTCAACAGCGTTATTGAGGCTATCAAAAGTAAACTCTCCGCTGGCGATGTCACGGAAGACTCTATCGAGGGCGATGTACAAGGCAGAGACTGGCGAATATTGCAAGATGGGCTTGCCAAGCTGTTCCTTGCAAGCGGTAGGCAAAGAGAAGCTCTGCGGTGCTATATCCGTTTACAGAACGCGGACGCTGCCATGACGCTGATTCGGGACTTCCATCTCGTAGAAGCTGTACGCGACGACATACCTGGATTCATTATGATGCGAGTATCAAAAGACCAAATGGATTCCGCGACGTTGCCGGAGCTAGAGGAAGCGTCTACGGAAGCAATCAACGTACTCGTTGAGGAGGGGTGTCGAGGTACAATACCTGCATCTGACGTCGTGTCGCAATTGCAACAAAAGAAGGAGCCGTTCCAGCCATTCTTATTCTTCTACCTCCGGCGATTATGGAAACCGGAGATGCATGAGCGGACAGGAAAGACGGCAAAAGAACGGGTAGCTGAAGACCGTCTGGCCGCTGATGGCAAGATCGTCGCGGAAGAGTTCGCAGACCTCATGGTCGATCTCTTCGCAGAATACGACCGAGAACTGCTCATGGAGTATTTGAGAAAGAGTCAAAGCTACGATCTGAGCAAGGCGACGGCTGAGTGCGAGAGGAGGGAGTATATCCCAGAGCTTGTGTAAGTTGAGAAACACCCGCACCGTTATGACGCTGCTAACATGTCGCAGACACATCCTCTCAAAGACCGGCCAAACGAAGCGTGCCTTGTATCTCATCATTAAAAAGCTCTCCGACGTCAGCTTTGCGATTTCATTTGCTAAGGAACAAGACGACTCAGACCTTTGGAACGATCTACTAGAATACTCCATGGACAAGCCACATTTCATTCGCGGGCTCCTCGCCGAAGTTGGCACCGCCATTGACCCTATTAAGCTTGTGCGCCGCATTCCTGAAGGACTAGAGATTGAAGGTCTGCGAGACGGTATCGGTCGGATGGTCCGCGAGTACGAGATCCAACACTCCATCTCCGAGGGTGTAGCAAGAGTGCTGCGCGGCGAGGTCGCAGCCGGCATGGACACACTTCGTGCTGGACAGAAAAGAGGTGTCAAGTTTGAAGTCGAGATATGCGACGACAGTCCAAGACACAAGAAACACGACAAGGGCATCGATGTTGTTGCAAAGGGTATTGAACCCGCGAGGGCAGCTAGAGCAACAGCGACAGCAGATGACAAAACCACAGCCGTCACATCTACAACAAACGCAGCACATATCGACCCTCCTGCTCCCGAGGCTCCCGTGGGCGAAGCACCTCCCGGCCATTGCACCGGATGTCACCGCCCCTTCACTCTACCCACACCCGAAGAGTCGGAGATCATAGACGGCCCATTGCCTTTGTCACGCGACACACTCGTGGGCTTCGCATGCGGCCACGTCTTCCACCTCAGCTGCCTACTCCCCAAGACAAGCGCCAGCGCCAGCGTAGCAGCCACGCTCCAACAACAACTCGCCAGCGACGCACTGGAAGGCGAGGGCCGGTGGACGCGAAGCGTAGGTGCAAAAGTAGCGCACGCACATGTCATCAAGAACGCCGTCGGGCGCGGATGTGTCGTGTGTAGGGAGAAAGAAGTCATCGATGATGAGTAGAGAGGGAATGGAATGTATATACGCGAGAGATATCGGAATATGCGGGGGATTTGGGTGGGTTAGACTTGTATGATTTGTGTTATTAGATTCGTATATTGGCATGAGACTTTGCGTGAGCATTCGCACTATCTGATCTTCGCTATGGTATTATTCATCCTTTCTGAGTACTTGCTTCATCCAGTAATCCCATCTCAGGTGTTGAACGCAGCACCACGAAGGGCGTGCAGCGAAGGGCGTGATATGTCACCTGTTAGATGCAAAGGGCGAGGGCGGAAAACCTACACGACACTCTCACTAACCAAATACAGCACGAGATACTACTGGATTGAGAAGGTTTGGTGTAAAGTATGGATTGCAGTGGAAGGGCGTGAAGGGGCGTAGAGATGGATTGGGTTAGTAGAGGGCGAAAGGGGCGCGACGTCTGCACCTTTGTGACAACGATAAGCTTGAATCAAGCATGATATTACTACAAGGGGACAGTTTGATTGTAAGTGTAGATTGTAGTGAGAAGGGCGTGGAGGGGCGTTGAATCTAACGCAGGGCGTGAACGCCCCATCGGACGTAAATCCGATACACATATATATTGTATGGGCGAAGTGAATTCCCACATTCGGACATTTTTTCGTACAAGTGTCGAAGACAGTACAAAGGGCACGACAAGCTACTGCATTAGCGCAGGGCAAAAGGGGCGTGAAGGGGCACAAACACAAGCGAAAGGGCACACTGAGCCAGTAGAATGCATGTTCGCTTACGTTCCATTCTCGGACGAAATCACTGCAACCTCACACCACCTCTTCCAAAGCATTCAAGTAGTCTTACTAGACTGACATGTACCCCGCGCTTTTACGATCAACTTAATACCAAGAATAGCAAGGCCCTCCACATTCTACCGCCGGACAAATATGCTGCCCCCACTTTACCCCAGGTTTTTGTATCGCGACATTCAGCCGAGATGCTGGGTCATTGGTGGAGACGAGGAGGACGGGGAGTTCCCGTCAGTCATGTCGCGTTGGAGGATTTAAGTTTGCAGGAGAAAGTTAGATGAGCAGGCAAGGCCCTGTTCCGAGAGTACTCGGAGCCAAAGGGTATGGACGATCGACGGAGAAATATCGAGCGGGCCGGCTTGGATATGCTTATATGTGTTGGGACAGGTCTTGTTTTATGACGACAGACGTTGTTTTGATAGTCAAGTTTCTATACACCTCGCAACATGAAGACTCTACCAGCTTTCTTTGCAGTCCTCGCGGCGGCGGCGGATGTCTACGTCTCCACGACGGGCTCGGACAGCAACGATGGACTTTCGGAAGCGAAACCTCTCTCGAGCTTGACGAAGGCGCAATCAGCTGTGCGAGCTCAGATCGGGGCTATGAATGCGAACATCACGGTGCACATCGCGCCGGGCACGTACGAGCTTTCCGCACCCCTCGTTCTCACTGCGCAAGACTCTGGGAGGAATGGATTCAAAGTAAATTGGGCGGGTTCCGGTGCCGTGATATCTGGCGGTCGGAAACTTACGAATTGGACTGCGGGTGCGAATGGCATATACAGCACGAGTGTGCCCCAGGGATTCAAGTCGAGGAACTTGTATGTCAACGGCCAGGCATCGAACTATGCGCGGCGCAAGATTGCGAATAGGAAAGACCTCGTGTATACGGCGAGTTCGATAAAATGGACGGCGGGAACGTATGATTGGATCACGAGCACGGCTGGTATCGAGCAGGCTGAAGTGCGCTTCATCAACTCTTTCACAGACCGATACGCGCCAGTCTCGGGGAAAGGGAATCGCGAACTGGTCATGAAGCAAGATTGGTGGACGACGAATAACTGGGGATATGACCATATTTCGAAGCCGAATGCAGACTTTGGGGTTTGGGTGCAGAATGCTTTGGCGCTGTTGAGTGAAGGCGGGCAGTTTTACCTTGATAGTAAGGCGGGGAAGGTGTACTATAAGCCGTTGAGTGGGGAGAATTTGGCGAGCCTGGATGCGCATTTGGGTGTTTTGGAGACGCTGGTGGTGGTTGGGGGGACGTATGATGCTCCTGCACATGATATCACGTTCGAAGGCGTGAGCTTTGTGAGTATAGCGACTGAATTTCTAGATGATCTGATACTTATGCTTCGCCAGGCTCATAGCACATGGCTCGCACCATCTTCGATCGGCTACGTTGATCAACAGACTGGCGGTTACCTCTGCGAGAACACAACGTACACTCCGGCAAACTTCGAGTCTTCAAGGCCGCATTGGTGCCAAATGCCTTCCGCCATTCAAATCAGCGCAGCCAACAACGTCTTCTTTACAGGCGGCAACTTCACGCAAATGGGCGGCGGAGGCGTAGGAATCGGCAACGACGCCAATGCCCACATCTCAGGCGTCGGGCTCGGTGCAAGCAACGTAGCCGTCCGCGAAGCCTTCTTCTCCCAAGTCATGGGCAACAGCATCACAGCTGGCGGCGTGCGAGCCGACGCCCACCACCCGAGCGATGGCCGAATGCTGAACTCAAAAATCTCCATCGAGAACAACATCTTCCGCAACGTGTCCTCGCTCTTCAGTTCCACCGTACCCATCTTCGCAAGCTACGTCCAGTCGTCCAACATCTCGCACAACGACATCGACATAGCGCCGTATTCAGGCATCTGCCACGGCTACGGTTGGGGCTCGAACGATGCAGGTGGAAGCTCGGAGTATGAGAAACGAGGCTTGTACCAGTACCAGCCCAAATACTCGACTCCAACTATTTCCCGCGATAATCGCATCGAAGGAAATCTTCTGCACCGCTACGGCCTCTCACACACCGACTTGGGCGCCTTGTATACCCTGAGTAAAAGCCCCAACACGGTGATTCGCGAAAACTACGCCTACGACTCCACGGGCTTTGGCATGTACACCGACGAAGGCAGTAATTCGTACGCTATCCAGAAGAACGTGTTGTTGTCGAGTGGCATATGGTACGCGCAGAATGGCGTGAACACTGCGAATAATACGATTACGGGGAACTGGGGCAGGACGGGGCCGACGAGGGAGGGGAATACACTGGTGGGCAGCTTGGAGGGCGCGCCGCAGGAGGCGAAGACGGTTGCGCAGAGGGCGGGGGTGGAGGTGGGGAAGAGGGGTGGGAGGCCGGTGTCGAATCCTTAGTGGGTTTGGGGAGGTGTGTTGAAGTGGGAGAGATGTGATTGAAAGTATGGTTTGGTAGGTTCAGCTCTAAAACGAGAGGATTTACGAAAGTGACAGACTCTAATGATTCTGTGCGGGCATTTCACACTGACCTGTCATAACCTGGTGAGAAGATAGGGTGGTTGGTGTTCATTTAGAGTGGAAATTAATGCGGTAGGCGGACGTGGATGATGCTCGCTTGATCAGCTAGTTGGTAGACGAGTGTCGAAGGGGAAACATGAAGCATTTGAGCCACACCATCCGCTGTAGTGACAGTCATGCCACCCGAAACGATGCCGACCATATCCGTGGATTCCGCAATGCGGGCTGACGTCAAGGGCGAACGGCTGTCAGATGTTTCGAGTGGTGTTTCCGTAGCAACATGTAGCGCGTATTTTCACAACATAGCGGGCGCGTCTGTGCTCTTCCCTTTTAGCTAGGCGCCACCATCTTCAATCTTGGACATCCTTGGACGAGAGCGAACCCTTCATAACCCTATGCGCCGGCGCTTCGAATTGCGACATCAGACACGCCAAAATGCACCGCTATACCGCAGGCACGCCGTGCCCTGCACCTAACCCATCGTTTCCAAGTGGATACTACGACTACGGACGCCCAGCATCGAGCTACGCGCCCAGCTATGCCACCGACGACACGACGGCCAACATTGAGTACACAACAGAGCTGAAGGCCAGTCTGCGCACTGCGAAGCCGCGTCGGCCGACGCGCAACATGCACAAGCCGGCATTCAACCCGTCGCTCGACATTTTCGAGGACGTCGCGCAAGAAGAGGAGCAGCAGCAGCTGGCAGCGGTTGAGACGAAAAGAAGGAGTCGCGCGTCCATCATGCCCGAGGGCTCGAGGATTAAGAGGACCACGATGCTAGCACACCCAGCACAACGCATACCGAAACCCGCACCGCCTGTCCAGGAAGCGCAGCCTCTCAAGCCACAGCGGAGACGCGTCTCCCACATGCTTGCGGAGAGACAGGGCGGCGATGTCAACGCGACTGTGCAGCTGCAGGAGGACATACTCGAACAGCGCGAGCTCCGAAAGCAGGCGCCTAAGAAAGACCCGCGCCGAAGAACCATATACGTACCGTCCGACGACACGACCGTTATGACCATACACCCAGGCCAATCGACGCATGCGACGCGCAACCCCCGGCAGAACTCCCCAGACATTGGCCTAGACTTGGTCACCCTCTCAGAGGAGGAGGGTAAGCTAGTTCCTGCACTGAAGAAGGAACGTAAGCTTCCCAGGAAATCATTAGCTGCACCACCCAAACGCGGACCCTTGATCTCGACGACGCGCTCGCTACAAAGCGTGTCGTTCTGCAGCGACGTGATTGGATCAGGGAGCGGAAAGGAGAACCTACCACCCGGCGTGGAGATTGTAGAGAAGAAGGGAACCGGCACCATTATCGAGCTCAACTTCCCCAAGGCCGACCCCGAGAAATCGGCCATGAAAGCGCCTCCGCGAGTCCACTTCAACACCACCAAGAGCGCCCCTAAGAGCACCACCAACTCGCAAACTAAGACGAAACTCACAGGCTCCCAGAAGCGTTCACGACCACAATCCGCTTACGACAGCTCGCCCGCAAAGTCGCTCAAAGCTAGAGCGGATGCCACGGCTTCGAGCAGAGCAGCTCTGAAAGAGACCATCAAGGCTGCGAAAGCCAAGGCCTCGAGGCCAAGCCGCACCCCGTTGTCGTCTTCTTCTCCATTCCACACCAGCAGATCACCTCCGACCGCCTTGCGCCGCCAGAGGGTAGAAAGAGCAGCTCCTGCAGTCAGCATGATGCACATTGTTGGACAGAAGCCTGAGAAGAAGGAGAAATACCCTGTGCTTACAGAAGACCTCACCCGCTCGACCATGTACGAGGACAGCTGGCTCACCTACCAAGAAGTTGCAATCACTCAGCTCCTGAACTCGGTCTTCGACTCAGCAAGCAGTGATCCCAATGCCGAACAGAGTCCCGAGGACTTGAGGAAGAAGATGCTTGCGCTGTATCATGAACCCTCGATGCCACCGCTGCACAAGCGGCTGCAGGCTTCTCTGCAGTACGGCGCGTTGAGCATACCCAAAGATCTTCTTGCCCAGACCCTGCGACTCAAGGACGACGTCGGGCTGCGCAAGAAGTTCCTGAACTTGTGGACGAAGACGTACGATCTCAATGCACTACGCGCTGCAGCGGAGACCGTCATCGGGAGACAAATCAACACGCCCTGCCGATTGTCGACTGGCTCCACCAGCTCCGATGATGGATCGCGCATGTTCCGCGCCGAGCGACGTGCGATTGAAAAGTTCCTGGACGCATTCTTGATCAAGAACGAGGACGCTGTTCGCGTCAAGTCAGGCGCAGGAAGCATTGCAAGCATCGCTCGAGGTGACGACGACTTTGGTTCTCAAGCATGGTCATGGAGGCGCACAGCTCTTCGCAGCTTGATGCTTGCGTTGTTACTTGACAAGTCCAAGACAACTGAGATCCTTCCTGGATGTCTGTTTCAGACGACCTCGCCCCACAAGACGTCTGTCGAGGTGCTTCACCAGCTTTCGCACCTGTTGCTTCCATCGCTTGGCGATATAACTCGACCTTTAGGCCACCTGAGCTACAAGGTGGAGCACGCTCAGTATCCGCTCCAGGAGTACACCTACCACATCGACAACATCGCAGTCGACTTGCGCGATGGCATCGTTCTGACTCGTCTGGTCGAGCTACTTGTATACCCATCTTCAAGAATGACCGAGGAGGAAGACCAGACAATCACCGTTTCTATGCCTACCGGTGAGCTCTTGAAAAGTGACTGCAACGACAAGGAAAGCTGGGTGTTGTCACAACATCTCAAGTACCCAGCTATTGGCCGACCACAGAAGGTATATAACGTCCAGATCGCCCTTTCAGCCCTTGAGGGCGCGCCTGGTATCCCACGCCACGCCTTCGACGCGATCAAAGCAGACGACATCGTCGATGGCCACCGCGAGAACACACTCAGCCTTTTGTGGTCGCTGGTCGGCAAGTGTGGTCTCGGTAACCTTGTCGACTGGCCACAAATCGTGAAGGAGACAGAGCGATTCCGGGAGCAATGGTACCGCAACCGTGACAACTTTGAAGAGCGGGATCTCGATTCCGACGCGGACGACGCGACCGCCGAGATTGCCGGACTGGAATATCATAAGCGCCTCCTGCTTTCATGGTCCCGCTCCATTGCTCGCCTGCACGGAATCCGCGTTGCAAATCTCACAACTTCGTTTGCAGACCCGAAAGTCCTGGAAGTCATCGTCGACACTTATCTTCCCTCGTCTATTGCAACAACCATGGAACACGGCAGACTGGGCTTAGCAGCAAAACTGAGAGCAGTCGGTTGTTCCACCTCTTTCATATCGCTTTTCACACCGCAACACGCATCCGCGCGCTCGATTCCGTCGCGAGACTTCACGCTCCTCACGCTCTCGTTCCTGGCTTCGCGTCTTCTCCCACTCAGCCTCACGCACCGCGCTGCATCGACTATTCAAGCCGCGTTCCGTCGTCATCTATCGCGAAGGAAGATTAGCCAACGCATCGCCTTGATGAAGATGGCTCATGAATGTGCTGTGGTTGCGCAGACCAGAGAGCGTCTTTTCAATGCTGCTACTGTAATTCAAGTACGCTGGAAGGGCATCTTGGAAGCCCGGAATAAACAGCTGGAGAGCGATGTTCTGGCGTTCCAGGCTCTCGCAAGGGGGTGGGCGATTCGACGATGGGTGAGGAGAATCACAGCCGGAAGGGTTGGAGGGAAGGAGAAGATTCGCAGAGTTAGGGGAGGATGGTAGATTGTATGTCTCTTCATCGAGGGGGGTTTTCGGTTTATCAAATTGGGATATACCTTTGGTTCGGCGTTTGGTTTGTTTGCTTTCAGGCTTGGGATTGCGCAGGATACCACATGATATTGGCGCTGTCGTTATTTTATTCTGGTCGATATGATATGGCCCTGTTAGCTTCGTATGAAAGTTACGTCTATTGTTAAGCTTTGACACGCTTGGTTCCTGCTTCAACGTGATCTTTTGCGAACATTCAATGTTGATGGCATGAGCACCGGCCATGTCCGAGATGCGGAAGTGACGCACTGCGGCGGGGAATTCTCGGCGTGCCATTTGGACTTCGACGCGAACAACTTCACGTCGACGAAACTCACGCGCCAGACCCGAACATCTCGTACGCTTTGCCGCTAGGAGGATGATTTTAGTACTTGGCCCGCGACTCAGACATGGCATTTGAGGTGTCGTATAGCCTCGAGAATGAGCAGCAATTCTGGGATGGTGAGAGAGCGCCTGCAAATACCCCCACCAGTGCAAGGCCACAAGGGCTAATCCGCGACACAGAGCTAGACGACATCGTATCGACGCGCTGCCAGGAACACGAGATCATCGACAACTCTCTGCGCTCTTTCCTGAACGTTACCACCAACTACAAGTGTATGCGACCCTTGGAGGTATGTGTCGACGGGTGTTGACCATGTCCAGCGGAGTATCTCCAGACCGACTATAGCATTGCGAAATGCATCTTCCGTTTGCTGGAAGGTGATCTCTATGTCGCCAACACGGACTATGTGCGGCGACAGATAATATATTGCCTGCTTCAAGTATGTGGGCTACGACCTCCGATAGTCAACAGCTGCTGACAGACGAGTAGGAAGAAGACAACCCCACACTTCACATCGTAGCAGCTTTTTTGCTGTACGATGGCCGCCATCACAAAGACGATGCCATCTTCGAGATGATGCATGCCGAATCCACCTTTCCCAGACTCGTCGAACTGGTCCAGATGGACGCCGTGCAAGAGGATACTAGCCTGCATCAGTTGCTGCTGGAGCTTCTGTACGAGTCCTCGCGCGGTCAACGTTTGACCTGGGATGATTTCAGTACGTGGAGGGAACTGCAGCCAGTGCGGTCCCCATGATTGGGGTCTTGGGCTAACGTGTGTTGTTCATAGTGGCCGTAAACGACGCTTTCATAGTGTACCTCCTTGACATTATTGAGGGTGCTTCTGACGATGCTGAAGACCCATACCATTACACGGTCATTCGTGTCCTAGTACGTCTGGAATGTTAAACTATGATGCCGCGAGCTGACGTTTGGTTAGCTGGTCCTGAACGAGCAATACTTGGTAGCCTCCACGACCAACCACAGCGACGGCCGACACCGAATGACGAATCGAGTTATCAAGGCCATATCCACCCATGGCCTGACCTACAAGACATTCGGTTGCAATCTCATACTGTTGTTAAACAGAGAGTCTGAGACCTCTCTTCAGTTGTTGATTCTCAAACTTCTGTACCTTCTCTTCGGCAACTCTTCCACAGCGGAGTATTTTTACACCAACGATCTACACGTTCTGGTCGACGTTATCCTTCGAAATCTTATCGATCTTCCCCACGACTCTCCAGCTGCAAGTGCGCTACGACATACATACCTTCGGGTGCTGCACCCGATCTTGTTGCATAGCCAGATCAGCAAGCCACCACACTACAAGCGCGAAGAGCTGTTGAGATTACTTCATCTCCTTGTCAGTAGCGGCACCCACTTTGCGCCTGTAGACGAGACTACACAACGGCTGGTAACACGTTGTACAAGTGTACAATGGTTGCAACCGAGCGCCAACGGTCACAACAGCCTGACTTCTCCGGTAGATCCCGTTATCACAGGCCAAAAAGAACTTGCACGCCGTGCCCTCGGCATGTCTGTGGATGGCGGCGGTGAAAGCTCAACAAGCGTGCTCGCAATCGCGACACACACCGTCCAGCCAGGTGTTCAAACGCCGAGTGTTGGCAAGCTAGCAAGCTAGCAAGCCTAGTACAGTAATGCAGCTCCTCCACTTCTTCCACGGAGGCTTGTCAGTTTTGCGTATGTTGCTCGTTATACATGCGCTCCTTGCACACCGGAAGTTGTCAAAATTCTCAAGAGTCCTGAAGCCTTTGACATTGCAGCTTTAGTCATATTCTGGTATGAAATGAGGGCGGCATCAACGGCGTTTCGGGGTTTCAACGTTCCATGGTCAAATTGACGCGAATCATGGTGTTTTCTGCATAGTTTGCTGGGATTCTGCGGTTCGTCATCATCTCTCACTCGCTTTCTCATCTCAGCACCATATACATTGCTTTAGTCTTCACATGCCTGGCAGCTATTGATACCCCTAATTATGATCCTTTCCTCGGTCATTCTGAGACAATGGCTTGCTCGCGTTGCACAACTCTGATTATTGCCAAGTACACCGGGCGATCTCGTAAAGTTTGTACATGTCAGTCATGTGGCTGCCCTTTCTACACCGGTCGCACATTGCGAAAAGTATCCGGAGCCGCGGGTTTTCCTCAACGCTGCCTTACTACGAAAGCGATCTACATATCTCGATGCCGCCAAGATTGCCCAGCCTTGGGCGATGTACTTGTACATCGAAACCTTCTCAAGGGATATTTAGTCCGGCTAAACTCAGGCATAAACCCCAGGTGACCCGCGCATCTAGTTGGATGGTTCTACAGCATGCGCCACAATGTACGTACCCCCGCATCAGACAAGGCGCCAAAGGGATGTGCCGCAACGAAGCTGCGACCAAGGCCAGCGGAGTCTTGGCTTCCCGCCAGTCTAGATGAACCACTTCGACGCCTCCTTACGGCTGCAACCCAAGACTTCTCCAAGCCGGAACCTGGAAGTGTGTTTGCTTAATTTGTCTGGAGCGGCATTTCTTGACTCTAGTCCGGTGTTGCAATTTGCAATTGTATTTCCACCTTCAGACTCAGGCTATCCATGTGACATCCCACAGCAAAGTAATCGCGCATCGAGTCTGACAACGCAGATCTTCTCAAAGAGGCACGTCTGTCCCTGGAGAAGGGTCGGAGCAGTTTCCGGGAAGTACAACATGGCAACTCGGCAAGCGAAGTGGCAATATACCTTACTTACATGGCTACCATGAGCCAGGCCTTGCATCGGAGAACTTGTGCGGCCATACTCTGCAGCAAGACACGGGCACAACGCATGAATAGACCTTACCTGGCCTTACTAATGATACAGAGCGCGAACCTCCGAGCCTCTGAAAAGCTTGAGACAATGGGAAGTAAGTAACTAAGCCTTCTCGATAACATGTGCATACACCACGCAGCCCGATTTCTTTTTCCGGTTGTGTAAACGCCTCACCAATCTACGCTGAACTGGTACGAAACACAGCATCTGCCGATCCGTACTCCTTGTACAAATCTGCCGTCAGCAACCCCCAACGACGGTTACAGAGCCTCTGGTAATCTACAGCCTGCGCGATTACTGCAGCCTTCCTTGGAACGAATCTTGGCTGCCGGGCCAGCCGCCAGCCACACCCGCGCGCGATACACGAAGCACTGCCAACGGTTCCCACGGACATGATATCCGTCTTGGAGTGGTGCTTGTGGGACTGGAATGCGGCCCAGGATTCAAATGCCGATCTACAGTACTCTGGCTGGCGCTTTCCCGAATACCAGAATGCACGCGTAATCAGACCACTCTCGCGTGCCAGAGTGGCTCCAGCGCACATGAGTCGAGATCGTGGGGATTGTGGAGTAGGCTGGCAGGAATCCTTCGACGCGAGGTGGAGACGATCGTCGTTGGGGTTGCGTGGCCCGCTGATTCAAAGCCCACGGGCGATGGGTCAAATACCGATGGAGAGGTGTTTTGTTCCAGACGGAATAAACTGTACCGTCGGCTTCTGAGCAGCGTCATTGCCAAGCAGCGAGGTCAGAATGGCTGCAAACGGATGCGTCCAAGACATGTCGACGGAGAGATGGACCACAAGTAGATTGTCTTATCCCATCAATGAAATCCTCGCCCCCCGGACATCTACCACATACCCGCTATCTTGCTCACCTCATTGTATTGTTCCAGCACGCTGGACCCCACGACGTCCGCAAGATTCGGTACGCATGCAGCTTTCTGCGCTGTAATCGAGAAATGGCATGTACGCACACACGCACGCACGCACTGCGCCTCCACGGCCCTCCCGTGCGCGGAACTGACATGTGCGCACGTTTGATCTGATTACCGATTGACGTTATCGAACCGATACCTACCTGCATTGTGTGTGTGTTGCGTGTCTCCGCATGTCATCCAGCCGCCACCATGAGCATTTTGACGTTACAAACGGCCCTTCTCTACCCTGATCGCCATGATTCCAAGTTTTTCTTGGGAATGCGTAATCAACACAAGACAGTGTCCAAGAATCTTGGATGTGTGCGAGAACTGCCGGTTCGGCGCGGCGCTTTTTTTGGAGGCGTGTTTTGCTTTGCTGGTGGCTATATGCGTGGGGTGGGCTATAGGATCGCCACATATCGATACGAGCACTGTACCTCCGGGACTTGGTCGATGCTGTGTTATAGACTGTGCGGCTGACATGCGGTTCGGGGCAGGGTTGGCACGTTTTGCAAATTCCGCGTGCACGACATTTGTTTGTGTAGGTACATATTCCACATTGCATTATTGCTGCCCAACGGGATGAGTGTCTTGGTAGCCCCCTTTACTTGCACGACGAAGCGAGGGAGAGAGGAAGCATTGTTCGACAAGTGGTAAAGTTTTGATTAGGAAAACAAAAAATCTATACTGAATAAAACCGTGGACCGATGCTCAACCACATCCCTGGGGAGCTCCTTGCGCCTACGTCTCCACCGATGAAGGGGAAAAGAAGAACACGCTGAGGCCTTCATGTCAGAAGCTAGAATAAGTAAAACGCCATCGTGAATCTATCGCTAGCCCGTTGCATGAAAAAAGTCCTTTTTCGCTGAATGAGAAAGAAGTGAAGAGAAGTGTCATACACATGGTAGGCCGGAGCAATACCATGTCGCAGCGTCCACTGTGTGAAGGCCGAAAATTTATAAGTTGGGGTATCCGCAAATGAAGGTGAATAGGTATTTAGACCATGCGCTCGGGGCGGTCGATCTTGTCGCTGGAGTTTTGCCGAGAGGGCAGCTCGCTCTGTACGCGGGTAGGTGCTTGCGAGAGGCAATCGCCTTCGCTCATGTAGCCCTTCTCGCCGACGGGGTCGACGTGGCGGCCGAGCTTGCGTGCAATCTTGGTGCGGACCATCTCGCCGTCTACGCAGGGCAGGTACCATCGCGCAACCACCATGCAGATGAAGGAGATGAATAGGCAGAAGCCCGACCACATTTGCAGAGTGAGGTACGTGTTGTATGTCGTGATGAGGTGTCCTGCAATGACAGGCCCGGTAAGCGCGGGAATGGCGGCGAAGCTGTACATCATGCCGGTCCAATGGCCCAGCTTCTTCTTTGCGAAACCAAGTTCCCCAACTTTGGTGTATGTGCAGTTGAGGATGTTGGCGATGGAAGCCGGAGGGCAGCCAATGACTGTGCCAGAGAAGAGACCAAAGATGACACAGAAGCCGATGGCAGCATTTTCAGATTTGGCTAGGGGCCACATGACGAGGACGAGGATAGAGCAGATAATCTGGGCAGCACTGTGCATGTTGAGTGCGCCGACCCTGTCGGAGAAGTGTGCGAGGAGGAGTCGTCCTAGTGTTGAGGCACCGTTCATGATGGTGAGGAGCCAGAAGGTCTCAATGGGTTGATTGGTCTCCTCTGTAGGCGTGATGCTACCGACGCCGTCACGGGTACCGTAACCTTGTACTGATGCCCACTGATGCGATGTTAGTACTATTCATCCACGAGAGCTGACTATGCTTACCTCTTCAATGTTGAAGAAGACTGGATAGAAGCCAAAGAACATGAAGGCGACGGCTGCAGTGAACCACCAGAAAGACCGATTGGTCTTTACGTCAGTATCGAACCATGTTCGCTTGGCCATCCACGTCTTTGGCTCGTGGTGGTCGTGGTCTGGGTTAGGCGCAGCAAAGATGAAGGAGAAGATGCAGGTGATTGAAGTGAGCCCTGCAACACAGCGGACGGCATTGTTGAAGCCCAGGGACAGGATCAAGTAGCGGAGCATCGTGGGGTAGATGACACCTGCAACACTGGCACCGCACGCAACATAGCCGACCGCGAGGCCTCTGCGCTTTGGGAACCATGTTGAAGCGACTGCAGTGTCGTTAGTTTGTGATTGATCTGGCGAGATGCTTATGACTCACCTTGAGAACTGGAGACGAAGAAGGGTGCCATGCCCAGGCCGACCATGAGGCCTTGAAGGCCCCAGATGGAGCCAAAGTTGGCAAGGGCGCCGATGTCTGAGGGATGGACCACGGAGAGGAGGAAGAGGCCCAGAGGCACACAGATTGAGCCAAATCCAATAACGTGGCGGGAGTAGCCGGCATCCAGAAGTCGGCCAACTGGGTTAGACAGCAACAGAACGAGGAAGGACTGTGTCGATCCAATAAGGTTCAGCTTCAGCTGATCTGTTCCAAGAAGTGAGTGGCCAACATAATATGAAGACCATGTCCCGTAGGCATTTACGAGGCCCCAGGAGTTGAACATGAGGAAGAAGCAGCCGAGCAAGCAAGCGTAGGCCCGCCATGAACGCGGCCAGTCTGGCTCGCTGCCGGACTGAAGTGAGGTTTGTGACATGTCTCGAATCGTGCTTGTTTGTGTAGGTGCACTAGAGAAAGGCAGCGTCCCCTCACTGCCTTTGCGGCTCGTTTTATCGAACGAGCGTGTCATGTTTGCGGTGAGTGCGGTGAATGTGTGGTGTTTGAAGCAGCGTGGGGTGAAGGTTCAAAGAGGAAGTCGCAAACCAAAAGTGACAAGAAGGCGGTGACGTGTGAACAGAAACGTGCTCAACACTGATGTATTGGTTGGAGAGGGTCCGCGCTCGATAAGACGCTCTGGGTTTGCAGTAGGGCGCCAGAGTCTGAGCGGTGGACGATCGAGATATAAGTACTGCAGCGCTCCGGTACTCCCGTGGGTAGACGGTTCGATCTGGGGTATGTACCAAAGAGATTGGGTGCTGGGTAGTGCTCCACTCCCACCCAAAGCACGCGCGTTGGCCCCGTATGGCTGACTCCTTGGGCTTCACCCATAGTGACGTGGTAGTCAAACCGGTCGTGTAATGCAGATTACCCTAGAAAGCTGGGGGTACACAAGCAATGCAAGGAAACAAGCCCAAGAACGGCCAAGGATGGTGGCCCACCATGGCTGCGGAAGGCACGACTCCGCCTGCCTTGGGTGTCTGTTTGTCGTTGAGCCTAGAGGCCGGCTATGCCGCATGCAGTCCCAAGCTCTTCACCGATACGGACCGCGGAATGACGCCCATCTGCGAATGCACAGCGCCGGCTCCATATTAGCGTTGATTACTGCCCACGGCATCTGAGGCACCCATCTGGGAGTTGAACAGCAGTATTCACCCGACAGGGAGATGCCAGCTGCGCTCACGGTCCCTCACGGCCCTGTCTCGTCCGAAGCAGCGCCTTTGCCCGCTATCCGTCCATGTCATCACATGCTTGTGGAAGAGGGCGGACAAGCACCATCATCGTACATGATGCATATCACTGCCCACCAACTACAGCATTGTGCCCCAGTATCGCACGCTGATAGGCGAGCCTAGCCAGAAACGTTCCACAGGCGTGAAGCCATCCGGCAGTGGCTCTTGAGAATAAGGGATGAGGAGGTGGCTTGTCCAAGGGTACCCAAGTGCAAGCGGAGCGGGCCTTCTACTTGGCGCTGTTCTCAGCGGAGGCCTTGTCGATTGGGCCGGTCGGTACGTGCCACAAGCCAAGAAAGTGATGTACATTGACATAGATACCGCCTTGGCGGGCTCCACTTGGCTCATCAATGTACAGAATGCAGATGTTGTACTCCCATAGTATAACGGCCGAAAGTCCAGGCCCTTCCGGAACAAAGGGAAAATGCATTTCTAACGGCAGCACAAGCCAAACATTCTCCAATTTACTGGCATCAGAGCCTGGCTCTAGTGACGACAGAACATTTTCAGCACCGTGGTTTCGTCGACAGTGTCACAAATCCGCCAAGATTTGGCATCGCAACAAGATCATCCAGCAGTCCACACGTGCTGGGGTCTGGTGCTTCGTTATCTTGACACAGCCTCAATTGCTTGTCGCTGTGCGAGCCGGCGGCTCAGGGATCGTCGTAATTCTCTTGGCACTGGAGTTCTGTGCCCCACGCTGCCGGCTTCTCTCCATCCTTTTTTTCGAGCCGCCTCAGGAAGATAGGACTGTCTTAAGGGAACGCGATCTTCGTACGGCCGAGGCGGCACTTATCAAGTCCCAAAACAAATAATCCATAGGGACATGACGCAGATTGGCTGCCCACAAGCTCACGACATCACATTGTGCTGTGACACGATGGACGTTCGGCTCCCCTGTATCCGCGGGTAGCGGCAAGTCGCCAGGGCAAGTCGATTGTAATGTTGGTCCGATGATTTGGTGCTTTCGGCGGTACTCTGGAAGTTTGATGGTAGCGTGGAAGGCGAGCGAACAAACCGGCTCGGTGTCTGAGGTGAGAAGATCTGCAGTTTCGCCTCAGAGAACTCAGAGAAACGCCAAGATGATCTTCAACTGGGAATCCTTTCCCGTCCGAAATAGGCAACGCTCAAATACCAGATTCCCAAAGAGGGTTTCCTCTGCCAGTTTCGAGACGAGGCTCGGCTGCGCATGGCAGTGTGAAGAGGATGTCTGGAACGTGGCCAGTCCCGACTTCTTCCTAGGTCATTGCAGATCTGTCCTTCATGACTGCGCAGCAAACATCATCCAACCCACGCTGCCCGGCCGCGGTTGGAACTTCTTCTTTTCTCTCAACTGAAGATGTCTTGCAGTTCAGCACGGCCTGCCAAACAGAACGCGTACACTCTGCAGTCATGCTGCGTCTCGCCACGCTAGCAGTGAATAGCAAGGGTATGAGCTACATAGGTATACATTATGATGACATCGCCAGCAGTGATAGCAAAGGACAGTCTGCTTTCTGCAACCAGGATGCTACGTCAGAAGCCTCGCGTCTAGGCCCACACCTTATCCGATTCATGGAGTAGCTCCACCGTCGACTCCAGGTCAAGCCTGGGGCAGCGTCGTGACTGATCTCAACTTGCATGTCTTTGCTGACCTCAACATTTTGCGTGCCTTGCATTATTTGGGCTGTTTGAAGCGCCCGACATCACATACTCGCCAAATTCCCGCCCGGCCCGTCCGCACATACGCTCAACACATTTCTATTTTCAAGTCCACGAGTCGCATGTGATAAGCACAGATGTATCGTCGGGCTCCAAGGCGAAGAAGCAATATGGGATTGGTCGGAAAAGGGGTTCGTCACAATATTACTGTGCGCCAGGTCACCTGTGTTCATGCGCAATCCAATGCACCACGTGGTGGCCGGTGCTTACTTTGCGAACCTCCAGCTTCCGTTCCACGCGGATATATCTCCTAGCGCTATCATCGTGAGTTTTGTACATCACAGCGATCACTTCTCTGTTTCTGAATTGACTTTTGCCATGCCTTCAGTTCGTCAATGACGCACCGTCAGCACGTGGCGAACTCTTGGCCTATTGTGCATCTGGTAGGCACGACTCAGCACCCTGGAGTATGGTTTCGCTCGCCCTAGATTTCCAAAGCCTCCAAGGCCTCAACACCCCTTTATTACAACATCCTGACGAAAATCATCACAGATCTCGCTTCAGTCTGTGCTGTTCTAATAAGCAAATACGAGCGGAGCGGAGAGAAACGCCAGGCTCCCTCCTCTAAGCGAGCCGCATTAATTTTAGTCAAGATCAGGCCATCAGGCCACCTCCTCCCCGTCCTGCATCCGCACCCTCGACCGCCCGACTACGTACGGAATGGCTGCAGGCGGAGCGGAGCAGTCGCTCCAGTCAAACCCGAGGGCTACATGGCGGAAACGGAGCATACGCAGATGCTCCATACGAGACACGCGACGACGACATTGCGCGGCCGCCTGTACGCATGTTCCATGGCAGAGTCGCGACCTGTGCGGTATCACTCTATCCATGAGAGAGAACGCCACTGTTCGGAAGAGACGGCAGCGCCTTGGAATTAGTACAAGGGATGCCCAGAGCAAACAGTTGTGAAGCGGAGTGGAGCGGAAGTCAAGAGTTAGCATTGTTCGCCACTACCAAGTCGGACCGTCGTCCAGTGCCAACAGCTGCCAATCTCTACAAGCAAAATATTCGGCCCATTGCCAGAACGCCGGAAGTTGGACCCAACAGAGCGTATTTCGGGTAGCTTTTGGGTCGCAAGGTGGTGCCGGGGCGGAGCGAGCAATCCATGTCACAATCGGAACGAGTGAATGGCGCCCAGCGTGAGCGGAGAGGAGAGGAGCGGACATCTCGAAACACATGTTTCGCCCGCTGTCACAACTCAGCCACAACGCTTTGCCTAGGCGGCTGGCTTCCCGGTGGCTGTTTTGGAAGTGAACGGAGGAGAGCGAAGCAAGTCGCCTCCCTCCTATCGCGGTTTCCAAGCGCAACACATGTCAGCCTTGTCTCTCATGACATGAGTAGTGAGTGATGGTCTCCGATGGAGAGTCATCAACGGGGCTGCAACAGGGCAAGACTTGCATGGATGCAAGCGGACCTGCAGCGGATGTAGGATGAATGATCAACTCGTCCGCTTGTCCGCTCGTCCGTATACCGCAACACACCGGTTCCACACGGACCGGTGAACACTATTTAACTGGATGCTTGCACTTCATTCAGTTCAGTGGATTGAGACATCGCGGCATCACTCGTACACGAGTAGATCATCGACGCTGCACCTGGAGCATATCTGGTCTAGATGCATACAAATCAGCTCAGTGTCTAAGGACCGGTCGTCTTACCACTGCTGGCTGTATACATCGTCCTAGCTATATAGACGCTGTTCGCGACATCACTGCTACAAGTGATAGGTCGCACCTCGAGGTCGACGGCGACATGTACGATGCTCCTATACAAGGAAGCATTCTGGCCGATGATCTTAACGGTCTGATTCCATGTAGGATTAGCGATGCTGCATCCACGTTATACATGAACTACACGCAACCTGAAGTTCACGTGAAGGTAAGTGACGTAGGTTTCTCAAAATGAAGATTCATTGAGCAATGTCATTCACATGGGCAGCATGGGTGATTTGTGGTGGAATAGAAAACCATCGTCTAATGTGAAGAATAGTAGTCAATTAGTCTAGCTACCAATGCTCAGTCGCTAGAAAGACCCTCCATGATGAACGCCGTGCACCGTACCCCAGCTCAAGGACCAAAGTTATTACGGCATCCCTCGCTCGAACCCAATCATCTGACGGGAACACCAGCAGCATCGGCACAAACAATGTCAGCCCCGATGTCCCTCGGTGCTCCCGTCAAGCCTGCGACGTCTCTTGACGTCCGGCTACGCTCACAAGCGGTCTAGACGCCCTTGATAGCGACAGTCCTCTCGCTGTTCAGCCTCTCCGCATTCCGCTCATGGCTCTCCTTCTTGCAGTCCTCGAGGCCCTCGCACTTGTGATCCTCGAGCAATCGGTGCTTGCCGCAGTAGTGACCCGAGCAGAAGCCGCAGTCGCCGACGATGCGCTGCGCCGCGTCCTTGCACTCCTTGAAGCTGCAGCGAATCTTCTTGGGCGGCATTCCGCCGCGCAGCGGCAGAGCCATGTGAAGGGTGGCGTTGGGCGGGATGGCGTAGGATTCCAGCGTTGACGACGGCGACGTCAGGTGCTTGCCGGCGTGCACGAGGCGCAGGTCCGACGGAGTGGAGAGGTTGGTGCGCAGGGCAAGAAGGGAGCGTAACGTCGAGATGGACGTGGACGAGGGTATGCTGAGGGGGATTGCTGGTGCGGCGGTTAGCATGTGATGCAGCCATGATGGAGTGGGTGAGACGTACTGCTGTCGCCGGAGACGGTCTTGATGAAGATCTGCATTGTCTCTTCGCTTTCAGAGGCCGAAGAGCTGATGCTCGAGATACTGGAAGAGCGGCGCATACTGGCAGTGTGTGGTGTGGTGTGGCGTTGCGTGGGCGAGTGAGTGTGCGGTTGCGATGTCGGTGGCGGTGGTTGACGTCGATAGGCACGGCGAGATAACGGAGATGTCCGCAGTCAGAGGAAGGTTGATGGAGAAGGGAAGAGTGTCGCGTGGGCAGGAGCAGCAGGTAATATATGTACGGGACGCAGCTAGATTGCGTGACTAAAGAAGGGTGACCCGGTGGTTGCCTTTTGCTATAGTTCGCCGCACGAGTAATCGGCAACGATACGGTGAAAGTGAAGGGGAATGGCGGCGAGTCGTTAGAGTTGGAGGAGGTGACGCACGAGGGCTGCGGCGCTTCTTTAAAGGAAAGGGCCAACTATGCCGAGCACGCATGCATCATCCACATCACGACACAACACATCCAGAGCTGTGGACGGGGGGTTCTCGAGCCGGCATGTGTTCGCTGCTCCTCGCCTCACCTGGCCCACCGATGCACCCAAGTATTGACATGAGCTGGAGATGCCTGCACACCATCGTCTGACTAACCGAGGCTGTGCCCTGCGTAGGTTCCATCCGATTCCATATCGCCCGCGACCCTGCAGGAGACTGGCTTCTGGCCGAATGCAGGAACCAGACTTCCATCAAGCATAGTCGCTTTGAAGCCGTTACACAAATACAATCTTCTTTGTCTTCAAGATCGCGTCGCTGCAACCCTGGTCTATCTTCGCACTCGCCGGACCTGCCTTTCGCAGGTGACACGTATCTGAGCGCGCATCGCTTCATGCACAATCTCATTGCCCATTCCAGATCTGCGCATCATGCACGACGGGCCGTGTAACACGTGGACGGCGTTGGCAAGGGCGCATTGATTGTGCGACATGGCTCTTTGACGACAACGTCTTTATCGATTCGTGCCATCTTCATCTCGTGAGCTGTGGTAGACTATCAACTCTGCATCCTTTTAACTACACTTGGGCCACTAAGTACTGCGAATAATTATTCGGTGCGACTATTAGCAGCTTCCTCTTCTTTCCAAGTCCAAGTACGCCATCCCTCTCCAACCCGTGCAATCTCACCACCCACGGTTCTGGGCGCCACGAACCAAACACTACGAAACACACCATCTCACATGGTCTTCCCCGCAACATCGCCAACTATTTCCAATCTGCTAGTGTCACTTGGATATTTCTGGAACGGTCGTATCGTAATGCCCAGCTCAAATAAGGTTTGTGTGACGTTTCAAGGCATTTTGGCATAGGAACCATTTGTCGATGCTAATCGCCTGCGTGACTCTATCACTAGGAACCCTGGACTAATTTGCTACGGGGTTGATGGTGGCACGATGTATATCCGCGATGGTGAGATGGGCATCTCACGTCAGATGATGATGATGTTGAAAGTATTTGAGAAGGGTGCGAATGGTCGAGTAGCATTCCTGCATGTCGTACAGAACCGATTGATCTCCTCAGAGAGAAGCATGTCCCCTTTCAGTCTTCAGAGAGTTGAACAGCTGCTCATTGTGACTTGGACTCCTCATCACATTCACTTTGAGCATGTGCAAAGCTACTAGGGCTTGTTACACGCGCCTATATCACCCTCACAGACGCGCCCCTTAGAATCGCTTTTGAGCGAACAGGACCTCCAAAAGCAATCACATGCTGACAAGAAAAGACATGCACCGGACACAAAGCTATTGGGAGTATAGTGCCATGAAAGGGGCATGCTGTATCTAGCAATGATCGCACTCGAAGCATTGTAGATCGGCCAGGACAATCGCCATCTCCAAGAAATTGCTTACACACCCAGAATTGTGGATCACTTGCACTGCACCCCTTCCTATCTGATGCCAGACAAAAAATATGCATTTGGGAATAAACTTGTCATATCATACAAGTCAAAGTAATAAAATTATAATGCTAAAGGACGTACTCCAATATGAAGCACTCGGGTAAAGACGAAGAATGTAATCCCAAACCCTCTACAACATACTCTTGGGGAAGTTCTTATACGCCTGCCTGACTCCCAAATCTCCCAAAATCTCTTCCGTCCCGCCCAAAATCGCATCAAACTTGTACGTCCGATGGAACTGCTCCACCACGCGGCCCATACCCGTCTGCGTCAGCCCCCTCCCACCGAAAATATTCACCGCCTCATCCGCAATCTCGTGCGCAGAGCGCGTGGCAAAAGACTTCAAGAGCCCAATGGGCCCACCCAGCACAGTTGACTGCTGCTGGTAGCTCATGTTGCACATTTGGTAGGCGATGGATTCGAGCCACGCCTGGTTGGCCTCGACGTGAGAGATCATTTTGGCGAGTTTTTGGCGGATGGCGGGCTTGCTCGATGAGTTTCTTGCCAAAGACCATGCGCTGGTTGCACCATTTGAGGCATTCTTCGACGACGGTGCGGGATTGTCGGATTACGCCGCAGGCCATCATGAAGCGCTCGTGGTTGAAGTTGGACACTGAGGTATTGTTAGAGGTTGTAAGATGCGAGGGGGTGGAGTTTGACTTACTGATTACGATGAAGCCTTGGTGCTCCTTTCCGAGAAGGCCTTCGACGGGGACTTTGGTGTTGTTGAATTCGACGTATGCGGTACCGGCGGCTGTGGAGTAGCTGGTCTTGATCAACTTTGTCTCTACGGTGTCATCCCTGGGGATAAGGATGACGGAGAAGCCGCTCTCTGTCTTGCAGCCTGTGACGAAGTAGTCGCAGAACATGCCGTTGGTGATCCACTTCTTCGTGCCCCGGATGATGTAGTGCTTGCCATCAGGTGTCTTCTCCGCAGTGGTGCGCAGTCCAGCGACGTCTGAGCCCGCGAATGCCTCGGTGATGGCGAGGCAGATCTTCTTCTGGCCAGTCAAGACCTCGTTGACCACACGTGTCTTCAGCTCACTTTCTGGCATCCACTGCAACACTGCTGTCAATGAAATCATCATGCCAGCCATGTTGCCATCCTGGAACCCTCGAGCATTCGCACGTACACCCTCTTGCGCCTGGACAAGATCGTGCAGGTAGTCAAACTCCTCGCCCTTTACCACGCCCATCAAGTTCTTGCCATGTAGATGCTTTCCCGGCCCAAGGCGCATAGCCAGAATATCATTCGCAGCCATCTTATCAATCAGCTCCTGGCTGATGTACTCGCCACTCTTCTCCTTCGCCTGAGCCTCGGGTGTGATGTGCTCGTCGGTGAACTTGCGCAATTCCTTCTGCAGCGCCCTGTGGCTCTCCTTGAAGTATGGGCTCTTGAACTGCGGTCGGAGCCATAGTGGCTCGGCGTACGGAACTGGGCTCAAGTCGCCGAACTTGGGCACGATGACTTCCGACTTCTCGCCTTCGATGGTGCCGATGCACAGGTCCTCGTACTTTTGCAGGACTTCTTGTCGGTGCAGGTTGTAGAAGGCGATAGTGGCATCGGTGCCAGCTACCTGCTCGAGAACGACTGAGCCACCGGGGTGGGCATCGACGAAATCAGTCAGGTCGTAGACCTTGTGGTCGACAATGCACCAGAGATCGTCTGGCTTGTTATGCTTTGCGACGGATTCGCGCGTGAGTGTTTCTTGCGACATGATGGCGATTTGAGGTGGTCAGGGGCGAAGAGGAATGGGGTAGAAGGAGAGCGAGGCTTTTGCTACATTTTGCGACCCAGAAGACATTTGGCCTCGGTCTGAACTGCAAGCTAACCCGCTCCGCGCTGCAGTCCGCGTCTGGTGGAGTCGCGAAAGGTCGAAAGCTGGGGTAAAGCCGAGGCTCATCAGCAGAGACATGTGTGATGTTATTGGCTGCATCCTAAGCCTTCCTCTCTCGCATCCGACATGTCAAATGCCATCTTGCCGATGAAATACCATCAAATTTATATCGAATTCTTACGAACAGAAGGCTCATGCAGGGATATCGATGTAGTCAGGTCGGTACGAAGGCTCTCATTCACTTGCTGCTACTAGACCAGCGAAGCAACAGGAGCGTAAACTGTCCCATCTTTGACGCGTGCATTTTACATTTCTCACCTTCTTTCTTTGCAACCAAATCCTCGACTCTGTGATGATATCATACACAGATCGCTACGTCTGTCTTCCGCATGAGTTTCCAATCTAAATGAACACCACCATCACTTCTTTCTTCTCAACACATCACTAATGTCTATCGTCAGCGAGATGTATGAGATGCTTCAATATATCTTCTCTAGGCTTGTTGGCATTCTGCTGGTTCTGGTCTAGGCGACCATCAGACCAGATGGTACCTGACTAGATGCAGCACTTATGTGTAATAGTTCATCGTCAATTCCTATTACAGCAATCACTCACATGGTGGCCTCAAACCAAACTGCAGGTTCTTCCACTACGAGGTAAAGCGTATAGGGAGATTATATAGCCTGAAGCTATATACATATCACGAGTCTTCGATTGCGATGGCAAGGCAGAGTGCATAGCTCCAGGCTACTAGATGGGCAGTCTACTGCTGCACCTAATTGCTTTGCGTTGTAGCTGAGAAACTGTGATCTTCTCGAAACGTCTTTGTAATGTTAAGGGTAGCTCGACTTTGGGAAAAGCTGTATATTGAGAATAAGCGAATCAAAAACCGGAGCTGAGAGTAGACGGCGGCTTACTCCTCCGACATAGATAGCATTGAGGGAAGGCGCAGTGTAAAGGGATTGGAAGGCGCGAGCAAAGCACACATGCGAGCGCGGGATGGTCTGAACACTTAAAGAAAACCGACGGAAGTTGACTTATGGTCTTGTTCTTCTACACTAATGTGAGCCCTTCTGATCGCTGCATCATGGCTTTTATTCTAGAATCTGTACCTATCAATTGCACGTTGCAGTATACCAACGAAGCACAAGCGACCTATGCTCCCTGCCGACGTTCCACACGTGCGATGTTTCCCTCATGTTCTCGCGACTTCATCTACGGCTTGGGTATATGTAGGGTCTTGCTGACCATGAGACAACCATGTAGCACAAACATGAACACGACGGGATGGAACTCCAAGGCCGATCCCTCCAACCACAAGCCCAAAGGAATCTGTGCCAGCGTCCAGCCCTTGTAAACCCAGAATGCCATGGTTTGCACGAGAATCAAAGACATGGGAATCGGCGTGCCTTCAAAGTACTGAGACTTGCCAGACGCATCCTTGGGAACCATGGCGACAGTGACGTTGAAGCGCGCAAGACGAGTGAGACCGCAGAGAACGAAGAAGGTAAGCAGCAGGTGGTCGACAGGTGTGCGGAGACCGAGACTGAAGGCGGCGGCGGCGGGACCTACACCGAAAGACACCTGGTTTGTGGTGTTAGTGGTGCAAAGAGGGGCGCCTAAAGCATATCAAAACGTACCAAGTCGGCGAGAGAGTCCAGTTCCTGGCCCATCAGACTGGCCTTCTTCCTCCATCTAGCAACCTTGCCGTCCATGAAGTCGAAGAACAAGCCGAGCGGCACGAAGCCTAGCGCAAGGTAGAGGTTGGTGTAGTTGTGCGGGTTGTCTTGAATGCAATAGCGGAGCGATGAGAAGACGGACATGACACCACAGAAGCCTGATCATATTGTTAGAGACTGTGCGTTCCTTCTACATGGTCAGGAGAATATGTCCATACCATTGAGCTCGGTAATGAAATCTGCAAGGTGGAGGGCGCGGATGAGGGAGAAGTGACCGGCATCCTGGCTAAGTAGACGGACCTGCTTGTCTTGCGCTGTACAAAATTAGTGTATGCCCTCCTTAATGATCACTTCGTACAACTCACTAAGATCCTCCGCCGGCGGCATAGAGTCCTTGGACGCTTGCGGCGCGCCGTTTCTTCGCGACATGCTGCCTGGAGTATGAGGAAGCGGTGTGTTGATGTTGAGGACTAAACGGCCAAGAGGTCTTGGCTTGAAGTAATTAGAAATGAGGAGTGTGGGAGTAGGCGTAAGGGTCCAAGTCCGAAGATGTGGGTGTGCCTGTTGTTATGTCGCTCAGGCTGGTGACGCGGATCTTTCATTCAAGTTTAACGAGAACGACCTGCGCACACGCTGCGTCATAGCCGGGTCTAGCCACAATTGCAGACCGCCATGTGATTTGCCGAGTTCTGCTGTTTGCATGCGACTGCGACAGTGTTTCTGCATTGTACTTGTCGCAAACACGTGCAATTGGTCCCAGGCATGTTTCTTCAGTAATGAAATGCATCGCAATGTACAGGCAGGATTTGGACATTTTGAGACTTTGGTGAGACTTTGATTCGGCTCACGAACGCATGCAGCCCAATAGCTATAGACACTTAACACGGAACATGTACCATCATCTTAATTGCTCCTTTTCACGTTGAAACACAGTTGAACTAGATACGAGTCCCGGGCAGCCCTTTCAAACAATGCCCAACACGGCGCCGTATGTTGGATCTTTTACATAGCCCCATTTGAACTCCCAAACGCCGTCGAATGATGATCGTGGTATCGGCTGGTAATAGTCGTGACACTCAAGCAATCCATAATAAGGAAGAATCGACCTTCTCGTGGTGCTCAAGGGAAGGCAGGGTGACGAGCTCGAAAGCAAATCACTCTTAGTAACCTCCACGTCCGCGGCCGCCAAAGCCACCACCACCACCACCGCGACCACCTCGTGAGAAGCCACCGCCGCCTCCACCTCTTGAGAAACCACCGCTGCCTCCGCGGCCACCGCCAAATCCGCGGGATCCTCCACGTCCACCTCGATCGCCAAACCCGCCTCGTCCTCGTGGTGCGCCACGGCCGCGACCTCCACGTGCGCCGCCTCCACGACCACCGGCACCAGCTGGCTTCTTAACTCTTGCCGCACCTGGGGCAGGCTTGGGCTTCGGTAGGAAACGGTCGAGCGGCAGGAGTTTGTCGCCACCGATGTAGAACTTGTCGCCGGCCTTGAATGACTTCGCTTGTATGCCTTCCTGGGGCTTGATGGTGAAGAAGACCTGGTTCAATGGGCCGAGGATCTCGTCGACTTTGCCGATGGGAGTCTGCAGTCGCGATTAGTTTGTTGCATCATCTGCATAGTGTTCGGAAGTATATACCTTGTTCTCTAGGTAGACTGGCGCATTGAAGTAGGGGATCTTGGTGTTGATGGACTCGCAGAACATTTCGTTCTCGACGTCGTGCACGAATTTGCCCATCTCTGAAAGGCTATTAGCTGCGCCACTGCAGTGCGATAGAGACGCGCATACCGAAAACCTGGTCTGGGGGCCCGAACGAACGTTCTCCTCCGAAACCACCGCGTCCTGCTCATGGGTCAGCTATAGCTCCTGCAGAGCTTCTGCGCCAGTGCTACACACCTCCACGGGGAGTGAATCCGCCCCTTGAACCGCCGAAACTGCCGCCTCGGCCTGCACGAGGTGTACCACGGAAAGACATGTTGTGTGCGATGTGTTGTGTGCAATCGGGATGCGGAGCTGGACCTTCTCGTAGCTTAGAGTTGGAAGTTCGCGAAAGAAATCTTCGAGGAAAAACGCGACCAATCGGCGCCACGTTTTGCCGACAGATCCTTGGGCAGGAACCCCACCAGTGCACTTGCCAAGACCTATGGTGGGCTGTCGCGCGCCGAGGGGTTCCAAAATTGTAGCTTTGATCCAGTAGTGACTGTCCTTAGACTTGATTCTTTGCACTCATTTGGGATCACTTCAAACCACCAGATCCTTTTTTAATCACGAGATCTTCCAGATCTAAAGTGATTGCACTTGGCGCATTGCCTGACTCAGAGCTGCCCTTATATTACACCACACTCCGCTTCCGACTCGACATAAGACAGCAAGCATGGCGGAAGCGGTCAAAGATGCTGTCAACCAGGCGGTTGAAGGTGTGAAGAATCTTGCAGTATCCGCAGAACAGAAGGCAGAACAAAAGGCGCCGAAGCCCAAGAAGGAAAAGAAAGCCAAGGGAGGGGACGCAGATGGTCGTCCTCTGATGCTTGACCCAGCACCGGCCTATATCGACCATCGCGTACAGATCTTGTAAGCTGAGATGATGTCATCTGGGGGTACTAAGCTAATAGTTCTCAGTGAGAAGCTCAAGGCGAAGTACGATGAAGAGATCGCCCAGAAACCACGAGGTAGCCTACTGCGCATTGAATGCACGTCATAGCTCTAACGAAATGCGACAGAGAACATCAACATCTCACTTGGCGACGGAAAGATCATTGAGGGCAAGTCATGGGAGACTAGCCCAGCAGACATTGCCCGAGGCATCAGCAAGAGCTTGTTCGAGCGCACGGTGATCGCGCGTCTCGACAAAGGCACACCCGAAGAGACGCTGTGGGATCTGGAGCGACCATTGGAGAAGAGCTGCAAGCTTGAGCTCCTGCCATTTGACGACCCAGAGGGCAAGAAGGTCTTTTGGCACTCCAGCGCACATATTCTGGGAGAAGCATCGGAGCGTAGATTTGGCTGTGACCTATGCATTGGTCCTCCAGTTGAAGATGGCTTCTACTACGAGGTAAGGAATGGAGACCATCACTCGTTAGCATTGGCTAACAACCACACAGATGGCGCTACCAGAAAAGGCTGCTGTCGAACAGGCAGACTACAAGCCCCTCGAAACCATCGTCAACAACATTGTCAAGGAGAAGCAGGTATTCCAGCGCCTAGTCCTGTCAAAAGAAGACTTGCTCGAGATGTTCAAGTCGAACCCCTACAAACAGCACATCATCAAGGACAAAATCGCAGACGGCACCTCCACAACCGTATACCGCAACGGACCGCTTATCGATCTTTGCCGAGGACCTCACGTACCGCACACTGGCAGGATAAAGCAGTTCAAGGTCATGAAGAACTCTGCCTCATACTTCCTTGGCGATGCCAACAACGATAGCTTGCAGCGCATCTATGGTGTCTCGTTCCCGGACAAGGATGCCATGCAAGCTCATCTCAAGTTCCTCGAAGAGGCGGCGAAGCGCGACCACCGCAAGATCGGCAAGGAACAAGAGCTGTTCTTCTTCCACGAGGCTAGCCCCGGTTCACCTTTCTTCCTACCGCATGGTCAGATCATTTTCAACACACTACAGGCCTTCCTCCGAGAAGAGTACTGGAACCGCGGTTACCAAGAGGTCCAATCACCAAACATGTACAGCTCGGCGCTGTGGAAGGTTTCGGGCCATTGGCAGCATTACCACGAGGACATGTTCACATTCGACGTGGAGAAGGAGAAGTGGGGACTCAAGCCCATGAACTGCCCAGGTCACGCCCTGATCTTCAAGCACCGCGAGCGAAGTTACCGAGAGTTGCCAATCCGCATGGCCGATTTCGGTGTCCTGCACCGCAACGAAGCTAGCGGTGCGCTCACAGGTCTTACACGTGTACGACGTTTCCAACAGGACGATACCCACATCTTCTGTACCCAGGACCAGATCACCGAGGAAATCTTCGGACTCTTCGACTTCCTCCGCGCCGTCTACGGCAAGTTCGGCTTCACCTTCAAGCTGAAGCTGAGCACACGCCCCGACGGTTTCCTCGGCGAGGTCGAGACGTGGAACAAGGCAGAGGCGAAGCTCACCGAAGCTTTGAACCAATTTACAGCTGAGGGCGGAGGCCAGTGGGAGCTGAACCCCGGTGACGGAGCCTTCTACGGCCCCAAGATCGACATCACCATCTCAGACGCGCTCAAGCGCGAATTCCAATGCGCCACCATCCAGCTCGACTTCCAACTCCCCAACCAGTTCGAGCTCGAATACATGACCTCGGAAGTCGCCGCCGCCAAGCCCAAGGAAGAAAAGGCCAAAGAGGAGCCCGCACCCAAGGACGCCCCCGCCCCCGTCGAGCAGAAGAAAGAAGCCGCAGACCCCAATGCCCCCAAGAAAATCCAACCCCCACAGCCCGGTTATGCCCGCCCCGTCATGATCCACCGCGCCATCTACGGCTCCTTTGAGCGCTTCATCGCCATCATCACCGAGCACTTCGCCGGCCGCTGGCCCTTCTGGCTGTCTCCCCGACAAGTCATGGTCATCCCTGTGATGCCCAGTGCAAACGACTACGTCAAGGAAGTGCAGGCCGTGCTGCGCAAGAACAAGTTCCACGCCGACATTGACGTGAGCGGAAACACGATGCAGAAGAAGATCCGCACGGCGCAGTTGAGTTTGTATAACTTCATCATGGTGGTGGGCGCGGAGGAACAGAAGGCGCGCGCGGTGAACTGGCGGAATCGAGATGATCAGGCGACGCAGCAGAGAGGCGAGATCGTGCCGCTGGATGAGGCGGTGGAGAAGTTGTGCAAGTTGAGGGATGAGCGGAAGGTGGAGAATGTGTTTTAGGCATTGATATGAGCATATGAGGCGATGATGTGATGAGAGCTTCGGCATTTCCAAAACCGCATGTTACTTGTCAAGACACAAAATGAACGAATGCAATGACAACATAAGCCCCAATACATGCAAGTGATGCGAGCACAAGTCCCACATCTATGCGTAGGTTTCGTAGGTTTCATTTGATGATCAATACTTCCTATGATGCCCTCATCTTCTCCAAGCTATTCTTAGCTTGCCAACATTACCCTTCGTACCATCCATACAATGGTACTGATTCTGTCCAAAATACGCCTGATACTCCCTATGCTGCCATGACATGCAATGTGTGCTGGAAAGGTAATCTACGTCTTGGTATACTGCTAACCAAGATGCGTGCCCAACATGTTACTGATACATGTGGTTATGCTCGTCCGAACCCCTGTTTTCGGACACGTGTGTTTGTGGCTGGCGCGAGCAGTAATGCAACGGAGGTTTGTTGTGTGTAGGTCATGTGTATGTTTTGCTTCAACGCGTGATAATCAGAGCGAAGCCATCCAGCCATGCGGCGCTCGATCCTGAGATGCCACCGATGGTGTAACCTCTTGGAGGAATCAAGGTGTGTCTTGGACTCGTTAGTACGTTTCGATAGTGAACTTGCGATTGTACTTACCCGCTGCCGCCATTTGCGTTGCCGAACCACTCACTCTTCCGCCCCAGACTTGTCAAGATTTGTAGACCATCGATCCAAAGCCCCGCACGCAGTGCAAAGCCCAAGAGTAGCTCACCTTTTCGCGTGTCAAGCGTGAAGTCGGTTGGCGAACCACCTCGCTTACCGAAGAGTTGGCTCGTGGCGTCCTCATATATAAACTCTAGTCCATCTACCGCATTGCCGTGATAGACCTTGATGGCCACAAGAAGTTTAGTGGAGATGTGCGCACTGTCCAAGATTACCTCATGTGGTTGTGAGCCCTCCATCTGGGAGTAACCAAGCTTGCTACCTCGGTAACCAAAACGTCCGCCAGGCATCTTGACGCGAGCTATCTTCTGGTTTGCGAGTCGACTGAAATCCTCGATAATGTGGGAGCCTCCACCGGCCGAGAAGACCTCGACCTTAAGCTTCGACTTTTGCTTGTCCTTGCCGAGATCACCGCGGAGAGCGGTCTCGTCTAGTGCAACCTGCCGCGGGTACTGGCCATCTACTTCAGGGAATTCTCGCCAGTGGTGGCACACGTCGTCGCCCTCGGCATACAATTCGACCCAAGCAATGCCTGACTTCGATGTGGCAATCACACCACCCTGGCCAGGATCGACTGTCCACACTTGTACACTGCCATCGCCACTGACGTTGCCGTCAATTGGTATCCGGAAACAGGGGTGGAACCGGAAACGTAGCACATCCAGTCGGTGCCATTTGCATTCGTCTGGCGGAAGCACTAGTCTTTGGCCAGGTGATTTCGTACGGGTGGAGTAGGGTTCGCGGCAGGAAAAGGTGCGGTTGAACGTTACGTAGTCGCGCAACATGACACCAGATTCTTGATGAGGACAACCAAAGAGGTGACCAGTTTCGTGGAGATGCGCACCAATTCCAATGTTTGCAGCCTCCCAGTTGCTGCCGGATTCGCCGCAGTCGTTCGCGACAAAAGCAGTATCCGTTCGGGTGCAGTCATGGAAAGCTTGGAACACCTCTTCGATGCTAGACGGGTAGCTGTGCAGCGCTTGTGAGCCGAATATGCCCAGTCCCAACTCTGCCATGCCTCCACCCAGCGCGGCATGTCCGCGAATTGTTTTCTCTTGAGTGTCCCATGTTGAGTCCAGAAACATGCACGAAACGTATTGCTTGCTTCCTGGTGCGATGTGAAAGTAGTCCTTGACCGCCTCCGCGGCAATATCGAAGAGCTCACCCTTCCTCGATCCAGGTCCGTACTGTTGAGCGCGTTCAAGATCCCGAATCTCTGCGACGCTTCGCTTCGAACGTATGACGTGTATCTTCGCCTGTGTTCGGTACTCAGTATTGCCCCAATCTTGGTAACTCAGTGTACCCGGCTCCCAGGCGTCTTCGAATCTAAAACAACGTCTGCCAAAGCCATAGCGATTCATCTGCTCGCCAGTGAATGCTTGCCACAGATATGCCGCCATGCGAAACTTCTTGATGGCGAGCTCCAACCCGTTGCCTTCACGCTGTATCCGTTCTGGTGGTGCATCGTATGTCCCTGGGGAATCGTGACCAAGGATGATAGCAAGCTGAAGAGGTGGAGACTGATTCAAGGGGAGGTAATTGATGTTCATGAAGGTAGCATGACTAGGCACAGAGGTGTTGCCGGACGATATTTTGGGCGAGGTAAAATCGAGGCGTATGCGATTCCATCCAGGCTCGAGGTGAACGAGGGCCTTGAAGTAGGAGTCGTGTACCGGCCAGCAAGTGGGTGGGAATCGGCCCTGATGGTGGTTAACCGTAAGTGAGCCGTCCAGCGGTTTGTTCGTTGTTTCACCGATCTGTCCGAATATGAGAAGCACTTGCTGATGCACCTGCGAGACAATTAGGGGCTGTCTGACCGATCGGAGTGTAAACCTACCCAAGAGCCATCTGAAATGGATATGACGCGCGGCGCAAGCAAGGAAGATTTGTTGACAGAGCTATGCGAGCCATTCGAAACGTAAGAGGACAGTCCCTACGCACAATTGTCAGTGCACTTCTGGCGAGGCGTTCTCCGTACTCACATTCATACTGTAGCGCTTGACAGGGTCGGCGCCAGGTCTTTGCGCCCGAGTTGGCGAGCGCATAGGCAGCGGTGTCGGGCCATGTGTCTTGGGCTGATCCACGTTGTCTTCCGTGGTGGACGTTGCTGGCGTTGTTGACGGGTCTGAGCCTCCAACCCGCGACGAGTTCAAGGTTGAGGAAGATACGCGATGGGAGACGCCATTTCCGTTGTGCCCATTAGCATGGTCGTCTGGGTATGGTTCGTCATGCTTCCCACTCGGCTTAGCAGTCGCAGGGCGGCTGCTCCTTCGCTGCAGGCGGTGGAGGAAAGAAGGCATGGCCGGTATGGTGCGGCGTTGTGATGGTGAATCCTATGCAGACATATGGGTAACGAGCGACGGCCGGCGGAGAGTAAGCAGGCCAGGTATGAGCAAGCTATCACGGAGGACGCGTAATGCAGCGCGGTGACGCTGCAGGTGGGAACACGGATTGTGAATGTGACAATGGCAATAGTTTGGTGATTATGTTGTCCAAAGCAAGCAAACGAGTGGTGCCAGAAGATGCTCGAGTCGGAAGCGAGGGTAAGAGGTTGGAATGTTGGAGCGTGCTGCTGCTGCTGGGGGATTTGGCATGCACTTGGAGCTAGGGAAAAAGGCACGGCCAGATTGGTCTTGCTGCGAGACAGTGGAGCTGCTTTCTGTACCGACGGAGAGCAGCAGAAGGAGCGACACGCGACAAGCAGAGAGGTGCAGCGATTGACTTGTAATTACAGCTTCTATATCCAACCACTGTTGCGCAGGTACACAGATGATAAGCTGCACGAGTGACGTTATCTGCCAAGACCCCGAAGACAGCCGCAACCGTTGGCTTGCGCACGTACACGTTGGGCATGCTGGCGACGACTCCACACGTTCCGTTCTGTCAGTGCCTCCCGTACATGTTCGTACATGAAGTCAACCATGGAAGGGAGCGGCAGCTGAAGACTCTGAAGGTTGACGGCTGCCTGCATGATATATCGATATATCGCCACAGTGCGACGTGACTGCCGCTACGGTGACCACCTGCGCAGACCGATTGTATGCATATGCATACAAAGTCGTGCGATGCCATGGCCAGTTCGCCGCTCTCACATGCGTAATACTCGGGGCCTTTGAAGCCTATCCGCTGGCGATAAGGGCAGGGGTGGTCATGGTGGGAATGTTTCGCGGCTGTAATTTACTCAGCTTTTAAAACAGCCGTCCCCCCTGTTGCTCGCCAAACGTCCAAGAGCAATCCAAAGGCTCCAGCGCCGGCCACCAGCCCGCTATGGACTCGGAACTAATTGTTTCCTGCACTTAAAGCGCCTCTGGTAGCAGCCCTGACACGATTGGGCCTGTGCGGTTGTCGACGTCGGGCTAACTGCTTCCATCCCCTCCTCACATTCCTTGCTGCCGTGACCTCAGCTCCAGGCCCATGTGTGTTTCGCCAGCCGCAACCGCCGTGAGACGTCTGCCAGAAGTTATCAACCTCTGATCTCCACTCTGACCCCCGACATCCAAACTCTCCACCATGGCCGAACAAGATGAGGTCGCCAGCAAAGTCTTGCGCCGGGCTCAGGTCTCCAAGGTCCATCTCTCCCTCCTCCGAGGCCCCTAGGGCGGTGCATGCTAACACTGTCCTGTGTAGATGACCCGCACGCTGCAGAACCGCCTCGCTCTGGCCAACGTCAAGATCAAGAATGGCTGGGAGAGTCTCAGTCTGGATGCCATTGAGCCCGTCGTCGATGTGGAGCTCAAGCGTAAGCGCCCCGGCTCCAGCAACGAAACAATGTCGGATGCCTCGAGCGTATCCGAGCGCTTCTACCATCCTGGCGTGCTCGACTCCTCTCCACTCGCAGCTCCCATATTTTCAGACCATGTGCGTCGCTCAGCGAGTCGAGCCGGCAGCAGTCACAGCCAGAGCAAGCGGCCGCGCTTGGACCAGTCGAGGTATCCGGCATCCAGCAACCACACCCGCAACAAAGTGCGCTCGGCGACGGCATCCAGCAACTGGAAGAACAGCTTCCAGCTGCCCGAGTCGTCGCCCGTATACCATCGCAGACACGCTCGTTTTGGCCGCACACATGTGCCGAGCTTGTCCTTTGTATCCGAGACATCGACCGTGCCCGATCCTCGCTCGCCCCTCCTGTCCGAAGACGACGACGAAGATCTGCCCATCACATCCTTCCAAATCAACCGCTCCCATCGTCGACTGTCGCCACCGCAAGCGCCGCGCACACCGCCCCCAGATGTCGCTCGCTCAGCTCGTCTGCGACAAAGTGGCTTCAATGCTGCCGGTGCCGCCCGCGAAGGCAAGAATGGCGACGACGATGCCAACTTGCTCATGTACCTCGCTACATCCCCCACACCAGCCCGCGCCGACTCGGGAAAGCACCAGATGCTGGCACCATCTACGCCGCCTTCCAAGCAGACACCTCTGCCTTCATCCATGATGTCGACCCCTGGTGGTGGTGCAGCATACGCTGGCTTTGGCCTTGCGACCCCCTCCACCAACCTCAACTTTGCCGAATTTCTCAACATGTCGCCGAGCCCAGCTCAGGTCAATGGAAACTGGAACCGCACACCGATTGCTGGTGGACCCAGAACGCCCGCTGCCGTCCGCGAGGCCCGACGTCGTCTCAATTTTGAGAACCTCCATCCCCCCACTGGGGAGAGTCCGCGCATGAGCGCACACATCGGCAAAGTTGATGGCCTCGGTATGGACCTAGGAGGCGAACTAGTGTCATGAGAAACATCACACCCACGACAAGACGATTAACGAACTCGTCACGACACTGAACGATCAAAGCATCCCATCACCTGTCGCTGCAACTGCACATCACTTCCCTTTGTATCAATTCTGGCAAAAGCATGGCGTTCAGAGGAGGTATCAGAATTATTCGCGACCGTATGCATTGACTGCCCCACTGTCTCCTACTTGATTAAACGCTTTTTTGAATATCGTCGCTTCATTCCCCGTCGGCGGCGAGATCCGGCCAGCGCCACAGAAGCGCTTTGTACCACATATTACCCACATACCCATATCGGAGCAATTCATTCAGCGATTGTATTGTAGCTCTTTGGCTTTTTGTTTGTTTGCACAGCACAGCACACTACGGCATAGCAGACGATCGGGTACACAAGCGGTGAGTGTGCAGCAAGCGCACGTCAACCCATTATATCAGATAGACAAATAATCAAAACAGATTTACCAAACTGAACAATACCACGCCAACCTGCTGCATCTTCTCATCTGTTTACTCGTATCGAATCTATAACGAGTATTTCGATCCGGGACACGCTCCCGGAGAAGGGACTAAGGCTACGCTACTTGTGGATCGTCGCATGCAAGGTCCGCCATCCACGCATGCGGAATGCTAACCAGATGTCAGCAACATGGCAAGCGAAGTACTAACCAGGCATCATCTCTCCATGACGATGTGATTTTTTGCAGATCAATCAATTCATCCTGCAGCAAAGCTCACACCTTCACGCTCTCCCTCATTTCGAGCAAGCATTCCCTTCCCCTCCGAAACCGCACCTGAAAAAACCAAGACTCATCTCATAAGGCTGGAGCCGGAAATCCTCTACCAGGATACTTTTTACTTTTACCCCTCCTTCTCCCTTCCCGCGCTTTAGACTCTGCCATTTGACATCATCCTTACCCAATCACGCTGCTCAGACAAAGAAGCGACGCGCTGCAACGCGACACGCGCAAGATTCGCGTCGGCGCCATTGGCTGCGATCGACCAGGCGTTCCTGGCATGCTAGACTCCATCGGGGCACGCAAGCGCACAAAGTCGTATTGTAACAGCACATGAGTAAGCGGTACGGCTGATCGACGATTGCGTCGCCAGGGGCGATCCCGGGACGTGTGGCTGGTGCGTTTTCGGGAATTAAGCTCGCGCGTTGGTGGTTGGTGAGGAGACGGCGCGAGGAGCTGGAGACTTTGGAGATGTGAAACGACCTAGATACGTGTGGCTTTTGGGATGGGGGGGGGGGATGAGTCGGCGACGAATGAGTATATTCCAGCCTCCAGAAATTGTTACCTCGAGTTCTCTAGAGTTCGATGTATGTATAGGTCGGGAATCCAACATACCCCAGTCTTTCTTGTCGAGGCAAACCTGCTTTCGGCCATACTTTGGCGCACAGCCTGATGTTGGTAAATTGGACGCGGCGTGGCCTGGATTACTTACTCCAAGCGAGCGCTTCCGTATCGTGCTCCGGTGGCGCGCAGCGGAGGCCAGCAGATAGTGGCGTTCGCCTTTAGTGCGTTTTCGCCATCTCGGTGAGCGAGATGGCTGGGGTAAGGGGATTGCTGGATGGGGAAGTGGGAATAGGAGAGGGTTTTGGGATTGGATGGAATTGTGGAATTGGTTCTGCTTGATGATTCATGCGCTATCTAGATTTTGAGTGTTGAGGCTTGGGACTTGATTTAGATACTGAAGTCCAAGGGGCTCTTCTACTGTGTACAATTGCTTTGTTTGGTTCTTCGTAGTGTTGTGTGAATGTCTTAATGTAACTATATACTATCCATCAGGCCTAATCGCATGTCCTTGCAACATATGCCCGGATGCACATTATCTTGCGCTTCCAAAGCCCGATCTTCCCTCCCTTATCATGTCATGCTTCGGTATCTCATAAACAAACCATTGACGCCTCCGCTCCGCTCCGCCGTGTCTTCATGTATACGTACTTAAAACAGAATAAAGTGGATATACAGAGAAATTGAAAAACCCCCAGTGGCCGTTGCGCAACCATGTCACCCAAACCAGCTCTCACTCAAGTGTACTGATTCGAATTGACCTGGCTGGCCATAACCATCATCCACACCAAAAACACCGTTCCAATAATCCAAAACGCGAATTCCGCTTGCCAGCACTGACCTATCTCTCACGTTAGCCCTACCCTCACAACTCAAACACGCACAATCCAAACTCACAAATATTCCTCTGCTGCAAATACGCCAAGGTATTTAAACTCACACCATCGGCTGCGTTGTTAAACACATACGTATTGCACAGATTATTGATATTGGGGCCTGCGAACAGCTGTATCGCGGTTCCGATGATGCCCGCGATGAAGAGCACGAGTAGGATGAAGGACAACAGCATCATGGTGCCCGGAAGCAAGCGGCGTTGGGCGATGAAGACGATTTCGATGATGAGGAAGAAGATCGCGAGCGCGCCGACGGTTACACCATAAGGCATGATCCTGTGAATGCGTCAGCATCCCATCCCAGCTTGTAGTTGTAGGTGGATGGACTTACCAAGGCGTCCCCAATCCCATCTGACTCTGGATCTGCATAAACTGCGCATTCACGCCTAATATCAAGCCCGCCGTTACCAGCATCACAATCGTCCAGATGTTCAGTTGTAGGTCTGGCCAGTAGTATTTCTCGCGGACGACGACGGCGGAGCCGACGACGGTGCCGGAGTGGCCTGCGCGCGCCATTGTGTGTGTGTGTAGGGATGCGACTGGTGCGAGGTACGTCGTCGTGTGCGCAGTCGTTGTTTCTGCTGGTCGATGTCTTGGACTGGGCGTGGGTGTTGAGCCTCCTGCCCTGCAAATGCACGTTGCCGTTTATCCGCTCAATGCGCGTACACACTTGGCGCTTTTGGCTTGCGTTCCTTGTTTCTCCAGGCTCTTGTCTAATCCGTGCGAAGGGCTTGCGGCGCTGGTCTTCGAGTCCGTGGGGAGCGTACGGGGGCGCAGGCGTATGACGTCTGTCGTGTAGCGAGCGTGCTGCCGAGGTTGCAGAGGTGCGCTTTTACACGGCGCAGATGTGCGAAGGTAATGCGATTGTAGTGAAGAACGTACAGAGTCCTAGTCGTACGATAGGAGGTTTGGTAGTAGAATTGGACTCGGCTTGATGTTCCGCATAACACGATGGCTGGGATGGGAAAGTGGCTGGCTAATTGCGATGGTTGGCCGCGGCAACAACAACACCAGGAACCGGATTCAAGAATAAATACGATAACAATTTCGCACAAGTCCGCATATGCAGACACTTCTCGATTCCAGCGTCTTCGTGACGTCATATTTTGTCACAACAGCACGATGGCCATGTTGCGTTCCGACATACTCTCACATGGTGGCAGAAGGCACACAGCCAATAGGCATCTTTCATGTCGTATTCAGTATTAACATTACGTCGAACATCTACTTTCCAATATCTATACAAAGAAGCTCAATTCACCATCATACCTCCCAATGCATCGTGCCACCCGAACGCTTCCCAACATGCCGTCTTCTACTTCCTCCTACTAATCATCTTCGTAATCGCATGTCTAATAACCGTCCCCGCCTTCTCCGTCTCCTTCTTCGTCAGCCCACTGGTGACACACACCTTCAGGCTAGGCTGAGGCTGCCACCCCGCGTCTCGTGGGTTAACTCCGAGGCCCAGAGGGAAGGCTTTGAGGCGCGTGATCAAGACGCCGTTCGCTAGACACTACAACCATGTGTTAGTGGCAGGAGGTGCGAAAGGGGGAGTGGACGTATTTACCTCGTCAACAACATCGCGGAGAATCTGGTTCTGATCTTCCACGCTGAGCTTCTTTGCCTCGACAACTTCAGGCTTGAACGTAAGCAGCAGCATTGGATTATCGCTCGCACTCTGCGACTTCACCCAGTCACTCCTGGGGTCCAGTTGTGCGCGCATAGCCTTGATGTTTTCCCTCAATGTCATCAGAATATCTGGTTGTTCTTGCAGCAGCGAAATGGTCTCGCTAGCAGTCGTCGAGAGTAAAGCGGGAAGAGCGGCGGAATATGTGTACGATGCGGAGGAAATGCGCTGGTGCTCTACGACTTCTTCGTTGCCGGCGCAGAAACCGCCAGCTGCGCAGAGAGGACCGGATAGCGAGCCGATGATCATGTCGACTTCGGCTGCGTCGACGTTCTGGGCTTCCGTGACGCCGCGACCGGTGCGGCCGAGCACGCCGTAGGACCAGGTTTCGTCGAGGATGAGGCGGAACTTGTACTTGAGCTTGAGTTCCACCTTTTCAGCAGTTAGCAAATAGTCACGTTGAAAGAGTGCTTGCGATCTTGGGGTGTCTTGAACATACCAATTTGGGCAGGTTGACCACATCACCAATGTTCTCAAACAGTCCTTCGGTAATGATGAATCGTCGTGTGAGAGGCTTCTTCGCCTGCTCTTTGACGACCTTCTTCAACACGTTCTCCAAGTCCTCCATGTCGTTATGCTCGTACCACCGGATAGTGCTTCTACTAATCTGCATACCCTTCCTGACTGCATAATTGACCGCCTTGTCCGCGACGATGATGTCTCCACGCTTGGAGAACGATGGAATGACGCTGGAAATGGTAGAGAACGACTGCGCGTAGATGATACATGCGGGAACCCCAAGATGTGCTGCTACATCTGCCTCCGTCTTCATGTGTACATCCTGTGTGCCGTAGAACCCAGGAGGACCACAAGGTCCTACACCGTATGTGCGAAGAGTCTGAATAGCCTTCTCTTTGAGTGACTCGTTTGCGACGAAGTTGTAGAAGTTGTACGATGCGAGATTCATAACGGTACGGCCATTCGAAAGCTTCGATTTCGGTCCAGTCGGGCTGTACAAGCGTCAGCATTTCCACCCTCACGCCTTCTCCAAGGATCCCAAGACTCATACCCCACAATAACAGGCCTCTTCTCATTATCCAGTTCCTCATGCGCAGTCGGCGGCGCGACAAGTGGTTCAGGCGTCCAATCCTCGACCAATTCATCAATCTCCTATTCCAGCGGTCAGCGAGCACTTTCTACCACTCCTGCAAAACATACCGCGTCCGTAAGCTGCACCTTCTTCTGTGTACTATACTTGGGCGCAAGCAAGTACCTGACAGCGAAGAGGAACAAGAACAGCTCAATTGCGCTTCGCACGGGGTCGTTCTGGTAGCTGGACTTGATGTAGCGCACGGCGATGGCGGAACCGGGGATGCGCTGGAACTGCGCGTTCACGTCGTTAAAGAAACGCGCGGTTGCATCTTGTACTTCGTGTAGATCCATGGCGGCAAAGGAGTGGCAGGGTTGCTAGAGAGTGGTGGTGGTAGACAACAATTCTAACATCGAGTTTCGGGGGTCTGCGGCGAAGCGCGGAGGTCAAGCCCAAGACGTCAGCACCCTGCAATCACTCGTTTCACTTTCTCGCGTGTCTGACTACAGCGCATACCCTGCGAGTCCACTATATCTTTTCACGACCGAGACACCAAGGATGATGAACATGGAAATGTAGAACAATAGTTGGCATTAAGACATCCATATATTTATCTGTATGCAATTCGCTCTCTTCTAACATATTCGCCGTGTCAACCCAAAAAACCCAGCGTAGTATATGTGCAATCAACCCAACCCTTCTGCCGGGTGTAGGTTTCAAAAAGAGAGAAAGTCGAGGTAGGGATCGTTCCGCCCCGACACCAAAAGGAAAGGAAAAATGATATGCTGGATATTACAATCATAATGGGACTTTCGAAGTCACCATGCTCGTGATCCCCCTGTGTTGTACAACGCAAGATAGGGACAACTGTCCACCGACAAATCATCGTACTTTTAGTAGGCCATGTATCGGCGGAAACGAGCTGCCGGATCCGTCGTCTCTGCTGCCTGTCCACCATCGCCACCACCGCCTCCACCAGTGGCACCGCCACCTTGGTATTCGGGGCACTTGCCTTGAACACATGAGCCAGTGGGTGTTGACTTGGTATCGTTGTTGCTGAAACCGGTCGGCTGCATGATTTCCATGGGCAGATCCTTGAGGAATGACAAGGTAAGGAACCTGCCAGCGACAATGGGACCAACGATGAGGACAAGGAAGATGATGAGCAGGAAGAAGTAGAGAATGGCATAGCGGATGACTCTGCGCTTTCGCAACTTGGTCTGCTTCATCGAGTAGATAGGAGGACGGATTTGTCGGCTGGTTCATGTTAGCGATAATCAAAGGAAAGGCGAGGGGTGGAACATACCTGGGTCGTAGCCAGAAGAGCATGACCGAGTGGAACTTGTCGGCATATGGGATGAGCAAGATTGGCAGCATGAAGAAGAGCAAGACGTGACCGAGGATGAAATCGGCGGCGAACATGCCGAGCTCCGTAATCTTGCAAAGAAGCTCACGGCCAGGCTGAGAGATGGTGTGCCATCCCATGGTGTACCACTTTCCGGTCCACCACGCGATGTTGGAGGTGTCGCTCTTGAACTCTCGGGTAAGTGCAAGCGAGATGATAAGCTTGAAGACAAATCGCTGAATGGCAACCACTGCAATCATGCCAGCAAGAGCCCTGGGGAAGCTGAAACCCTCCAAGAGCATCAGGGCAACGAAGAAGACCATGAGCATGATGACTGCGATGGCGTGAGCGATGGCAGCAAGGACGGCACCGAACTTCTTGCAGCACATGCTGAGCAGAGGACCAGCACAACATGCGAGGGCAAAGAAGCCAAGCAAGACACCGGCGTTGATGGCGACAGGTCCAAGGGCAATCAATCCGATACGGACAAGAGCACCAGACTTTCTGGGGTTGCCAATACCCTGCTTTTCGTTTGACGAGTCGCGCTCATCGTTTACACCAGTCTGAGCGTTGATGAAAAGGTATGGGATGATGGTGATTGCGACGAGGACAAGCGGGCCAATAATTTCGCTAAGGAAGATGTTGGTGAAGGCCGCACGTGGAACATCTCCAGAGAGCTTGGCGGTTGGGTCTCCGAGAGCCTTGCGCTTGTAACCGGTGAGACGCGTACGCGACAGGCGGCAGTATCCAATCCATGAAGCACTGTGCGAACGAGTGTTGCCACGAGACAACCAGCGTAGGTACTCCCTGTAATCGATGAAGAAGTCGTCCCACGAGAACTGGTGGGGGTTGAAGATGAAGGGAGCCAAGCACAGTGACAGCAGGGACGCCCAGAAGTAGATCAACCAAGGTCCCCAAACGGTGATAGTGGCGAAGATCAACATCATGAGAGATCGAGCTCCAAGGTAGATGGATGGTCCGGCGAATCGAGAGTACAGGATACCGAAGGGGATACGGGCAGTGGCAAATCCACGACCAGTACCAATGTAGCGAGCACCACCGAAAGACAAGTTGGTTTGGAGGGCGTTTGCGTAAATCTGAGTGACGAAAACTTCGAACAAAGGCGATCCAGAAGAGAAGTGCTTAGCCAGACGGGTTGCAGCGCGCCAGAAACCACGTTCTGTCAACTCTTGCACCGTAAGAGGGATGAAAGAGATGAAGAACACGATGAAGATGGACACAATAGAACGAGTGACCCAGTCGAATACAGGGACCAAGTTTGCGCAACCGTTGGGCCATTGAGGATCGGTGACAGGAATGTCCTTGTCGAACTGGCAGAGAATGGTCTCGTGGTTGAGGGCACCGAGGTTGAGAAGAACGAACATGAAGCACTGCACCGACAACATAATGAACATGTTGTTGACGTGGAAACCAGGATGGGCGTAGTAAAAGGACAGGAAGCGGTCGAGAGGCAGCTGAGTACCCATGTAGTAGTACTCGCGGGACAACATCTGTTCGCCCATGCCAGTACCAATCTTGGTGGTGAAGTTGAGAACGGAGCCGAAACCAAGATCACGACCCTTACCACACTGGTAGTATTCGCAGTGCTTTATGCGGCCGCCACGGAGTAGAGCGTTCATACCAGCGTAAATATCTTCGTTCAAGTGCAGTCCCTTCTGAGCCTTGGAAACACCACCACGAGTGGTCATGAAGATACCGTTGAGGAAATCAGGATGACCGTAATGGAGTTTACCACCGATTTGAGCCAGAGTACGAGCGAACATGGTACCGAATGTCTGTTCCTTACCAGCAGCGATATCACCGAGGATACCAATGTTCTCAGAGAAAATGTATTCACGGGCTCCGAGAATGGCGACAGGGTTGAAGTTAGGGTTCGGGATACCGGGAGTGTAAGGCGAGACGTTGTCGGTAGTCATTTCCTCAAACTCGGCGAGGACACTACGGATTTTCAGACACTCTTCCAGGTAGTTGTCCTGGTTAGCATCGATAAGCTGGATGTACTCGCCGCGGTAGAAGATAATGCAGTGGTTCTGGTTGTCAGACTTGCCGTCACCGAGAATAGGGTTGCCAGAAAGCTGGACGCGGAACTTGGGGCGACGCATGCCATTGTCCATAATCTCGGAGTGTCCGTCGATGAGAGCAGAGTAGATGCGTGGCTCTTCGCCCTCAGTGGCAGGCGGCTCCTCGTCGAGGTATGCAATCTGCAGATCGGGGTAGGCACGGAGGAGAAATTCGGTGTTCTCGCGCTCCTCCTTGGTGAATTTGGCGTAACGCTGCATAGAGACACAAATCTTGTACTTGCGCCTGGCCATTCTTTCAAGCTCACGCTCGAGCTTGTCAGAGTTTCCACCAAACATCTGGACGACCTCGGGGTTCTCAACGCGGTAAAGGAGCTTGATCGCACGGCTGTAGTTCATGAAACCAGAAATGGTGCGGTACAGAGTCTGAGATCGAAGGGAAGCCCAGATACGTGTTCGGAGGGTGTATTCTGGGGCGGCAGACTTGAAACCAATGCAGTAGAAGGGGAGATCGTCGATCTTGCTCTTAGCGGTGTCCTTTTCGCCCTTCTCGTCATCACCATTGAATTGCGAAGTCTCATCAGCAAGAATCTTCGTGTCCTTGACGAAACAGTCCCACTCGTGAGGGTGGAGCTGCTTCAGGTACTCCAGGAGGGTGACACGAGAGTAAGGCTCATCCTCGCGAATGATCTCACGGAGCGAGAGAAGAATCTTCTCGGCGTAGTGAGGAATCATGACGGTGAAGGTAGGCATGTTGTCGACCGGGAGAGGCTCAGGAATAGGCGTAGAAAGCGACTGAGCGAAGAAAGAGATACGGCGCTCAGCCTCACTCTGGGCGGGGAAAAACTCGGTCTTGAATGAATGATCTTCCTGGGACACGAAGAACGTCGGTGCGCGGAGAGTGCGTTTGCCCTCCTGCTCAGATGGCACCTGGTGGTAAAGGAGCTTCTGGACATGGTCAATGGCAAGGAGATGCTCGCGGTACATGGAGATGACGATGGCATTCCAGATCTGGGAAATGAGGACCTTGGGCTTGTACTTGATCTCCATGTCGGTAGTGGCCAAGACCTTTGAGTAGATACGCTTTGGCAGACGGGAGAAGATGTTCCTCCAGGGAGTCCAGATGGAAACACCGAGGTAGAAGGACCGAGATACGGAGAACAACATGTTGGCGATGATGTACCATAGGTAGGAGTCCAAGAAGAACAGAATCAAGTCCATGAAGTACATGAGACCGAGCAAAATTCGTGGCTGGTACTTGCAAAGGATATCGCCAATGATGGCATCGCCTAGACAAGCTGGCTTCTTCATGTGGGACAAGATCCTGATAGGATCCTTGATCGACAGAGTCAAGAAAAAGTAGGACTCAGACAGCTTCGCAGCAAAGACCAGTACCCATAGACCATAAGACATCCACATGTCGTTGCCCTTGAGACGTGGGTAGCTTGCGGTAAACGTCTGACTTGCGACGTACTTGCGAGAGTTGCGCGTCAAGTAGCTACCAAACAGACCACCTAGTGGCATAACCGAGAAGAAGACTAAGGTGACCAAGGCAATAGCAAATTGAACACCTCCCAAAATATTCGGAATAGTGCCGATCTGCTTATCGAGACCGAAGATGTACACACTGGGTGCAAGATTGACGGCGAATACAGCGAGAAGGAAGAAAAGCTTCTTGGTCAAGTGCTGAGCACCAGCCCATTTACGAGGGACGTAACACCATTCGATACAGGTGGCGGCGATTTGGATTATGCAGGCTATGGTACCGCCAAGAGCGACGGCAGAAAGGACAGCCGCCTTGGGTGGGGTTTGGCCGATCTGTTGCTCGTATTTCTTTGTGTAGACCGGTTGCGAGTTGTAGGCAGTGTACATCCAGAAAGTTGTCAAATGGATGACCCAAATACGGTTGAAGTTGACAATCATGTGGAACCAAGAGCGGCGCTCGTAGTATGTCTTGAAGAAGACCTTTTTCCATAGTACATCCTTGAGCTTCGCGTATCGCTCAGCGGGAGGCAGGTCGACAATGCGAGACTTGTCCTCGAACACAATGCGCTCGAGACCTTCGGGGTACCAGAAAAGCTGGTTGATGTCGTCGTAACCAATGATAGAGGAGTGGTCACGCTCACGACGAACGTATTTGCCGTCCTGAATCTCATAACCTTGATCACGGCAGTACTGGTACAGCGGTGTAATAATGGTGTTCAGGTAGGTGAACTCCTCAATGGGCTCGGTTTGAGCTTGACCAGCCGGTGAGTTGAGGTAGTCGTCGGCGCACTTGAAGATAAAGCAAAGCAACTCCGGCATGAAGCGCACCTGGTTGGCCTCACCCCAGCACAAGAGGTACAAAGCAATCTGGCGCACACGGTCGTGCTGCGACATTCGGTTCATGCGCGTCTTCCAGCGATACTCGGCGGCCTCAAGACTGTTGTCGCCCTCGTAGGCATCAAGAGTTTCTTGCTCGTTATCTGGGTTCTCACCAGCCTTCTTCTTCGCTGCCTTGCGGGCCTTGCGAGTCCTGCGGTTCGCCTTTCCAAGGTTCATATTGGCAAAGCCCACGGCATCGTCCAAGTCGAGATGAGCGGCAAAGTACCAGCGGCGGAAGTTGGCGTTCTCGCCACCGATGTAGTCGGCGTGGAGAGACAGAAGAGCCTGGTTTGGTGACATGCGAGACGCTCGGGAGTCGAGGAGCGTCATGAAGTGGTCGTACATGTTGCGCATGCTGTCACGCTGGAAACCGAATTTGGCGGTGAGGTCGAGGAAGATGTCCTCGATCTCCTCCTTGGTGCAAGGGATCTGGGCTTCAGCAGTCCATGCGGGGTACGGCTCTCGCGAGCGCTGGCCAGCGGGGAGGGCATTTTGGTAGTCCATGCCGTAGATGGGCGTGGAAGCGCCTGATGATCGGTTGCCACCATATGAGACCTGAGACGAGGGTGGTCGGTAACCGCGGTTCATGCCTTCGCCGTAGCTGTTGTAGCGAGACTCGTCGCCACGGCCGTAGTAGTCCATGTCGGCGCCCCGAGCGACGTCAGAACGCATTGTGAAGTCGCTGAAGGTTTCCGAGTCTTCCTCGGAGTCGTGAGGGCGGCGGCGAGGTTGCTGGCCGTAACCCTCTTGGGCGCCTCCTTGGTCGTAGTACTGGTTGTCATAATACTCGTCTTGGTAACCCTGCTGGCCACCGCGATCGTCGTAATAGCCGTTCTGTTGTCCATGCTGGCCGTCGTAATAACCGCTGCTGTGGCTAGTTAGCAATCGTGCGAATCGAGTGCGAATCGGGAGTTTCTCACTTTTCATCATAATAAGCATCTTGCTGGTATTGGCCATGGCCGCGAGCATCGTCGTGATACTGGCCATACGCCTGGTCGTCGTGGTAATAGCCATCCTGGCCTTGCTGGGCGTGCTGGCCTTGAGGCTGAGTCTGGCCGTAGCCGTCGTCGTATTGGCCTCCCTGCGGATGTCCGGACATCTTTGGGAGTGATTAGATTTCGATGTGGAGCCTGTGAGACAAGCTGTCAACAGTCTGAAGGGACGTGCGGGAGCCGCGTGCTGAAACACGGGCTGTCGGAAGTGCGTACCTCAAACAATGGGCATTAGGCGCGACAAAGTTGAATTATTCGTATTGGAGCAGCCGCAGATGGATGTAGAGGTAATTGCTGCGGTGGCAGGCGTGCGGGTGTGGTGGTGAACGAGTGTTGACGCGGGAGCGAGGGAGGCAATTGGCGGGCAGTGTGAAACGGGCGTGGTGTGTTTACCCCGGGAGCGACCGTGTCGAGGTGGGACAAGAGTCACCGGATCGTGCCTGCCGTAGAATTGGTGTTGGGGTGGTTGTTTTGATGCAAAAGAGCGGATGGTGCAGACGCAGCCGTAGTTGGAGTGGTTGCCAGAGGAGACGCGCGGCGAATCGGCGCTTGCTGCAGCTGGGCGAACTGTAAAAAACAGGGCAGCACAGCTCTCCCCTCGGATTGGATTGGTGGGCTTCCGCAACGAGGCCTCACGGGAAACGAGAGGCAGGGTAGGGGAAGAAGAAACTGGCGGGTTAGTCGGAGAGGTTGGGGAAGAAGGAGCGACGGTTGGAATGCAAAGGGCAGGCAAAGACCTTTTGAGGAGTTTCCCCTGAAAACCAGAGGCGCACCACTCGCCAAGCTCTGGCGCTAGGTCAATCATGGGCTATCAGCGCTGCCCAGGTGTGCATGGGGGTGCCCTCGCTAGCATTCACGTCTGGCTAATTGCAAGTCGCCACTTTAAAAACAGCACGGCAGGATGCACATTACGATGGGATTCACTGCGCTGTTGGAATCTACATACTCTATGATGATGTGCTGTGATCGTCTCTGCAGCATTGTTGGTAGTCATGTCGCGTCCACAGCCCTCACATGTGTTCTTTGTCGGCGGTGGCGACATGCTGAGGACCCAGACAGCAGCTTCTAAAAAAACCATCGTCCTGGGATCCGATCGTCCGCATATCGATAATCGACGCTCCCGAACAGGACGACACGGTCCGCTTTGAGGTTGGAGAACAATCACGACTCGCCTTGATGACCTCTTCTCTGCCCTCCGGCTGCGCTGTGTATGCATCCGTTGCCCGGTCCATCATGGCCTCCGCCTGCCATCCACGTCACGACCCACGACAAGCGACGGCGCATGGCGAAAGGGCGGCGGATCCTCAAACAGAAACCGACGGGCCAGGATAGGGATTGGCCTGTCAGCGACGGCCGGCTAGCAGACGGAGCGATAGCGATAACACCAAAGCCCTACCGCTGCCGCCCACGAGCCAATGACAACGTGGCGCTGTTCCCGCTTCATCCTGGTCAACGGCTCTTGGTGTCGCAAAGCAAAGGGGGCTGATGGCCAACAGCGAACTGTTGAGACGGGCGAGTCGCGCCGGACCAACACCGGTGACCGGAACCCAGGTACGTACTCCTACCGTCCTCCTCCTCGACATTCGCGGTATCTGTGAGAAGGATCCGACCAGCTTTGGGCCACCCGCCGCCGCCTGTTGCTGCAGAATCTGCCCCCTGGGCTACGCCTGCGGATTGATTGAGGGACTTCTTCAAAGCCGCTGCATGACGAATTTACTTGCTGCAAGCTTTCGCACTGGCATCGATTGTGCTTAATGCGAGCTATATTAGACTGCCTTGTTTCCACTTTTTGAATTCAAGGCCTACGCCCTGTTACAAAGCGACGGATTTAGAGTGTAAGCCGGTTAGACTAATTCGTGATTGCGAATGCATGCAAACTGCAACCCCTGGTCTCACGTAGGTAGGCTATGGCTCGTCTGCCCGTGTTGGGTGTACTCTCATAGCGCGGCTACAAATATCGTTCGAATCCTGCTCGCTGTGCATGCCTATCGAGAGGTCGCGTGTGCTGTCTGCAGATCATTCCTAGCGCACAGCCTTTCTCTCAGCTTCTTTTTCCAGCGCTCACGCCATGTCCTGATGCGGCGACTGAAGGTTCTGCACCCAATCGACGGCCAGGGCGAAAGTCTACGCCGCACAGCTCCCCTCTAGTGGTGTGGTAGATCAATGGCGCGTTGCAGCTTGCGACTTCGCCACAATTTGTTCCAGCTGGACTCCGTCACTTCAGGTAACGAGGCCTCCGCGGTGGCTGTTGTGGAACTTTGCGATACCGAAAGCCTCGCGCGTGACTCGAGCTGGCTCGTGGGAGGCTTCCAATGTTCCAAGCACCGTCTTCTGGGGAGCTTGACATAGCACAGAGGCTGCGAAACGTGACTTCTGGAACATGAGACAGATCATATTTAGAACTGCGGATCCACGGCACCTCGCGGCAGAGCGGCTTTCGGTGGGGTCAGGAGATTTGACTTACGCGTCCACTGTTCCTGCGTCTGTTCCTCCGGCCAGTCCGCATCGAGTTGGAATCCTGCTGCACCAGTATGCAGGCACTCCGTAAGCATAATACCTCAGTAGCTATCTATCGAAATCGAAAGTTGTGAATTGTTCCAAGCATTTAGAATCATAGGGTGGCATTCCTCAGCAGCCTAAAATGCACACTGCAAGCGCTGAATGGGAAGCCAAGGCGGACCCGAGCCACATTTGTGAAACTGGGTTAGTGTCAGGGGTTGGATGACAACCTTCGCCGATCCTTCTTGGGCGAATGCTTGAACGACCTCACGCTCTTTCACCTCTGCTGCCTCAGAGTTGTTTCTACAGTGGTTTTTCACGTTTTATCAGTCGGTCTTTACTTTCCCGTTAATATCCTTTTTTGCATACAGCCTTGCCTGCTGTTGCATCACGCTCCTTCCCAAACAACCAGCCTTCCAAACACTCCCTAAGACCTGACATCTCGGCGCCTCAACACCAAGCACTCGCCAACACCAACGAACATCTTGGAACAGTCTTACTCAACAGCTATCACTATGCGCGGACTCTTTGCTGCAGCCGCGCTTCTTGTCGGTGCCCAGGCCGCCATTGACCCGATCGTCATCAAGGTATGCCGTGGTTCAGCGTAGGGAGCACGCGGTCACTAACTCTGCTCAGGGCCAGAAGTTCTTCTACAAGACCAATGGCACTCAATTGTAAGAAAAGTCCCGACCATCATGATTGAGCGATCACTGACGATTATTCAGTTTCATGAAGGGTGTTGCCTACCAACGTATGCGCTGCAAATCCCTGACACTCTGTCAAACGCTCACATGAAGCAGAGGAAATCAACTCCAACACCACCCAATCGGCCGAGAGCACCATCCAGATCACCGACCCGCTCGCCGACGCGACAGCATGCAAGCGCGACATCGAGTACCTGAAGAAGATCCAGACAAACACAATCCGTGTCTATGCCATCGATCCCTCAAAGGACCACAAGGCCTGCATGAACGCGCTCGCTGATGCTGGCATCTACGTTGTTGCGGACTTGTCTGAGCCCAAGAACTCAATCATTCGTGATGACCCTGGTTGGACTACCACACTTTACGAACGCTACACGCAGGTTGTGGACGAGCTTATGAAGTACGACAACACCCTCGGTTTCTTCGCCGGTAACGAGGTTTCCAACCAGCCAAACAACACTATTGCCAGCGCTTTCGTGAAGGCGGCTGTACGTGACACCAAGGCCTACATCAAGAGCAAGAACTACCGCCCCGTCGGTGTTGGTTATGCTACCAACGACGACGCTGATATCCGTGAGAACTTGTCCGCGTACTTCGACTGCGGTAACAAGGAGGATGCCATCGACTTCTGGGGTTACAACATCTACTCTTGGTGCGGTGACTCTTCATTCCAAGAGTCTGGCTTTGATGTCCGTACCAAGGAGTTCGAGAAGTACAACGTTCCCGTCTTCTTCGCTGAGTACGGTTGCAACACTCCCCGCCCTCGTCTGTTCACTGAGGTTGGCGCCCTCTACGGCAAGCAAATGACCGGTGTCTGGTCTGGTGGTATTGTCTACATGTACTTCGAAGAGGAGAACAAGTTCGGTCTCGCCTCCATCAACAACGGCAAGGTTTCCACCAACAAGGACTTCGAGAATCTCTCCAAAGGAGATCGCCAAGGCCACTCCCGTCGGCGTCAAGAATGTCCGAGTACAACCCTACCCAACACCGCTGCTGCGACCTGCCCCAAAGATCACCCAAGGCAAGTGAGAAGACCAAGTCTGACCCTCTTCCTCCTTCGGCCAATGCTCCTCTCTGTTCCTGCATGGTTGAGACCCTCAGCTGCGTTGTTGCAGACAACGTCCAAGAGAAGGACTTCGGCGACATGTTCGGCTTCATCTGTGGTGAGAAGAAGGGCCAGTACTGCCAGGGCATCAACAAGAACGCTACCTCCGGTCCTTACGGTGCGTACGGCATGTGCTCCGCCAAGGACCAGCTTTCCTTCGCCGTCAACGCCTATGCCAAGGCTGTCTCCAATGGCTGCGGCTTCAAGGGCAAGGCTACCACCAAGGCCGCTGTCGCCACTCCTTCTGCCTCTGGCTGCGCTACTCTGCTCCAGGCTGCTGGTGCTCAGGGTACCGGCGTTGTCAGCGGTGGTGCCCAGGCTGGTGCGTCTGGTGCGGCTGCTTCCGGCTCTGCCGGTGCCGCTGCCGGTGCCGCTGCAGGTCTCTCGGTGCCTTCGTTCAGCATTGGCTCATTCGGCATGGGCATCTACGTTCTCGGAGCCATGGCTTCCGGTATGGCTATGATCTTGTTGTAAGAGCTTGATGTTTGTCCGCCCTCGTGGCATGGTGTCCTTTGATAGCATGGTTTGCGTGTTGAGGTTTTCATTTGGCCATCGTTCTTGATGGTTCTGGATATGTCTGGCATTGTTAGACCGCATTGTAATCTCTATTTTGTAAATACGAAAAAAACACACCTTGAAACGCATCTTAAAGCCTTCTGCTTGTAATGACAAACCATTGATCAGCACGTGTCTAACATGTTCGTGAGATGAAGGAAGATACGTTGTACCTCCGCGACACAGTACACCTACATCGGTGTAGAAAGCACATCTTCTAGTAGTGCAGCCAGTAATTTCCCCTCTTTGCAACACCATTCCATCAACAAATACCATTCTACCAAAACCTTGTCACCACGTTTGCCAATCGTACCCTGACGCGTTTGGCGTGTTCCCCATGCCGCTCACTTGAACAGGCAGGTTGCCCGCAAGGATAGTCCACATGAACCTGGCAGACTCCACTCGGCCCACTTCAACCCACTTCAACCCATGCACTTTTCCCAGCACGCACTGCCGCGTAGCCTCACCTTGCTCACCGTGAGGATGCCACACCCAATGACAGCAGTTCTGTATTGCGCTTACAGAACCTTAGTCGGCAGATGTGGATGAGACTACCACATACGAGGACAGGGCGTACAACAAGCGTAGGAACAGATTCCACGAAGGATCTAGGGCTGCATGATAACCATGGTGCTCATAGTAAATTTCGCTATGAGATTGTCTTGACTTCTTTTTCTCGGTTTGTGAGGTCGAGCGATTTACTATGGGCAATATGGAGTACTCTGCTGCAGCTATCTCGCAGGGTCTTGCATCCATGTTTTCAGTCTCGAACATCTTCTGGCTCTTCGCTTTATGGATTGGATATCGCGTTGTGATCGCCCTATACAACATCTCGCCTTTGCATCCACTGGTACATTTTCCTGGACCAAAGATCGCAGCCGCGTCTTACCTCTACGAAGCGTACTATGACTGGTGGTGTGTTGGACGCTATGGCCGAGTCATTAAGCAGATGCACGACCAATACGGTCCGATTGTGAGGTATGTTACAACGACCTATAGTGCTCTGCCATAAGTATAAGGAAGAGTCTCACATTGTATGCATAGGATCAACCCGGACGAATTACACTGCTCTGACCCATCCTTCACCGACGAAATATACGCTGGCTCTAGTCGCCCGAGAAACAAATGGATTCATCAACTCAACACTGGCGGCGCTGGGCCTGTTAGCGTCACGGGATTCAGTACAGTTGAGCATGATTTACATCGTGTGCGTAGAGCACCACTGGCGAAGTTCTTCTCCCGCCAACAGATGCTCAAACTCGAAAATGAAGTCCATGAATTCGCGCAGCTGACTACTGATAAAATGCTTAAGAGCGCTGGTAAAGGGAAATTCGACATCAAGGACGCCTTTAATTGCTTCACTGCAGATGTCATCAGCCAGTACGCCTTTGGCGAAAGCATGGGCTTCGTTGCTCAAGAAGGCTGGACACCAAATCTCGCGACTTGGACTGATTCGTTCTTCAAAAGCGCGTATATGATGCGGCATAACGCTCTCGGTCGCAAGATGGCAAACCTCCTTCCCTTCATGGCAGACTATCTGGGCGAAGACGTCCGGGCTATCTTCAAGGTCATGAACGTCACGATCCCGGGATACATTGCTGCCGCGCTCAAAAATCCGGGAAACGGACGCGTGTTTGCACAAGTCATTGGCGAAAAAGGGCTCACCGAGGAGGAGAAATACCGCTTCAACGGCGAAGGCTTCAATTTCCTCCTCGCAGGGACCGAAACAACTGCCGTACATACCCCTCCTCCCTTTAAATCTACAACATACTAACCTCGTACCATCCAGGCCATCCTAACAGTCCTATCCTACCACCTCCTCTCCCGCCCCGAAATCTACGCCCGCCTAAGACGCGACCTCTCTGCCGCCAACCTCACCCCCAACACCCTCTCCTGGGTCGCCCTCGAACAAATCCCGTATTTCTGGGCCATCCTGCAAGAATGCCTGCGCATGATGCCCGGCGTCTCGCACCGCAGCGCGCGCATCGCACCTACCGAGGACCTGCACTTCCAGCAGTGGGTCATCCCGCGCGGCACGCCCATCGGCATGACGAGCATGATCAACCACTGGGACACGCAATTGTTTCCAGATCCGGATGAATTTATTCCGGAGCGCTGGCTCAATGACAATGGCAGTCAGAATTGGGGGCTGCAGAAGAGGTTGATTGCGTTTGGGAAGGGGTCGAGGGTGTGTATTGGTATGGAGTAAGTCAATTCTTCGATGGGGTGATGGAATGTTTTGTGGAGAGTTGAGCTAACAAGTGGTGTAGTTTGGCTTATTGCGAACTTTACGTCATGGGGGCGCTTATGGCGATGAAGGTCCTTCCGAGGTCGAAGTTGGTGGATACGACGAGGGAGGATATTGCGTACGATCATGATCAGATTGTGGTGCAGACGAAGAAGGGGAGTATTTCGGTGAAGATTGAAATTGAGTAAGCTGGAAATGCTCGCGAGGGGAAGGGATTATCAAGCTCATGGGCGCCGACGAGGACAGCATACAGTAGATGATTGCAGTAGTAGAGCTAAATAGCGTCGAAGTTTGACTGCCGCGCTTCTCGATGTCTTCAAAACTTCACCCCACCCATGCTTGCCCTTCCTTTTCGCGCTCGACCAGGACTGTGAGCTGCGCTCCCTCTGTTCATATCACAAATTTCGTCAACTCCCAATCCTGTGTAGACCACTTCAGATATCCCAGCTGTCACTAATAAGGCTTTGACTATCCGCGATCGATCTGACATTACGTCTCTTAAGAGGTCCAGAAACAGGCCGAGACGGGCCTTGGTCGCATTATGGTCCAACTCTTGCAAGCCATAAATGACAATCAGCAGAACCGGTGGCTTAGACAAGTCCAGAAGCTTTCGAAAGACCGAAAGAGCCTCTGTCCATGTCGCGAGTGTGCCATCCAACGCTTCAAAGTCGTCCTTGACCATAACAGCAGCCTCTGACCACTCTGGAGGCAGATACAGTATAAGCTGCTTGATCAGAGCGTACATCATGGCTACTGTTCCTATCGTTTCTCGAGCTCTATTTTCAGGCGGGACTTGGGCGGACTTCTCACAAAAGAACGATATGCAAGGAATACCAGCGGCATGGGCTGCTCTGACATAGTTTGAAGCCATCAACCTCGCCGGGCCATCCTGAGAGATCGAAGCTGGTCCACATATGCCTAAGATTGAGGATGAAATATCCGAATTCCAGTACTGGAGCCGCTGCACGACCTCGAGTTCTATGAAGCACTCGATGTTGGGCGTTGAGGCGTCTATGTGCTTGTAGTCGAAGAATGGATCCAAAACCCTAGATGCCTTGTTCAATTCGGCCTTTGTTGAAACGCTAGTGGAATCTTGTGGCGGTTGGCTCTCTACTTGGTGCTCTTCCTCGATGCTCACCAACGAAGACGTAGTTGCATGCGTTGGACCATTGTCGTATCCTTCAGCAACAAAATGGTATGCTTCACGACTCAAGATCTGTTTGATGCCCTTTCCGCAACGCTCAATCAGCATATTTTCCAGCTGCTGCGACATGTTCGCAAGATGGTTTCGAGTTTCTTCGCTTAGGATCTTGTTGTATGCTTCCTGTGCACGATGCTGCATTTTCCATTGTTCTTCATCTCTTGACCACCTGTCTTTCTGCTGGAACTGTTCCACTTCATGGAAGTAACGCGCGAAATTAATGCCCTGTCTTCGTTCGTTCTTTGCCATACAGAGCTGGAAGCCTCTTTGCATGAAACTTGAGATTTGTCTGACCTCGTCTAGTATGGGCTGGTAGTCTTTCGACAAGCCTTCGTTAAAGGAGGCGAGGAATCTCTTGTGTCCCTTTTGCGTATACCACGAGAAGAAGAACGTCACAAACTCCAATATCTTGCAGCACAATTCGATACCAAGTTCTAGCAGAAATGGCGCTGGGAACTCGGTCAACTCTCGTCTTGTGGCGGCAACTATCCTATCAATCTCCTTCCAGGCGACTGCAAAGTGTTCTCCAACTTGCTCATGATTTACCGATGCCTAATTCAGGTTATGAGTGGTTCTTGTACTAATAGACCTGGTTATTAGGCTCACCTGCACAATGGTTTCTACCGATCCAGATAGGAGCGAAGTATACATATCGCCTTGTGGCAGAATTTTGAGCATATTCGAGTGGTTTTGCATAACTTCGCACACCGCGTGGAAGCGGTTCTTGATTTGGGGGCCTTTTTTCGCCTTTCGTTCGTATTGCGACTTCGCGTGCGATATACTCTGTGTCAAGGTCGACCACGAGAGCGCTTTTGTGCGTCCAGACCCCGGGATCTTATCGTCTAGCAGCGCTTCGAATTGGGCCGTCGCTATCTTGAGATTTTCGCATTGCGCATTCAATGATCTGGAATTGCTTTGGCTTTAAAAGGCTTAGCTATCGTTATTCCAACACGGAGCGATTTACTTCACCTTGATCTTGTAATGCACAATAGCTCGCTAAAGTGGTCATCTTGATCCACCTCTTCATTGAAAGACCGTTCGGCAATTGCTCGAGAGGGGCTCGATGGACGAGATGAACGAGTGGGATCTTTCAAACTGTTCGAGTAACTGCGTACCAGGCTACTGGCCACGAACGTTCGGTATTCTTCCATAACATATTATTTTATTGTTGAAGAGTCAGGCCCAGCTATTAAGCCCGATTCCATCAAACATTCAGAATGGATTTTCAGCCTACCGGTCAAGCTCGAGCGGAGTTGGGTACAGAACATTATCCTTTGCGTAATACGGAGGTACGAACGGTCAGCATGACCAGGAGATGGTGCTTCTGGTGTTTCCTTTCATTGGCTGCAGTCCTCTGCGCAAGTGTGACACACGGGAGCGAAGGGAAAAACTCATCAGGTTGGGAAAGATAAGATCATCGACCTTAAAAGGGATAGGCCAAGAAATGATGAGAGCGAAATATAAGAGTTCTGTTGCAAGCGTGCACCGCACCTGCCATAGCAACAATCAGGCAATCGGTCTAGCTCAGTCCTCTGGCTCATCCGTGATCTAGCCTTCTCTGCCTAGCATTACAATGGCTATGTTGCAAGGCAACATCCGCAGCGCTCTTATCGAAGGAAGTACATCGACACTTGTGTCAGGCCTCAGCCCAGATGATATTGACCATTCATCATCTTTCTTCTCACACACGGCATCTGTCGAAGAAGATGAGATGCTGGATAAACCCGTAAGCAATGAGATGGATGGAAACTTTGCAATGTCTAATTCGTTCGTAGGTCGCCTTCGAAGGGACATCTCCAGAATTTTATCCACCATTACCCCAAGAGGAGAGTTTCGTCAACGCATCCAAAGTCTGCCATAGAATAGAATATCAGTCTTGGAACGACCATTCAGTGATTTATACGAAGGACGTAACAAAGGACAACAATTCCCAAAAACACCGAGTGGTCCACGATGGGCCCATCTTCGACATAGTGGATGTTAATTACACCACTGAAACAAAAGATACTCGGAAGCATGAGCATGACGCAAAAAAAGGCACAGAGCTCAGCAGTTCCGACCGAACACCTTCAGTACAATGGGGTGGAAATCAGTACATTCGCATCTACTCCCGGGCAGTCGTCAATGCACTGCAATCTGTTGTCAACTACTACCCAAATCAAACACTTGCAGGGTCCCCGGTAGACATCTATAAGCCCTATGCAATCCTGGCCCACCATTGGGAACCTCTTGAGCGATTCCGCGCCAGCTTCCATCCTGACGCTGTCGGGCGAATTGCAGATGACTGTGAAGTACATGACACGTACGAGCACTTGGGTTATCTGCTAGAATTCATGGAAAGAGAGCTCCGAGACGAGATCAATAAGGAACATGCTCGTTGGGAGCAGGATATTCCAAAAGCCTCCTTTGGGATGCTCTGGCTCCTGTTCCCACCTGGGACGGACGTTTACTACGATGAAGACGACAATGGGTCTCAGGAGCCTTATGTCATCTCACAAGTCTCTTTCAGGATCATAAATCAGTCATGGAATGAATACAGCGTCGATCTGTGGAATCTAGATGGCCATGAACACGAGATCCGACCTCATCGAGATAAATACTTCCTCACGCGATTTCACGGAGAGAAGCCTATTACGGAATTGAGCATCTTCCCTTGCAAGTATCACCCCGACCACAAGAACAGATACACGGAGCTTGTCAAGCGAGGTACTGCCTATTACAGACTCCGCCAGAAAAGGTGCATGTACTATGACGGCGAGGGAGATTCCTGGCCACGCTTACCGGTAAGTTTTTCTATCATTTCTTCCAACACCCATTGCTGATTTCTCTCATAGTACAAGGGATACGTCATGGTGGACCCCGGCAAAGAACAGGAAGATTTGGAACTTGCTTACGAAGAAACTGACGAGACTGTCGATCAGAAACCCTCTGCGCTCCCACTCTGCAACTGCGATCGATGTTGTGCTATGGAAACAGAACGCACTAGACCGGCTAAATTTGAAGCATACAAGAAAATTGAGCTCAAGAAGACTACGGGGTTGACGCACCATCAATACTTTATCTGCAATCGCTCAACATGGGCGTTCATCCTCGGAATTCGGGAGTGGAGTGAGTTAGCACGATCCTAGGCCGCCCCAGACAACATATTGATTTGAGTTGTGTAGAATTACTGTTCATCGACGGTTTCAGTGAACCAAAATGGGATCTTGGCTTGATAGACGGTCTCGTACTGAAGAGCCACTACAAAGACATGCTTAAAGACCTGTCGCGAATGTTCGTTGAACAACAGCTCTCCAAAAAGAGCGAGGGAAAGCCGAAAGAAGGAGGTTCAGCTGCGCGCCCAACTCCATGGACAGCCGACTACATTGAAAACAAGGGCAAAGGTCTCGTCTTCCTCCTTCACGGCAAACCTGGCGTAGGCAAAACATACACCGCTGAATGCATCGCGCATCAAGTCAAACGCCCTTTGCTCTCGGTAACATGTGCAGACATCGGTGTTGAACCAAGAGAAGTCGAGAACAACCTACGTCGGTGGTTCAAGACTGCCCGGCGATGGGACGCCATCATGCTCCTCGATGAAGCCGACATATACATGGAGTACCGACAAATCCACGACCTTACGCGGAACAATCTTGTCGCCGGCTTCTTGCGCGCAATTGAGTACTATGACGGCGTGCTGTTTCTCACCACTAACCGCATCGGCACCTTCGACGAAGCTTTCCTATCGCGCATCACTGCCATCTACTACGACAACTTCAGCGACGACGACAGAAAGCAGATCTGGGGCAACTACTTCGAAAAGCTGGAAATGGAGCGCGGAGCGGACATCTACGTGCCCATGTCGACCAAGGAATATGCAACCGATTCCAAGGACGTCAGGGAGTTGTTGTGGAACGGACGCGAGATAAGGAATGGTGAGTGGCATCACGTCTTTCCTTTTTTTTTTTTTTTTTTTTTTTTTTTTTCCCACTCGTATCGAATCTGGCTGACTTTGATGTTCTCTTGAACAGCCTTTCAAATCGCAGTCAATCTCGCGCAGGCCGAAGGGAACAAAAACAGCGATGGTAAGGTTACCGTCAAGGAGAAACATATCAAAGTTACCGTGGAGCTATCGCGAGATTTCAAGAGATACATGGTGTCGTTGCATCATAAGACTGAGAGTGAGCGCGCGCGTGTTGCGGGTACAAGGTATGATGATTTTGGTGCGCCAAAGGGTCTAGGAGCAAATATGACTTAGATGAAATTGTCTTTCTGGAATGATGAAGTACTAGCAAATTTGACTTCAGACGAGAGAGTTTAATACCGCTCAATCATCCACTCCCTCCTCTCCTCCTCATCCATCTTCCCCAACATCCTCTGCTCCGCATCCTTCATCCCCGCATACCCATCCACCAACTCGCCATCCAGTATCTCTCTCAACGCCCCATCAACCTTCAACGCCTCCATCGCCTCCTCAACACTCCTCGGCATGCGTCTCGTAATCCCATATCTCGCCCTTCCCTCGTCATCCAACCTACTTGGACCGACATCCAAATCCCTTTCCCTATATTCCACCACGCCAGATTGCAACCCCAACAAGCCAGCCCCAATAGTTGCAGCGAGTGTAAAGTACACATTCGCAAGACCATCCATGCATCGGATCTCCCATCGTCCATCTTTGACTCTGCGGAGTGGGACTTCGCGATTCTGTGTTCCCCACGCCACCCACGCCCCGCCCGACCGAGCATCGCGGTCGTAAGAAATCGCATCCGTCATGCTGAATGCACAGATTGCTGGTAAATGGGCGAGCACCCCACCTACGAAGAACTCCATGTCGCGGTCCGGCGGATGCAGCGAGATATGCGTGTGTGCCACCGTCCCTTTATTGTCAAAAGGCTTGGGATGCAGCGTTGCGCGATATCCACGTAGCGCCGCAATCTGCGCAATGACTTGTCGTGCCTGTATAAGCGTGTCGATGGCGAGAAGAGGGGGGTGTGGGGGCAAGATGAACTTGAACTGGCCTGGGCCGGATTCAGTATGGAATTGTTGGATCTCTATGCCCATTGCATCCAGCGCTATGAGTATCTCGCTCAGGAAGGGAAATTTCAGCCATTGCTCGGGGGACACGGCGCCTGATGCGTGTAGTGTGGTCAGTGGGAGGAAAGTCGGCTGTTGCACATCTTTGGAGTGAGGGTTGGTGGTACTACGAGAGAGGAAGGTCACTTCGATTTCGAAGCCGACGAGAAGTGTGGTGGCGTGTGTGTATTGTAATGCATTGATGAGGGTCTCAAGACTGGCGCGGGGACAGGAAGGTGATGGGTCGCCGGATTCTGAACGCCAGTAGGAGAGGACTGTCGCGGATGGCAAGGGGTCTTTGTTGTGAGTTCTACGCAGAGAGCGGAGATCGGGCTCAATGTAGATTTGACTTGTTGTATTGAAGAAACCTGTGTGTTTGCCGTTGTGTGGCTTGCTCATGTCGCCTTGTGATACGATGATCCTGTCACCCTCACGTATCATGCGAGTAAACTCTTTGATTGGGACGACACGAGTTTGGGTTGTTGCCATGTAGTCGATCCATTGCACATAAACGAAGCGAACATCGGGATTCTCTTTGATGAAGCCGTCAAAGACCTGGTTGTCATAAACTTTGGGAGCTGTGGGAGGAGGAGGAAAGGTAGGTGGCTCGTAAGGTGATCCAGACCGAGGATCAATCGGACCAGTCGTTACAGGCTGGCTTGTTGTTCCTGCTGGAGGGATAGGCGGACTACTGGGTAAGTGAAACGACGATCCTGCCAAAGGTTTCGTGTTGTAGGTCAGTTGCTTCGGTGCTTCTTGTATCGTTTCGTCAAAGATGGCCTGGTAGCGCAGATCATATAGTACATTGGAGTTATTGAACAGTATGTCTTTCGTCATAGCGATTGCTTGGAACACGGTGATATCGCCCTTCTCGATATACTCGATGAGCAACTGCAGATAGTTAGCAAAAATTCTCTACTATCAAGCTTTCAGGAGCTGTAGTACCTCGAGCCACACCTCGCGGAACTGTATATTTGCCAGAAAAAACGTCTCCGGAAACCAGCGACCATCACTAGAATAGAGAAGCTTACTGCCCGGAATTAACTCGAGCGCTTGGCGTAGGATCGCTTCTTGCCCATCTCTGCTGACCATGGGAAACACTTCGCCTATATCAAGATACACATGACGATAGACAGTCGCAAGATAGCCTGCTTCACGAGTGTACGGATACGCAGAGTGAAGAAGCACGAACGGAACATTCGGATAAGCCTCGATAACTTGTTGAAGAAAAGCCGGGTTCGACTCTGACAATTTAATATCGTTGTCGCCAAGTCCAGTATGGAGCTGCAGTGGTTTTGCCAGTGAATCAGAATGGGGTAAGTCGTCAGATAGAATCTCCAGAGTCCGCAACACCAGGTAATCGTTCAGCGGTTTTCGTTCGATCCGATACGAGCGCTTCCGGATGCAAGCCTTCACGTAGCGCTCAAAGGGATGCCCCACTGCTTTGGCAGCTTGTTCGTAGTCTGGTTCGATGTCTAGGCCAGTCCTGTAGCAGATCACAGTCTTGAACCCTGCAACTTTGGGATCTCGAATGGCTTCTTGGATTTCGCGCTCGAAGTCGTCCGTGAAATCCACCCACAGGTCCGGGAGAAACTTTGTTTTACTCAGGTCGTCCTCTTTAGCGTCTCGTACGATGCGTTCCATCAGCCGCTCGGCAACCGTCTCGATTCGCACAATGCGCTTGCTGGGAGCCTGGAGGTACTCATCATGAGAGTCAAAAGGGTAGACCTTCTTTGGGTCGGCGAGGCCATCATCTACCAACAAAGCGTGTACACCTTCAAAGCATTGCTGATGTAGACGTTGAGGATTGCTTCGTAGCCACTCGATTCTTTGCTCAAGGATGTCTTCCCAGTCTGCATCTTCTCCACATTCGTACAGTCGCCGTAGCTGTTTTGCTGCGCGTAGGTGAGGGAGCGATTTGAAAGTATCTCTAAGCGCACGCCCTTGTGCTTCGGTGGTGATTGACTCGAACGGAATAGTCTCTGCATGAGTAGGAAGGATCAAGTTGTGGGCGTGATTGTCGATGATTGGGAAGTGATTTGCAACGTGGCGCAGTTGATCTATCGTTGGCCTCGGCGGCCCTGGAGGTTCCATTGTATTGCTCGACTGCACCTAGTACCGAGTAGCCGTTCTGGCCAAGGTTGGAAGCGAGATGATCGTTCGGAGTCCTAGACTGTGCGCATTCCAAGTATATGAAGTCTAGCGAGTCCCACAAACTCAAGACGGCCTTTTGTGTGATATGCGATCAGTATCACCAACTTCGGTGGTGGTTTACCTGCCCCTCCGTGGTAGCCTCTAGGTGCACGAAACTTGGTCGCATGACGTCGGTTTGGAGCGGAACCCCGGGTAAGTAAGCGCTCAGCTGCAGCTGCCTTTCCTCATGCCTACTTTCTGTGATAGAGCAGCCATATTGACGCTGCATTTGCGAGAACCACCCTTTTAATGTCTATATTAATATGGGAAGTGCACCTTGCGGAGCGCCTTGAGCAACGCCTTTGTAACCGACACAACTCTACCTACTTTTGGCTTTACGTTAGCATGAAGAAGAGCCTTCATATGAGTATAGACGTTGCTTTTCAATGTACTGCAGTATTTATTTATGTGGACTATATTTCTACTAGCTGGACACGTGTAATTTCTGGTGATGAACCATCATGTCAAACCCAGCTTCTTCATCGTCCCGAGATGCGCTTTGTTCTGCCGATCTCCACCAACACTAACATAAGTCTGCTTTGCCTGTTGTATCACCTCACCCCGCCAATGCCAGAAGAGTAACTCAATTTGCTTTGCGACCTCTTCACCTTCAGTTCTTTCTACGAGCCTGTACACCCAGATCAGGCGTTTCGCACTGACAAAGCGATTTTCCATCATTGGCCGGATGATTGAGCTGCGAACAACGGCCTTCGTAAAGAGAGGACCAATGGGCATTGAGTTTTCCTGCAGGTAGCGATAGAGGTATAACACGCGGCGCCATGCCTGGTTGTGAGACAACGTAAGGTCTGTTGTGTATTGATGTGCGAGTTGGTGGATTAGCACTATACGCTGTTCGACCGGACTAGTCACATCCATACTGTGATATGCCAACGGTAGAACGTGATCAGCCTGGGCATGATTGAGAATGTACCGGAACTGCCGCTGAGGTTCGAGCCAGTCGACTTTGGCCATCAAATGCTCGGATACAGTGCTGATCCGGCCAAGTATTGAGAGCATCTTTGAACAGGTGCGTAAAGTGAACGCATCGTCTACCGTGTTACTGCGGGTTTGAACAGCGGCCAGTGACTTTGCGATCCTCTTTTCAACGCGCGCTCCGTCAGGTAGGGAAAGCTGTCGCTGATCCAAAACTTGTAAGAACTTGGCAGTTTGCGCTAACGAAGCATATTGGGTCAAGCATTCTACGATCATCTGGGCCAGAGCTTCATGGGGAACTTTCTTTTGTTTCACATACGACATGAACATGTCGAATACAAGCTCTGCGTGGAGGTTGTCGGTCTCTTCTACCATTGTAGCGAAGGCAGTGAGGAGATCGGATATCTTGGACATTGGAATGTCCTCGAAAGCAGCAGTCTGAGAGGCGTTCACAAGTAAAGCACTCATCAATGTCGGCAGTCGATTCGTGATATGAGAGCGTGATTCAAATACGTGTTCAGCCAGTGTTGTAGTCGCCTTGGCCACGACCGAATGCTTTGAAGACTCGGCGCTGGCGTCTAATCGATGGAGAAGCTGTAACCAGACGTGCAGACGAGCCCGAGCGGCAGCTCTTTTGACTCCATCTCTACTGGACATGCTCCTTGCATAGTCCAAAGTGATTTTCGAGACCGTTTCCGACACGCGCTCATCCGGGATGCACGATAGTACATCTGCGACGATTGCTAGAAGGCCTGGGTCCTTCGACACGCGTGCTATAAGATGGAGGACACAGGCCGTGAGCCGGAGCCGTGAAACATTTTTGATGACTGAAGATAATGTGTTCCTGTGGTGGGAACTACGGAAATTCTGTGCAATAGAGCGTAACAATTGGATGATTCTTGGGTCCAGTAAATCGCCCTGCAAGTGCGCAGAATGCCACAGCTGTTTTATCAGAACTAACAATCTGGTGTCGCCATATGGATTACGAGACTTTTGGTTGAGAGCCGTTCTTGCGAGTCCAACCTGTATCTGATGTATCTCTGAAATGCAATGGGGGTGTTGCGAGATAAACTCTTGGAGACACACCAATAAGTCGAGCGCCTGGCTGGTGTAGATGTGTGGGATCTTGAAATTCCGGGTTGAATGCTGCTCGAGTATGGCTTTGGGATCCCATTTCAGGTGGAGAATTTCTCTAACGACCTGGGTGCTGTACTCCCAGGCGCCAGGAACAGGACAACACGCGTGAAAAGCATCCACAATGAGGTGGGCTCGGTCTGCAGACGAGAGATCATGCGCACTTGCGATCCGTCTTTGGAATGCTCTCAAGGCGGCCTCGGGCCCTGAGCCCACATCTGTGTTTCTCGTGTCGCTCAGCCCGACCTCCACGGGTTCCGAGCCTGCGGGCTGGCTGATAGCATATTGTTCGCCGGTTATATGTGCTACGTTCGGCGTCGACGAGTCTATTGCGCTAGCCGTGGGGGTTGGAGATGCATGGGCAACACTAGGGACTTGGACAATGGGCGGGGAATGGGTCTCTGGTACTGAAAGAGCTATCAGTATGTTTATGCAATTTGGGAGACATATTCTAAGACGTACGGACACGCAATGGCTCCGAGTCGCTTCGCAGTGAAGGTGGTTCATATTTCCATGAAGGCTGGGAACTGGAAGCGAAGCCAAATAATGCGCCGAGGCTGAAAGACGACGGGAAGCTATCTTGAGGATAGTAATTAGAAGAGAGACTCATGCGACGCTTCGCCGCTCTCCTCCTCGCCTCCAATGGCCCTGGAACATGGCTGCCATGGCGCTTTTGATGCGGGCACGAACTGCGAAAAAACCGGTGGAAGGCGCTTGAGAGAAGTTCGTCGGAGATCCAGATATGCGGAGGCGCGGGAGATTGGAGCGATTGTACTGCTCGGCGGCAGACAATGGGCGGTCGTCGCATCAAGCGTGCTGGTCATGAACATGTTCGCATGGATTTGGACATGTCGAAGCTGCCCTAATGGGGACATCTTGGCAACGAAATGATGCCGCTGACTAAGATGCTGATCGACATGGACGAAGTCCAATATTTTCACACGCTTTTGTCATATTTAGGAAGAAACAACATGTTCATCGATTTGCAGGTGGATGTCATAGATATGCAGCATCTCAAGGATTCACATGTTGTTAGATTGTCTGCTGGCTCCGATGCACTCTTAGAGATGTGCACGTGCCAAGACATCACATGGGCGGATTGGACGTATCCATGGATGCACTCCAGCCCACTGCGCTCTCGTACGTCAATTTGTAACTTTTGAGATCAACTCTACGCTCTCGGAACGCCAATGGAGCCATACCAGCCCCCAGCTGCGTAATCAACGAGCACAAACCTTCTGGATGTAATGCCAAATCCAATCTCATACTAATCCCTCGGAAGTGCAGTTGTGCCGCACTCAGGCATGAAGTCGATAGATAGAGTTTGGCAGATTAGCATGGCGACGCAAAATATCAGTCGATATCACAGTACACAATGCATGCCCAGTACCCGGGTTCTGCGACAGTCGAGCACGGCATCGCGGGTAACCCTCTTGGGGCTGAAACCCCCCAGACTTCTTGACGGGCCTGACATCGGACCGACGGTCTTGTTGTTCAGGCGACTGACAAGAGGTGCAGCGGGCCAAGGACGGGTGTCGACAATTCTGTTTTGTGTCCGACAGTGATTCCTGGTTCCTATGTACAGCCTCACGCGCACGAATGTCCTCGCCGTCCTTGGCGACTTCATCGGGGAGCGTCAAACCGCAACCTGTCCCATGCCAGCCGAAGCCATCCGCACCCACCAGGATGCCACATGTCAACAGGTCTAGATGTCAGCTCGCGTGCGCGGTCTCATCTCGAGCTGGCCGGCGTTGCGACGGACTGTGATCTTCACATGCAGCGCGTTCCTTCGATCTCAACGGATCAATGCAGCAAGAGGGGAGAACGTTCTCGACTGGGCGGGCCATGGGCCATGCGGGCAAAAGCAACTGAGCTCGCAGCGAAGGCTCTGCCATGCAGGCAACGTCAGCGGAAGTGACTCGAGTGCTCGAGTGCCGAGAAGCCTGCTGCTGGCGGTGCGGCGTGCGGTGGGCCGCGCGGTTGGCCAACACTGGCCAGCAACGCTTTTCTCTTGCACAGGGATGGGCCTGTCGTGAAACGGATGGGGGAAAGGCTATTGTGGTAGCGCCAGGTACGCTGCGAGGCGATTGGGCACTGGGGGTCTGGTACCTGCGCATCGTGCCCGCCGTCAAAGGAGGCCACGGTGAAGCGCTTTTGCTGCCGCTGGGGACTGTGTCGCGCTGGACAGGCCGACGACTCGCAGAAGCAGCATCAGCAGCAGTGTACAACTCACACGGTGCATAGTGGCATTTTGTTATTCTTAGTAGAGGCAGCAGGCAATCAATAAAGTTCTGCTCTGGCGATAACGTGTGCCAGCATTAGCTCCGTGTCAACTCGGACGTGCGCTAAATTGGCTTTCCTGATCGAGCGGACGCGTGCTCCACAGCTCCTGCCCTCCCCCTTCACACGGCCCACCGTCCTCGCACTCACCACCCACCAAAGTCATTCCTTGTCAGTCGACACCTACACTCGTTCCTGTTCCGATCTCTGCTTCACTGTTCCGCCGCCCTCTTGCTGCGACACCGACTCGACCTGATACATTCTTTCTGCACTGCGTCAAGGCCAAATAAGGGGTGAAACGCGAAACGCATTCCGGGGCTTCCAGCGACCGTCCAGCACCCAACGCACCGTGTTTCGAATCCGCCAGAAGGGCATCGCTGCGCGAGTCCACTCCCGGACTGCAAACCACCCGTCACCGGTTCAACCACGACAACACCTCGACCAGCCCATCGCCGCCCCCAGACCCACGATAACCGCCCTCATCGCCCTGCCCGCTGTGTGCCACGCACGACAACACCATCACCCCCATCACCACCATCGAGTGAAGGTCGCCAGGGTCGTGCATGAAGTCACCCTTTCACCGCTAGGCCGAAGGTACGACCGCCTCGCGCAGTGACTGTGAGAGCGCGCAAACAACTAACACTGCACAGTCCACATCTGCTGGTATAGAGGACAGGCACTTCGCATCACCTTGTCACCTTCGCCACAAACACCCCATCTCTACAACCATGGTACTCATCAGATTCACATCCGCTCTCGCAGCGGCCGCGGTGCTACTGACGGCCGCCGCCGCCGATGACACACCCTCGACCACCGTCAAGAACCACATTACGACGCCCACCGTCACCAAGGCCGCCAGTGCCATGACCACCATCGGCTGCTTCGAGACCGGAACCCCGCTCGAGAACCATGGCGACTACAACTTCCGGAGTCCTGGTAACTGCCAACTGGTGTGTCTGCAGGAAAACAAGAATGTCATGGGACTGTCCGATGGCGTCAACTGCTGGTGCGGAGACCAGATCCCACCAAAGGACTCGCAAACCAAAAACGAGACATGCTCTACCACATGCAGTGGAGACGACACAAGTCTTTGTATGTCCCCATGCCCTTGAATCCACCGTGCTCTCACTAACACAACACAGGCGGTGGTGCCGGCGCACTGTGGGTCGTCCTCACTGGAAACACACGAAACAAGGTCGATTACTTCCAGCCTTCATCTAGCTCTTCTTCGAAGCCAGCGGGCCCAACATCAACTTCTGCGGCCCCCGTCAACACACCCTCCGCAAGCCCATCGGCCGCCGCGCCTTCCACCGAGGGTAGCAAACCCAACACGGCCGGCATCGCGGCAGGTGTTGTAGTAGGTATAGTCGGTCTTTCGGCTATCATTGCGGGCGCGTGGTTCTTGATGCGCCGCAGACGCCAGAAGCAGGCTGAGGACGACTACCGCCGCAATGCCGCAAACATTGACAATTTCGTCTCTGGCGGCAAGCTGCACACGAGCGCATCGTCAATGAACGACTCACGCATTGACCCAAGCTTCATGGACAGGAGGCAAAGCAATGGCAGCATTGCAGACAACGAGGACTACTCGAGGCGGATATTGAAGGTATGATCCACTCACTTGGTCACCACATATCCGTGCTAACAAACTGCCAGGTCACCAACGTCTGAGCGTTTTGATGACGGCATTGGCAACACCACAAACCCTTCTTGCCATCGCGCACCTTGTCCGTTGAGGAAGTTTACGACACGACCAATACACCACTACACCACTTTGCGACCGCCACTATTTCCTTTAACTACATCATCTCTTGCACTACCATGTGCCAATCACGCATGACGACGAGAGTAGAAGTTCGCCGTGTGGGGACATTGCTTATTAGTTCACAACGGTATACCCCTCCGCTGTTTCCTTAAGGTCTGGGTTGCAAAAGGCCTTTTTCTTCCTGTGTTATATATCTCCAGTTTCGAGCTCACCATCTGGCGTCATAAGGTGTTAGATACGGACAAATGCAATGGGCAGTTTTTAACAACATGCTTCTGTTTGATCCGGCCAGGCGTATTTGTTCAGGGGACAATCCACGGTTCACTCTTTTTTTGCGCTCAATACTTGTTTTTAGGACGGTAATTTCGTCCACGCCATTCCTTCAAAGTGCTCTGTCCCCGCAGCATGCGACCTGTTGTATCGATACCTCGCCACGGGCATGTCTAGGAGCAAAAGTACTCCCCATCTCCTTGCCACATATAGTCTTATTGGTAGTAAATCACGAATATCATACTACTATTTAGCTTCTGTTACTTTGGGGTGTGTCCCTAAACGCAAGCAAGATCCGCTACCACACGATTGCCCTTCGCTCTCGTCACATTGATTTGGACTTAGCAATACCCACGAACCCGCTCTTCACCTCGTTATCGGACCATAACGTCATAACCCACATAATACTCATCTACCCAGCCTATACCACCAAACATAGCAACACCACAATAGGCGCACCGCCGAACACACATGGCATTATTATTCACCCACAAAAACACACCCATCTCCACACGGCACTTGCACAGCCCCACGGCGCAAATCTCTCACCCACAGCAAGGCAAGAGCATGTCACGCGAGCCTTTGGCCGAAATCACGATCAGCGCCGGCAAGGGACCAATCACGCGTCTGCGATCGACCCTCCGTCGATCGTCGAGGTTTTGAAACGAGAGGGCAAGACAGAGAGAGAGGAGAGGTGTTTGACGAGCACTCAATCGCCGGCGCATTTCGAGAGCGCGTGATACGTGAAAGGAAAGAAAAAAGCGCGCTTGTTTTGATTTCTTTGGCTGCCTTCGTGGAGACGCAGATAGATGGTGTGTGTGTGGAGATGGGAGCAAGTGTGCCGCGCATAGATGGGCAAACTACCGAGGTTCTACCTTGCATTGAAGAGGCTAATGTTTCATTCGAGGATTCTTGCACAAACGCGACTAAAACCAACACCGCAGGGTCTGCTTCTTGTGTAATGCATGCATGCGGGAAAAAAGCAAGGGAGGGGAAAGGTGGAGGGTTGGGCTGGTGGGGGGGGAAACATGTAAATGAGGATGGGCATGGGTGCTGGTGTGGCTGAATCGTAAATGAGGCTGGTGCTTATGCTGTGCTGTGCTGGGCTGGGCTGCTAGGCGGGTGAATTATGTTCGCTATCCTGTTCGTGGTCGGAAGATTAGAACATGTTTAAATTCATGAGCTTGTAGATCTCAAGTAGCTATCGGACCAATCTTTTGCGCAATGCGACATGTTCCATGTTGTTCCTTGCACGTTCTATCGACGTTGCATGCCCAAGTTGTGAAAGATTGAGTTTGTTGACATATGCAATTTAGGTTTGTTGTAGAGTTTGAACACGGGACACAAGCCACGGTATCTCCCTCGACGTCTAATCACAAGAAACATTTGCAAGGTTCTAGACGTGTTCACAACACAGCACAAACTTTGCAAAGACATCGATCGATTAAATTGCTACAATAACAAATACGCAAGGGCAGGGTTTCGCGCGACTAACATGTGCGGGTATCAAAAAAAAAGGGCAAAGACTTGCTGAACGAGAGAGTCGAAAGGGGAAGGGTAGCGGCCTATGCGTGAGGACTCGCAGCGCAAAGATCCCAGAGCAAAGATATGTCGACCTCGGTGAATCCCACCTCGCCCAGCAAATAAGAGGCATACGTGATTTCGTACATCATACCAAGCGTCCCAGGTCATATCCATAAGAACATATAACTTCTATCCCCCTCTTACGAAGCGGCTCAGAGCTCACATCTGTATCAACGATTCCTCAGTCACGGGTGCAGGAACCTTGGCACCACCACCAGCAGCTTTGGGATACTCGCCAGGGACATGCAGGTCACTAACGCTGATGTCGGTATTGGTGCGGTGCATGCCTGGATGGGCCTGGCTCTCTGCGACATCGACTAGTTCTTGGGGAACAGGTCCGCCGTTGATAGTCTTTCCTGGAGCAGGAACAGCGGCACCAACCTCAGAATCATTTAAAAAAGACGCTGTGGTAGATGGGCTACCAACGGTGTCATCCAAGTGCGAGGCCGTGGGTTCGCGAGATGCCCCAGCTGCGAGAACGGGTGCAGGGATCAGGGTGGAGTGAACTCCAGCTTCTTTGGCGCCGATGAAGGAGACGGGGGCGTGATGGTCAGGGTCGCGCTCAGGGACAGCGGGTGCAGGGCTGACAACACTGCTAGTTGGCGGCGGGAATTGCTCCGCAGGGTAGCGAGGGTCTTGACTCTGTACTGCCTGTTGGTTGAGCTCCTGTTGTTCCGCCTGTTCCCTTTGGGCCATTTGTTGTTGCTGAGCCATCTGCTTGCGCTGATGAGCTTCTTCGGCGAGGGCTCCAAGTGCTGCTCCACCTACAGCACCACCTGCGGCAGGGGCCATCCAGTTGCCGTAGTTGCTTTCATGTCGTTCGACTGGAGGTTGCACTTCGTATTGCTGAGCATTTGAAATTTGAGGCTGCGGAGCACCTTGGTAAGTCTGAGGAGTAGAACCGTATGGTCCAGGGTATGAAATAGTGGGCTGGTATGCCTGTGTTGTTGGTGGGTAAGCGTTCACGTAGTCTGTAGCTGCATATGTTGGTTGGACAGGCTGGGCTTGTTGATAGTCCGTTGGGTGGGCGGGATACGCTGATTCGTACTCCTGCGAGGGACCTCCAGCTGCAGTTCCTAGATCATGGCCGACGTCTGAACTCCCACTAGAGGGCGAAAGAGGCGCTTGTAAGCTACGGACATTCAAATCGGATGGGAACCGCCCACCTGGAGATGGCCTGGTGGTTTCCTGCCTGATGGGCTGGTTCGCCAGGGACGCATTTGCGCTATACGGGATCGCATCGGCCTCGTCTTCTTCGAGTCCACTCGCAGAGCTGGCTGAATGATGGCTGCCGGCACTAATACTCCTGACGCTCGCATGTCGGCGTACAAACGCATTGCGCTCCTCGCCGCTCGTCTCCGTGAGAGCTTTGATATCATCGAACCAGGCAAGCATTGTATCGTATGTCTCAGCGCGGAAAACCCAAGTATGGCCACGATGCATGGATCCAGTTTGTCGGCCCTTGATGACAAACTTGTGCGATGAGCTTCCTGGCTGAGAACGCGATCCAAGTTTCTGGTCTGGAAGGTATAGTGACATGACAGGAGGCTGAGTGTATATGCGATCGGCTGACTTGAACTCGTGGAGATGGGTCGGTGACAAGACATACCTGTGCTGTGTTAGATAGTGCAGTGAATTGGGTTAGTTAGTACGTACCACCCAGCAGTGTAGCTCTTGAGGTATTTGCTCTTTCTCTCTAACATGCCGGCTCGGACCTCAGCGGTTGCCGGGTGGTGTTTGCCGGGATACTCGATGTCCTCAAGTCGGCGCAGAGGAAGATCAGGATTCACAAAGTGAGGGTCGCTCTTCACGAAACGCGTCCACTCGTGGTCTCGAGGCATGGCAATTGGACCAGTGCGAAGCTTTTCCACAGTCGAGTACATCTCATCGGCATCGCGCTTCAGGATGCTCGCGAGCGCATTGTACGCTTTCTGGACCTCGCCCACGACAATTGACTCAAGTTCACGTCCAGAGTTCTCGAGGTTGAGATAGGCCTAACCATGTTAGAAAGCTGGCTATGTAATATTGCGTGCATACATACCCTGTGCAGGTAGTTCTCCTCGTCAATCTGCCTCTCGACCTGGCGCTCCACTCCGAGACGGACTACGTACGGGTCGCCCTTGCCGGCGACTGCGTTGGGGTCGGAGTCGACCAGAGCCAATGCTTCCTCAAGCGCTGTCACGCACTTCCTGGTGGTCTCCTTCTCCTTCTCCACATTGTTCTTGAAATCACCAGAAAGTGACTTGATCTCCTTGATCTTTTGTGCGAGGTCGGCTCGCAGACCACTCAACTGGTTGATGACGTCGGACTCGATATCGCGGGCCTTGTTCGCTTCGACGATTGCCTGCTTGTGGAAATCGCGCAAGATGCGGTTCGCGTCGTTGAGGCCGCCTTCAACCAAGAGCGCAGAGGGCGCATTGGTGTTGTTGATAACGTTGGAGACCTTCAGAAGGCTCTTGGCACGGTGCTCATAGGAAGAAGAGACTTCGCGGAAGTAGGTGATGAGGTCCTTGAGGAACTTGCGCCAAGCTATGAAATATCAGTTTTTGAGCTACAGGTGCAGCAAGAGGCAGACATACTCTGGAAGCGCTCGGCCAGGGTCTCAGTGGGCGAGCCCTTGGTGGGGACAGGCGTGTAGAAGACGCTATCTTCACGATCGTACCCGCCCTCCTGGTCGTCGAGCGTCACGCCACGGATGCTGCCCGCGTGCATGCTTCTCCGGCTGCCACTGCGCTTCAAGCTGCCGGTGCGCTTGACAGAGCCTTTCTTCTTGAGCGTCCCACTGCGCGAGGGCGTCGAGCCCTGGTTGAGGGTCGTCGAGCCACGCGAGGCCCGTGAAGCAGAGCGCTGGGGCAGGTCGCCATCGAGGATGGAGTGGCCCCTGGTAGAGGCATCGAAGCTCTCCTCGAACCTGCCGCGGCGCTCAGCGGGCGCAGAGCCGTAGTGGTCGTTTGCGAAGTCGTTCACGCCGACATTGAGCGCCGACGAGGATCCATATCCTCTGCTCAATTGCGAGGGGTCGTCAATGTCAGGGACAGGGTTGTACGAGGCCGAGGGCGTCACTGGTCGGTAGCTCGCCATGATATATGAGGAACCCGCTTACTGCCTGGTCCTATGCTGGAGCAGATGCAGTGGGGTGTGCCTTGCGGATATATGTTAATATAAACAAGCTCGCTGTCACAGCGGAGAAGGGTCCGATCTTCTGCAAGACACGAGTCGGCCCTGTGGCAGCAACGCAGGTGTGGCTTCCTATGACGTGCTGAAGTGCGCTAGAGGACAAACGGGGAGAAGGAGATTGAGGCGCAGCCGGATTTGTCGAGGCCGAGCGCTGATGGGGCTGCAGATCTCTACTTACGGGATTCAATTTGTCCAAACCTCAGGTGAATTTCCACGATGATACTGAAAACGATGTTTCGTAGTGCCGGGCGCTGGCTTTTGTTGCGCCGGCTTCACGGCTTGAAGAGGTGCTCAAAGTGATGTCATCCTCGCCGACAGCTTGGCACCCTTGTAGTAAACATTCACCAACACAATGGTGCCCTGATCGTCATCGCAGCAAACCGACTGCGACCCAACGAGCCTAGCGTTCATTGCACCGCTGCGACAACTTGGAACCTTGGCCTGTGAGAATTGTGCATTATGCACCACCTTTTGTGTTTGTGTCGTCTACCGTGTTGCTGCACGCCTTCAAGACGCTGTCACAGGCGTCCTCACGTCCCCGTAACAGCACCACAGCTGCACCAGCTTGGACATCGGTGATACTGGCGGTGCTCCACCTGCCTAGACTGCACAATCACCAACTCTCAACCAAGGTCGCATCGTGCTAGACGAAACACGTGGAGACTGAATGTGGAGTGATCTGCCGGACGTTCCGAGCACAAGGCGAGCATGGCATGCAAGGTCTCAGTTCTCTTGCACGCCCGAATCACCTTGCAGGATGATTTGGCTGTGCAGCGCCAGCTTGATGACCAATTGCACACGCCGCCAATTTTGATTTGAAGAGGCCGTGAGGACACACTGCACCTTCTAAGGAATTGTGGCATCCTTACGTCGATCACCACGTTGGCAAATGTCAAGATCATGGCCAGAGCATTACTTGGGAAGCGGCTACATCCGACTGTACGAAATCTTGCGATGCTTTAAGGATAGAACCAGCCGACCAAGAATTAAGCGCTCGATCTCAGTCTCACCAGGTCCAGACGCATCGCAGCTAACTTACGGGTGGCTGATGTCACTCACCACGCTGCTGGATCTTACCATGGCACGACCCCGTCCACGATCGCAGTCTAAAACCTTTCGCATATTTGGTCCTTCATCAAATAGTCCTATTGCACGCAAGTTGACTTCTCTCTTCTCGGCTTCCTCAATCGCAGTCTTGCTTTGAAAGCTGGAAGTAATTCATTGGCGTTGAAATCTCACGTTAGCCTACTGTGCTAATATAGCGTACCGTGGTGACACTGCAGCTCCGGCACATGCTTTCCGATGAATTCGCGACTTCTAAAACCAATGGAGCCTGTGCCGAGCCAGCAATTGCACTACTGTCGAAGGAAGAGTGCGTCTGAAACGCTTGAAACAATGTCTCTGTATACTTCACACAAACAAGTATCGTGGAGATCGTCGTCCGTCTAAGGACCAGGACGCGGCTCAGCATGTGACACACAAGCTGATATGCTCACGGCCAAGGCTGGCCCCACTAAAGGCAATGTCGAGACATCACGGCCGTAAGACATCAGGCTGGATGAGTGGATGCCGTTTACATGGACTCGCTCAAGTAAAATGGTGCAGCGCAAGAGATGGACCTATCACGAAGACAGAGCGGTGCAGCGACCGACTCCAACGTGGCTGAATATATGGATATACAAAAACCTGCTGAAGGCAAGAGCAGGTATTAGTTCAGCACAAGACCACGCCAAAGACCACTGACATCTCAAGTCATGCAGAAAGTAAATACGAATGTTACAAATATGAGAGAGGACCAGGTTGTAGTCGGAGTTAGGACGGCGAGCTTTCTCCGTAACCAACTGGGAGTGAGGTCGCGTGGACGCTTATGACTTACTGTCCTAAGGGGTGTAGAGGAGCCTCCATCTACATCTGTAGACCCTCCGGCCTAGGAAGTTGGCTTTTGTCCTAACGTATCTCTGATGATGGCCTCGAGTAAAGCATCAATTGTAACCATCAGTCTCTTACTTGATTACACCAATGCGAACGATCGCTGATTTGTCCAGTCTCCGGAGGACATCTTGTGCCAGCACCGGCAGTCCACGAATGGAAGGTCCTCAGACGAAGATGCTGTCCTGCAGACCAAGCCCATGGCTGGAGATGAAGTGGATAGCAAGCTGACAAGATCTTACTCTACTCACTCATCGTCTTCATTCCACCAGATACCGTGGATGCACTACCAGGAGCAATATGATGTTCTCCACTGTCGTCTCCAGGAACCTGTTATCGCGATGCTGGGCACGGATCTTTTGACTACGTTCCATATTACCCGTTCCACTTATACGCCACCCGGACGGCAGATGTTCTTACAATTGATTGCACGTTTCGCTAGAACATCCTCTGCCGGATTTGGATAAGACTTTGCCCAGCCTTGTCTATTTCTCGAAACAACGCACCCCTGCATATGCGTTGCTGACCTAGAATATCTGGATATTACTGGACGATGGCCGTGCAGTATTCTGGCGTCCGCTACACCACGATATCTGGGGTGCATACCAATATCATGGTGTTCATTGGGCTGCCGCTGATGTATGCATGGGTATATTACATATGCATACTTGTCGTGGCTCGTAATGAGCGATCGTCATACCGGCCGACTTGTGATCGATGGCACTTGATGAACAAGGAAGAGAGACCGATGTATATAAACAGTGACTCGGGACACCTTGTAGCATCTCGTTCACGCTTGTATCAGATCACTCGCTTAGTACAAAGATCCCATACCTACAGGGATTCCATCTGTAAAGTTCACCATGAAGCTCTTCGCCATCTTGGCCGCTTTGCCCGCCTTGTCTTCGGCTCATACCATCGCTCAGCGCGTCAGGTTCGCTGCCCACCAGTAATACATAGCTCTCACACATTACTGACTAGAACAGGGTCAACGGCCAAGACAACGGTCTATCAAACGGTATCAGGGTCGCTACGTCAAACAACCCCAGTACGTCAAGCCCTTGCCCAAAGCTTGTCTTCATACACTAAACCAACCTCGTTCAGTCAGCAATGTCAACGATGCGAGCATCGCCTGTAAATCCGGCTTCCAATCCCCCGTGTCCAGCAAAGTCATCGACGTCAAAGCCGGCGACAAAGTAGGCGTAAACTGGGGCCACATCATCGGCGGCGCCCAGTTCGCAAACGACGCAGACCACCCCATTGCAAAGAGCCACAAGGGCCCTGTGCTTTTTTACATGTACGTGATCTCCCTCTCTCCCCACATACTACCTCTGCTAACCCCTCCACAGGGCCAAAGTCGACAACGCAGCCAGCGCCTCCACCTCGGGCCAAAAATGGTTCAAAGTCTACGAGGACGGCCTCGACATGAGCAGCGGCACGTGGGGCGTCGACCGCATGATATCCAACGGCGGCTGGGTCGACTTCACCATGCCCTCGTGCATCGCGCCTGGCAACTACCTCCTGCGCGCCGAGATCATCGCGCTGCACTCGGCGACCAAGAGCCAGGGAGTGCAGTTCTACATGGGCTGTGCGCAGATTAATGTCAGCGGGAGTGGAAGCAAGACTGGCACAACTGTCAGCTTTCCAGGCGCATATGGACAGAGCGACCCGGGTATTTTGGTGAGCATCTACGACAAGCAGGGGAATCCGAAGGGCAATGGGAGCCCGTATCAGATTCCGGGGCCGGCGGTTATGACTTGTTAGATTGAGGATGTAGACGCACGTTAGGTCACTGAAGCATATTGTTGCAATCTCTATATATACTCCACAAACCACAATCCCTCCAACAAACCCAGTACACCTTAAATACGTGCTGGCGGCAACCGCTAGGCTGACTACCTGGCGCAGTGGTTGTGATAACCCATTTGGTTGGGTTCGACTTGCATGATGAACTGAATAAGGTTTGCGAGTATCCTTTTGCTCGTGCGTTCGAATCGAGGGTAGGTCAATTTGGTGTGTACTTCTTTTCTTCTTCTGCTGGGGGCATGTCGATGGGATGTATTATCGACTACTGTATCTGTCTTGATTCATAAAAGACGGGAACATGTTTGCACAAATATCTAGGAGCAGAAACATTTCCAGGTATCAGCAAGTAATAACACAGACCATCGGATCATCTATGACTTCTTGGTGCTACGATCGAAGTCTGACGCTATTTTGTAGCTTCAGCCCCGTGGGGTAGGTTGCTGTCGAAGAATCTCCGCCACCATCTATCTCCCTACTCGTTCCCACCACTAGCTACATCACCACCGAACAGCGACGAATATGCAGCAGCATCCTCGTCGCCCATGAGATCTGCGAGGTTCGCACCGCCGACGACCATCACAGGTTCACCATCTGAGGTCTTAGCGCGCTTGTTGACTTCTGCGTCATCGTCGTCGCCGTCGTCGACGGTCCGGGATTTGCGCTTGAGAGTCGAGGGGCCGGGAAGTGTCGTTGGAGCTTGTGCCCGGGACTCGAGCTGATTGAGACGCCGAGGGTGGAGCTGGAGCTGGAGCTGGAGCTCGTGTAGACGCTGGAGTGGCCTTCTGAGTAGTGGGTACAGGAGCTGGAGCTGGCTTCGGCGCTGGAGTAACCTTCTGAGTAGCAGTTGCAGGAGTCGAAGTAATCTTCTGAGTAGCAGGCGTACTCGAAGTTGTCGTCTGATTCTTCGCCATCGCGGTAGCCGTCTTTGACAGCGGCGCAGGCGGAGGCTTCTCCCTCCCCTTCTCCCTCCCCTTCTCCCTCTCACCCCGCCTCCTATCCTCCAGATTCTCACTATCGCCCTCTCTCCACATCTGCCCCTCCCTCATGCCTTCAAGCACATCCCCTAAATCCTCCTCCACCCAAAACGCAATTTCAAAAGCCGCATCTTCTACGGTCGGGCACACGTTACTCCGATAAAGTATCTTCCACTCCTTCTTGCGAGGGTCGGGGTACACGATTAGTGCGGCGCGCCACTGCGTGCTGGCTAGATTGCGTGGCGTGCTGCTCGAGGTGATGACGTCGAAGCGCTCGGCTTGTGGGTAGCGGTGAGAGAAGTAGGCGTGGGCGTTGGAGAGGATGCGTTTCTTGAGCTGCGGGAAGGATTGGGTTGGAGCGTAATGGTGGGGAGGGAGGTGACTGCGTGAAGCTGCGGATGGGCGTGGGTTGGGATTGAAGGTGGTGTGATGGGTGTGGCGGTCGGCCTTTCCTGTAGCCCATTTGGACTTGCTGAGATTTGGTGTCTGGGTCTCTTTGAGCGTGGGTTTGGAGGTGGCTTTGGTGGGCGCTTTGGCTGCTTCGTCCTGGGTCTCCTTGACAGGCTGTTTGGCGGATTCCTGGTCAGCTTCCTTCACGACCTCCCCAACGTCTTCCATCTCCACATTCTCATCCTGGTCCGCCTTCTTCTCTTTCTCCTCGTCCTCGTCCTTCTCAAATTCCATATCCCTCTCCCTCGCCTTAGCCCTCAACTCTTCGATATCCTGCATATCAGTTGCCATCGGCCACTTCCTCGCCGCCCTAACCAAATTCCTCTCCCAACCCGTCATCTTCCCTCCAACCTTGTACTCTCCCGTCTTCTTGAACTGCGACGGATATATACTCGCCCTAACCACCAACTCCCTCTCAAACTTCGTCAATACCTCCCCATCCACCGAGGCCACCCTCGCTGCTTTATCAACGCTCCACGGCGCGCGATCCATGTGTATCTTGGGGAGGGCTTGGCGCTTGGGTTGCAAGATTTCTGGAGCTGGTAGTGAGGGGGTAGTAGTCTGAGAGGGCGTTGAGATCGATGGGATGTGCGGCGGCGGCAGTGATGAGTGCGAATTCGTGGTCTGAGAGAGGGGCGTCGCCTGCGGGGACGAAGCTGGTGTGGTCTTTGACGCGGTCGGGGTGTCGGCTGGCGAGAACGACGATCTTACGCTCGAAGCAGGTCAGGCGTGTGCCGTTGGCAAAGACGTTACCTGTGCGAGGGTCGTGGGACCACGGGATGCCGTTGGAAGGGAGCATGGAGGGCGATTCCGATTCAGGCTTTGCGGTTGAAGTCGAGGTGGACGCCACTGCGTCTGCTATGTGTGAAGATTGATCCATCATATCCGTCTCAGGCACATCAGCACGCTCCAGACCTCCCTCAGTCCTCATTTCACTTCCAAGCTCAAGCTCAGAGTACTTCAAATAGAACCTCCTCTCTTTATCCACTCCCTCACACTTTTCCAGATCCAACGGCCACCTCTTTACCACCTCCAGCAACTTCCACTCCTCTTCCGTGAACTCCGGTCGACGCTTCCTACTGACCCCACGCTGGCTGACGGCCGGATCAAAGCAATCAGGATATCGAGTTGCTAGGAGTGCGAGTTCGCGCTCCCACGGATCCAAGGGGCGCTTGTCCCAGAGAATAACGCGGGTCTTGGTGTTGAAGGACCAAGGTGACTGCGCGGGCTTGTGGGGTGGAGTGGATGGTTGGCGACGACGGACGGGAGAGCGAGGGCGGGCTCGAGGGATCGGGCGGCGGTGTTCGGGCTGATAGGTTGCAGAGGGGTACTTGGGTCGATAGCAGCCCATGTGGATGATCTGGTTGAAGAGTGCGGTTGATAGTTGGTACAGATGGGAGAGAAGAAATGTGTTACGGGTAGTGAGCTATAGACTCGCGATGTGCTAGGCACCAAGCGTAGTGAAAGTGAACAAGCAAACGGAATTGCCGTGAACAATTTTTTTTGATCACTCCGAATATGTGAATGGCAGGGGCGCTCCGCTGAGCGGGTGAATAAGAAATCTCTCTCAATTAAGCTATCCTAGATGCAAAAAATGCCAAAGACTATTGGTATATACGCTTGAACGCTCCACAACACAATGCAACATCCCGTTCGTTATTCCACTCGACACTGCTAGGGACAAGCGGGCTCCTCTTTCTGCTCAGCTTTCCCCTTCTTGTCACCACCAAGTGCTTGTGCCTGGAACTTCCTAATGCCATCAAAGCTCATCCTGCTGCCACTTCTCTTCTTCTCGCCCTCCTCTTCACTCTCGTTTCCCTTCTCCTTCTTCTTCTCCACATGACGAATAGCCTCCTCGGTCAACTCCTGTCGGTTCATGCGCTCGACCACGTCATTCTTGCGCGTGCGCTTGTCGCCGAGCCAAATAAGTAGACCGGCTGTGGCGTTGCACGTGATGGAGCAGCAAAGAATGACGGTGGTGAGGGCAAAAGGTCGGACTTTGTAGTAAATGCCCCACGTACATGCGCCGAGGGAGATTTGAAGAAGGGAGTGGCAATCGAGAAGGACGACAATGGCGACAAGGAATCGTAGCGGAAAGGCGTGATGGGTCTCGGTCTCGTGGGGCTTGTAGAAGGAGTGCGACTTGCAAAATTTGGCCTGATGGTGCTCGAGCTTCTCTTGCTGCTTGGGGGTCAAGACTGTAAATTCCCACTGCTTCTCGGGGTCCTCGGGGTCGACCGTGCGTGGCACACTAATGGGCGCATTGGCGGAAGGTAGATCGTTGTTGTCAGTCAAAGCCGGTAGCATATCCTTCTTCCTCCTTGACCAAGTGTAGTGATGATAGTGGGCGATATAGATCATGTGATACGTGTCGATGGCACGGAATGGGGCGAGACCGTCTCCGACAACGGCAAACAAGGCGACTAACACACTGTCGATGACGTGAACAACATAGATCTGCCTGCCGCCAACGTTGATCCAGCCGATGAGGAACAGTACCCAGGCAAGACCGAAGAGGGTGATGAGCGTGGCATAGAGTGTGACGGCGAAGCCGAGTGCTGGTGGTTGTTAGTTGTATGGACATAAATGGCGATTTCTCAACTTACGTCTCCTCACGTACTGTCCGAAGCCGCGCATAGTGCGCTTGAACTTGGAGCGCTTCGAGTGTAGCATATGCCGCACATGGTCGTTGACCTCAGCCTTGTCCTGCTTGGACCAGCCTTCCAATGAGGCACCTTGGGGTAATACAGCATAACGGGAGTCGCTGAGTTGCGAGTCGATCGTGGCCACGGTGGCCATTGTACCTTCACTCTCTGTTCTACGAAGACGAGGTACAGCCTGTTCTTCGGCCTGGGCATCTCGGAGCGGACCCAATACCCTGTTGATCTCATTGAGACTTTCGGTTTCACTGGGTCGGCGGCGTAGGTTGTAGGTGGGTCGGCGGTTCAGGAATGGTAGGTTAGGAATGAAGAGCGAGTTTTGAACGTTGGTCAGAGATGTGAGGGTCGCGACTTCGGGATCTGATGTTGTTAGCTGGTGTTGCTGTGCGTGCGTTGGGGTGAGCCATACCAATTGTGTCGAGCACATCGACCATGTCCGACGTGTAGTCAGCAGGTTCCTCATACTGTGGTGTCGCGTGGCCGCTTGCATCTGGTGTCGCCTGTTTCTCTGGACTACCCCAAAACGGTATTCTCGTCTGTATAGCACTTTTGACCTTTCGAAGGCGTGTAGGCTCGACTTTGGTGGATTCGGGCTTGCTTGAATTCGAAGGCACCTGCCCCAGCGCATGTTCCTCGTCGAGTGCAGGCAACGTGCTCAGCCGCTGCGCAGATGGATTTGGGCCCTGGGCGACCTGGCGTAATGTGTTTGACGAAGGCATTCGTCTGATACCAATACTTGCTTGTCGTCCCACAGGTGGGCGGCGTTGATGTTGCTGGAGAGATGCAGGCGCTTTGTGTGGTGCCGAGCTGCTTCTTGCCCTTCGCGGACGCGCACTATGTCTTTGTTAGCAGGCGCAACTTAACACTACAAAGACATTGTGAACCTGCCTTGGGGGAGACTTCGAAGGAGAGCCATGATGGGAGGGCTTTGGTACTGTCAGGCCAGCATCGACCGAGGACTGAAGTGAAGTCGGCGGCTCAATCACTGGCTGTCGCGTTGGCTCGTTCGGTGTAGCAAAGTCTTGCGCCTCGGTGCCCGGCAGTGGCCCCAGGAAGCCTTCGTTGACAGCATGCGTCGATGAGTTGTCGTGGGGCGCGAGTGAAGAGTGAGGCACGTGAAGCGACCCCTGCCCGGTTCCTGAAGAAGTGGCCTCGGCGAGTCTGTTGCGCGCCGTACGCGTCTTTGCTCTGACCTTGTCCATGGGGACTGATCAATTTCGCGAAAAGAGAGAGAACAGTTCACCGTCGCTTCAAGGCAAACATACTTTAAGGCCTAGCTAGCAGCAGAACCCTGAGTTGGCACTGTTTCGTGGCTGGCGGCTCGGCCGTTCTCAATTTCCTGGAAGTTGAATGCATCCTCTGGGCACAATGACGTCGGATTGCAGGAAACCCACCCCCTTTCTGCTACCAAGACACATCTCACATACGAAGCTGTAGGAGGTCAGACCCAGCAGCGTTTCTCTGCAACGCCTGCAACTCCCAGGCATTGTTGCAGCACTAGGATGTAGTGAAACGCTCGATCCATAGCCTGTGCCTGTAACCTTGACGCAGTCATCCGATCCTCCACCAGATCTCCCCAGGCCCCCGCCCATTCAATGATCTTCGCTTAGATGCCGCTATCCAGGGTTGCGGACCATGGCGCCACTTCTGCCTTCAGCCGATACGATGCTTGCGGATGATCGCGAACAATGAACATGTCGAACCGTAATGCTAACGATGATGTTCAGGGGTTTCGAGATTCACCACCTGATGCAGGGTCAGAATAGCGGCGGGCGCTTCATTAGCATATCTGCCTAGAAAGCGCTTGCGAAGTAGCGTTGCACCATGACTTTGCCGGTAACCGAACGTCGCGGCTGGCACTTATACCGACGATTATTATCAAGTTGTTGTCTATCGTCAAAGATCGGTACTATTACCGGTCTGCTGCTGACGAGGTGCAACTCGAATGCGCGCCTGAGATACCTCGATCATGATACTCCCCGTTTTCACCTCCATCTCGCGGCCAGCACGCTCGTCTCTTCTCAACTTCAGTAACCCACGATCTATCAAATCGGCGATGGCGACTGCGTTCTCTGCTGCTCGTGGATATATGGCGTGATATGCTTTGCTGCATAAAGGTGTCTTTACACCTGCTAGGCCGAACGAGTCTCTGATTACAAACGCGGTATTCCCGTAGGTCGTCAGGCATGGACTTTAAAAATTCGAGACGAGTCTGTACTGCTGCGGAGGGGTAGTCCTAGCCATGTTTCCCGTCGTTGACATATCTGAACCTAGTCTATATCAGTACACATCGATATGGCCGTCAGCCAGACTCACTCGTTGTGCATCGTGGGCTGCAGCGCGACCAAGAATGTCTTTCGCAAATCGTCATAAAGCCTCAATACCGGCCAAAGGGTATTGTTTTGTATGATATACGGACCGGTGACATCGGTTTTCACCCACTTCAAAGAAGAGGCTCGGGTCGACCCGAGGCTCAAGATGCATCGCGGGTATTCTAAACATGGAGTATCGCGTATAATTTAAGGAGCATGCGTTTGCTATGTAGCGGGGTATACCGTTCGAGTAACTTCTGAAACCCGTGGATAAAGGATAAGATGCACCAAGCACTGGTGGTTTGCACTGGACAAACACGGGGATGAGAGTACCACTGATTAGTGAAGCTCAAGAGTGCGGATGGTGAGGCTTACCTGCTTCCTCGTGTATTCAGCGGAATCTTGGATAGTCGGTTAATTGTATTACATGTCGCCAAATGCGCTGGAAAGCGACGAGGGTGCATGGAGCTATACGCAGGGCCTCACTGTTGTAATCGAAAGACCATGCTGCTTTGTATACCTCCAGACTGCCGTACGAGTGAGACCCTGTTTACTTCCTTCGTAGTTGATAACCTGCAGTACGTTCTCCTGACTACTCTAAACTGCTGCAACTTGTATGCACCATAAGGTCATTTGCCTGCATGGGATGAAGCAAGTAGAGGTACGAAAGTAAATTAAGATAATAGCGGTGAAAGACTTGCGGAAAGCTCGAACAAGAGTAGTAGACAGATTACCTTATTATATCCACTTTGTCCGAAAGTCGGTTCAGACGAGCTTGCTTATGTAGGCTAGTGAAAAGCGACTACAAGCAAGTAATATGTAGTGAATTGATGCAGAAACAAAGTCTAAATCACTCTGCACTTTCGAACTGTGACCTTTCTTACCACGCAACAATCATCAGTCATGCTGCCGACCAATGCCGTTTGGACAACACTGCCCTGCTGTCGTTGGTGAGACATGTGCATACTCGCTCACAGACCCATACTTACCACCAGGCACATCGTGATTTATCATAGGCTTAGGAAGAGATGTCCGTAAGTACAGACGCAGGTCCTGTTTGGGCGATGTGAAGGTACAAATCCGGCCATGATCCACGAGATCTCATGCAACGCGCTGTCTTGACATTGACCAGGATGGTACTGCGCTCAAATAGGCAATGCCCTTTGTCTCATTCCCAAGCCATCGGCGCCTTACAGATCCCATCATCACGCGGCCTCGCAGACATGAACTTAATGATCAGTGCAGTCGGCAATTCACAAAGTCCGTTCTGTCGGTGCGCGACATGGCCGAATTGGATGTTGGCAACTTGGCAAGGTGGTCGGATGTAAGATGGATCCGAAAGGCTAGGATCTGTTTGAAGAACTAGTTCGTACTCAGCCCTTGTTTCTTGGAGTCAGGCGACGGTCAGGCGTACTTGAGCATATTGCGTCGTGGTGGGCAGGATCAGACGATCGCGAGCCTTGCCGACATTCACGAGCGCTCATTCGAGGAAGGAGCATGCTGTCCGGAAAGCGCGGTCGGCCGATGAGTCAATGATTGGGTGTGCAAGGGTATAGATCGCGATCATCTTTGGTGTTGTAGAGAAGTTGATACACTGTTTGTTTAGTGTGACAGCAGGACCTTGCGGTTTGACATGACGAAAATCGAGATTTAGCACTTATTGGGACTTGCGCGTTCAACGAGCTTAAGTCTGGTAGACAGCATCATGATATCTGTGATGTGCTTCAGTCATCGTGAGCCTCTGGCGGTCAGCCGGATGCGCCCGGAACGGCATGACTAGGCGGGATGTAAAGGATTATCCGGCATGGGAAGCAGCCAAGACACCAAGACAAAGCTTGACGAGCTCGAAGGAGTAGTGCGGATGACGTTGATTGCTCTGATCACCAATTGAATTTTCCGCAGAGTCCGAAGGGTGTCAAGCTCGGACGAAGCCTGGAGATAATGCTGAAGCGTGAGCTCAGAGATGACATGGCCACGTAGTTTGACAGCCTTGGACCAGGAGCCGCTGCATGTGTCCGGCACGCGGAGCCCGAGTGGATGCAGGCGACTTGTCTTGACCGATGGAATGCCTCATGATTTGAGAAACTCGCCGAATCGCTCGACAGTGCTGCTGGTTGTCCTTCGCTGTCGCAAACAACAAGGGTGGATGCAAGCCCCGCATCGTCTCAGCACAAGGACCAAAAGAGCGAGTAAAAACATGAACCGAGTATGGTATAAAATACATTATGCAATTGTCGATATTACCAAGCTCTGAGCTACGAGGCTTATGATGATGTGGTAAGTTGCTCCGGCGTGCAAGGTTTCGCCGGGTAGACCCACGACCCACATTTTCCTACACAGACATCAGAATCGAAACAGAGGATCTTGCGATCGTAGCTGATAAACATCGCGCGTGATAAGTGAGAGGGCGCAAGGCCTTCGACTTCCGAACCTTCCGAAGCGATCCAAGCTTTGCTAGGGTCGGAGCGAGCCCTAGAGCGAGCATGTGTAATAAAGAACTGGATGACCTCGTTTGCTGCTTCCCACTGACCTTGTGTACCTGCTAACATTGCTCTTGCTGAATTACAGACCAAGCGTATTCTGTGCTTCTTCAGCATCTCGTCAAACGCTGGAGCTTCGCGCGATCATCACATCACTATCCTAACATTTTTCAAAACCTGACACATGCCGATTCATACTGTTCGAGCAGTAGCCACCGTAGCACTGCTGCTGAAGCTACTGCCTGTGGTAGCCGCGCACGGTGCTGAACACATGGACATGGACACGAAAGATATGCCACAGCCACCGATATCGGAAAATGGCCAGCCAGGAAGCTACTGGTCTCTCCCAGAGCATGCAGCGCTCATGTACTGGCACATAGGGCTCGAAGTCCTAGCATGGGCCGTTGTTCTCCCTGTCGGTAAGCTGCCTTAACATCGACAGCGAGTTCCGCACTGACTTTGACAAGCTGTCATGCTGAGCATAGCGCGCTCTCGATACACACTCTTTTCCCAACTGATGTTCCTTGCAACCAATGCCTTTGCTCTCATTCTCGGCTTTGTTTACAATCAAAAGACGCCAGAACTGTATGCCAATAACTCGCATGGCAAGACGGGGTGGATCATCACCTGGATTGCGAGTGCTTGGGTTTTCATGGCCCTGGTGCAGACGTACACTGGACGATATCGATCGCATCCAGCGGACGGCGATGTTGCAGAGCCGATGACTGTCGCCAATATGGTGCGTTACCAGCGAGTAAATGAAGAGCTACCAAACCCATCGCGATATTCTGTCGACTCTGCCCAGGGCACTGAGCGAAACTCGGAATCGCTGTTCGGTCACTCGCGGTCGCCTAGTATTCAGTCCGAGAACCAGCAGTTTTCTGGGCCGACACGAAGTTACACCCAAGAAGAAGAAGACTCAACCGATGAAGTATCTGAAAAGCGAAGCTTTCTGCGCAAAAGTCATGTAGACAACTTCTTCTCGCGTCACGTGACCCGTTTCGCAGCCGGACGCACCCTGAAGGCTATTCGTTTCTTCTACGTTGTTTTCGAGCGCACATTGCTTGTGCAAGGACTTGTCGCGATTGCAAACGGTACTGTGGTGTATGGTGGTATTGGACGTGGACGTGCGGTCTTCAACGTCCTTGCCCACTACGTCAAAGGCGGTATCTTCTTTCTCTATGGTCTCCTTACCCTCGGCCGATGGATGGGCGCGTTCGCCGACTTCGGCTGGGCATGGAACGTCAAGCCATCGAAGGATGTAGTCGGTCGTCGAAAGGCCTCGATGCCTTCAGCAGAATTCACCGAGTCATTCGTCATCTGGCTGTATGGCGTCACTAATGTGTTCTTGGAGCACCTGGCCGCCTGGGGGAACGAATGGACAGCCCAAGACCTGGAGCACGTGTCTATTTCGATAATGTTCTTCGGCGGAGGTTTGTTGGGCATGATCGTTGAATCGACCAAGATGCGAGAATTGCTCAACAGTGCGATTATCTCCTGGCAGTCGAACGCTCATGACGAAGCGTGGCAGCCGCCACGGCAATACCGGTTCTCCATGAACCCTTTGCCAGCCCTCATCATCATGCTCCTGGGCAAGATGATGAGCAGTCACCACCAAGACTCAATGGTCTCGACGATGATCCATGGCCAGTGGGGAAGCATGTTTATGGGATTTGCTCTTGCGCGCGGCCTGACTTACATTACCTTGTACATATCTCCGCCGTCGTCTTTCCTCCCATCTCGCCCTCCTACCGAGATAATCACTTCTTTTTGCCTGATTTCCGGAGGCTTGACTTTCATGCTGAGCAACAAAGACACAGTGGCTGTGTTGGAGGGCTACAATCTGGACGCCATGTTCACCTTCACGGTCACCATGGGCCTCACTGCGCTTCTGATGGCCTGGACCACAGTCTTGATTGCCATCAAGGGCTGGGTTTCCCGAAGCGAAAGCCGCAACTTGAACGCGAAAAGCCACACTGGAGTGTTGGCCTGAAGTGTCTCCACGAACATACTCCCTATATTTCTGGCAGGAAACATCCATTCCGCTCCCTGGACCCTCCTCTTAATATTCTTACAGCCTTGTGCGTTCTGAAGTTATGATACCACTGCGGTGATACCCCTCGTGTATGATAGGCGCAGGCCTGGATTGCTGCACTTACACCTTTCTCTTTCTTTGCTTGCAAGCGTGATCTGACCTTGGTGGGAAGATGTCGGAGAAAAATAATGCTTGCAGGAAAAGCTTGTGGCGGCTCATGATGGGCCTAATGCGATGGAAGAGTCTAGTTAAAGAGACTCAATAATCATAACCTACACTGCCTACTGAACCATCTTAATCTGTAGTACTGTGCGGCACAATGCTCCAGGGGGTATCATAATTGCGCTCCGTTCTTCTTCCTTATCATCGCACTCCACGGCCTCTGCCAGCAGCGCCTCTAGCAATGCCGCTTCCGCCTCTGGATCCTCGTGTCGCACCACCGCGCGTTGGTATGCCACCTCCTCGCCCTCCGGCGCGGGGTATTCCGCCTCTTCCTCTTCCAATGCCCGATGTCTTGGATGCAGGAGCGGGCGTTTGCGGATTCTGGAACTTGGAAGCCATTTTACTGCTCGGTGGGTTCTCAACGAAAGACGTGTCCGTGGTAAGAAAGGTTGCCTCCATGTCATCTGGGCCCTGACTTCGGTTGAAGTTCGCAGCTCCGAGATCAGGATGGTTCTGCGGCCTCTTAAACGAATCTGCAACGGGCGCCTGTCCACGCAATCAGAAACTCATCCTCACGTAACGCACCTCTGGTGCCCAATCGCATACCTCAGGAAAATCCACGCAAAAGGCATTCATGTTCATTCCGTACAGGAAACCGGCGAAGCTCTCCGAGAAGCGCGCCAAGCTCTCGTGCATCAATTGCAATTGCATGAAGTTCTGCTCCAGGTCTGCCATTGCGTCGCTGAGCTCGGCGAAGCCATCCTGGAGGCCTTCAAGCGCGTTGGCTGACGAAGCTGCGCCACGGCCGCGTTGGACGCTGTCGCGTAGGGAGCTGCGCGATGAAGGGCGAAGAGGCGTGGTTGGGCGGCTTCGAGGGGACTTGCTGCGCGTCCGTTGGCGGTGGGAGGGCGGTTCGCCTGCACGCAAGTCTGTCAGTGAATCTGTCGCATGGTAGTGGAATACACAGGCATACGTGTAGGAGTTGTCGACGCCATATCTCGATTGTTTCTTAATTCTGTGGAATGAGAGCAGACAGAACGCGCGATTGCTCGTGTGCAGGCGCGTATTCTCTACGGATACACGGCGAGGGGTCGGTGTTTCGCTGCATAAACAAGCGAAGCCACAGTACCAGACCCCACATTTCGGCCCTGACATGGCAAACCTCGGGACGCTAGCCATTATGATCGATGACGAACTGTAAACTTTGTGCACGTTGCCTCGATTGTGTATGCAAGACATCACCCAGGCGCATACACAGGTACGAACATACGAACATACTTTCTATTACAGCGCTATGAGCACCGCATATACCCAAACCATCTGTTCCTACGCCACACCGTGCGAGTTTTAGCAACTTGAACTTGACATAGCCCCTCCGACTTACCCGAGATTCTCATCTAACAACCCACTGCAGCTGCCTTTTTCCTGGTATTGTAAGCAGCGCGCCTATAACCAGTGCTCTCTGCGCACAGCCGCCTTCTTACATGTTCCTCCGCGCACATCCACTGAAAACAAGTCTACCGCCCTCCACCTTCCTGGTTTCTAACCATCACACTGTTATACGCCCTGCACAGCAACTTGGACGACGACTCGCGCACCCCAGATCCATCAGTCAGGCAAACAGCACATACCGCTCCCCGTGGAAAGTTTCGTCTGAACACTACAAAACCAATAGCATCAGCTGGACTCTCGCATTAGCTTTTGGTGTTGCGATCGGCGGCGCACTACTCGTTCCTCTGGCGCATAAGTCTCCCAAGGGCGAGATCACACGACACGACTCCGTGGCATCCTTCGACCTCACAGACCTCACCGACTCATACCTCGTTATGGCGCCGAACACTCCGCCCGGTCGACCTGGCACGCTTACAGCAGAAGAGGAGAAGAAGCTGCGCGAGCTATGGGCTATGACGTTGAAGGTGTTTGGCGTGGACGCAAGTGTGGAGGAGGCCAACGGCGCAGAAACGCCAGTCGCAGCAGCAGCAGCAAGCGACGCAGGGTCAGAGAAGGATGTCAAGAAAGACAAGAAGAAGAGCAGATTGAACGTGTTTCGACGGAACAAGGACGATAAGACTGCCGACTCCAAGACGACTTCTGCGGGCAGCACGACACCGTCAGACATAAGCTCGTTATCCATCTCTGCGGACGACGACAAGTTTGGCCAGACTGCAGACTTCAAGGCCGCGATAGCGAACACGCCACCGGAGGAGCTGCGGAGGGCTTTCTGGAGCATGGTGAAGCACGACCACCCCGATGCTCTCCTGCTTCGATTCCTGCGCGCAAGAAAGTGGGATGTGGAGAAGGCGCTGGTCATGATGATCTCGACCATGCACTGGAGACTGGATGAGATGCACGTCGACGATGACATTGTCAAAAATGGTGAACTGGGAGCTATGGACGACACCAACGCGACCGACGCGAAAGTAAAGAAAAACTCAGAAGACTTCTTGGCACAACTACGGATGGGCAAGAGCTACCTTCACGGCTTGGACATCGAGGGCCGACCAATGTGTTTTGTCCGCGCGCGATTACACAGAGCAGGCGAGCAGACGGAAGAGAGCCTTGCGAAGTTCACCGTCTACACGATCGAGACGGCAAGGATGTTATTGAGGCCCCCAATTGACACTGCCGTGAGTCTTTCCCTCCCACTTCCCAAAATCTCAAAAACTAACACCCTGTAGACCATCGTCTTCGACATGACCGACTTCTCCATGGCCAACATGGACTACACGCCCGTGAAATTCATGATCAAGTGCTTCGAAGCAAACTACCCCGAATCACTCGGCACCGTGCTCGTCTACAAAGCCCCCTGGGTTTTCAACGCCATATGGAGCATCATCCGCGGCTGGCTCGACCCCGTCGTCGCCGGTAAAGTCCACTTCGCCAAAAACATTGACGAGCTGGAGAAATTCGTGCCCCGCAACCAAATACCGAGCGAGCTCGGCGGCGACGAGAAATGGACGTATGCGTACCCCGAGCCCGTGCCAGGCGAGAACGAGAAAATGAATGATCAGGCGACGAGGACGGCGTTGGAGGGCGAACGCGCGGATGTTGTGAAGAAGTACGAGAACACGGTGGTGCAGTGGATACACGAGGGCGACGGGGATCTGGAGGAGAAGAGGAACGAGAGGAACGGCGTCGCGGAGGAATTGAGGCAGAATTACTGGAAACTGGATCCGTATGTTCGGGCCAGGACGCTGTATGATCGCATGGGCATGTTGAGTGAGGGTGGCCAGCTTGCTTTCTACCCGAAGGCACAGACGACACCTGCTCCGGCGGCGGCGGCGGCGAGAGTGTCGACGAGCGCGGATGACTTGGATTGAGTGAGGCGGTGGATGATGTTCAGTTTCATTGCTAGGGTGGCATTCGTAGGCCATTGTAATACAACCCGATTCTTTACTTTTGCTCGTCAGTCAAGTGGGGTATACCATTGCATGCCGGTGACATTTACAACAGACCACCAGTTACAACACATGCTATACATAATCATTGTAACATGTCCCTACTAGCTCTATTTACGCCTCCTCCTTGAGCCCTCTCCCGCCCTTCAGCCGATGATCTTCACGATTTTTGACATCGTCTAGCTTCGCCTCCAACTCGTCTGTATTCGCATTGTCGCCCAACCGCCCCGTTGGTGCCTCGATACTTGTGCTGTCCTCGTCCTCGGTGCCAGGCATGACTAGGTCCCTTGCCGGGCTGTATGTGATGGATCCCCGTTTAGCGGCTGCAAGACGCAGTTTTTGTCCGGCTTCGCCTGCGCGACCGAGGACGCCGGCGATGACTTGTATGCAGCGGTGACTATTGGTAGTTAGTATGTGTGGATGTGTGTGACTATTTCGGAAGATGTTACCTATCATCGTTGGCGGGGATGGGATAAGTGACCCAAGTAGGATCAGCGTTGGTATCAATGACACCAATAGTGGGGATATTGTTCAGCGCACACTCGTGCAGCAAGACATAGTTTTCCAGCGGGTTCATACACACGACGAGATCAGGCCTAAGTACGGATCGGTTGAACAACTGCTCCTCGAAGCCAGGTACTTCCTCGTCCAGCTCGTTGACGACCTTGGTCTTGCACCGGCCGAGAATCTGCTGGCCGTTGGTGATGCTACCTGGTATCCAGCGCTCAAATAGGTGGTATCCCTTTGCGAGTTCAGCGGCCCGGGCGACTGCTCTGTCTTGTCCGTCACGCGTGCCGACGAACAGCACCATGCCGCCTCGTCTGCATACTTCCTGGACCACTTTTGCGGACCGCCGGAGATGCGCGGCTGTGACTTCGAGTGAGATGATGTGGATGCCCTGCCTTATTCCGTGGATGTAGCGCGCGTTTGCGGGGTTCCACAGCGAAGTAACGTGGCCCTGGTGGGCTTCGGATGCGAGGAGGAGCTCGAGCGTGACATCGGCGGGAGACGGAGGATGGTTCAGGAGGGTGTGAGGCTGATAATGCGGTTCGATTTGAGTGCCAAGGGTCTTTATTTGCTTCTCTGCGGGCCGTTAATGTCCATTGCTACGAGAAGAGATAGCAAGCACTGCTGACCCTGTTGCTTGAACATGTGCCACTGCTCCGCGACATGGTCGGTGACGGACGAAGCGGTCGCATGCGTGTCTGGATTAAGAGCGGGCACAGATTCGTCTCCCTGGGCATTGAGCTGTGCATGTATCGATTGGAGGTTCTTCAATGAGTTGTCTACGGACGACTCGATGGACTCGGTTTCGGTGGAGATGAAGCGGAACTGTGGTAGGGGCCTCGACGCTCTTCGCGCAATTGCCCGCGGGCCTGATCTGAGTGCTGTTCGTACTATCATGGCGTATATGCTGTTTCTCCAGTACTTTGCGTCAATACATGGTTGCAGTCCGTGCCACCTCGGGCATCATCTTGTGGTTGCACTTGAAACATTTTGAGATCAGCGCGCTACGCGTGCACGGACCCGTCGCAATTCATGTGCAGGCTCGCAGGTCACGTGGTGTTGAATGAATCAGTCGATGGATTGATGACGCGGGCATGCGGGTTGGGATAGTGGCAGCGCTGAAACAGGTCGCCCCGGCCTGCAAGCCCGTCAACGGCGTTTTTGATGCGTGTGAGACGCAGACAGACAGTGGTCGATCATTCGTAACGCGCGCCAAAGTACGTGCATCGTCGGTTGGAGGTAATTCGGCCAGTCTGGTTTTACCGACGAGCCCGACGACACACATGCGGGTCTGCAGAATGCCATAGCACTCGCACGAATTCGATAGGTCCCAGCCCTGTGTCGCGCCGCATTACCCACCCCACGCCTCCGCAACTTTTCGCGTGCGGCGTGCATGCGTACTGTTGGGCTTTCCCTGGGTGCCGCGACCTCGTGATAGCGTAGAAGCCTCAAGCGCCAGTCTTAGCTTCAGCTAAGCGCGTTCATCCAGCGCCCACCCCTCGCACCGCACATCCGACCTCACTGCGCGGACACGGCAACCTTACTATTCATCGCCACAACCGCTCTACGAAGAAACACCGAGAAGCCACACGCGCGGGCCCGTTGTCGCCTTTGTGGCCGCCCTCCCCTCCCCACCCACCGCCCACGCTGCAGACACCCGGCTCGACCTCGCACCTCGCACCTCGCACCTCGCAGCCTCGCACCACCCGCTGCACGTCAACAGCTGTCCGCCACCGCCGCTGCTGCCAACAGCCCGCTCTGCAATGCTCCCAAACACAGCCTGCAACGACCGAGTCCACTAGGGTCCTTCGCCCGCCTCATCTCCAACCAGCACCCCATCTCCCGCAGCATTCGTCGTCGATGCGCCCGCCATGAATGGAAACGGCTATCCCTACCCGATGCGGTCCTTCCCATCGAGTAGGCAGAACATGATGGACAACATGGACAGTGGCATGGGCGGGTTTGAAGACATGAATCAAGGGCAGAGCTTGGATCAGGCAAGTCCATATGACGCCCTGGACCAGTTTTACGGTATTGATAGTCGACAGATCGTCAGCCAAAATGACAAGGCGGAAAACATCAGGCGACAGAGCATGCCTGTCTATGCCAGCAATGGCACCAATAACAACAGGACACAACCCATGGAAATGTCGCCAGAGAGCAGGAGGCTGTCCATGCTCAACTTTGGCGACCCCGGCGATGCTGGCGATTTCCAGTTCGACATGCACGCAGCCGGCATGAATGACATGATGCGCAACAACCCCAGTTTCCCCCGCCCGTCGGGAGACATGTCCCAACACAACAGGAACTCTGCAAACAACATGGGGCTCAACACCCAGTTCCAGAACCAGAACCAGAACCCGCCCTATTCGACCATGGCTGCCCCAGGCTCTGCATATGCCTCGCCGCTGCATCCCAGCGCACCACTTGACTTGGACATGAGCCCTTATCCAAACGGCATGAACATGTCAATGGATCTGGACGACTCGCTCAACATGATGTCAGGTGACATGAACATGTTTTCCAACAATCAATTCAACACGCCTATGCTCGAGTCTCCTGTAACGCAAGAATTCATAGGCCCCATGCCCGCACCTAATCAGGACAATTCCATATCCGCAATACCGCAGGGCCACTTCAAGCGTCCCTCCTTGAGCAATACTCCTGAGACCCGGTCTGGAGTCTCTGGATTGGGTAGTCGCACAAGCAGCCAGGATCAGAACAGTGCGCCCTCACAGTCTAGGCCCCAGAGTGAGCAACGTTCCTCCTCCAAGAGCAATCTGCCGACGCAAATGAGTCTGTCATCTCTCAAAGCACATCAACCTGTAGCTCTGGATCCCGCACAAGACCTTCCAGAGGAAAAGATGAACCAATTAAAGGATTATCGGACTGCTTGGAAACCTCCAGCTGGTGGATTCCCCTCCACTATGCACTCGAATCCACATCAGAAGACCCAGTTCAAGGACGCTTACTCGTCGACGGGCTTTGATATGCTCGGAGTCCTCATGCGAGTAGCTACTAGGCCTGACCCAGAAATAGACATCGGCTCTGTAGATTTGTCTTGCGCATTCGTGGTTTGCGATGCTGAAATGGATGACATTCCCATTGTCTACTGTTCAGAGAACTTCGAACGCCTGACCGGCTACACGAGACACATGATCCTTGGCAGAAACTGCCGGTTCTTGCAGTCACCCGATGGCAAAGTCGAAGCAGGTATCAAGCGTAAGTACGTCGACGATGACTCGGTTCTTTACTTGAAGAACATGATCAACACTCGCGCCGAAGCTCAAATCAGCTTGATCAACTATCGCAGAGGCGGACAGCCATTCATGAACTTGCTTACAATGATACCTATCGCCTGGGAGCCTGGTGGCCCAATGAAATTCATTGTTGGTTTTCAAGTTGATCTCGTCGAGCAGCCAGGTGCTATGACGAACAAGAACTCAGGTAAGTCCTCTATTCGCTAGACGTGAAAAGCAAAAGCTGACCATCACAGACGGCTCGTACAGAGTCAACTACCAACGTGGCATGAATATGCCAAGCTACGTGTTTAATGATTCTCAGAAACCGCAATCCGAACAAGGCCAGACCATATCCAAGGATGAGGTTTCGAACGTGCTCGCTACGTACACTGGTTCTGGGGATTCAGAAATCACAAGAAGGATATGGGACAAGGTTCTCCTCGAAAACACTGATGACGTTGTGCACGTCCTGTCTCTCAAAGGACTTTTCCTCTATCTGTCGCCTTCCAGTAGCCGGATTTTGGAGTATGAACCCAGCGAGCTTATCGGCACAGCTCTGTCATCTGTCTGCCATCCAAGTGATATTGTGCCAGTAACACGAGAGCTCAAAGAGACAACGAATGGAGGATCAGTTAATGTAGTCTTCAGAATACGGCGAAAGAAGAGTGGATATATGTGGTTCGAAGGCCACGGCTCCCTGCACACGGAACAAGGCAAAGGACGCAAATGTATCATTCTGGTTGGCAGAGAACGACCCGTATACACACTCAGCAAGACCATCGTCCGCGAGTCTGGCGGTGTTGGTGACAACGAACTGTGGACGAAGATGTCTACCTCTGGAATGTTCCTCTTCGTGTCGTCAAATGTGCGACAGCTCTTGGACAAGCAACCTGAGGATCTTGTCGGCACTAGTATTCAAGCCCTTATGCGACAAGAATCGAAGGTCCAATTCGGGCGCATTCTTGAACTTGCAAGATCTGGCAGGAAGGGCGAGGTGAAGCACGAAATGATAAATAAGAGAGGTCAGGTGCTGCAGGCATTTACCACAATTTACCCCGGAGACGCTACCGAGGGACAGAAACCTACTTTCATTGTTGGGCAGACACGTCTACTCAAGTACTCGAGGAACAGCGCTAACCATCGGCCGTCAATGTACACAAATAAGGAGCGACTCGGTGGAGGCTCGACTCACTCCATTCCTACCCAGAACACTCTCAACTCACCCTACCCAGGATCAGTACAAGATCACACGGGTTCCAATACTCCGATCACCTCATCGACCGATGGTCGATTCGTCACTACCGAAACAAATGCAACAACACACGCTGGCCACAATGGTCTGCAGCTCGGACACCAGGATCAAAGTCTAGCTTCTGACGACAACGTGTTTGACGAACTGAAGACTACACGAAGCACGAGTTGGCAATACGAGCTCCGACAAATGGAGAAGCGTAACAGATATCTTGCTGAGGAAGTGCAGACCTTGCTCGCGGCCAAGAAGAAGAGGAAGAGGAGAAAGGGTGCTGGCCAGATGCAGAAGGACTGCGCAAATTGCCACACACGAACTACACCCGAATGGCGCAGGGGACCATCTGGTAACAGAGACTTGTGCAATTCCTGTGGTTTACGATGGGCGAAACAGGTATGTCTAGTGTCTCTCTAAGTCTTTCGACGTATACATGTTGAACTAATGTCAGCACCTACAGCAAGGTCGTGTGTCGCCACGAACGTCGTCAGCAGCAAGCGACAAGAGCAAGAAGAGTCCATCCCCACGCCATCACATGACTTTGCCAAATTCAGTGCCCGAGACTGGGCAAAGTGCTGCCATTCCTTCTGCGATGGCTCCAGCGAGTAAGAGATCCCCCACACAAGGCGGCGTTGGCGATTCTCACGCAACAAAAGCAGCCCGCGTGGAGGCTGCTGTATCTCAACGGTTCATTCTGCCTCCCAAGATCGAAGAAGTGGCGGAGCCAGGTTCATGAGCGAACTGCTACACTTTATTTCCCTTCTCTTTCACGACATTTAGACTGGCAGGTTGTCCAGTATGAACGATACCCCCGTGCAAATTTTCTTCTAGATCCTTCGCAGCTACATTCGCTCCAACAGCGGCCTGTTGATGGTTCACATTTCTGGTTTACGATCGCAGCCAGCCGCGCTTCCTGTTACATTTGGAGAGGTGACTGTTATCTTTGTCGCAGGCCTACATGTCCAAAGGGCATTGCTGTAATTTGACAGCCTTTGGGCGTTTTCATAAGCGCATGGTAGAGGTTTGGCATTCACGAGGCGTACTACCACGCCGAATCATGTACATAGGTAGCAATGTGGCGAACCAAATGTATTTAATTTCTCACGAACCACGATCCAACGCTCGTACAGTAATTCCGATATCGAAGGATGCCCCGGGTAAGGAGATGATCATAGCCTCATTGTGGCTTGACTCCGCTTCACTCTTCCAAGGTCGGGCGCTAGGTTCAACGCCCGGCAACGTGCAAAGGCATGTGGGGTCGCGGGAGACCGCCTGGTGATTCGATGCCGGGAACACAAGGCGCTGGGACATATAGAATCCCATCACATTTTAACGAGCCGGACATGGGTCATGGCAGAAATGTGTATATGGGCCTCGGACGGGCCGGGCAATCGCATGAATTGGGCATGGAAGGATTTCATGTGCTGAAGTTGGATAGCGAGAAGTGCGCTGCACAGCAATGCCAAACAACCTTTGAACCTCCACTGCTTCACGGACTTCAGTCGAAATCTTCCGCCCTTTCAAAATCGCCAGCCCGGTTTCGCAAGCTCGCTGGTCTTCTCGCATCGCACGTGTTGGAACATGGATTAAGATTGCGACTAACTGGGATAATTGCGTCGTTACCTTTAGCGTCTGCGCAGGAGCACACCTCCGATTCATCGTCACCCCCGGGCCTCGAGTCCAGACGAGGGGATCGCCACTCATTTCTTTTGCCGTCTTTCTTGATACCCGACCGGGCTGACCCACGCTCGTTTTCTCATTCTAGTGGTCCTTTTTCGTTTGTTGTTGTTGCCTATAATATAGTTGCGCGAACGGCCAGCGACGTGTGACGCGCATTAGAGTTCGGCCATAATTTATCTCCTGGGATTTGAAACGGAATACGCGATACGAAGGGCTGCTGGGACACACGACTTGGGCACACGAGCTTGCGACACACAAAGACGACGACCACGAAGACACGCGAGCAATGGACGAGAGCTCCCGCGTCCACATTACCGTGTGTGGAGATGGTGGTTGTGGTTCGCGCGCCCCTCCAAAGCGTGCCAACTTTGTTGCTAACATTCGCGCAGGAAAGAGCTCAATCACATTGCGCCTAGTACGAAGCCAGTGGACGTCAGATTATGACCCAACCATAGGTATGCGCGCCTCCATGCCATTACGCTCACAATATCCGACCACAAACTGACTATCTTCACCGTCACCAGAGGACTCGTACTCAGTCACGCGCACGATAGACGGCGTGCCCTACTACCTGATGCTCACCGACACCGCGGGGCAAGAAGAATACCGCGGTCTCTGGGCCGCATCGAATCTCAAATCCGACGCTTTTCTCCTCGTCTACGACATCACGAGTGCGAACTCGCTCGATGCGCTCGAATACTACATGGAGATGATTGACATGGAAGAGGACAACCGGATAGACAATGGCAAAATCCCACCCGTGAAAATACTCGCGGGGAATAAATGCGATCTCCAAGGGCAACGGCAGATCAAGGCAAAAGACGGGCTGGAGTGGGCGCGGCAACGGAAGTGCGGATTCATGGAGACGAGCGCGAGGGAGATGGTCAATATCGAGGAGACGTTTGCGCGTAAGTCTGGCGGAGACTCGGTACAGGGACATGCTGACCATGACAGTGTTGGTGAGACGTGTTGTTGAAGCCCGACGACTGGCCGCTCAGGGAGCGCCCGGCGCACAACCATATCGCACTGCTGCACTACCGCCGCCGAAATCGAACGAATCGTCGCCGTATGCGCCAAACTTTGCAGATGAGGATGCCAAGAAGCCGAGTTTCTGGAGAAGACTCAGGTGCTGGTAGCCTTGCCATGCGCGTTCTTTGAACATGTTGAAAATCCAGAGAGACCCTTTGGACACTTTTGCGTTTTTCTGCGGCTCCTTGAACAGAGTTTAGCGCCTTGTTAGCGATTCCACCTTCTCATTTGGCTCATTGTATGCGTTTATCAAGACTTGTTGTACAGGCTGTTAGAAGATTTGGTTATGTCTAAACGGAGACCTGTACTTGAACGATATATTCCGACTGTCCATATTCATACCCGACATAATACGGTGGAGAAGACGCATGTAGAAGGGGAGCGCAAAGATTATATCATTAGATTAAGACAGACAAAAATCCACATTGATGACTGCAAAGGAAATGCTTCTGATGTCATGCATACAATGACCATTTTGAGGCATGCGATGCTGCTAGCCGTCGGTACGCTAGCGTCTGTGCGCAGGAGCACGCCATTGGATTTCGTTTGTATCTCTTGAGATCTTACATACACCACACGCAATTGTCGTCGGGTAAGGGAAAAGAGGAAGCGCTGGTACTGTCTAAAAGGCGTCTTGGAAGAGCTGGAAGAATTGCGTTTGGGTTGACCTCAGGGTAGCGTTTGTGGGCGGCTTGATAAGAGAAAGTCCCAGCCAGAAGGCATCGCAGAAACCACAATGTCGAAAGCAGATCACGAGCTAGAACTTTCGGACCAAGGCGGCCTCAAGCGGACTCTTAAGGACCTCTTCGCAGGCGCCGTAGGAGGCGTAGCACAAGTCCTTCTCGGCCAACCCTTCGACATAGTCAAAGTACGATTACAAACAACATCCCAATACAGCGGCGCTCTGGATGCCGCAACACAAATTTACAAAAACGAAGGCGCGTCAGCTTTCTACAAGGGCACTGCTGACTCCCCCTGATCGGGATCGGAGCATGCGTATCTGTCCAATTCGGTGGCTTCCACTACGCCCGCCGCGCGTTTGAAGCGCAAAACACCGCAAAAGGAAACCCGGCCCAACTCTCCTACGCGCAGTACTATGCCTCGGGCGCATTTGCCGGAATTGCCAATACCGTGCTGTCCAGCCCAATCGAGCACATTCGCATCCGCCTCCAGACGCAGCCCCACGGCGCAAACCGCCTGTACACCGGCCCCATCGACTGCGTGCGCAAGCTGTCCGCGCATCAGGGCGTCCTACGCGGCGTGTACCGCGGCACAGCAGTGACATACATGCGTGAAGCGCAAGCCTACGGCGTCTGGTTCACGACATTCGAGTACCTGATGAACGCGGACGCCGCGCGCAACAACATCAAGCGCGACGACATCAGCACGTTGAAAGTAGCCATGTACGGCGGCCTCGCGGGCGAGATGCTGTGGATTAGCAGCTACCCGTTCGACGTGGTGAAGAGCAAGATGCAGAGCGATGGGTTCGGCAAGGACATGAAGTATCTGAGCATGCGGGATTGCTTCGCAAAGACTTATAGAGCGGAAGGACTGGGCGGGTTTTGGAAGGGCATTGGGCCGACGTTGTTGAGAGCTATGCCTGTGAGTGCGGGCACTTTTGCGACAGTGGAGATTGTGATGAGGATGATTAGTTGAGAGGCGAGGCTGGGAGAATCTGGGGATGCTGGCTCTGCGCATGTCGTGCAGACTGTACCTGTACCGTTTCAACACTTGGAGGGAATTAGTAGGGAAGATATCTTGCCCGTTATCCCCAGCCTGTAGTGCGACTGATTAGTAAACTGATGGTCCACCAAACCCCAGTCCATTCCGCCTCATGTGATGTGACATGATGCATGCGGATTTGTATCCATGAAGGGTGGTAAAAATGAACCAGATGTGATCATTCTTGACACGGCATGAAGAAGTATGCGTGCATGCAGCCAGATGCAGCGCAGCCCTGCAACACAGAGGACTAATTTCTTTTGCGAGCCGAGTCTCATTGGTTCTACGGAGCAGAGTCCCGGAGCGTAGTCATTCCAGATCAAATGTCAGGTATGGCAGAGTCGGGCCGATATCCATGCTGCGTCACGTTGCCTCGATCTTTACGACTGCCAAGATGATTTACACCACGAATAAAGGAAATTGCCTCAACAGCATTCAGCTCCACGGAACACTCCGGCGCTGTTCGGTTATTTGAGGTTGGTGGAAGAATAGACTGAGTTTGTGGGGATTCTTGTCCAGAACGCGGCATTGGAGCGTGAGCTTGTTGACCTAGCAGGAGTGGTAAGAGGCGTGGAGTGGAACAGTAGGTACGCACGTCGCGTCCCTGAAGTCGAAGCTCTCCGTATATGGATGGTATCTTCTTTTCATGGATACTATGCGCCCGTGACGAAGAACCAGCCAGTGAGCGCTGCACTTCAGTGACCATGGGTGGCAAAATTTCAACCACATCCTGGCAGTAGGAGGCTTACACCTCGGTAGCTATAGAAATGAATCTAGAATCCCAAAGCCCGGTTTCGTATCACGCCCCGGTCAATGTCTCGAGTCCGATAGGGCCAAGACAGTGAACGAAACAAGGTCAAACAAGATGAAGCTGACATCGTTTGCGAAGAAAGCAAGTTGCTGTGCTTTGCTGTACTCTCTTGATACGCGTTGTGAAAGACAGTGGTGAAACTGTTGTACTTTTTAGCCGCCCGGACTGTGTTGGTGTTGTCTTCGAAGAGTGGAAATATCTGTGGTGACTCGTTCTGATGGGAAGTGGACTCGCCGGAGTGTGCACTCGGTCCCAAGCACAACAAGCGTTTCGTTCTGGACCAGCGCGCCGACAGAGTACAAGCCGAGCGACCAGAAGACCACGATTGTACATTATCGAGACGCCGTCGTCTCTACGATATAAGGCTTCTGACCGGGACACAGATGCGCTTGCTTTGCATGCTCCCAACGCCACGGGCCAGACCAAGCCATTACAATCAACGGCGCTCACAGCCCGGGCCAGAAATGCGCGCTTCAGTATGTGCCCGGTCGCACTCGGAAGACACCAGCGGAGCTCCTTCTCCGACGAATCAGGAGCGATCTAAAACGGCCACTTGCTCCATGGAAATGTGACCTTGTGTCCTAGGAAAGCTTCACAGTCGCTGCTGCAGGCGAGGACTTGACATCTTATGACATCTTAACATCAGAGCGGCTTGGACACGCGCTACTACCGAAAAGCGATTGGTCTTGTGAGTGACGACAACCGGAAACCCAGCGAAGTGTGGGGATTTCCCGTGCGCCGTTCATTACGCACACTGCCACTTGCATATCTCCCGCTGGATGTCAAGTCAAGTCGAGATACCGTGTACGATAATCGATTCCCGCAGTCATGGGCAATTATCGATCCAGAAGCGGCTGGTAAGTGGTCTCGTTCGCGCACCCCAGATATGGCAGCTGACAAGCATATACCGCGACAGCCTGACCTGTCGAGCCCGTCGCGTCAAGTGTCAGTCCAGATACTGCCAAATTCTGTCCTTCTGATTCTTGCTAAACGGAGCCAGGTGACGAGACGCGTCCGGTATGCAAGGCCTGCAGCAAGAAGAACCGACCTTGCCAATGGGACGCGCCCCAGAGCAAATTCAAGGTCTATCAGCCGCAATACAGCAGGTCTGCTACACAGGAATCCGGTCCTGACAGCAATACGATGGATGTTGATGAGGGTAGCGAAGAGGGGCAGGCCAGCAGCCGTCGGACATTTTCTCCGAAGCCCAATCAGCCCACATCTAGGAGAAACAGTCGGACCGAAGTCCCTTTGGAACCGCATGGTTCCGCCTCCACTACGAGTCAGCATTCTCCCGACAACGAGCCATTGGCCTTGCGCGAGTCCATAAGGCATTCCGATGAAAGTCATCATAGTACCAGCCATGGTTCCAACCCATTGCCCGTTGAAGTTCCGCAGGGAACTCGACCGTACTCGCAGACACCAGTGCCCCTAACGCATGACGAAGCGGTTCTCGTTCACCACTACACAGAGCACCTCGGGCGCTGGCTTGATTGCACTGATGCGACGCGGCAGTTCACTCTGAGTGTGCCAGGCAAAGTGAAAACATGTCCAGTCTTATGCCACGCTGTCTTTTCGTTTGCAGCACAACATCGCAGGGAAGAAGCCAACGCCGACGCAGCATACCACCGTTGCATCCCCCTGTTGATCAATCGTCTCAATGAGCGTGCCGCAAGCCATGACGAGACACTCCTATGCGCTATTGTGATTCTCCGCTTCTATGAGCAACTCATTGGTGAGTGGTCTGTGCCTGTGTCAACTTCGAGACTGACTGTATCTAGTACCTTCGAACACAGGATCCGATCAGGAGAATCACCTCACAGGCACTTCAGCTATTTTGCGAGCTTCTCAAGGACACCATTTTGTGGATCCATCGGCGCCTACTTTGCGCGAGGCTGCTTTCTGGGTTTACGTGCGGCAGTGTCTCTATAGTGCAACAATCCACCAGCAGCCACCTGACATAGATTTCACATTACAGCTTCACCCTTCACCAGAATCCATGCAAGACGCACACCCGCTGGCTCGCTTGCGGTTAGAGACAGCATGGGCTAACCAAATGACATGGAACCTAGCACATGTCGTCAATTATTGCTTCGATCCGAACGCTGAAGCGAACAATAGAAGCAGGCGATGGCAGGAGCTCTGGGATCAAGTCGACCGGTGGTCTAAACAAAGACCCGAGGGCTTCAATCCTATCTGGCAAGGCAAAGGCAAGGAACATGGTGTTTTCCCCGAGGTGTGGTTCACCACGGACTGGCATGGTTAGTACTGACACTTGAGTTGGCCGCAATGTACTTATAAGCATTGCAGTCCTCTCGTTCGGCTTCTATCACTTCGCCTGCATTTTACTGCTCACGTACAAACCTGGCCCGAAATTCGCCATCCGGAATGCTACTGGTTTGTCAGATGCGAATGTGAGTGCTCTCCACGCTTCCGTCATGCTTGCTGATTCCATCAGCAACAAATTCTCGACCATGCCCGTGTTATATGCGGCGCATGCAAATGCGCTCCGGAGACTGGGCCACTGTCGATTACGGTGTGCCACACAATTTTCATCTGGGGACCACTAGTGACAGACCCAGCTGAGCGAGAAGAGATAGCAAAACTCCTCGTCGCTTTTGAGCAAAACCATTTCTGGCCTACCGCCTGGATCATCACCGCGCTCAAGAAGGAGTGGGGTATAAGCTGATATGGCACTGGAAGAATCGCTGATCCTTATGCTACGTCACACGACTTTAGGAAGCTGGGTGTCTGTAGTATAGTTGCGAGGAAATTTTCGCTGCGTTTCTATCGGATCTTTAGACTTTTCCATAATCATCTGCCACGGGAATGCAAGGAAGCGATACCACGCACCAACATGGACCTGGCTTACAGGACTGGCTGCAATCATAATCATCTTAGCTGAAACACGAGAAAGTAACTTATCAAAATCTTTGCACGTCGCTGCTCGCAAAGCTGCTATATACCTACATTACTGTCACTGTACTTTAGTCACACAAATCAATCTCACTCTTGTATATACCCATCCAACCACAAACCATGCTTCTCCATGCTTGACCACGGGCTTACCGGGTCCCGCACATTCTGCATTTTATATCGATGGACTCAACATGAACTCGTGCGGATTAGCATGCTCCTGCAATACTACTATGAATGCGACAAGTCTCGCATTTAACCGTTCTCTGGCTGACACTGCTGACAAGAGAGCTACCACAGAACTCTTTTGGAAGTACAGAACTTTGTAACGAGATGCCAAATCTCTGGCTATTCCTGCGTTTAGGACATTAGGACATGCTGTAGACGTCCTAAGCAATCTCAATGGACATGCACCACTAAAAAATCGTTGCCGTATTTTGATGTGCTGATGGGGAGGTTTTGGGATGGGATGGGTGGGAGGAGCAGGTGTGTATTCGGGGGGCATGGACCGCGGAGTTGGAGGAGGGAGATGGAGGGAAAGAAGGGGGTTTGAATAATTTCGAAGCGATTTGGGGTGGCTTTTGTGTAGCCATTTTGGCTCGAAGATTATCGCGATGATATGTACGTATTTGGTCAAAAGCTTTGAGGAGCCCAAAGGACGACAGGCTGTTGCAGACTTTTTTTTTTCATTCTTGGACTTACCACTACATAGTGCTAGGACTAATCAGGCGAATGGTAGAGGTCTTGTGATACTTGTGTGCATTGTTTGATCATTCTGTTTCGTAATTTGTATTCGTAAATCGAGCATTCCGCAGCAATGCAACTTGCACATTCACTGTTCTTCTACGCGCATGCAATATGGTATCCGCGCGTTATGCTGACATGGCAAAAGTACCCCGAACAACGCCGCCATCATATGCAAGCTCCCTTGTATGTGATCATAAACTCCGTCATGTCCCGCCTCGCGTCGATGTAGAAGCTCAAACATCATCATCATCCGTCACTGGTCAGCATCGCTCATGCTTACTTGGAACCAAATTCTGCCACACGGTTCAACCTCCGCCTCATCTCCTCTCTTGCTGTTGGCGCCCGCTCGTTCGCTCCTGATGCTTGTGAAGTTGAAGAGGTCTGGTTCAGCTCACCTATGGGTGGCACACCATTAAGCCCGGCTCCCGCAGCCAAGAATGGTGAGGGCGGTAAATCCGCGAGGCTTCCGTTGCGTTTGACACCTTCCATGAGAGCTGGATCGACTGGCATATCGAACTCGTTGTGTTGTGGATATGCCGGGAAGGTGTTTTGCGATGCTTCAAGCTGGAGCTGCCCGTTGGGAGAGTCTTGTGTTGGCGGGCTTTGGCGTAAATGTGCATATACATCGACGGGCGGGGTTGAGGTCTGTGGAGACTGTCCATTGGTAGGCTGACTATAGCGGGCTTGATTTTGGTTCTGGTTCTGGTTCTGTCGCATGGCCGACAAGCCCTTGTTCATCTCGCTGCACTCAGGACAATTTCGGATGACTTGGCTAACGGTCTCCTTGATGCGGACCCAGTGGTAAAGCTCAGCAATAGCAGCTGTAGTTTTATTGATGCCACCATGCGACTTATGGTGGAGATCTCGCGCAATTTCATACTGTTTCTGAGGATCCGCGATGACCTCCTTGCCTTTCAACCAGAGCTTCTCTGGCTCGTCATCTTTGCCAGGCGTAAGCTTGTAGTGTGTGGCGGCGCTGCGAAGACGACTTTTCTCCGCTCTGTCGGCGCCGTTTGGGTATTTGCCGTTCTTGAGGTAGAAGCGAATCTTGTCGAAACGTTCTTCGGACACAAAGTCGTCTTCCTGACCAAGATCGCGGCCATAGATGATGGCATCAACCAGCTCTCCTGGGTATGACTTGAGGTTACCACAGCCCTTGACACGCCCGATACGCTTGAAGCCGAGGGCGTCCCATATCCGACATGACGCTACGTTGGTTTCGTATACCAGGTTGAAGACGGAGTATGTGTAGCCCTGACCAAGTTAGTGTATGTCAGCCTACACTCGCACAGCACATACCAGCTTCGGTGCCCAATCCAGGTATGTCTCTCCCATCAGGCGCCCAACACCTCTATTGCGGGACGCATCTGTGACCAGAAATCCGCCATTGCAGACGTGACTGGACCGACCTGGGTAGTTTGGCTTGATGTAGAAGCTGCCTAGGCATTCCCTTTCCCAATCGCAGCCTCTTTGCGCCATGTCATGTAGTTCTCTGCCATCCTGTATTTCGCCTAGGAGCATGATCGCTCCGAACACTCCGAACCAGTACGGGCCGAAGTTCTCGAGGGGCAGCGGCTCGACCATGGGGTATGTGTCGCCCTTCTCAATCTCGCGGCCCAACTGATCGCATAGGTATGCCAGTAGTGTGAGCGGTACCTGCACTGGCGCAGAGAATGGTATGATGGTTGCAGTGGTGACTCGGTCGCGAAGAGTGACTTGGATGGGCGCAATGCCCACAGGCAATGGGCCGCCAGGCGGAGGATACGGTACCTCGCCCGAGGTCCTGTAAATGACAGGCGCACTCGGATCATCCAGCATTGCTGGCATGGCGGGCAGCTAGGTGGCGCACTTGTAAGTGGTCGCTATACATGTGTTAGTTGAGAGTAGAGGGGGAGATTAAGTGTGGTCGACGATTTGCAAGCTATGCAGCGCAGACACATGATGACTGCGAATATGCGATAGCTGCGCCATTACAACCGAGTGATATGCTTGTCACTGCTTCAAGCCTGCGAAGGATGAGAGTTGTAGGACGTACCAATGCAGAGAGGCCGAGTTGGTATCAGGAATCCGCCTGGTGTGCTCTCGCCGTACCGCCCTTGTTTCGGACCACACTAACGTCTCGAACAGCGCACCAATCAGAAAAGTGCGTGGCAAAATGTGACCGCACGCTGGGACATTTGTACAGATTATCTGCACTGCGATTGTGAATGCAATGTTGTAGACGATAGTGTAGCAGCATCGAGTAACTTCATTACTTGATCAAAGCCAAACGTGCCAAGAAGCTAGGCCAGGGCCGCAAGTCATCGCACACGTTCCGCGGTGGTCCTTCTTCGACGACGTAACCAACATAATCGCACAAATACTCTAATCGATGTCCCTACAGCGGAGGTACTACTCGCTCAAGCCATGTGCACAAGTCTCTCAGCTCTGCGCCACTGAGCACATGGCCCAACCCCTCATATTCTTTGAGAGTCACACGCTCTTCCGGCACCCCAAGCTCAAACAGCTTCTCATAGCACAGCCGATGGTACCGTTTTGGCACCAATCTATCGCCAGTACCTCTTGCTAGAAACACTTCAACCTCATCCTTGATCTCCTTTGGAAGCCCGGCTTCCTCCCTCAAAGTAGGTATCCGATCTGGTAACGGCAAATAGCCGGACAATCCGACAAGGCCAGCGAGCTTGCTAGCGTACTTCGATGTGAGTCCTCCGAGTAAGGACATGGCATGCCCTTGAGAGAATCCGCCCAGTACTATCCTCTTTTCCGGGATACCTTGCTTGACCAAGTCGTCGATCAATGATGTTAGGTATTTGACGGTAGCCAACATACCCTCTTCATCTTCATCATCTTCCAACTCAGGCCGCGAGGGTGGGTACGGAGACAGCGACGTCGGCATATACCATGCAGTAGTAGCCAAGTCGTTGTTCTCCAACGCGTTTGGAAGAACCCAGGTCATGTATGGAAGCTTGCCGGCATTTTGGAACTGGCGTGCAACATCTAAGTTGGAGTCAATATCATGTCCCTCGAGAGATAAAAGAGACATACTTTCGACGCCTTCAGCTTCGTCGCCAAGACCATGCACGAAGACAAAAGCGGCAGCTTTAGAAGGGTCGACCGGAGACATGGGCTCGATGATGATTGGCGGCTTCCTTTCCATTGCTACTTCAGTATATGGGCCTGCAATATCTTGCTGTGTTGTCTAGCGACCCTCTATGATGATGGATATACGAATTCTGCGCCAGCTGGTAGAAAGAGACCGTGGAACCGATTGAATGCTGAGGTTAGTAATTAAACGCTATGCCGAAGGATACAATGGCCTCCCAAATATCCATCCCTACATCATGCTAGCTTGAAAGACAAGACGTGCCTTCATGTACCCCGCATATGACATCCTGTCGTCCGCGTTCGATGCTAACGCGTCTCCACGTGACTACTAGCTTCATCAAGCTCACTTCCGAGCCTTCCCCGCAACTTCATCTTTCTACACTTCACTATGCCACACGTCGAGGTGCTCCCAAATTCGTCGGCCTCAGTAGCGCCGGGATGGACCTACGTTGTCGACACCGGCTACGACCCGTCGAAAGTCGCGATCAATCCCAAGAATAAAAAGCGCGCCGCAGCACAACCTGGTGGGCAGCGCGGCGAGAATGAGCTTTCGGCGCGACAGCAGACGGCGATTGCTAGGAGGATAGCCGAGCTAGAGAGGGACAACGATCCGAAGCAGAACATTTCCATACCGGGAAAGCCATGTATGCACGTCAATCGGGAAGTTGGGCAACCGCTAATGCTCATTTACAGCTATACCGAAGACTCAAAACACGCGACGCATAATACAATACCAGCGCCAAATCAAGCACTGGCTCGACGATGAAGAGGCCCAGCTCGCGCAGCACCAACAAGCGCCCGTACCGCGTGGCGCAACGACTGCTTCACGAAGCAACGCGCAGTCTCACCGCCGCCAAAGCACACTTGCATCCGTCCCGCCTACACCAACAGAAGCCACGCCCGGCCCATCGGTTCCACGGACGTCGTCATTGATGAGCGTAGATAACGGCAACGACGATGCGCTACTCTCGATCGATCACTCGATGCCTCCGCCGCTGAACCCCGCCGAGCTTGACGCACTTCTTGCTGCTCCACCGCTGTCATACGCTGCGAGCCATGCTGCGCCGCCACCTGCTGGGGGGCCGCCGCAGAGGCAGTTTTGTGACAATTGTGGTTACTGGGGGACGATAAAGTGTCGGAAGTGCGGGGCCAGAGTATGTGGTCTGGAGTGTAAAGATGCGCACGAAGCTACGAGGTGCTTGAAGTGGGCATGAAAAAAATGGCGAGATTGCGGATTCGCAGCACAAGGCGTTAAGAAAGAGGCTTGCACGATACCCATTATACATCCGTTTTTATGACCAGACGACTACAGCACACAAAACCTTTGCTTAGTATTCAAATTTCTCCCAGACAAGCTTCTCGCTCAAGTCCCACAGCCTCTCCCACAGCCTCTCCCCCTCCACAGTCCCCTGCAAATCCTCACTAACATTCTCATTCTCCAAATACGCCCCATTGCACCCCTCGATCCTCCCACCAAACCATACCTAAATAGGTAACCCATTGTAAAGTGCCCAGAGGTGAGCATCGACTGTGTCCGTCTTTGACTCCGCGATGAGGAGACAAGCGACGTCATATACACATCGTTGGCACCGGCATTAGCAATGGTTTGTGGTCGGTGAACTGCCTACCTAGAGAATCTTCACTCGAGAAGTGTAGATTCTTAAGCCTTGAAGCTAATCGTGCGATACTATACTACTTCAAATTAGCATTTTAAAATGCACTAAAGAACGTTTAGCTGTTTTACCGTCTTGGGCTTTACGGTTTATTAGGCCAATACTACGGCTTACCCATCCTCCATTCATAACTATAATGAGCCCAGTGCATGATTTACTACTGGTTTGTTTGCGGGTTGTAAGCCAAAGGGCACTCAGGTAGGCAGTCTAGGAATCTTGGAGGTTCAGCCTTACTCCGCCTCACTCTATCCGACGCTCCCACTCCTTCTTATCGTTACTTCATACCATATTTTCTTACTCACAATCATTTTCCGTCGCCAGAACTTTTCGTCGCATAGCGCTCGTCATGGCCGACTTTGGCTGGTCTGCCAGTTGCATCCTCGAAGCGATCAAGCTGAGTAACAAGATCCGCAAGGCTTTACAGGATGCAGGTGGCGCCCGAGAACAGTATACTGAGGCAGCATCGTTTCTCACACAGTTCGAGTGTGTTTTCAAGGAGCTGGAAATACACATCAATGACGGCCGCAATACGGAATACCGAGAAGCGATCGAACAGCAACTCAAACTTATGGAGCCTCCCTGGACACGATTGCAGGTGATCCTAGGAAAATACGAAAATAGCCTGGGTGACAAGTCGACTAAGTCAAAACTGAAAATGGTGCCACGAAAGGTGCAATGGGCCCTGAAAGAATTGAATGAAGCTGTTAGGAAAGGCAGAGACCAAGTGCGGGGGCCGTTGCATGGTGTGAGCCTCCTTCTACAAATGCAGTCGATGTTAGTTGGATGAGTAAAAAGGGAAAACTCAGCTAATAATCTCAGGATCACAATACGTGACATCGATGAGAAGTGCCAAAGGATCATCGATGACCTGGAGACTGCTGATTTTGCACGTGCCCTCCAACAGGACTTTGCGCAACTACATCTACACACGGAGGAAGGAACAAGAAACCAAACCGACATCCAGAAGGACCTCGCGCAACTGCGGCAAACACTCCATCAGCAACATGCGGTCATATTGGCTGCACTTCCTGTGAAAACCGAAGCAGCCAGTATCTCTCATGTCAACGCGGATATTGAGACTTATCAAACGAGCGAGCTTACGGCCTCCGTTGCTAGGTGCTTAGACAACTATGAGGATCAAGGAAACGCGATAGTTACCGTTTATGCTGAACTTCAGAATCAACAGGCTAGTCTCGAAAAAGTGCAGAAAGCACTACAGAGTCTTGTGAGACACACGGAACAACCCACAAACGAGGAATATAGCCGACTGTCGACTGCAACGGGGTGGTACGAGATTGGAGACGCTATTTCGACGATTCGAGTCGCGGCATTCACTGCATCGATGTTCGCACTTGGATACCACTCAAGGACTGCAATCTCTGCTTTCAACTCTTCGGCTCAACGAATCGAGCAAGGAACTATACAGCCTGAGGTGAAAGGTCGAGGAAGGAAGTCAGATGAGTTGTGGACTGCGGAATTTGCAAGGCAAAATGACGCTTCACAACCATCTGCAGTCGAGGTCCCCTATTCACGGATCGCTAAGACTTACAGTACGGTCGATTGTACGGAGAGCACTGTCAACACCACTGAAAAAGTATCAAAAGCTTCCAAGATACTTGAAGCAAGAAGGACGCGTAAAGAATTCTCGGATTCTCTACCATCTAGCTATGGGCTTTGGCATTGCAAAGAATGTGGGGAAGATAATGCAGTGTGGCATAGTGAACAATGTCCAGTGTGTGGGTTCGTACTATGAAAAGTCATAGGATGCTTCAGGTAAACTAAACACAATTATATCTATTGCAATCGTATCCAACTCACTCACACATGATTCATGCCTTATATCTCGGCTTCAACCGAACATCCAACTTCCCCACATTCGTCGTAAAGCAATCCCTACTCTTCTCCAAGATCTCCTTTCCATCCTCTCCCTCCGCAAACTCCACCTCAAACAACTTGATCAAATTCGCCGTCACGCTGCGCAACTCCATCATGGCAAGTTTCTGGCCGACGCAGTTGTAAATGCCTGTGCTGAAGGGCATGAATGCGCGTTTCTCGATGACGGCTTCGGGCTGCTCGTCTGTCCAGCGCTCGGGTAGGAAGGTTAGGGGTTGCGCGAAGTATCGCGGGTCCCGCTGGATGCAGTGGATGGGCATCCAGATGATGATGTTGCCGGGGATATAGGTACCGTTGGGGAGGGTTATGCCTTCGGGTGGGGTTTCGCGTTGGACGCCGGAGGGTACCTACGTGGTGTTAGTGATGTGGAGTTGAAGTAGTTGGGTTACGATGTGAGACTCACGGCTGGATGTAGGCGGAGAGCTTCGTTGATGACGCCGTCGAGGAAAGCGCAGTTAGCTACGTCTTCAACTTCGAGAAAGGATTTGGAGGGTGTGATGGCATCGATTTCCTTGCGGAGCTTGGCTTGAATCTCGGGTTGTTTGCAGAGCTCGCAGGCGATCCATGCAAGTGTTGCCGCGGTCGTGTCACTTTTTGTAGCGGTTAGTAAGTGAGGTAAAAGCGCATCAATATTGGAGAACGCACCTTCCAGCTACTACCAGCAAGCGCGAATCCGCGTTCAGTTCTGGTGACACTCTCGTGGCGTTTGGGTCAAGGAGCCAAGTGAAGACGTCGTTCTCCTTGGGCGTGATCTTGCGAATAGTCAGCCCACTTCATCGTTAGCAACGACGAGATACTCACCTTTGCCCTCTCTTCCATAACTTTAGATGTCCAGTCAATATGATCAATTAGTGCCTTCGCCCCGGCTGCAGTGCGTGTAGCCAGATTCAGACCCCAGTTTAGGTGTCCGAAGATGCTGAGCGGCGACATGCTTTCGTGAAGGAGCTTGATCATTTCATCTTCTTCGCCCTTTTCAACCATGCCGAAGCTGCGACTGAAGCCAACATCGCCCATTACATCGAAGCTGTAAAAATTTGCCCAGTTCGTAAAGCGAACTGAAGGACTTTTGGCCTGCTCTTTCAGCTGTGACATCAGGGCTAGCGCATGCCTGTTCAGACGGGGCTCGTATTCGCGAAGTGCTTTGGCGTTGAATGCGTGGTCCCAAGCCTTGCGTCTACGCTTATGCTCGTCCTTATTGCGTGTGGTTTGTGTAGATGTGCCGCCAATATGTGAAGAGCCCTATGAAACAAGGCACGAGATTAGTAAATGTCTCATGAGCTGCCGTAGTAATACTTACAGAGTACCATGGGCCTTTGCGGCACCTCGACATTGGGCCGTGGATGAGTGGAATAGCATCTGTGCAGTACACAGTTACTTCGCGTGGGCCAGTCCGAATCACGTCAGTCTTGTATGTCTTGTGTAGCTCTTCACTCTTCTTATAGTATTGGTAGTCTGGGAGCACGCCCGCGAAAACGCTGTAAAACTTGGAAATGCGCGCGAAGAACGGACCCGGAATCTACAAAAAAGGTCAGTGAGAGGACTACTAAGCAGGCTTGGGGCACCAATACGAACGTTTCGAAGACGGTGGAAGAACGCTCGGTGAATAAAGATGCTCGCCATCAAGACCCCGAAGTACACAGCTGCAAAAGCCGCACTGATCTTTGCAGCAGCAATAATACCGTGTAATCGGGGATCGTAAGCATACTGAGAAACTGCCAACCCAGTGAAGCCGACTGTCCAGATACCTAAGAATACGTGAAAGGAATTGTCCCATTCGCCATTGTGAAGTACATAGTGCGTCGCGAGCGCGAGCAAAGCAGCGGCTGGCTTGCTTCGTGCAAGCTGAGCCATGTGGGCATAATTCGCCATCTTCCGAAGTGTTGTGATTTTCTTCTTTGCGAGTGAAGAAGGGTCGGTAGTTTGGTTGGTCTTCAGACCCACTTTCGATAATCGCGAAGCGCCAATCTTCTTATACACACGTTCCAGAATCGCCCAGGGACCGGTCGCTGTCTTCAACTGCGCTAATTGCAGCAATACGAGGAAAGACTCCTTTCTTGATCTTCGTGATATGTGATGAGTTTCCTTTTAAAGATGAAGCAATCGATGGACGACCATTGATATGCACAATCTCCACCTGCCAATTCCGTTCTACCCCCTATCACGCTCTAGATGAGTGACTATGCTTATTCAAGACAATCTATGAGGTTGCCTCAGCTAAATTGTTAGTGCTGAAAAGACCATGGCCTAAAAATTAGAAAAAGTTCATACATACGGAATAGGCTGCTACGTTTTGGTTGAGACGTCGCCAAGAGGTTGATGAATGTTAATCTTGGGTTGTCGTTTATGTGAAGCCAGTGCAAGAGGGAGGTGCCGAAGAAGTCCTTCATAGGACTAGAAGTACTAGCGTTCGGTTATATGATAGTCATCTCCTGGCGCATAGCCTAGTAACTGTACCACGTTCCTTCATGGGCAATAGCTTCAAGGCCAGCCGTGAGATGAGGGGTATACCCGAGGTGTACAACAGCAAAAGAAGGACCGTAGAAGCTGCGATACGGAGCACTCGATCCGATCTAAATAATTGGCGTTGATACACTCCACTGCACTAATTCGCATACTAATTTTGGCATGGCAGGCGGGGTTTCATGCCCACCGGTACTGTTGATGATATTTTGAAGACCGGATGGCTCGGGATAGTTAGAAGATACCGAATCCATTGAACATGGGAGGTGTGATGTAAATTGCCGTACACATGTCTTCCGATGCGTGATATAGGCGTGTGATGGCCGGGTACTCAACGCGTATACTTCCGGAAAGTGTCAAGGACGTTATCCGATGGCTTCACATCGTGTTCTGATCCTTAGTGCTTTGACCATCGAATATAATGCGGGGTAGCCGTGAGTGTAAGAAACGATGAATTCCAGTCGGAGTCTGTCCGGTTTCCGTTGGATTGCTCATTTCAAGACAATGAGTGACAGGAGACCTGAACTGAGGCTATCTTGGAGAGAGTGCTTGCGCGTATGCAGGTATAAAGAGCGATAAAATCTGGCTTGCTTTCTCGGAATTCGTGGTTAAAGGTACCTGATTCGTGGCACATGATCTTTCCCGCTGTGTGACGAAACTTTTGACCCGGCCACGGGTGCTTCAGAGTGCGTAACATCTGTCGCTCCAAATGCTGTGCAACAGTCACGCGAGCTAGGTACACCTCAGTGTGCAACGACAAACACACGCATCTGCGAATATGTCGAGCATCCACTGCAGATGACGCGGTAGCTCAGTAGCTTGGGACATTTCGTTCTTTCCACACTCTTCTTGTGGTACATATCGAATCTCTTCACCCTCCAGTACAACATGTTCCCACTTAGATGGGTCCTGTGACACGAAGGAAGTGCCCTGTTCGGATTTGTGAAACGAGGTGATTCTTATCGGAGGATGAGCCCGCTGAGCTAGACCTTCAGACACGCTGTCCTCGTGCATCCTTGCTAAGGAGTGTCGTTGTATCTTCTGTGCCATATAAGCCATTCGCCGAACATGCGCTTGACCAAAGATCCAGTGTATCTCGACAGATTCAAGCCCTTCAAGCTTGAGTAAAGGTTCTAGCCAAAGTGTCTCGAGCGCCGCGCTGTTTAGGTTCTCGTTCTCCCAGGTGACGGTTTCTTGTAGACTGGTCGCATCCTGTGAGCCTCGGCTACCACAAGTCTCCACGGACAAGTACAATTTTCGAAGTTGGATCCTCGACGTAGAGAGTAATGTGCAAAGCTCCGTGAAATAGTGGTATGCATATTGCAGTACAAGAGAATCCGTAGAGCGACGTATTATCGGGTAGTGCGCCTGCGCGGTTCCCCGCATGTTGCTGTCTTCCATGAGCGCCAGTTCGATGGATCTCACCATTCGAAGCGACGCCGCGGGCCTATCACACAGGAATGCAAACGCAGTCGGGAGGCGTAAATCTTGTGTAAAGCTGAAGGTGTTGTTGCTATAGAAAATCTTGCTGGCTTCGGTGTACACTTGCTTGCTCACCTGCAGAAGGCAGAGGTTAAGACCGTCCAAAGAAGCAAGTTCCGGTTCTTTGCTGATCTGGTAAGTCATATGGACAGTTTCTGGCGCAGTGTGGTCATTGTCTGGATACCCCAGGTCCATGTCGAACGCCGGGATTTGCCAAAGTCGACGCTGAGCTCGTGGGGCTCTTAATGGCGGAATCGTGCAGTATTCGGGGTCTTCTTCGGAGCCCTGTGGAAAACGCGTGTTTGTTATTGCGCATTCAACGGGGATTACATCGCGCACGAGTATAAGCTCGTAAATACAGTCGCGTAGCTCGCGAGGTAGGTCGAGAAACCTGGTAAACCTTTCCGGGCTGTGTTCAGCCATTTTTTGGATTAGCAGTGTGAAGATACGAAGGTAACTCGGTGACGGCCGATGACGATCAGCAAAGGAAGCGCTTGCACGAAGAAGAGATGGAACAGCTCTTGAGGTTATGGCAGCCCAACTAGCGCCCTCTACCCCTCGCACCTCGCACCTTCCCTTGCATTGTACAGATTTAGGGTTCACACATGATAAGAATTAGCAAGCACCAGGATCGGCAAAAGCCCTATTCGCCTTTACCCAACGAGAAGATTTCAGCTGCAGTCTAGATGTAATCAAAAACTTTTGCAAAACTAGACAAGATATCTTATAGTAGTGAATACAGCCAGGCTTATTTATAAACGTACAGGCGCGCTCCTGAAGACATTTAGATATTTTCGCGCATATGCGGAGCAGACACGACTTTTGCCGCTACCTGGTGGCAGCGAATATAGGCATGTCCAATGAGGATTACTGGGACTCATTGAATTTGCTGCCTTGTTCGTCCAATGAGCAATGATGCAACTCTCAGCCTTGTGCCTGTCGTTTGCATGCTCCTCATCCAGCGATTACATGGTGGCCGAGTGCCATTCCAACATACATTGTCCAATGGCAGGCATGTCCTGGGCAGCATCGCATAATGTCTTTGTTGGACATGGGCAAGCTCGAGCTGTGTCGGGCGCTCAGCTGCGGTAGATGTTGGAACCACTGGTCGCGCCGGATGCGACCTTTTTTGTCTATGGGAGTGTTCCTCGTAGGTTGTGTTCTATAGCATGCACTAGTCATCGCGATCTTCCTCAATTCCTTCGTCGCAGCTGTTCCGTCGCCTAGTTCATGGGCGATATCCTTCGGCTCGTCAGTGACCCAGCTCTCTCAAACTATGATGCGTATAGCCAGCACTTCTGATTCAGAGTAAAAACCCGTTCTGGAATAAACGTCGCGTACATGAAATGTTCACACGCGGCTGAGACGTGGTCTTCAACCAAAATGTCCGGGACCTTCAGGAAATCCATCCGGTCGCTGAGGCGCATTGATGATTCTCCAGAACGCATACGTGATGCTGATAAAGACAAAGACGGCCAGCGCCTGTCCTATCCATTCTGGCAGAGACCTGTCCAGATCTTCCAGGTCGCTGCTAGCTATCGAGGATTGGTCTGGGAAGGTGGTACCGTACCCGGGAGGCGCGCCTGCGAGGAGAGGTACAGATGATGAGTTGGTAGCATCGTCGTATGAGGGAGGGGGGTAGTCTGGCCGGTGGGGAGTTATGAATGTCATGGTTATGGTCGTGGTGATGGTGGGCTTCTATTGCGGGAGGAGCTTGAGCTTCGACCTGTGGACTGTTAGCTTCCTGCACGTGACGCAGTTCCGCGCGGTCGTACTGTCGCATGGTCGTGCATAGCTTCGAAGATAGTGAAGACGTTGACGTGAAGGTGAAAGTGAAGCTCGCGTGGTCGTGATTCCCACATGATGACGACGCGGGTCGCGCTTGGGCCGCGCGACCCTTGTTTTACCGTCGCATCGCATTCGTGTTCCTTTGCTGAGCCAAGTGTATACATGTCTCTACCACGCGCAGGCAGCAGGAAGTAATGCGACGACCGTTTCCCTGAACAGAATGTCCACTACGCTTCCACCCATATTCGGACATTTCATAGCCTGCAAAATACAGCATGTCGGCTGATCCCACTGCTAACCTGCAGCTCTTCTCTCCGCCAGCATCTGGTCGCTCGAGTCCAGCACCGCGAGCTTCACGCAATGCTGCTGAGGAACGTAAGCTCACTATAGACCATATGAAAGGGACAATCGTAGCTGATCAAGCCCAATAGCCCTCTACAAAAAAGACAAAAACTTCCGGCGCTATGCTGCTGGTGTCGAGCGCGCGCTTGCCCTCTGGGACACTGCCCAGCAGGAGTGGGCCGACTACATATCGTTCCTGGGAAGGCTGTTGAAGGTCAGGAGATCATGTGATAATCCCTCTCTATTCCGCTGCTCATCATGTTCTCTACCAGGCCCTCCAAGCGCATCCCGCCGAAATCCCAGTGATCCCACATAGCGAAACAGTCGCATTGCGATTAGCGCAGTGCTTGAATCCAGCGTTGCCTTCGGGCGTCCACCAAAAAGCTCTCGATGTGTATGCCTACATATTCGCGACCATTGGAGTATGCCCTTGTCCCACCACGTAGCTCCCACATGTTGACTGGTCCAGAAAGATGCCCTCGCTCGCGACCTCAGCATCTACTTCCCAGGCCTCGCCTCTGTGCCATCCTTCGCCTCGCTCTCCGTTCGACCGCTATTTCTGTCGGTGTTCGAAACCCACATCCTGAAGCTAGATGCTCCAGCACTTCGACCCGCACTGAAGGCTATAATCCTGTCCCTATTGCCGGGCTTGGAGGATGAGACGAGCGAGGATTTTGAGCGCATGTTCTCTGCACTGGACAAGCTGCGCACAGCAATTGAAGGCCCTGCAGAAGAAGTCAAAGGCAGCGGCTCGTCGCACTTTTGGCAATGCTTCTTCCTAGCAGCCATCACCAATGCTTCACGGAGACAAGGAGCGCTTGCCTTCCTTATTCGGCGTTTGCCCAAGTTTGGCATTCCTGCACGCCGCTCTTCGAACCAGTCCGAGCCGTCCACGCCTTCGGGTAGTCTGTCCGCGGAAGCAGAAGCTGCCATCTCTCCAGAACCAGGCCTCTTGATCCGGTGTTTCGAATCTGGTCTTTCAGATCCACAACTCCTCATACAGCGTGGCTTTCTCGACCTGCTGGTCAGTCATCTCCCTCTTGACTCCCCGGTCTTGCAAGAGCGTGTAGGAAAAGGAGATCTTGAGAGGTTGGTGACGGCCGCTGCTGGTGTTGTGTCAAGAAGGGACATGAGCCTCAATCGCAGGCTGTGGGCATGGTTCCTTGGCCCAGAGCCAACAGTATCTGAAGGAAGTGAATATGTTACCACACCCACTCAAGATAAGCACCATGATGCACCGGATCCTGCAGCACAACACGCGGCCTTCTTCTCGCGCTATGGCCTTGAGGCGCTGACTAGCAGCGTTTTGAAGATGATCAAGCGCCCAAGCAAATCTCCTGCGGAACGAGCACGACCTTTCCGTGTATGCCTTTCTCTCATGGATCGCTGGGAAGTGGGCGGCCTTATCGTGCCAGATATCTTCTTGCCGGCGCTGCAAAGCGTGCAGTCATACTGTGAAAGTGCATCAAAAGAGCAAGCTGATGAGGTTGTGAGAAGCGCTAGTGCGTTCTTCGATGGCGTTGATAGCGGTCTGATTTGGGGTAAGTTGATCTACATGGTCACTTCGGCCCTGGACACGAAGAACACGAGCCGTGAAGAGGCGCTTAGCCGGGCAAGGTTGGCCAGATTCGTCATGGCACGGTTCAACCTCAAAGAAGAGGACATGCTCCTTCATCACATGCCTCTGATGATATTGTCAACGCTTGCCTCACTTAACGAAGCATGCGGGGATACTAGCAAACCCTCACCCGCCCTGGAAGTCGTCGAGATTGCATACGAGATCGCAGAGTCACTTGTGCACATTGTTCCAAATCGAACATTGCGGAGCGATCATGCCACTGATCAGCAACTGACACAGACGACTGCTGTACCTAGAGCCAAGGTATTTCAACACCTCAGGAATTTCTACGAAGAATCACAGGGCAGCCTCGACGCGACTGATCCGCCTTTTACAGCGATCGAACTGGGCCAGCATATCCTGCGGGAGGCTACACGCATGTTTGTACTGTGCGCCCAGTCTCAGCCTCCAGCCTCTTCGCTAGAGGTCTCTGCAAAGGTGCTCGCCATTGTCATCTCCAAGGCGCAGTATCTGAGAGCTTTAGACGAGCATCATCTTGTTGATGTGTTCCAAGGCATTCTAGCGTGGCAGGCTGAAGAAGGACTGGGACTGACGTTCTGCCATCTTAGTGCACTTACTACCGTGCTCACTGCCCTACAGACATCGCAGTCTTCGATACCGTACATTCCCGCTCCTCAGACCTCGGAAGTCGTTTATCCTCTTGTTACCGGACTTTGGCAGTATTTGTCTCCAACAAGGCCCAAGTACCATGTTGAAGCCACACGATGCTTACTTCAACTGCACACAATCTCGCCAGCTAGCCGCATGGTGGAAGCCTGCCTAGCATCTACTATCGAAGCGCAGCTCTCGCAAAGGTCTTCCAGCCCTCGAGTCAACGATTGTAGTCGGCACTTTGCCACACTTTGGACACACATCTTGTACGAATTCAACGTACAAACAGAGAAACGTGGCAGCATAGCTCGTCGACCAAGTGGTCAGAATGTTGTAGCTACAGCCATTGCATCTGGAGATTACCATGCTATTCTGACAAGGCCGCTTCTTCTCCTTTTGGACAGCCTAGAAGAAGAGGGCACCGAGTCATCGGTATTCATGAGGGCTTGGCTACAGGATCTACCAAGTCTAATACGAGTCTTCGATATCCTGATCCTCCATATACAGTCGTTACAATCGATGGCGACGACTGAAGGCCTGGCTCCCAACAATGTCCCGGCCAGAACACGCAGTCAACCAAAAGGGGATGACAGCAAGGTTTGCCTATATTATCTCCGGCACATCCACAACATCTTGAAAAGGCCATCTCACTTCACATGGGTGACAGTAGCCGAGTCGCCGGCAGCATGGACTGACGACTCGTCGTCCCGTATGTCGCTCCAAGAGTGGATAGTGCGCTTGTGTCTCCAGACTATGGCATACTCTAGTGGTGGCAATAATTCTGTTGATGATTCTCACATACCCGAATTACATCGACTTTCAGTATCCGTCATATTGCAGATATATCAGAGCCCTTTCGCTGCGCCTTTACGGGAGCTTGAGCTTGAGGTATACCTGATGGCACGACTAAGAACTGCCGAACCTCCCTTACAAAGTCTCTTACTGAAAACAACACTGTCTGCGCTCAAGCTGCGTCTCACTCGCCCACCACCGGAGCAGTCGACGGAGTTGAAAGTACCGCCACAGCCGTCACATCGATCGCGGCTGTCTCTAGCGCTGAGCAGAGACTCGGAAGATCATCAGCCTGCGCCCATCGCTCCGCCTCCTCAACTAGTCGACTGTCTAAAAGGAGGGTTCTCTTCACCCACGAGCCGCTTGGTGTTGGATGATTGGGTACAATTTCTCATCGAGGTGCTGCCGCTGTTTGCCGATACAATATTTCAAAACCTACTGCCTCTGGTGGATTGCTTCTGTAAGGAGATCAACATGTGCTTCGAACAACTGAAGACTACGTTCGTTTCACGCAATGGGGCACAAGAAGCGTCCCCAGAGTCTACAATGATTTCACTCATCAACGGCCTGGAGCAGATTTTGGCTAAAGCGCATGATCAGCTGACAACTCAGGAGACCAAGGTCTCCGCTAACAAGTCACCAGAACAGCCGCAGGGATTCTTCAGCAATGTGGTCTCCGGGGTCTTTACCTCGGAGCAGGCACAAACACGAATCCCAACGGCCAACAGCAGACTTACTGTTCTTCTTTGTTTTCAAGATACCGTTCGGATATGCTTCGCAATATGGTCATGGGGTGGTTATGGAGACAAGCACATCCAGCAAGATGTCTCGTCGGCAGCCTCCTTTGGCTTCACCTCGCTTCGCATGCGCAACCGGGCCCGTCGCATCTTGGAACATTTATTTGCCGCTGAAGCGCTCGAATGTTTAGAAACTTTGGCAGTCATCTGGGCCGGTTCCACGACGGATGATGATCAAGGAGCAGCAGTGATGGGTCTCCTCAATGTCCTTAATGGATCCAAACCCAAGCACACCATACCCGCCATCTTCAATGCGGTTTATAGCCGCACGGATCCTACAGCGTTAGATGCGAATCGAACGTCGACGCTAACCTCAAACCTATCCGATTCCGAGCTGGTCGTGTTTCTGGTCGAATACACCAAGTCTTTAGAGGACGATGCCATGGATGAGATTTGGCAGGACTGCACGTTGTTTCTTCGCGACGTTCTCGCAAACCCCTTGCCGCACAGACAAATATTACCGATGCTGCTTGAATTCACTGCAGTCATCGGGCAGAAGGTCGACAACACGAATTTCGGAGAGCAAAGGAAACTGAGGAGGGAGTTATCGGTAAGTCTCTAACCATATCAGATGGCAACAAATTGACCTTTGTATAGGATCTCTTCACGAGAGTGTTGACAGCGATCTTCACAACACGTTCTATGGGCTACGTGCAGAACACAGACCATGATCTGGTAGAAGAAAAGTCTTCTGCAATCACCAACGGTGTTCGTGCTCAGCAACGAGCATCAGACGTTGTCTCAATTCTCACGTCCATCGTTCCCAAGCTCCCTCTGATCCTTGTTGAGAACGATCGCGTTACCAAGGTTGTATCAGATATGTCCACATCCATAATCGGTCCTAGCTTCCGAGCCAAAAACTTCCCCGAGCATGTATCTAAGGGCCACTTAGACCTTCTGCAGAGTCTTACAAAGGTATCGCAAGGGAACAAGTTACTCAAGAAGGACATTTTCGACGCATTCAACGACCCCAGATTCTTCAACGCGCCGCTGCCAATCCTGCGAGAGTCATGGCTTCCCGTTCTGGCACAGTGGACACAGTCTGACAAAGAGCGTGTACCAGAGTTGCTGGGCAGGATATCTGCGCCTACGACTGCAGGTATCATGTTCGGTGTCGGTGCGGCGTCAGCGCGTCAGGAAGCAGACCGCAAAACTCAATTGAACCTGCGACGTATTGCACTCCTGGTTCTTGCAAGCCCAGAAGACGCATTTACTCCAAACATTCCTCAGATTCTCGAAAAAGTCGTTGAGCTTCTCACAGCCACACATGCAACATCGCCCTCATCAGCCACACGCGCAGATGTGCTGGTTCTACTGCGTGCCATTATCCTCAGGACATCACATGTGCATCTCGCATCTCTCTGGCCCATTATCAACGGCGAACTTACAGCTTCACTTTCTTCGTTGCTGCCAGACGCCAACAACAAAGTTCACTATAACAACGCTGGCATCATACAAGCCTGTAAACTCCTCGATGAACTTGTGGTCCTCGATCCCGATGATTTCCAACTGTCCGAATGGCTCTTCATATGCGACACCATTGACGCAGTCTACAAACCTGCCACACCACCCACCATGCTCGCCTTGACCGATGAAGTCAATGAGGTTTTATCACAATCTACGTCTGGGTCTACTTCTATTCCGCCACATGTCGAATCCAATGAGCCGAAACGTGCGCTCTTCTTGGATCCGTTAATAGAGGCACTGGAAAAGGAAGAAGATGCTGCAGTGCTAGATATGGCCAGAAGCGAGTTAGTGAACAGAGTAGTGAGGCCGTTTTTGGGCAATCTGGCAATGAGTGCATTTGAAGCAAGGTATGGTGGCGGGGAAGCGGACTGGGACGGGGTTTGGGATAGTGTGGTTCGAGATGCTGGGTCATAGTCGCAGCACACGAATATTATGAAGTTCACCTTTCAGGCACGTGGTGTCCTGCTAACGCTATGACAATCGCATCTACTTACACCGCCTCCCAACACCGAAGAGCGCGTTATGACGCTCATCTAACGCAAGCCATTAAGAAGGGTCTCTTGCAACGCCCGTGTCACGACTCTAACCTCACAGATGTCGCCACTATTCAACATGTGAATCCGACATTTGCATCTTCTCGGCGTCAATAAGCTCGTATCAGCTGTTCGGTGTTTCTAGCGCATCTTGTGGGCGAGATCAATCGACTCTGCTCTAGTGCCTACCCATTCCATGGTACTGAGCATCAAACGAAGTCGTCACCGGCCCCGCACCAATTACGAGAATACGAACAACACTGATGAAGAAGTCATTGGCTGAACGGCTCGTCACGCTCTTTTGTGCATCGGTACATCTGGTTCCCACTTAGCAGTTCGCGACCTTCCGTTGGTCGTGCACGCATCGTCTATTCCACACGAACACTCGAATCGCCATGCAATCACATGGAAAATATGAAGGGTTCGCGAGAATTTCTCGATGTACTGCGATCCATCGAGGCTTGAGTCACGTGAAGTTGCGCCAGTTTCGCCGCGTTCCGCCAGTTGAAAGTTACATTATGAATCCACACGACGGAAAGATGTCCTGCGAATACACGACCTCCTTTAAGATGCCCCGAAGATCATGCACTGCAACATGTTCCATTCAATCTTGCCATTCTCGGGTTGCGCAACGCGGACCGGACGAGGTGCAGCTGTCGGGATGCCCTTTGACGTCAAGACCAATTATTTTAGGCGAGGCGTCGGGAAATCTGGAGGATTGTAAATGGTGTATATCTGTACCCATTAACGTATGTCTAATAATGATGTTGCGCTTCGTGGACATACACTACACTTCACCGTCTGACTTGGCGACTTCCACACCGCTACATCGTCGAAGTCACAAGCCACTGGCTAGAATCTCAAATTCTACACCGACAAATTTCACCGGCGCATACTGACTTTATGATACTATGAGGCGGTCTGTTTCAAGAAATTCGCCCGATTGTGCTAAGTGCGCACGAGACGTCTCTGCCCACGTCACGAGGCCGATTGACAACTCAACACCATATGACCAAGCCACGCCCCCACCGCCTCCGCCAAACAACATCCGCACACAAACCCCACGATCCTCAGGCGGTGTCAAAGGACTGCCAGCTACTGACGTTCCCCGCCAAACTGCTGCCTGCCCACACACCCCGCGTCCAGCAGACCACCTTGTTGCACGAGATGACTTGCACTACGACAATAGGAAGCCTGGACCCTCTTCAGGCAAAGAGGCAACACTCGCTCCATCTTCACAAAATACGCAAGATTCACTGAAGCAGAATACATCCGTACCTGTCACAAAGCCCTTAAGTTTATTTGACACCACGAAATCCGATCATCTCCAGGACATCGTACCAGAAAGACCTACTACGCCCAGATACAACAAGCCACAGCCTGCGCGGTATCGAGGTGTGGACAATATGCCGGCAATCACAATGACGGCGCCGCGGCTGCCTATGTTCCCCAAAGCCGCACCTAAGCCGCGACCTGCGAAGCTGGATTTGGCGCCACTTGTAGTAGAGTCGGTGGAGAACCCAAACATTCCAAGACGTCAACTATCATGGTCAGCTAGGGTGCGCAAACGTCGAAACTCGATTTTTGACGACACTTTCAACTTCTGGGCCCCATCCCGACGGAAACGCGCACACAGCCCTCCAGTCAGTCCAAGGACATCAATAGCACTTTCCGACTCCGGCTCGCCCACACCAACACCTGATGAGCCTTACAACAAGAGGCAGCGTGTTGAAACCTCTGAATCCAAGGCTGCGACATCGCCCAAGCACAACTCAGCTAGCTCCGACCGTCGTTTTGCATCCGCCGGCCTTGAAGAAGACATCGCCCGTATCTCTCTCGATGCGACAAGCTCCGAAGCACATCCTGGCTCTCCCGTCGACTTCAGCACCACATCATACTTCACCACTCAGCCAGAGCGCGGCCGCAGCACAAGCCAACACCCATATCCCAGCTACTTAGAGCACTCCCGCGAGCATTCACCTTCTCTCGACCCCAACGCCAGCCTGATCTTCGCCGTCCCCATCGACCAGTACCGCCATGATGCACGCGAACTCGAAGAGGAGCTAGCCCAAGGCCCTCGCATGTTGGGCCTAGGACATCCCCTTCCAATCCGCTCTCGCAGCAACTCGACCAGCCATCGCCTCTCCACGGACTCGACAAGTAGTGAGGGCCTACCATCCCGCTCGCACAGCACCACGTCAAGCCAACGCCCTTCCATAGAAACAATATCGAGTATAGGCTCGAGTACGTTAGTTAACAGCAGCACCCGCGGCTCTGATTCACACGCAGACCGCTTCCTCAATCACGTGCGTGCAAGCCAAGAAGCGCGGCGACGACGCAGCACGGAAGATCGAAGGCGCATCTTCGTCAAGAATGATGAAAACGACAATTGGCTTCTCGGCGACGAGCCTTTATAACTAAAAGTGACCTATGCGTGCTTCCTCGTCGTCTGCACGTGGTATGCGGTGGGCTACATTGGGGTGTTTGTCATTGCGGATGTGGTTGTTTTGTGGAATTGTTGGGCTTGGAGGAGGGAACTGAGGGAAGACAACGAGCGCTTCCAGAGGGAGAGTGGAGCGTACATCGGGGTGAGGGGTTGGGGTTGGAGATACATTATTCTATGGCTGGTGGAGTGGTGGATTGGGGGAAGGTTGGAGGGTTTGGGACACCCGGTTCCTTTTATGTGACGGGTGGCGAGTCGGCCTCTGGATAAGGGCCGGCGATGGGGTGGTGGCTTTGCCTTTGGTTATCGGCAAGCCCCGCATTATGTTCTTGTGTATCTTTCAAGCTTGATAGGATTGCTGGCTTTCGGATGAAGGTTGATGACGACGAGACGGGGAATGACGGCTTCGCCTTTGGTTATTGGCAAGCCTCATATTATGTTCATGTCCATGGAATGACTTACGATAGTATCAGATTTAATGACAACAACTTCTATGCCTTACCGCTACATCTGCTTTGTCCATGCTGAAGACCACTAGATGAACGAGAAGTCTTTGAATATCGTCGTCGAGACCATCGAATTTATCGAATGAACGCTCTTGCAATAAGTAAGAATCTTTTCGGCAAGATCAATAGTTCATTTGCCAGATTACCTTCAGATAATCTTCTCACCCGCTTTTCAATGCGTATAAATCCATTTCGCCAGTGCTGCAGCTGTGTAAATCTCGAAGCTTTCCTGGCGCCTGCGATCGAACATAATGAGGGAGTACAACCGATGACAACAAAAATAACGTATATGGAATTACTTTAAGCTGCAGCTTCTCAGTTCCCTCGCATTCAACCTGCAGTCTTATCCGCTCATACGCGCTCCAAGGGTGTAACAAGCCCAACTCTCAACCACACCTTCCCCACCGTCCTTTCCCCAACCATCCCATCACCAAATCTTCCCATCCCGTCATCAGATATCATCCCCACTCCCTCCACCACGCTAACCCACTCTCGTAACCCCTCCCCACCCCTGAACTAACTCAGGTCCCTCCCAGTACAGCACCTATCACGAGTCATTCCATTTCATCGGCTACAAGCGCGCGAACGGGCCGATTGCTCTATGCCGAACACCAACCTTCTTTTCCCACATCGCCGACTTCCCTCTCATGAAGCAACGGCGACGTGCCGCTCCACGGCATCAGTGCCGGACTTTGGGCAAACGGCAGAATCGCCGGGGGGGGGGGGGGCAGTTTTGCTAGGATGCCTGGTCTTGCGCATGGCTTGCCCGCTTTTGGAAAGTTTTACTAGCGTGATTTAACTTTGGGAGAGCGGAAGTGAAATCATCATTTCATTACTCATCACATGTTTATGTTTCATATGGATGGTATAGCAAAGATTTATTTCCCTTGAACGGGCACGCATGTTGCCAGTTCCTGCAGGTGTTGCTGGCGAGGCTGATTTCGCTTAACCTTGCACTTGCTTTTCCCGGCTTATTAATAGCATGAAAGGATTCGCGCTAGGAATTTCTTCCGAAGATGGGGGTTGGGGCTGAGGGCGAGCCTGTTTTTTTGGGCTTGGGTCGTGGTTATGTCATGTTATGTGCGGTGAGGTACTGTGCAGTGCAGGAATGTCAGCTGTGCGGTGTTAGTTAGGGCTGACAGGAACAAGTGCCAGAATGAATGAATGGCGTCGGAGTCAGTAGTCGGTCGGAGTTGTACACCTTTAGCAAACTCCGATTATGGATGGCAACGGGAACTATACTCGAGCAAATGTCACTCGCACAGACAAAGGTTCTAGTTCTTGTGTCCTTGTTCGTCCCACATGTAAATCCCTACTCATTCCAGTCACCCGTCCCTCCACTTCCCTCAACGCCGATCGACCCATTGCGTGCAGCGGCCGCATAGCAACCATCCGTGTACAGACCACCAATTGAGAAGATGAGCCCGCACGGACGCGAAACTCAAACCCCGTCTCAACGCGCGCAGCGACAGACACCGCCTTAGTGGTTCTGACACAGCTCGATCCGCCGCCAGCGCCATCAACGATCTACACTCGCCACAAACCTTCGCTGTGGCCGTGGATCGACATTTTTGCATGCCCTGGGCGTTAGATTCGGTGTGCGCGAGCGTAGGAACTTTTGTCAGGGCTAATGTAAGGGCACGGCGTTGATCGCCGCTGACGGCATGGACTCCGAGCTGAGGGTTGTGCGTGCGACGACGAGATCTGACAACGAGCTCCGCGTCGCATGCGGTATGGGGAGGGAAAGAGTCGCGCGGTTGAGTGCATCAGGCTATGGGAAGCCACGGCGCTTGCGGTGTTCGATGCGAACTCTATTGTAGCCACGATCACATGGTGTGTGCTGTGCGGCGTGCCTTCACGTTCTTCACATGAAGCTTCACATGAAGATTATGGTATAGGACCCCAATAACCCCATCGATCCTGCGCCTCGTCCTCGGTGCGGCAACGTGGTTGCGCGTGATCCTCGTGAGTGCCCATGGGCCATATGGGGATGTAGCAGATCTGCTCGTCTGGACATGTGCCGCAATCTTTCCAAGTGGTCCATTGTAGATAGTCGTAGAGATTGTCGATAATTTCGATGGCATGAGCTGGATCGTGAGATGTATTCGAAGTACCTTCTTGGTCAGAACAGACAGCTGATAGAGCCTCGAAGAGAGTGCTGCATATGTGATCTGTAATCTCATGGATCGTTCTGTGTGCAAGACTAGTTGCAGTCTGCACTAGAATAACTTGTGCAACGCAGCGTCTCACTTCTGATGTCGAGTTCCTCTCCGTGTAGTCAATAAATGGCGACATCAAAAGCTCTAGAAACTCTGCCAATGCTTTCTCGTCAAGCCGAATCTGCTTGTCAGTGTGGAGGTAATGCAGTGGCTTGCTGTAGCGCGCCACCACCATATCTGCAACGGCTTGCCAGTTACGTGTTATCCGGTCATCATCTCGTAAGATCATGCTTGTGAGATCACTTCTGACACGCAGGAGATCTGATACCTCAACATTCTGTAGACGCGGCATGTCGTAGTCGGAATGCACGTCATTATCGAAGAGATCATCAATGTCCGGATACGCGAACACACTGATGAAGCTATCGTAGTTCAACGTGACCCTATCTCCTCCGATACCATGGTACCGGCTCGTGATAGCTTCGAGGTAGGACCATCCGCCGAGGAAGCCCTGTTGGCCGCGGTGCGATGTGACGGCCATCACATCTGCCAATTTGAGATGCTTCTCGAATTCGCAAAGTATGATCTCGAAGCCGCCTTCCATACGTAATATGCCATCAATCTTGCCGTCCCAGATGGACGTTGTGAGATTGCACATGCCATACGCACGTGCAAGCTCGCCCTTCATGTGACCAGGACTTGACGTTAAGTTGAGAAGAAGCATGTCCTGCGTGTCTAGCGTTCCGTTGGATGTTTTCGCCGCGGAGAGACCATCAACGTAAAGGAGACGGAGATCATGTTTGGGCGTGTAGGTGTGCAGATAGCCTGCATTTGGGTTTGGCTTTGAATCGCCTGATGTAAGAACCTGCTGTCGTTCATGGCTTGTCCTCATGTCAAACCGACCAGTCATCCGGTCACCACGTACGTGTGGCCATTCACATGATTGCCTTTCGCGATGGCGAGTTCGATAATCATCATCTGGCGGAGGAGGTCTCATCCATGGTTGAGCAAATATGCGCGCATGCTCGGGTTCGAATGCAAGCCACTCCATTCCTTGTATGGCCTCTGGTTCCCATGTTCCATGATAGAGCTGAGTATTGGCTGGCACTGTGGCTAAGAAAAACGACATGCCGTTATGATTCAATGATCCGCCCCATTGCCGCATTGATGAATGTATTGCATTGAAGACGTGGTTTGCATGATGGACCTCCAGTGGTTTCGCATCAGCGAAATGTGATAGGGTAAGACTAAGGAAAGAGGCATATTGGGCGAAGTAGTCGCGATGCATACTGCAGAATAAATCGGCTCAAGCTCGATGTAGAGATATTGGTTCACGCATGAGATGAAGATTTGCTCGACTGAGAGTCCGATTCACCAATTCCCCAGGAAAACGCAAAGTCGTACCACGCATGCGTACGCGTTCAAGAAGTTCTCCGGTCAGCAATGACGTGGCCTTGAGGTTTGCGCAGGATTCAAGCCACTTCGGCAGGGTGAATTCAGCTGATTAGATTGCAAGGAGTTATTGGCTGTACCTGGAATGCATTCTTTCAGTGCTTCAGCTGCAATACACGCCAGCAGCAACCCTAAGTCAACCTCATGTCTCGAGATTAAATATAAACTTGTGCTTCTAAGCGGTGGTGCATCGCTTCGCTGTTTTCAGAATTCGGCCCGAAAACGATACTAAGACTTACGCCCGGCTGCAAGCGTCCGTGAGGAAGCCATTCAGGGATGGTTATGAAGCGCCCGCGATAACTTGGGCTGTTAAAGGTCTGTTGTGTCTTATGTCACAGTGCGCGCGATGCGCGGTGCGGGAGATGTGCTGGAGCTTTGATGCACAGTGGCTGACATGATTTGAATTTGCACCTTCCTCTTCTTGTCGAGGAGCCGGCTCAACCTGCATGCACCCGGTGTGTAAAATGTGGTAAGCATATCTGCAGCCAGCTAAGCGAGTGCGAAAAGGTACAAGGGCGTCGACGCTCAGGTACTGTGCGACCCTGGATCACTCTTCCGGTGGGTGCACGTTTTACGCCCGGCCTGCCCATTGTATGCCAGGATGCGCTACCCCGGCCATATGGACTGCTGTGGTCTAGGTATGCAGATTATACCTATCCCGACAATTTGTTCCAGGTGTCGTCGGGTCGGATGCTTTCCCTAGAGGAAGAAGATGAAGGAGTGGACCGCGCTATCGCGGAGCGGACAGTTGGGTTCCGCTGTGCAATTGACTCGTGGAAATTGAGAGTCTACACTACAGCCAAATCTAGCAATCCAAGTGACAGCAGCACGGGAAGCATCATTGTTGTGGAGTCCAGTCCTCGTCCGTAGTGTGAGTGTTTTTGCGCTGTTACTAGAGCTAGCTGTCAAAATCAAACGTTCGCCGCCCGGTTGTTCGGTCGGAGTAGGTTACTGGAAAGGTCGGCGACCGTAGCGTACGTCACTGGCAGCCACCTGGGATCATGCATCTCTGAGACGCAACATTCAATGTCGCCGTCCACGGGGCCAAGAACTCAGGAGCGGGTCCATCGTGAGTTCATCGCGAAAGAATCGGATTCGGAAGCAAAAGTTGCAATGACTCTGTGGATAGCTCAACCATCGGCGCAAAGTCGGTGCAAATTATCCCATCATCCTGCATTCATGCTTTTGCGACGGAGGAACATCGCCTAGCACACAATGTAGAGAAGAGCGGGTGGGACCAAACAAGGGCGCGAAGGTCGGTGTGCAGGGTATAGCGCACAGTGAGGAGATGAGGGTTCGAGCGACTACAATAGCGTGACCCAAGGATCGACCCAACTGGGTACACTAATGCATGCCAAGCCGACTCGACATCTCCATATTTGCTTAGACTATTAGTTTTAAGGCTAGTGTTCTTGACCGGTATGGTGCAGGGATCAGTCAATTGTTCGGATGCAGGTTAGAGACTGTCGAAATATGGCCATGACTGTCTGTTGTGCTGCTTGCTGCCGATGCTTGCAGGTGACAAACGGGCCCAACAATGACCACAATCGTAGCAACTTTCCAGCCGTGTTTGAGGTCCTGGCCCTGTAGCCCCTGTGTGCAACCATCAACCCTGGCAACACATGTCAAAGTTACCTTGACACCGCGTGCAAGGTGCGTCAACGGCGCGTGGCGGCGTGACAGCAATGCCGTTCGTCAAGCTTTTATTCTCCTGGCTATGCGGCAGAGACCCAGTCATATCCCGCTCAGTCAAGAACGGGGTCGAAGTTGGTGGCTATCTGTTACTGTGGAGAGTGCAGGACATTGGTTAGTCTCAGTTCTAATATTGCCGCCAACGTCATATGCCCCAACCTGGGGCACTTGGACGAGATAGACAACGCATAGGACCCAAAAGCATCTCATCTGACGTCTGATGTAAGCTCGCAACTTAAAGCCGGTTGGATATGTCGCACATCCACGTGATGTTGGCACCCCGAGATCGATGCGCGCCCGTCTGAAGTAATGTCCCGAGACCATACAACGTGTGCATGCTGACTTGCAGCAACAGCGCGATGAAACGAACCAGGTTGTTGCGACCAACACCACAGCCACCATTTCGCATGCATCATCAAAACCGTTACAAATCTCGAGTCTCAGCATTAACCAAGTTGGCTATGAAAAACGTTGACATACTGTAAGCGGCAAGTGTCTGTGTGTTCTCATACGATTTGCGGGCCGGGGCCGGCATGCCCCTCGATTTCGCAGAACATGCCATTCCTTGGGCCGCTCGTCGCTCTGCACAGAGTGTGACACGCCAGTCAGGATGCTTGTTTCATTCGCGGGTTTTCATTCGTAAGGAATCCTTCCAATCTGTAACGAGGGCTGCGACCATTTTAAGTGGTTGGGGTCCAAGAAGTCAGCCTTGTCGACGACATTAGGCCACCCACTAAGGAGCCGGAGTCTCAGACTAGAGGCCAATTCATTCGCAGCGTTCCTTGCCACCCGAACCCCGAAAGCCAGAACGCTCAGCATCAGCAAAGGATTGTTTGGTACGGGTTTCGCGTTGAGGAAGAAGTGACGACGGAGCTTATGCCGGCAAGTCAAAAGTAACAATCCAATAGTTGCGAAATGGTCTGATGAATGGCAAAGGAGTAAATCGCTTTGGTCGTAGCGGCTATTGATTCAAGCTAGGTCAGGCAGCAGCAGCAGCCATATGCATCTATCCCAATATGGTCTCGATCGCGATAATGTTCTATGATGTACAAATATATCCACTCAAGGTGGATTAAAACGCCATGACAATGCGGAAAGAGAGGAAGCAGCGCTTGCCCTGGGGCTAAGCCTTCGATCAATGTCGAATGATGCAAACATGGGTATCATGAACGAAAGTGGAAATGTAGTAGACGAGCTACAATGCGTAAAAGTCGTTTGAATAGGATGCCCGGGGGATCTTTTCTTTGTCGATAATGTCAGCCAAGCAGACGGTAATGGTCGTGCCTAGTGCTGGGTCGCGGATGAACTCGAGCTGCGCTGAAGGATGCGACGGTAGAAAGGTATGCATGCTACTAGCACACTGATTTCCGCGGCGATTTGAGATGAATGCGTTTGACATGGTCTCTCTGAGGTAAATCGTTAGTCGACTCATGGTTGCACGGTCGCGCAGTCAATCACTTACCATGTTGTCTACACGGCTGAATACCCTGTCACAGCCGTCCCAGTCGCAAAGCACTCCAGGGTTGTGTTTTGCCTCGTGTCGCGCGAGATCCTTCTTGCTGGAGAAGCCTCCACCTGTTGCTTGTGGGCAATCAGCGTGACGGCAAAAGAAAGACTTGGTGTGACGTTTGTGGTGCTTCCTCAAGTCGCATCCGCGAGTAAAGACAGCTCTCGAAGTGCACCCAGGGTAAGAGCAACTCCACGTCCCATTCTTGTTCGGAAAACCATATGCTCGGAGGTCGGGTGAGGTTGGTGACAGCGAGCGGGACAGAGAGGGCGGTGATCTTTCTGAAGGAGCGTTGGATGAGAGGCCCAAGCCTATCGAGGACGAAGCGGAGTGTGATCTCGACGGCCGCGATCCACCATAGTATTGAGGCATGAAACCAGAATCAGGTGCGAGAGTTGTTGCTGTGGTCATACTTGTGGTGTAGGTAGGGTACGAGTATGCAGGGATCTGAGGAAGAGCCATGGGAGAAGAGTGGCCGGACCATGGAGTGTGCGATGGGTATGGGGAGTCCATGATTTGTCGATAGTCGTGTGGGTATGCAAAGATGGCTCCGTTGCTAGGTAAGGTAGTCGGCGGTGGTTGTGCCATGTGGTGTAGAGGTGGAGAGTATAGGATGCTCGGAGGAGATTGACATGAGCTGGCGGGGAACAAGTGTTCCATGCTGTCATCAACTGGCGCCATCAGCGCCAGCTCCGAGTCCGAAGAGTAGTAGCTCATGGTCATGTATGTCGAGTGAGAACTGGCCTAGACGAGATTTTGGAAGACGGCTGAGTGATGTTGAGACAGGTGTGTATCCGTCTACGAGTGGTCGGACGTCGCAGTATATACGTGTTGTATGGTGCGCGAAAAGGAAGTCAGTGCGCTCAGCGTAAGTGCCAGCAGGGAGTGGTAAGGGTATTCCAGTCTTATGGCACAGACCCAGCGTGCAGGGTGACAAGGTAGGCTGCTAACCGGGGTGTACAGGCCTAGTTCGGGAGCGTTTTGTAGGCCCCTCCGCAGAAATAAGGCTGAGGCACTGCAGGCCCGTAGGAAGTAGCGTGGCGGGTAGTGGCGGTGTTGAAATGTCTCGCGCTGGCTGAGACGGGATTGGGTCAAGAGGGGAGGCCTTATGTGACCAACTTAGATACCAGAGCAATGCGGCTATCTGTAAGAATCCTCCCTACGGGTCGATCTGAGGCGCAGAGAATCAAGAAGCTTATGTACACTCGATATGAGCAATTCACTGCAATGCTATGCCCAGTGTGAAGGATCAGAGCTAATCGAGATCATCGCGGGTGAACGAAATTGGGTTAACTTTCTCGCGCTGGATTCCCAATTCGATACCGCTCCCTGTTGCTACTACCAGTCGAGCAACGGTGCATAATTACTACACAATTGCGGTGGGCACTCGAGTGCGCCTCGCGGCCGGCTAGTTGATCCCTGCAACCAAAGGTACCGCCATGGTGGAGTTACCAGCGCTGGTGTTAGCGTGGGTCTCTGGAGGGGTTGGCAAGAACCCATCTTCTGGAAAGAAGAAATGGAGAGAGCTTTAGATGTGGCTCTTGCGCCGCATCCGCTGCAGATGCAGTATAGCTTTGGAGCCAACTAAGTCGATCAATTGTTATGATCGATAGATGCATGAGACGCTGGCCACCAGAGCCAACTCCTGTGTGTCGCCATGGCTACATGCCCGTTGGCAGCCACTGGTCCAGCTAGTCGTTGCGCGTGCGGTAAGACGACATCAGAGGCGGTAGCGCACGAGGGCCAGGTGAGCTTTCCAGGGCTGTGGGAGATGATAGACAGTCGATCGCCGCATGGCATGGGGGAAGGCTCAGTCGGTGACTCGGTGCGTGCCCGCGGGCATTTGGGCGCTATGGCCGGTTCTGACAAGCCCACGGCACAGTGTAGCCGCGCAGGATGGGCCACATTCGCCTGGCTTGGAAACTCCCATGCGATTGGCCAGGCTGCCAGAGGCGTGATATAATTAGGTCGCGGCTTTTGTGGGGTCTAACTTTGAGTCGTCTGAGCGTTCTCGAGTTTCCCGTGCGACCACCGCTCCCGTTCGAAGTGTAAATTAGATGACTCAGGACTGTCGCAAGGCGGTGTTCCAAAGATGCGAATGCTCGGTCATCCACCGAGCTGCCGTCGCTTGTTTCCCGAAATCCGCCCGCTCGACCTAAACCCGCACTCGCCATTCTCGTGGTGCTGCGACGGTAGCGTCCAAGAGTAAGAACTTGCGACGATGCTTTTGATTGCGTCTGCGACCATGGCCTATCACGTACCACGGTGCGTTTGATTCTGCACGAGACGTGGCTAGGTACCGTATGTACCAGGGAGAAACATAGCCAACGATGTCGCGACTTAGCTAGCATGGTCGGCGACGTTGAACCTTGAAAGCTCCCGACATTCGAGCGCGTAACGGGCTAAATGATGCCAAGAGTGGAGGGAGAACGACAGCTACTACTCCGTGGAGGCCTGGCAACCCATTCTTGCGAGTCTTCCAAGGATTGTCGCATGGCGATCCGGGCCTTTGTCTTCGTCGTGCTTGAGCACAATCTGATGACGCTGGAAGCAGATTAGCAATGTGTTTCAGGAAGGAAAGTGTTTATGGCAGTGCCTGCACGTCACAACGTGGTCGCCGAAATTGTGGCTATTTTGAGGGTTGTGACCGAGATGCAGTAGTACATGGTTGAGGTTGACATGCTGGTGTTGTTGTTGTGGACAAGCTGTCGTGCCTCTAGCCATGGGACAGACCGTGACCACCTCATACGGAAGTCGCGATTGCCCCCACAAACATATTTTGATAACGGCTTCAGGTCAAGACACGCATTCCATAGAATCTCAGTCATGTAGGATGGCAGGCAAGGAGTGGTATTGCAAACATTTCACTCATGAACAGACTGCCAGCAGGCGCACAAGGCGCATCCTTCCAGTCTCGCAGTCGTCGATCGCCAAAGGCTTGCACTGCACAACGAAATCGAGCCCTTCACAGCAGTCCATACGCAATCATTGCTCGAATCACACACCCTTGTGACTGGTCCATCCCATCGGTGACCCAACAAGACGCAAGGCTCACTCAGTTCGACGAAGAACGTATGAGATCAATCAACCCTTGAAACAAACGTGCACATGGCCTCATGAGTACTGGCATGGGCTCCCATTTTCATGCACTAGGAGCGTATGCTGGCTCGACACCACCAGGTTTCTGTATGCTAGCTCCTTTCAGTGGAGTTCGCCCGCGGTGCAGCGGTGATGTCCGTCTTGAGGAAGGGTTCCTTCGCAGGCTCTGCTCCATGCCAACAATCCAGAGCGACTGGACAGCAAGAAACTACAGCAACATCCTGCAAGAAGTTGTGGGGACGCAGCACCGAGCAACCAATGTGGTGATAGTGACGAGGCCAACCTGCAGTCGGCACCCGTCCAGCAAGATCAGACAAGCTCGTAGGGGCCATTCAATGACATCTTCATCACCTCATGCATCTCAGATCGCCCAGTCAGAACCTTTGTATCACTTGAGACGATTCATGTGCAACTGTTGGATACTGCAGATCTGAACCCCAGAGTGCACAGACTGCCAGGCGCAAAGGCAACCAACTACCACACAACTACTGCATCTTGATGGGCCCAAATTCTCCTCCCGCACGTTGGCCCGCCGCCGTCTGCTATTTCTGGAACTCGATGTGTAGTCATGTCGGGAGGGGGATTTGATCTGAAACGTGGCAGTGTTGGGCGGGAGACTCAGCCTCGCTCTCGTGGTTAGGCGTGCGACCACAACTAACGCGCTGCGAACACCATCGCGCAGACCCCATGAGTGTAGAATCCCGATGGCGTCAGGGTGCTTGTTGGTAAACTGACGAGATGCATGACGTGGGATGGCTGGATGACCTAGCACTTGTCCGCAGTGAAGGTGTGTTCCCAGCTAAGTCCACGTTCCATATTCAGCACCAACATCGGCGACTTGGAGCACGCAGCCATGAATCTAAATAAAATCGTAGAGACAACTCCATTTGGCTAGGTTTAGGACCCGTGTGCTAGTAGGGCCGGAGAGATGTTTTTGTTGGTCCAGTCTAGAGGTGTCTTCGCTGATTGTACCTCACCAGAAGCGCTCACATGGTTTTCACAATGCATTTCGTCCTGCAATAAGACTTCCCCCTTGAAGTGTCTCTTCAAATTATTATGAATAATTTCGCAAGCATCACCCTCACACGCTAGTGTGCAACGTCTGTAGTCGCCGTCTTGTAGTCCATTCATCTCACGCAAGTCGAACCACCTACACTCAGGTCCCCCGAAACTAAATTTCGGACCATCCGCTGCCTACCATACGACTGGAACACACAAGCTCACCCTTCTATATGTAAGGCAGACTAATTCTTCTGACAAGCATGTTTAGACGTCTCGACCCAAAGCCAACTGATTTAACTTTCGGGACCATCGCAAAGCGGCACAATCGCACCGAAACAATTTCCCCACCATCACGCAATGCGGTCAACCCTCGGAGAGCTCGGTTCATCACATCGCGAAACAATTCTGTATCTGGATACAGTCTGAGTGTTCGGTAGAACTGAAATGAGGGGGTGTAGATCATGGCATGGACGTTGGTGGCCTTGAAGGTATGTGCGACGAAAGGCAGATTTGTGCAGGTGATGTTTGTGTGTCAATAGGTCGAGCATTTCACATGAAATGAACTGACACAGCTTCGATGCAAGCTACACGATGCAAGCTATACCATGTTCATCGCATGAAGACTAGGTTGCGTGAAGACCGCAGGTGTGCTTCACCGTACTCCATCGTCCAGTCTCTGAGCCGGGCTGGTGTCGACAAGAGTTGCACAATCAATGAGTACACATACCAGCAGTAGATAAGATGACTTGTATCTACTTCAGGAGCCTACTGTAGAGGGCATCTACACAGTCGTGCTGAGATGGTAGTCTGAAGCTATACACAGCATCACCAGATGTCAAATGCAACTACAATACATTCTGTATAGCTTCAGGACCTCAAACAAGCCTCCACTTGTTGCAATCTGGTCGCTTCCCGTCAAAAAAACCCCCTCTTCCACATCCACAGTCCCTACAAGTCAATATACTCACATGTCATCAGTATACTGCATCGCGACCACACTCTCCACTTATCAAAAGCAGGAGGCCTACGTCTGAATCCTCCACATCATCCTCTCCGACCGCATCAAGTCACGGCCATGTGGTGCTACCAACAAATCTGCGCTCACTTTTTGATTCCGAACTCAACTGTCCGGGTGGCATACCTCGACCCCATATTCGCCAACGCCGAAGTACAATCCGGCCTACAACGAGGGAGCGAAAGAGACACACGATAATCTTCGACTTCACAATTCAAGACCATACGTCTTGCGAGCCGCTGTGGCCGCAGAATCTAGAAGGGGTTCGGAATCTGATGGAAACGCGTGCGGTCAACGGAGTGGCTTGTAATCTTCGTAGCCCCTCTGTACAAAAAGGTAAGACTCGAGATGGTGAATCACAGCAAAAATATAGCAGAAAGACATACAACCTGAGGAGGGGACATTCCTACGCTGGTAGACACTTCCGGCTTACAAGATGTATAGGATAGATATCTTGGATAATAAGACGTATTTACGGGTAAAGAAGTGGAACACTACAGTTTGTGAAACAAGGTCACCTGGATTGCATCGAGGAGCAACAGGATGGAACTGGACGGGGCAAGATTGTAAAACGGGATAGGATACCAAGCGACCCTTGCAGCGACCGCAGTCCTCACGCTGAGCACAAAAGCTCCGAACGAACACAAAGATCTGATCCAGCATCACTCTATAGACCTGTTAGCACCCAAGGGAAAGCGAAACATCGTGCTCGATTGCCTGAAGCAGCGTAATACGCACAAAACCT